GGCGGAAGAGAACGGCGTCATAATCGTCGACTGGCCGCCTTATTCGCCCGACCTAAACCCTATTGAAAATCTATGGAAACTGCTCAAGGAAAGGATATGCAAGAAGTATCCGGAACTATCGTTAATGCCGAAGAATTTGACATCAATTCAACGGCTCTGCGAGGCCGCTGTGGAAGTCTGGGAGGAATTTAATGACGACCTCTTGAAAACCCTCGTCGAGTCGATGCCCCGCAGACTCGAAGCCGTTATTGCAGCACGCGGCTGGTATACTAAATATTGATATATATGGATAGAATCCTTACGTTCTAGCGAATCTAATGGTCTAGTTTATTTTTAAATTGGATTTAATTTGGCTGCGCAATTCGCGTTTTTAATAATGTCGTGATACTTGGGAATTTGGTGTTTAGTGGGGCTCGTCTTCACTTTTGCTGACCCACTGTAGCTACAATCGGGAATGTAGGACTGTGCGGTATTACCGCGTCGTAGTAGCGTGGAGTTCAGCAGCCCCGCCATACTCTCCCACCAAAACATTGGATTCACCCAGTTAATCTGAGAGTATTAACTCGCACCTAAATAAGAGTACAATTTTCTTCTCTTTTCTCTCAAAACTGAATTTTATGAATGTTATGATTTACATTGAAGTCAGTCTACAACCCCCTTTAATTATGATATAGAGCCACAAGGTATAACAGTCTATGTTGTGCTCACTCATTCTCCTCACATGCTGCTTTAATAAAATCGACCGTCTTCTGTAGTGGGTGGCTTTTCTTGCCCACTTCCCTCATTGTGAAAAGATATATCGCTGTTGCTTCCGTAATAACGTTGCTGCTGGTTGTAATAATTCGGGTATCCCTGGCCCTGATACGATTGTCGCGCTCTGTCTGGCGGTGGCTGTGCCGTCTGAGAACCGTACCCGTTATACCGCGCTGGAATGCTACCATCATATGCAGAATACCGCTTCGTCTCCTGGTTCTGAGCGTCACTGGCGTTGGAATTATTGTACACTCCCATATTGTGATACTGTCCGTATGGGTGAGCGCCTGTCTGTCCTGGGTATGCTGTGAATTGCTCTGTCGGATTATTCATTGGAGGAGGCGATTGTTGCGATGGGCTGCTGTAAGGAATCCCGGTTTGCGGCATTGGGGCTTGGAAATGGGCACCGGGGTCCGCCCTCTGAACATGTTGCGGTGCAGGTTTCCGTCTAATGACTTCCAAAGGCGCTGGGGCTGCCATTTGCGCAGACACATCACGAATACTGGCAATGGATTCCCTCTTTGGGATGAATGCTGAGGGTTCATGAGGCGACCAGCTATTTGTTGGCTGAATAGAAGCGGCGTCATAGTTAGCTTGAGGAGGCGACAGAGGGACCGGAGTTTGAGACGCAAATAGGGCGTGTGTAGCCTCAGCGACTGCTGAAACGCTGAAAACTTCGGGATATGTCGAAGGTTCAATATCTGGAGAGGCTGTCTCTGGGGCTGCCTCTACGGTTGTCTCTACGGTTGCCTCTACAACCGTTTGAGAATCGATGGCTATAGCTGGCTCGGAATTCGTGTTCTCATTCGGCTGGGGATCGCTTGCAGCCCCATCTCCGTCAGTTAACTGAACAGCGGAATCCGGCATAGCATTTAATTCCGAGATCTTTGGATGTTCATCCTCGTAAGGTAATCCTTGTTTGCTCACGTTGGCCGACCGAATGATGCTCTCCAAGGCGACATTGCCTGAATCTGCAGCCGTCTTAAGAGCGTCAAGAAGCACGGTAACGCGGTTAACAAGCACCCCCAAACATTGCCACTGTTCGCTTGAAGAGCCAACAAACTCATCTTGATCCTCATCTTCAGATTGTTGGGTGGCTTCAAAGGCTGTCTGAAGTGCATTCTTGTTTCTCTTGCTAGAATGCATGATATCAGCCCCGTTATCCAGCAGAAAGGTCACAGCCTCCACATCACCACGTCCGGCAGCTACAATCAAAGCAGTGTCGCCGTCATTATCTGGCAAGTTGATATCCGCCCCTGCATTGAGCAGCACCTGTAAGGATTCCTTTGGCAGATATGCGGCAGCATTTATGAGTGGTGTTGAGGAGTCGTATCCTCCAAACACATCCAGGTCTGCTTTGGCATTGACCAGCATCTCCAAGATGTGAGCCTCACCACGCTGGCACGCCGCGACAATGGGGGGCGAGTCTGTCCCGAGTCCGAGATTTGGATTTGCGCCCTTCTCCAACAGTAGGGATACAATATCGGATCTACTCGATTCGCAGGCCCCCTGAAGCGCGGTACCTGCTGCGAAGTTGGCATTTTCGGTGCATGCGTTCACCTCAGCTCCCCGATTAATGAGCTCTTGGACAATTTCATAGTGTCCTTCAGCAGCGGCAGTTTGCAATGCCCAGCCATTTTCGTCGTTGATATCCGCACCGGCATCCAGCAGCAACTGCACCATTTCCATGATGCCATCAAACGCAGCCGCCGTTAAAGCTGTTCCGTACTCTTCCCCTGTGGCATTCGGATTTGCGCCAAAGCTCTGCAACAACAGTCTCACAGTCGTTACTTTCTCTCTGTCGGTCGCATTATAGAGGGCGTCGCTCAATGTTTCCTGTGTTATGGAACCGTTTGCATATTCCCAAGCCAACTGTAGCATTTTGTCCTGCGGTTCGCTGCACGTTGCAGCTTCGGTAAAAAGGCCATTGACATCTAAGCCTTGGCGATGGTCTAAGAGAGACTTCACAATGTCCCAATTCCACTCTTCAACTGCAGAATCTAGAGCGGATTGAAATACATCTGTCTCGTGACCAAAATTGAGTAATTTGTTGAATACTTCAATTCTTCCGGCAGCGGCAGCAGCGATAAGCGCTGCGCTATAGTCTTGAGGAGGTAGTTTGTCTGCATAGCTCTCAATCAAGTACTCGAACATCGAATAGTCGGCTAACAATGCTGCCAAGGCAAGAGGGCATGGGACGTCTTCATCATCCGACTTGAAAGTTAGTGACACATTGTGCTCCACGAGCAGCTCAACAGCTTCACGGCTCCCAGAGGAAATGGCTGCGTTGACAACTGGCCCAATATCATTTGCAACAGCGTTCGGATCGGCGCCTCTTAAGAGCAGCTTCTTCATGACTTGGATGTGTCCGCCGAATGAAGCCATATGCAGTGGGGTTTGTTCGTGAATCTCTGCAGCATCGTCGATTACTGCACCGCGGTTAAGCAGTTCCTCTACAATATTGGGTCGGCCTAGAAAAGCAGCGAAATGCAGCTTCCGATGTGTTAGTCTTTAAGATATCATTTAATAAACATCCTCATGGGGCTTACCGGAGTATTGACTAATGAGTCTCGCTCTTTGATCTCGGCTTCATGGCCATTGCGTATAAGAGCTGCAACTAGTTGTCGGAAGCCAATTGCCGCCGCAACATGTAATCCATTGAGCGTCTTATAGTCGAAGTTATCAAATGTGGTCGTCATGCGCGCGTACTCGATCATCCAACGACGCCGAATCGTAGAGTCTGGTTTCCAAAAGTCATCTTCGAAACTTAAATCTTCGGCAATCTCCAGAGTCGCGTTGCTGGCATGGTGTAGCCAATGCTTAACAGTATAAGCCAAGGCTTTGTCTTTGACCATTTCTACTTCAGGATCGTCCTCTTCTTCGTCTTCTTCGTCCTCATCTTCATACATTTCTTCGCTGTCCGAGTATTCGTCTTCGTCATCTTCGTCATCTTCGTCGTCATCGTCCTCCTCCTCCTCATCATCCACTTGCTCGGCGGCACTGGCATGTTCGGATTGAGCTTCGTCTTGGTCAGGGTTATGCTGGTCATCTTTGTCGGAGATTTCGGCCGCTGATTCCTTAGGGGCCGGATCCGGCATGGGGAAATCCAGAGTGTCCTTAATATGAGTGAAGCATCGTAGAGCTATCACACCGTGTTGCCACTTGATTTCCTCCTTAGACAATCCGAGTAGTTCCTTGGCATTCTCTGACAAGTGCGTCTTTACAATTATGTTAACAAAACAAACAACAGAGTCAGCTTTACTCGTTCGCTTTAGATATAGAAGCGGTTTGCATTGCTCAATCAATTTGCGCAGCTCGCCCTTTTCCTGATCTGTAGAGGTTAGCCCTGCGAGCAGACTAAGCTCTGATTCGGTAGGATCTTCATAGGTCAACACCAGGGCACGCAGAATTTCCTTGACTTTTTCGACGTGGGCCTCATTTAGCTCAAATATTTGACGCCAGGAATGGTCCAGTAGTGTCTTTAAATCTTGAGGCATGTTCTCGAGAATCTTTCGAACTCTCAGGTCGCTTTCAGTGTTGGAAAGCTCTCCTAGTTGGATACATGTGATGTCGATCCACTGGGTATTTTGGGCGCGCTTGCCTACCAGACTGCTGGCGAAGTATGCGAGAGCTTTGTTGTATTGCTTTTGTTCTCCAATTGCCGAAATCATTTTCTTGGCATGTTTTCGCAGCTCCAATTGAACTTGATTCTCGTATCTGCTGTCTTCCAAGTCAATCACGCGGACGCCGTCGACCTTGAGGGCTGCGTCAACGTTATGGGACTCTCGACTGGTGATGAACCACCGAGTCGGGACACGTCTGGAGCCCACAGAGCTTAGAGCTTCCAGCTCCCCTGCGATAAACTTCATCAATTTGATGGTTGAATCTGATTCGGCGGGCAAAGCATGAAGGTTGTTGAGCACGAAATAGACCCTGCTGCCGATGAATTCATCAGCGAGCATATCTTGAATTGATTGCCACATGTTTTCAACAGTTATTTGGGCTTGCTGTGACCGACTCGCATCATCTTTTCCCTTTTTCTTGGTGAATATCTTCGCGTATGGTGCGAGCGTCTCTTGTTGGTTGATGAGCTGCCTTATCACAGACTTCAAGACGTCCTCAGCGGTAGAATAGTCTGTTGTCGTATCACAGAAGAAATACACAAGGAGAATTGGGCCCTGTCCGGTATCGTTCTCTTCATTCTCGCGTATTAGCTTCTCAATGCCTTGCAGGGCAGCCATAGCGGCGTTGGTTTTGCCTCGGCCTTCGCGACCACGGACATATAAACAGTCCACCGTCTGAGGAGGCTTCTCTTTGTCACCATCTCCTGTGTATCGCAGCCACTCTAAGTATTCAGCTTCTTGAGGTATCCACGACGAAGGTGTGAAGGATTGTGATAATGTTTTTCTCTTCTTTTGAACTTGGGCGCCGTCTAGTGCTTCCATTATACCGCTAATCATGGCGCGGTCAATGTCTCTCACCGAGTTTAAGCGATTCCTAACGGATAGCTGAGCTCCGTGGATGATCTTTTTCACTGGATCCCGCACCATTTGTGTCCATCGATCGTCTTTTGGGCCATCAAACTTTACCAAATCGCGGTGATTGCAGGCCAAACCAAGCTCTTCAACTCCAGGGAGTGTTGCAGAGTCCCGGTTGACGAATTCGGCATATTGCTTTGGTATAAGATTCTTGGTAAGCCCAAAAAGGCTTGGAAGGCCAGCCATTTGAGAAAAGTCAGTTGGATGCTCTTCCCAGAAACAGAACAAGTCGATTTTCGGATTGATTTTCCCCACTAGACGCATAAAATCATGCTTGAGTTGTCGTAGTTCCTCATCGCCTGGCTTCATGAGCTCTAATAATTTTGATGAAAATGCTACGTCCACCTTTTCTGCAAAATGGGCGTACATTGCTGCCACAGCCGCAACAGGAGCGCCGCTGAATGGAGTGCCAAAGAAAATGCACGCGGTGATTGCCTCAAACATGATGGGAAATAGATCGCGACGAGAATCTGCAATTGTGATCGCCTTTGCGACTACTAGACCGCCCATGCTATGTCCAATGAATACGATCGGTCTCCGTTGGCATTTCTAATATCTCTCCGTCAGCTAGAATCACAATCAAGGGCTCGATGACTTACTTCTCTCTTGCTCCTCAGTCCGACTAATAGGCCCATGGCAATATTGCCCATGAATTGTTTCACCTTTAGCTGACCCGTCCATGCTGAGTCGTACATATAGAGCAGCAATCGAGCCCGTGGGAAATCCCTTTGCAAGCCATCTGCGTGTGTGGTCCAGTTGAAATCAGTCTTACTAGACTTCCAGCTATCTTCTGGATTGGCTCCTAATCCTGGGACAAACACAATGCTATGGCAGCTGTTAGGATAAAATAAAATAAAACCGTTTACCAATAATTGGGACGTACTCAAGATCGGGGACAATATTCCCTTTATCAAGTGGATACAGTTCTTTGATGCCTTGCTGTACAATCTCGTAGCCCTTTTGCTTCTTCGGTGCGGCTGGGTTTAGGTTGGGATTGGGTCCTTTTCGCGTTCCTGATCGTTGGACATTTGCCGACCGCCGCACGGTTGTCGATCGCTGTACTTCAAGAGACATCTTGAGAACTTGGAGGGGGTTTTTTTTTTCCTTTTTTCTTTTTATCGCATTTGATACAAAGCCAGTTATTTAGAATTGTTCTGGCAAGCGTTGGTTTATGATTCAATTGAGGCTCAAATGAGGAGCTGCCTCAGAGAGCTCCAGGGGTCCGTCGTTCCTTAGGCAGAAACTTGATGTGTCAAATTTCCTTACCTGCTATTCATTGTCAGATACTATTAACAGGGTGTCTAGCGGCTCTCTTTGCATGGCCCCCAAATTTTCCCGTGCGGCTGAGTTGAAATCTTGATAAAATATGGGTCTATTGCTTCATCTCATCAGTCAATACAATCCGCAGAATCGACTGAGTTGTAAACTGTTTCTAGCGCATAGTCTTTTTTTTTACCGATGGGAACTATGATCATCATTAAATGTCTTCTTGACGGGATTTCTATAACGGCCGTTGACTAGGTATGTTGAACCCATTCTCAAACTATCACACCTCCATTCATTGCGGCTTGTTTATTAATTTCCGCGACAAATGCGGAGTGCAACCCACTGAGTAGCCTCTTAATATCCCAGCTGACGCCCCTACAACCAACCATCGTGGCTAGTACATGTATCCTGGCCTGGCCTGGAACCATGCGGGCAAATCCATCGCGCTCCTCTGTCTCCGTTCAAGTTTCTTCAACAGCCAATAGGAGGACAATATATTATAAACTCAGCCTTGAGAGTGCTAGGATCAGAGTCAGGCTTCTGCTGTCTAGGCAGCCGGCGGAAATTACGAAAAGAGCAGTTCCTTGAAGCGTGAATTTATAATTAACTGTCTCCTTTGAGCAGTAGCAATCGTAAACTTTTAGTTCGCCCAGGGATTCCATGAGGCCAGCCCTACTTGGGGGCTTCAAAATCAGCCAGATCCCCGTGGTAGCTCTGTACGGGTGATGACATTCCGCCATGGCTTCAATCATAGAGAAAGCTCCGCCTTTTACGATTCAATTGGTTGGCCCGACCGTCGAAGAGTTTAACAGGGATACGCAAGACGCAGCACAACTGGCGAGAATCTTGCCAGCAACCGCTCGCTCTGGGAGAGACGAGATCTTCGGCCCTACCAGCGACTTACAAGAATTCTTGCAGCAAGAGCTTTTCGTGAGAAAGATTAATGCTGTTCAAGATTGGTTGTGGGCCTGCGGCCGACCTATGCCTCCTCGGCCCTTGCATCACCAACGAGTGCTCTCCCGAGACATCATTGTTACAGAGAACCCGGAACTGCATCTCATATGGGGTCCTCAAGGAATTCACTTGAAACCACTGCCGGAATATCTGCTAGATTCCTATTTTTGGAAACAACACATTCTGTCAAATGCGAATCAAGAACACACTGAGCTGGAGCAATGTGCTCGGGGATTTTTATTCTCGTACTGTGCTCTCATCGGACACTATAGCGATTTTCGCATCGCACGCGAGAACGGACTATTACCAGATGCCGTGACTTGGGAGTACTGGAAGATCCTTTCGAGTCAAATCTTGCAGCAGCATCGCTATTCTACAGTCAACCCCAGGTACTGGTACGGCGAACTCCGGTTAGGGCGCTTGAACAAGATATACCGGTTTCGAAAAGGTCATTTATTGAGAGGATACTCTAGGATATCTGGTTACGCCATTTACGGAGACTTGATTCGCGACAACTTTGCGTCACTAATTACCGTGCTTGGTTATGTGGTTATCGTCTTAACAGCAATGCAAGTCGGCCTGGCCACGGACAAATTGGTTTCCAACAGTGCCTTCCAAGCCGCTAGTTACGGTCTTACTATATTCTCCATCATTGCGCCGCTAATTTCTGCTGTCGCTATTTTATTTTTTGTTTCCATTTGGGTAATCAGCAATTGGCGCGCTACTAAGAACTTTGAGAAACGGAGATTCGTGGAAATGGGAGTAGAGCCGTTTTGGCGGGATAAGTACTGATGATCAAAAAGTTGTCATGTAGCCCAAAAAGAGAATCAGTAGCTCAGCAAATATACTTTTGTAAAGAGTTCCATGTTCTTTCTATATAATGCTTTTATAGCAAGGGGTCAATATGCTTTGCGAAAGCCATTTAGCTAAGCATTCATCGCAACACCAAACAGCCATAGTTCCAAATCAAATGACCGTCTTTGCTAGCATCAGAAGTAGATACAATAAAAATAAATCCTACATCTAGTTGAAGATGAGACAATCCATCTACAACCTAACATCTCAAGCCGCCGCCAAAGCACCTTACAGGCACTGAGAGTAGAATGGGTTCAGAACCTGGCAAGTGTAGCCGCTAGCGCATCTGGTAGGTCCGGTCCAGCCAGTTCCACCACACTGGCCGTAGTGTGTCTGGGTGGCGGTGGGGGAGCTTCCAGTGCTGGACGGAGGAGCCCGAGTGGTTGAAGTGCCGGGAGGGTTGCTGCCAGTGTTGCCACCAGTGCTGCCAATGGGTCCGAAGCGGATGTTGGAGTAGATAACCTTGGAGTTGGGTGACTGAGCTTCGACTTGGGCGGGAACACCAGAGCTGGTAGAGCAGCTTCCTCGCTTGGCGCCAGGGGTGGAAGCAGTGGCGTTTGTTGGGTAGGTGGAATCCAACCAAAGCATGTTGACCGCGTACTGCGTGAACCAGTCAGTAATGTAATAGAAATCATATCAACTATTATGTTGTAAACTCACATCATCCCACAAGCTCATGACCAAGACCATTCCGCCCTGGAATGCCTTGTTGATCTGGGCAAGGCCGCCCTTGTCTGTGAATGAGGTTCCGCCGAAGGCTGTCTGCTCAGCTGCACAGTAGTCGGTGTTGATCGTGTTGCCAGAGTAGCTGCCGACTTGAGCGTTGGGCTGCTGGAACTTGACTCCATTCTGGACATAGTATCGGCTAATTGAACCGTCGGTGGCGAACTGGGTCACAACGGTCAATTTCTTGGTGGTGTCAAGAGCGAATGATGAACCGGGTCCGTAGAAGGAGGTGTTGCCCAGACGGTATGGGTTCCAGTCGCAGCCATCAGGGTCGCAGGTGCCACCATATCGGTCATTGGAGTAAGTTCCACCGCAAGAATCGCCACTGCACATCGTCTGGCCGACAGTCTCGCAAGGGTGAGGAGTAAGAGCCTCAGAAATGGAGTTTGCCTCCCAGATATCCATCTCGGAGCAGCAGCTTCCGTGGCCACCAACACCAGTGTTGGCGTTGTTGGAAGATGGCTCCCAACCCTCAACGTTGGCCTGACCGTTGATGAACTTCAGGTCACGAGGGCACTGGCTGTCACAGTAACCTGTGCCGTATTTGGCACCGGCAGCATTGCCGGGGTACTTGCTCTGGCCACCATCGGCGTCCATGGAAACGAAGTACAGCGCTCCGTTCAAGCCACAACTAGCAATTATTTAGTCCGCGAACTGTGAAACCAACTGTGATGTTAGATTGTGATTACTTACGGCAGTTGGGAAACATCAACGTCAAAGGAGAACTCATTGCCAGAGAGCGTGAACTCCTGGTAGGTAGAATCATTTGCCATCAAGTAAAGACGGGAGCCGACATTCGACGCAGTAACAAATTGAAGGGTGAGAGCGTCGCCGCTGGTGGTGACTCCGTAAGTGCCCGAGTAGTTGGCTCCATCCAAACAACAGTTCTTGGCACAAGTCGCATCGTCGGGGCACAAGGTTGAGCTCCAGGTGTTGCCATCGTAGCAGTTGGTGGTGCTCTTGGTATCGTGAGTCCAACGCCAGTTTGCATCAAGAACCACAGAACCTTGTTGAGGTGTGCAACCGGAAGCTGTGCATTTCTGCCATGTCAGAGGTGGGTGAGTCTCTGCTTGTTGGGTGCAGACCTGCTGAGCACGAGCAGCAGCCAGGAAGGCCGAGATGGCGGCCAATTTCTGATACATGATGTTCAGCCTTTCGTTACTTAAGATGATGTACACAAAGATGATGTGTAATACTCTTGGAGTATCCGAGCTGATGGAGAGATGGAGAGAGATGGAGATGGTGGAAAGAGCTTGGGCTATATATAATTTTCTTGTCACAGACATGAGAATAATGAGGCTATCTTTGCCGGCTATTATTGCTGCCTAAGCTTCCAATTCACATGGTCAATCGGCACTACAACCTGGTCATTTACTTGCAATATCCATTTTGCTGCACGGCAAAAGCAACAATGCACTCCTACCACACCGAATACCTTCCGATCACTAACTAGTTTGAAGGCCCGATTTCCTTAGGCAGATTAAGTTGGTTCAATTGCCTGTACAGAGAAACCACGGTATATTTCGAGTACATACTCCAGTGATCACGGTCCGGCAATGATTCACAGATCTCGATACGAGACCTCATAAATTATTATCTACTTCATTGCTTTTTAGCTACCAAACTTCCCAGCCAATCAAGTAGCTAACCGGATATAATGACGCAGAATTCACTCAATGCTTTATATTTTACTCAGCATCATCTGTCTTATTGTTGGTCCTGTTATTGCAACGTCTTCATACACTATTGCTTCAAAAGCAACCAACGGCTCTCGGACAGAGTGAGATTAAAGATGAGCGGAAGAGAACAACGTGGGGAAGTGGGGCCTATCCTTTCTTCTGTACCTTCTTAGTAGTTGCTAAATGTTTAGCCACTTAATTGGTGAATTTTTAGCCGCTAGTTTATAATATCTTTAGCCAATAGCCCATCTACTTTTAGCCACCGGTTTGTAGTCTTCTATAACGTTGCATTGACACACGATGAGACCCAATTGAAGGCAAGGGCCCAAAGCATTGCCTTGATTGAACACTTGTTATAAGTGGATATCCGGAATATGTTATCCATCATGTTCGTATCAGTGAATCTCATGAAAGTTTTACCTTGGAGCTCTATGCTCCGAAAGACTACCTAGGTAGGCTGGGGAGCAAATGTCTAATGCGGGACAGATTGTCGCAACCCATAGTAAGTGGTAGTGAAAATGGAGAAAGCATAATTACCCAGTAAGAGACCGTGGCTATTGGCTGTAAGGCGGGGTACAGCAATCTCCAGGCTGAGCATCCCGGCGTCGTAAACTCCATGGGCCCTTATTGCCTATTTAATTATTCCGTTTCGTTCCTCACAGGAATATCCGAGCACAGTCACCTTGCATGGCTGTCGTCCGCCAATAAGAGGACTCCTGCTCCTGGATAAGATGAGGCTCGCCACTTATAGTTTCTGCCTCTATTGAGGCTGGTTAGCCTGATCTGTTACGGTTTGGTGTTTATTATAGCCGTTTTATAAAAGCTCTTCAGGCGTCTCCATTATGCGGATTGGCCGAAAGTTTCGGGGTATTGTAAAGTCACATTTCATGAACGGATAAACCGATCTACCTAATGTCCACATGGGGCGTTATATTTGTATCAAGATACGCATGTTTGTGGGCCTGTTTTAGCTTCGTCATTTCTGATCACCAACAAGCGACTGAGCCGTTACCTATAGTTGGATATATATATTAAAGCAAAGATGGGCCGCCTACTAATTCGACATGTTCTTTGTTTCTACTGCTGAGCTTTATCATATTGCTTATCGGTATAAGCGACTGCACATCATTGACCACGAGGTGATTTTACGGATGCATCCTTTACATCTCATGAAGTAGACTTGGACATTCAGCAATCGATACACACTGACAGATGAGTCCGAGAAAAAACACCAAATGGTTGAACTATGAGCTGAAATCATTGGAAAAGAGAAATTACGATGATATGTGACGTATTCAAGTGAAAATATGCATCGAAACATCGTTGTAAGAGGATATTTGTTTTGCTCGTATAGTATTGGCATTTTCCCATCTTATACTTTCCTGGAGCCTTCTTCCCATTGTCAAATAATGTGGCACAACTTCATGCTCTTGCTCATACCAGTTTCAAAATATGTACATATTCGGTACTATTGAGTTGATGCATATCCGATCTGGAGTATCAGAAACCAATAGGAAACATTCCTACATGTACTCCATGGCAAGTTATATGCCGTGATAATGTGGTTCCATAAAGCTTAGAACTCCATGTAAAATGTAAAATGCACTTGTACATATGATATGAAATCTGCTGAGTTTCTTGAACTTTGTGAGGCGCTATTTCTACCATAATGGTGGGTATCTCACGTAGCTCTGACGCGTCTTCATGATAGTGGGTTTAGGTAAAGTATCAAGAATGAGTGAAATGATAGAGAGGCTTTCGAATTACCTTTTTAAATGAACGTTTTCTATATGCTACAACTATCAGTGTGACGAATACATTTGATAAGACACGTTTCAACGGGTTTTTGAAGTCCAATCATGATATTGCATATTGATACCCTACAACGTGATTCTATATGCTATTCCCAGCACTGCCGATGTCGTTATATGTGATCATCATCTTAAACATCGTGTCAGTATAGATACGGTACAGTACAGATGTAGTGCATAGTGGATGAAATTGTAGCCGAAGGCATAATTAAGGCTATGCGTATCCTTCTTCACATCTGGATTATCAGTAACGGTGCTGGCATCGTTTAATGTATGTCTATCAAGAAATATGACATATGACTTTATATCTAAGATCACTCAGCTAAAATATATCTGTTTCATTCAAAGAAATAGCTGCATTTGTCGGACTCAAGCGAGTCATAGGTCATTGGTAGAAAAGATTTCGCTTCTGCCAAAAAGAAATGTCCGTTTCCAAAAGAAACCCCATTTTTGCGCTGGCTGTAGAAGTAGTAATTTGGTATTATCAACTCATCTACTTATTGGCCGTATAAGTCTTTACATTTATAAATTCAACAAAGATGCTTCGTGATGTTTGGGTTAAATACACGCCACTGTACTGATTATTCTGTCATACATCGACCATGTAGTCATTTAATGTCACGCATATGATGCACCGAGTTGATTGGAGACTAATGAAGGGAAAAGGGAAGAACATTGAGGGAAAGCGGTAGTTAGAGTTATTATGGACAATGAAGGGGTAAAGAAGATTGAGTATGCCAAATGTAACACGCCTCGGTTCCCAATGCAGAAAAAACGTTTTGAATCGGAAAGACAAATACATTTACAACTTGGTGAATAAGCAGGAACCAAATCGAACCAGATGTTCTGCGGCCCTTGATCACGACGAAACACAGGTGGGAAACGAAGGCGTACATATACCTTTTGAGGCGATGTAGATGGGCAGCTGGTTAATTTTTCTTTGCAATATAAGCACAGCAAAGACAAACTATTTGTGTTGAGATCAACCAATGATGCACTTGTCGTCCAGCGCGTATGAGTCGATAAGAGGGAGGTGAAACTGGATGATGTCATGCCAGCAAATCCATGCTCAATGTTCAGCCACGGGCCTGATAACCAGTAATCAAGAATAAAAATGCTCTAGCCCTTGTTGTTCCAAGTTGATAAGGCATCGCGGAAGCTACCAACTTAAGTAGGTAGCTGTAAAACGAACACAGGATATTGAAGCCAATCATCTGCTGTCAAGCCGCTTTCCTGTTTTGGACATGGAGAAATCGGAACATCGGCATCAAGCTTGGTGGTTGTCTGAGCAAACTAGCCAGGATCGGGACCTAACCCGCGTAAATAAGGAAGGTGAATAGTCTCCGATAGCTACTCCGATAGACAAGATCGCCAAGCCACAATCTTATAAAAGAATGCTTAAACATTGAGTTATCTCCCCCAGTCGCGTAATAACCATAATCGTGATGTTCAAGATGAGCGTTTTATATTCCGAGTAGAGACGAAAAAAGCTTGTGAAATGTTTTCTTTCACACTCTCATCTTTTTCTGTATTGTTTCCCCATAAAAACTATGTCGTCAAATGCCAAGCCAAGCGAACATTCGTAGCGAGGATGTACGGCTTCTCGGCACGTCTACATGGTCTTCCACTTGTCCCGGCGCCAATCCCCACCACCATTTCCTCTGTAGGGTGTGGTAGCATGTATACTGCATTCGGATTGTTTTCTGCGTAAAGAACTTATGTAGCAGCGAGCTTCGCGTTGGGCACTTATATCCTCATGGTGGCGTAAATGCAATGTTATTATCGCGTATGGGCCTCGTACTGGTCTTAATACGGAATCTCGTTTCCAATGACAGCTCGGAGATGTTTTTCAAGAGGGAAGGTGTACCGCAATTTCTTGTACGATACCAATGCATCTCCAATTGGAGCCTCCCAGCCTCGTAGTGGCCTGGAGATTAGGAAGAGATATCTCTTATTTACCTTGGTCGATGCAAATATAAATACAGCGCTGTTTCCTTCGTTGATATATCGTCCAACCTCATCACAGAGTCTTCACACAGCACACTTGATCTGCCAACTCTCTTCGAGAAAATCCTTGACATTCATCGCCCAACATGATGTTCATCGCTAGCATTGCCCTCTCGGCGCTTCTTTGCGCCGATGCCGCACTGGCCGGTGTTGCTCAAAACCGAGGCCTGGCTGCTCGTCTTGCTCGCCGTGCTGGCCGCCGCTCAGCTCCCATGAGGAACAACACCAGCCATGCTACTGTCCAGTCTAACTGGGGTGGTGCCATTCTCGGTGGCTCAGGCTTTACCGCAGCTTCAGCAACTGTAACTGTGCCCAGAGGCGGCGGTGGTTCAAGTGCTGCAGGTTCTGCTTGGGTCGGCATTGACGGTGCCACCTGTGACACCGCCATCTTGCAGACTGGTTTCGATTTCTATGGTGACGGCACATATGACGCTTGGTACGAGTGGTACCCTGAATTTGCTGGTAAGTGTTCTTATCATGACTTCCGAAAAAGGATGGCGGTTTAACTTGCAACAGCCGATTTCTCCGGCATTGATATCAGCGAGGGCGACCAGATTGCCATGTCCGTCGTGGCTACATCCCTGACCGGCGGCTCTGCCACTCTTCAGAACCTGTCCACGGGTCAAAAGGTGACTCAAACCTTCAGCCGCGTCACTGCAGGCTCTCTTTGCGAAACCAGTGCCGAGTTCATCATTGAGGACTTTGAGGAATGCAACTCGAATGGTAGCAACTGCCAGCCAGTTCCATTTGCCTCTTTCAGCCCTGCTATTCAGTTCACCTCTGCTTCAGCTACACAAAATGGACAGAAGGTCTCTCTCAGCGGTGCTGAACTCAGCGAGGTCATTGTCAACAACAAGGATTTGACCAGGTGCTCTGTCTCTGGCAGCACTCTCTCTTGCTCTTACGTCTAAGGGATAACTACGAGTAGAACGGAGAAATTGGGATGGGTCTAGCTGAGATGTTTCTTGATCAGCTGCTCTGTTCTATGATGCCTCCACAAGAAAAGTTAAAAAAAAGATTGTTGTTTACTACATACTAGTCAAGAATTGTAGATAGACAAATAAATCCTTCCATATACAAAAACCCCATCGTAGGTTGGATATATATCTCTGACCATAACCATCAAAATGACCCACATCCATTCTCCCAACATCCCGAACATTGTTCCCGAGGTCTCACATTACTCCGGTTACGATCAACGAAGCCATGGTGTGTGAGAGTACAGTTGCATAGATAATATTGATGGGCAAAAGTAATGTAACTATTGATCAGCCACCCGAGGTCGAAGCATCCCTTTGAGCTAGAATATAACGCCACATGAAAGTCGGACATTCATTTTGGGATACGAGCCCTTTATTTTAGCATAGTAATGACTTTGAACAGGCTTAGTTTGTTGTTGATATAAGCGGCTGCTTACGTGTAAGACATCACATACACTTCGCTCTTCCGCAACGGCCGAATTGTTTCCTTAACCTTTCCTAAAACCTCCATAAAATAACCATAAACTAAAATTGTACCCGGAATTTAATCTTACATGTGTTTAAATGCGTTACGCAACCGAGGTGGTAGTTAAATACTATGGCTACAAAAACGGCCACAATAAATGCAGGACAAATACGCAGCCTTGTGAATGTATAGTACTCTTCCCTCTTCCCAAAAACCGAGGTTCGGCACTAAGCAGTCTTACTTTGACTTAGTAAGGTTCTTATTGTAGTCTAACAGCCGGTTTCTCTTAATACCTACATGAGGAAAATTATACATGGTGCTGTATCACCTACTGCGTATTATAGAGTTTCGGCTTGAGACAGCATCCGCCCGCAACTCTCTTGACCTTTATCATTTCAACAGCCAGAATTCTTCTATCGAACGATTGTGTTGCAGAAATAAATAGACATGGCGCGGCTTTGTGTGACTAGCCGTCAGCTTTCCGAGGTTGTGAATGAAGCTACCTGCGTACCGGATATGAAGTCTATAAATTGAGCTCCTGCTGTCTATTCCAACAAAGAGTTAATGATAAAGATTTATTTTGCTAATTGCTTCTAACATCTTAATAATTGCAAACTGGCTTGAATAAAATGGCTGCAACCGACGATTACGTGTTTGCGAGAGACTATGCAGAGGGATTGAGGTGAGTTAAATGATCTTCGCCTGGGTTTGAGCAGAAATGCAAGAACTTTTGAACTTGTAAGTCTAGTGCTGATCAATAGATGCCTGACCTTTCATCAGACTGGAAACCCAACATCTCTTATGGAACATTCACAATGGCTACACAATCAATCCCAAAATTCCAATTACTCCTCAAACAAAGATTGCAGATGTGGGGACAGGAACAGGGTAAAGCTTCTTAATTGAGCTATGTTGGAAATCTCTATGCTCATTATAACGATAGTGTGTGGCTTCTGGATGTGGCTACTCAGGTTCCCCCAACCGTGCAGCTTAATGGCTTCGATATTTCGGACGGACAATTTCCGCACAAGTCGAACATACCCGATAACGTAAATTTTCGAATCATGGACGCTTTGTCTAATGTTCCAGGCGATCTTGTTGAAAAATATGACGTCGTTCATATTCGATATCTCGGACCTATAGTGAAAAGAGGCAATGTGGAGCCAATAATTCAACACGCAATGCAATTGTTGAGTAAGTCGCCAAACTATGAGACTCATATTTAAGTACCTTCATATAGTATAATAACTTCTAATCTGTTAAATCGATAGAAGTCGGCGGGTACCTACAATGGGAGGAAGCTGACCTTACCCGCAACAAGCTGTGCATCAAAGGGCCCGAAGCAGAGGCTTTTTATGCTTTCGCTAGTCTTGGATATGACACTTTGGACTTTACTTTCTCGTAAGTCTTGAACACAGGTAACCATTTATTGATTTGATACATCTGCTAACCCACTATGTAGATGGGTGGAGGATCTTCCTATCCGCTTGAATCAGGCCGGTTTCGAAGTGCTGAAGTTTAGAAATGATCAATTGCCGCAGGCTATGGCTCCATTAGTGACCAGAACATTTGTTTTGACTCACATTGCGGGTATAGATGCTTTTTATAAGAGCGGCCATGAGTCTCTGCCACCTCGGCACGAAGCTGATGCTTTATTGGCGGCGCTAATTGGGGCAGTTAAGAAGGGAGCGGCGATTTACCCAACACAAGTTAGTTTACTCGCCCGAAAGGCGGCCCGATCCAGGCGTCCAGCATGGCCACTTGCTTCCAAGGTTCATTTTGCTTGCAACTGCTGCTTTATGGGCACCTTATACCTAATCGCTACTTGGACCATTTCACTACATATTCAACAATCTGAATGCAAATAATCCAGACTCATGATGGCTTACCACATTTTGAACCGTGATTTCCTACTCTGAGCTGCTTCAACTGCCTGAACTTCCGTTTCTGGGGTGGGGGTGTGTGCAATTTACCAGTACGGAGTACGAGTACATTGATTGCTAAGCCCCCTCCAATCCTCCAGTCACCTCTCTTATCAACTGGTTTATCTAATGCTGACATCCCTTAGTTGTCTTTACAACGATCATTTTCTCAAGAGAAATTACATATTTGCTTTAATGTTAGCAGTATTTTGCTGCTATTGTATTGCCCTGTTATATGGGCTATTTATTTGCTAGCAGTAGGTATTATACCTGGGGTTGATTGAGAAGCAAAAGGCCGAGCACTTGGGCTAGTTTATTTTCATTAACGAAAGGAAGTTGCTAATCCTCTTAGTCTGGATTCCGATGACGCGTATGACGCGTCAAACAGCGGAAGATACGTGGGATGAATCATGACACATGCGCTCCGAGAGACTAATATACGAGCAACAGTAAACGGTTAAGACCAAGACAAACAAAATATGAGCATTAAGATAGATGGAGTTTTGACACTTTATTCACTAGAGTCGGAACTTCGAGTTATTGTTTTTTGTGAAAATGTAAATTGAATGCGCCTGAATATTCTCGGACATTGAAGCATCTGTTATCGGGACTATTGTAATTGTGCAATCAACTCGAAGAGCAAGCTGCTGTTATCCAGATGAGAGATTTTGCGTGCCACCCACAGCCACAGCCATTATGGGTGACGGGACAAGAAAGTGGATCCAAGGCAGTTTTTAACCATACCACCAACTTAAAAATAATACGAGGTTCTATTTTTATCTTCAACCCTTTTCTCAGATGTGTCTGTTCTTTCCTGTCATGCCCGTACGCGTACGAGTAGATGGGATATCGGAACTGAGACAACTCAAGATTATTCTAACAATGATAAGATTGGGTGCTATTGGCCTTGGGGTTATGAGGGCCAACTTGAGTCTCTAGCAAGCGGGCTTCACAATATTGGCAACACTGAGATAAAAGAAATGTCACTTCTATCCAATCATTACATATTCGCAACTGCAACTTGGATAGCATCTTTAACCTAAGATAATCCCTTTGAGGGAAGGGGGGGAAAGTGAGGAAAAGAAAAGCCCATGAGGTATTGTATCCAGCGTTTGTAGCCTTGGTGATGTTATCTATAACTACTCAACCTTCACAAAATGCAAAGAGCTACAATTGAGAGAGAGAAAAGTTGCATGGCTCAATAAACAAATTTCAAAGCTTACCCCAAAACAGCACTGATGATGTGATTCTTTGTCAAATTTGTTAACGGCTCAGATTTAGTTAGAGTAGGAGGGCAGCAATCAACGAGCCCCCTGTCGCTGCATAATGACTCAAGTTATAAAGACACAGCATCAGGCCAAAGTAAGCAAGATGGTTTGTTGCTTTCCTTTCAATATTGAGAATCTCGATGCGCGCATGATTGAGAGTAAAGATGCCATGTTTTTCAGCATCCCCCCGCCATCGCAGGCTGACACTTGCGCTATTGTTTTGTATTGCTATTTGGCAACTCAATTCATACCTTAGCTACGGCTCTAGCCTCTATAATATAGCCACTTGTCGGCACACTGCTGGAAACCATCAGATACCCTCCCGTCCTTTAACAAAATGCCCAGTTTCATTGGAATCACATAAGCAGACAGACTCCTCCTACACGGGGTTAGCGCCAGCTTTATCTCCCACAGAGCTTCTCTGTCGATCGACAGAACCCCAAGCAGCGGGCATTCCAAAACTACTTCATCAAAGTTGGAAGTCCAATAACTTACCTGCTAAATTTAAAAGATGGAGCGATACATGCCGCAGACAACATCCAGATTGGGAATGGGTTTTGTGGACCGATGAAGATAATCTCCAGCTTGTGAAGGACTACTTCCCATGGCTTGAGGACACCTTTTTAAGCCTACCTGGTAATATTTATCGGGCAGATTTAGCACGGAATCTCTACATGTACATGTTTGGCGGGTGAGTTGAAACTACACTTTAAGCGCCCACGTTTAACTGTTGATGAGTTTTAACCTAGGGAATAGGATATACGCCGATTTAGACACGGAGTGTCTGCGTCCTACATTCGATGCACTCAGATCAAACAATATTTCGCTGTCTGGCGAGTCGAAGAATGAGTTTACGGATGAAAGCTCCATGAGCCATGTCGCCATGTTCGGTCGCATGGGCTCTGATCAAAATTTTGATCACCATCTACCAAACGCGTGGATGGCAGCTTCGGTTCGACATCCCTTCTTTCTTTTGCCGTTGGAATTCGCAAAAGCCGAGATACAAAAGAGTAAACGTATTCTGCACCAATTATGGTACGATTATCCATCAGCAGAGGAGCTGACCGGGCCTATTGCGCTGGCAAAAAATATTCGGCGATATCAAGTTTGTGGCGATACGCTGGATAGCATAATATTATTACCTGATGGTCTGATATACCCCTTCAATTGGAATGAAGGCCAGGATATACGGTCAATTTGCTCAGCTGAGAAAGACTCCTTTAATGAGAGCAGTTGTAAAGAGACGTTAGGTGTTGGCGTAAAAGGCAGCATATCCATAACATATTGGAGCCACACTCACAGAGGCAAGGGCTCAGATGACGAAAACATAGATCGCATTAGCCAAGAGAAATAACACTTTGGTGTTATAGAAACTAGTCAGCTTGATTGCAATGACACATTCGAGAAAAATTACTGCAACATATCACCGCGCCTAAAATGTACATTGAGCGATGCCGAGTGTGGGATGTTGACAAACATGCCGAGATTGGGATTATCTCATTCAATTCAAATGTTCTGTGGATCGCATCCTATAATGACGAGTGTAGGCGTATTGTTGACCCAACGACTTTTCTATTCGCCAATGTTTAAGCGATTGTAGTGTTACTTATTATGACTTTCCATAAGAGCCTTTCTTTCATTCGAGCTCAAGACTAGATATATAATCTCCAAAAGTGGTTGTTTTTACTGTCATCCATAGGTATACAGTCATATATGTCTGCCCAACTTCATTAACATAACTACGTAGTCTCATATTACCCCCACCGAAAGAGCAACTCAATCTTCATACTCAGTGCGCCTATTCAATGTCGCTGATGAATCATAAAATTATTAAGCACTAAAATTTCGTCATTGATTCGGACTTTTTACATAATAAAACTTCATGTCAGAGCTTGAACCCCCTCCACAAAACGGAACAATTACAATGACGCATAACGGTGCAATGCATCATTTCTTTTCCCTCAGGAATCACACCATGGACAGAAGCTTTAACTTCTGTTGTCACAGGTTCTTTCCGATTAGAAAGGTCAAGACTACATCAACGTCATCTTCCATTAAGATCTTATTCAGCCCCGGAAGATAAGGCTTGCGACTTGAATATGAAAATTATTATGTGCTAATAGTTGAAGAGCTGGTACAATGTAGCCCACATGTGAGAGCACCACAACATGCTGTACAAGAGTCAAAAGTGGAGGCGTCACAGAATCATAGCTTTTGACATATACGACCAAATAATGGTAAACAACAAAACTATTATCCACCATGCATCAAAGTTAACCAGGGATCTATCCCGGTCAGATTCGTATTATCATGCTTCAATATTGGGCGCTATCAACTGGCTAGAATGACTGACCCTTAACTCCAAATTGTAACGTAGTTATCCTTCTTTATGTTATGCAATACCAACGTGTTGATCGAAGGAATCCTTTCCAAACCGGATAACCAAGAGAAGCCTTTCAAATAGATGATACGGGCGAATCAAGTGATTGGCAAACTCATTTGTGTATTCGTGGTAGGAGACGATTGACTGCGAAAGATTTGGCGGCAGTGATGTCCATTCTGTTCTAGATGGAATATCCCATAACCATGTATGGCGGCTAAACGGCAGCGTCTCAACAAACATAGAATGAGGGTGGTAGCCAAATCTGGTAAGATGGTAGACACCTCGAATCAGGTAGGATATTATGATGCTTCGACGAACACTCTCGGCAAACGCCCACGCTTGCCAAGGGCTCAGCTTCCCTGAAATCTCGCTTGGGGCCTGTTCCCATACATGGCGCGTCCACTGGTTGAGAGTGTTCATATGCGCTTCTGCAAATCTTCTCTGTTGCGGATCTTTATCGAAAAGGCAGATAAGCAGATACAGGATTAACGCCTGAAGCGAAGCTAAAAGATCGCTAAATGAGCATAGCGTCGGGTATTCCTTGATGATTTCATCAACCTTTTTGTGCAGAGTTTGGAAACAAAATAGTCCATTGGTTTCTATTGAGAGTGAATACAATCGACAGACACCATACGCGTCTTTGATCTGCTTTGGTAGACTCTGGCTGTATAACGACGAGTGAATGAAGAGAGTTTTTCCTTCGCGGGAAAATGTCAGTGGGAAAGCTTTCAGATGGGTCGCTAAATAGTAAACGGTCGCGAGGTCTTTTCTCCATTCTATAACAGGCAACGGAGGTTCGTAGATGGCCAGGTCGGCGCCCGTGAGTCCTGAATAGCACCACTGCTGAACAAGGTACGAAGGTGCCCTCATTTGGGAGAAGTAGAAGAATTCCATATCGCGTAACGATAATCTTCTACAAGTTCCGATTTGTAGGCAGTCTCCAGCTGCTTTACGAATCTTAGACTTGCCGCGTAAGAATTGCGGCTGATGCCTGACGATCGAGACCAATGGCTGGTTCGCATATGAGCACTCCAGGCCTTTGTCAAGACATCGTTCACATTTCGGTAATCCGGCCTTGCAGCGCCGCTTAGCCTTGGCGCAGGCATGGCAGGATCTGGAAAGAGAGATACTCTGTGCTTTCGGCATAGGATTGGTGTTTGTCAGTCACGGCTGCGCTGTACTCAGTAGCCCCCTCCGTGCTATGCTTCACTGTCGCAAGGTCGCAGGTAGCAGTATACACATATGTTGGAAATGTGTTTGCAGAAGGATTATTAAAGCAGACTTCATCCCACTTTGCGGGAGCTTTCCTACAAAGAGTTTAGTCTCCGCCTGACAAATTGTGGCCAACGTTCCCGGTTCGGATATATTAAGTCATTGTTTGACATTGTGTGGTTGTTGCCTCATCTATTTCCCCAAACGGCCAGCACCTGGTAACCCTCAGAGCAAATACTTACGTCAATTCATCTTAAATAGAACTATGTGCGGTCCTGTCTCTGTCTATTCAATCTCTGCCTTGCGGGTCGGCCTTGGTCTCCCACTCGGAATGAAGTGGGAGTGGGAGAGTGACTTTTACTTGGACAGTATTTTCTTGTGTGATGTATTTATATAGTTAACACTACCCGCTCACTTGTATCGATATCAGTTTTCGGACAATCTCATTCTGGGTCAAGGCGTATTCACTGCTCCTTCCAGTTCTTTCAACCTTATCTCAATTCTCATTACCGTCTCCCCCCAATATCCATTACACAAGTTCACATTCTTGACAATGGCGTATGACTCTTCGCAGCTTATTTCTGCCGAGTTTCCTTTTGAGAAGCAGAAAATAGAGATCCTGGGCAGCCATATTGCATATGTTGATGTCGGCGCTTCTGAGGGATCTGCCACTATCTTTTTGCATGGCAATCCAACATCGTCCTATGTGTGGCGCAACATCATTCCCCATGTCTGTGACAATAGTCGCTGCATTGCACCGGACTTGATGGGATTTGGCGATTCAGATAAGGTCGCTGGGCTTGAATACAGGATTGCAGATCACCAGCGATACTTGGATGCCTTTCTAGATGCTGTTTTACCTACCGAAAAAGTCACTCTTGTTGTCCACGACTGGGGTTCAGCACTTGGCTTTGACTGGGCACGTCGCCATCAAGACCGAGTTACCGGGCTCTCTTTCTTCGAGTTTGTTCTTCCTGCACCGAGCTGGGATGTGTTTCCGCCAGCTGTCGCGGAAAACTTCATACCATTTCGTGATCCTAAACTTGGGCGGGAGTTGCTTATCAACCAAAACGTTTTCATTGAAAAGATTTTGCCTCTCAATGTTTTGCGCAAGCTATCCGAGGAAGAGATGAAGCAGTATCGTCGCCCATTCCTTCAATTGGAGTCACGCGAGCCACTCTGGCGGTTCCCTAATGAGATTCCGATTGAGGGACATCCTGCCGACGTGTGGGAGAAGGTCACTAAGTATATAGATTGGCTATCCCATACTGACATCCCGAAGCTCTTCTTTTGGGCCGAACCAGCTGTTGTTATTACAAAGGATACGGTGGAAAATTTTGTCAAAAAGCTACACAATACCAAAATTGTGCATCTTGGACCTGGTCTCCATTATTTCCAGGAGGATTATCCACATACGATTGGTCGTGAAATTGCGCAGTGGCTACCAGAGCAGAAGTGAGAATAGCGAGCTACGTGAAGATTAGAAGTAGTTTGCTAAATTATATAACCTCGTATTTTTGTGCTTGCAAATAGGGTTTTATCATCATTGTGACGTCTCACAGCATCTTGTAAAGCCATTTCTACCAGAAGGTTAACTGTTATTATACCTCGAAAGCAGCTATAGGTCGCAGTAAAGGGGAATTTTAGTGTTGAATATGCGATCGGCTGTGATATACTAATCTCGCCGGCGGCTCAGGCCGCTATTAATGTCTACTAGATCTTCAGCAGCGGACAACTTCACCATAAGCACAGCCTGCATCACATGTACTGATAATTTCGCCAAAATGCACAATAAAGCAGAAATAACGAATTAAAAGGCCTGGCTGGTGATATTTAAGGTAAATCGCAGCTGGGGGACATAGGCTGCACGATTGAGGCACTTCGCGATGTCTGTGATACGAGATCCAACGGTAAAGCATGAATTAATGCTATATCGCAGTGGTTATAGAGAGCGATTCTCATCCATTCTCCTATAGCCAAGGTGCGTCCAGTAGCTCTGCCAAAAGACATCCTCGATATGATTGTAATGGATTAAGGTCTATTACCTCTCGAGCATCATTTATTGTTTATACCATATGAGTGAGAAAATATACATGTTAGAATGTAGGTAGTAAACTGTTCGAAGCTTGTACGATAGAGAAAGGTGAGGAGGTACCCTTAGATTGAACCACGGCACTTAGGTGGTATCGAACAAAACCCTTGAACAGGCCGTACTTAATCCCCAGCTTTGTCTTCATAGGTTATATCACAAAATAAGAAATTCAAGGCCCCATCCTCCTACGCCATGGCACTTAAGCTAAAACAGAAGTATCATTGTTGCATTGTTTAGATCAAGCTATGAACCGCCGTGATAAGTATATAACTATATCCAAAGGTTATCAGAGCATTTGGAGGAACTGTTTGATGGCATCGGCTACCTCCTTGGGCTTCTCAACCGGAATCAAATGGCCTGAGCCCTCTACTACAACCAGACTCGCCCTGCCACCTGGCATATTATTGATCTTGTCCCTGATATCAGTTTTCATTCTCTCGACAGGTTCGAGTATATCCTGATCTCCCGCAAGAACCACAACGGGGACATCAACATGTTCGAAGAGATTAGTGATGTCGTCTTCCATACCATAGGCCGGCCACGCATATTTCGCCCACTTGTTCCCACGGACCATGTCTTCGGCTACCGCCTTGATAACCTCGTCCGTCAAGTTCCCTGGTGCCGAAAGAACGGTGCGAATGACACCCTCTGCATTTTCCATGTTATCAAATGCATGTACTTGGGCGTCTTTCATGTTAGGATCTGGCAAATGAACTGGGCCGGGGGGTGCGGGCCCGACAAGAGCCAGGCCTTTTAATACGCCTGCAGGCAAAAGATGCCTTCCAGCAATTGCCATTGATACCTTGCCTCCCATTGAGTGCCCAACAAGCACAACGGATTTCAGATTCAATTCCTTGATGATAAACTCCACGTCGGACGCGAAGTCAGTAATCTTGTAAGCCGTAGGCTCCTCAGGTCCCGTAGAAGCACCCCAACCGCGAAGGCTGACACCAATGGTTGGATAGAACGGCGACAAGATCTCAATGACCGACCCAAAACTCTTTGAAGAACCTCCCCAAATATGGAGGAAGATCAGAGACGGGGTATTCTCATTAGTGCCACCAGTCGGCACGGTTAGCGAGAGCTCGATCTCAACATCGCTGCTGACTCTAATAAACTTAGAAGTAGTAGTTGATGCCATGTCAAAAGCTGAAGAAAAGAAGTTGTGTGACTTCTAGTGAAATTATTATCAAGGAAAAGTCGTATATGATTAGAAGTTGATCTCAATCTTGATGCTTTGAGGATGCTTTGGCATCTTGTTTTTATAGATCAGGGGGGGCATAACGATGAGTTAAGATGTCCGACATAACTCGCCATAATCGAGCCCATGCCTTCTTTAAATCAAGATGACTCATGTGGGAGACCGATTTCATTGCTTAAACTAATAGTTTTATCACTTTTGTTTACACAGTCTTGAGCTTGAAGTAATGGATAGATTGCCTTCGACTGTCTAGAGACCTTGCTTCCCCCTAATAGGCTTAGTCTCCGCTTCGAAGCCAACGGACCATCGTCATTCTCTCCGATTAATCCAAGAGTCGCAAACATCTCATATCCGCGGTGGCTACAATTGAGAATATAATTCCCAGAGCCAAGAGCCAAATAAAGAAAAAGTCCAGAGAAGCTATTCTGGCTGGCTTCTTGATAGCTGATGTAATGAACATCCGGAACCGAGCCTCGCGACGCGGACGCGTTCAGCATCACGCCAGTGGACGAAAGCAATAATATGCACGACCGCATAGATGGCCAATAATGTATCCTTGGTTAATTGAATGCTCAGCATAACCCGCTTCGTTTTAACTCGTCGATTTGATGTCATCGCGAATGGTGTCTATGTTCCACGGCCCGTCCCAAAGTACCTTCTTTCGATTCACAACCATGCCCTTGCCATCGATTTGGACTCCCTCGTCATGTAGAATTTGTATCTTTAGACTAAGCTTAGTGCCAGCAGGTTGCGCTGGCGATATCTTTGGCCCGCGAGGCTTGCTCTGGTGTGCAGCTCCCTGGACAAGTCCATCTTTTGATCTTTTGAAGTTCTTTTTATCGATGCTCTCACCATCAAATCCCGTTATAAAACCGCTACTGCCCACACACCTGTGGCAAGGGACTTCCGGCGCAAACGGGTTGTTGCGTAGAGCATTGCCAACTGCTCTGGGAGAAGTCTTGAGCACGCGCGCGATGGCGCCGTAAGTGGTCACGCGACCTTTGGGGATTTGAAGTAATAGTGCGTAGACATTTTCTTGAAATTGAGTGACCGACTGAGTCTTTGTAGTTGAGACACTGAGTGCATTCCTCGCCATTGTGTCCTTCTCTTGATGTGTATCAATGCACGTCTTCCCTAACCCTCAGCCGTACATAAAGCAGCTATAAATACGTTCTGAACATTAATAATTCCCTTTGGCCAGGGGCCCGCGCTACGATGTGTCACCAGAATTTGCCCCAAGTGATTGTTGCCTCCCTGATTAGCATGCCAAATTCACGCTCAAGACGCGAACAGTGCAAGTTGTTTCCTCATCTTATTACCGCATTCATGATTTAATTAACCGTGATGACTAAGCGAACAGCTAACACTGCTGCTTGGGTTTGGAAAGTGGTAGGTATTTACACTCCCTGGCGATATGCCTCTGTACTATTGAAACGTCTCATATGCGACCATTTCGAGCATTAACTTGCGTAGGAATTATTGATACGCTCCGTACATATAATAGAGATTGGAGATGTGACTCCTTCAATCACATGACTGAGAATATAGCTGCCATGAATGACCCTTTTTTCACCCCATTACCTAATCTGCTAATCCATGAATCATGACTACACTACGGGAAAGAGAAAGACAGTTGACATCGATGTAAACGACAATGTCGCCGCAACAACAGTTGAAACGTGATGTTTTCAGTTCTCAAAAAGCGTATGAAAAGTAATTTATTGGGACAGAGAGAATATCACCTCCCCCGGTTCAATCTAAAGGTTGCCATAGAAAATGATTGAAATTCTAGGGTAGCACGACTTGTAGTGGCTAGAATTAACACGGAACTGTTAAAAAGTCTCCTTTCCCGTGTTATACTGAGGCGAGTAGCCCTTCATACTGCACATTTCCTGCCATTATCAACTTTGAGCATTGCCACCGGGACTCTATGTTAATAATCCTGGCTCTACTTGCATAGAATAGCAAACACGCTACGACTTCCATTGCCAACATCTTTATCTACGTGGATAGCCCGAGCATCTGATATGGGTATCATCTATTACTGTGGCATTATACAATAACTATTCCTTTAGAACTTGAAGCAATATGATTTGCTCGATACTATCTTATACAGTAGGAGATTGAACATGAACGAATCGCCAGACTTTCAGGTACTCGGTTTCTACCAATCTAGCCTAGATTATGAATAAAGTTTTTTATTACTAAGAAACGAGCCCACTTTGGTACTCCACCATTATCTTCATCGCGTTAGACTGGGGCTCGATTACTCAGTTCTAGTATGATTAATGGAGCCTTCAAAACTCCGAAGAGTCCGCTCCCATGGATACCACGTGCTTGGATTATCAACTCTTCCCCAAAATGCCCCATACAGCCTTACGAGCTCGGAAACATTAAGAGACTGGCATGCTGTATAATATATCTCAGCCTGACCTTACACGCGGTGTATACATCCGATTACTAAGTTTGAGGCTTTCGAATGTCTTTCTTACACTTTCGATTCTAAAATTAGGATATAATCCATTCTGCTATGCTTTCCACGATATACGCCAAACCCGTACCACAGTCTATGACAACATATCCGGAACCCACTCCCAGAAAAGAAAAAAAGAAAAAAGTGTTCCAAAATATGAGTAACGGCGGCTTTGTATTCATCCAAGAGGAGGGGACTGGTTCACATAAACCAGTGACCAAATCTCTTATCAAAATGCATGTTATGGACAGAGTGGTGATGCAGAGGCGGGCCCTCAAGCAGGAACATCGTGATGACGATGTAGATGCAACGGAAGGGCAAGTCCAATTTCTCTATTCATCCCAGCGGCATGATAAGATTTTGATAGTTAACGTACCTCATAGTGATCAAGCTCCATCGTTAGAGCATCACATTAGTCACAATGACCTTCGATCTCTTGCTGGAATAGACAATATGCTTCGACTATCAGGTCTCTCTGTAGAAGTCAATACCCAAACACGATTCCTCTTACACCATTGTAAGTCAAGCACGTGCCCGATATTGCCCAGTATGCAATGTAACTAAGCCGCCCTAGTCCTGAATTATAGGTCGAAAACCTTGTGTACTGTTACGGCCGAAACTGGATGGCTGAAGTATGCCATCAATGACAATGCTCTATTTAGTACTACTCTGTATCACTGGGCATCCATAAACTATAGTGCTCTCCCTCTAAAATACCAGTCTGCACAGCATTTGCTAAGACTGAAAGCCGCTGCAATACAAACGCTCGCCTCGCGCTTACAGCCGCCTACTGGCGGTGCCAATGGCAACACTAAGATGGTCAGTAACGCAGTGATAGCCACTGTGGCATGCTTGGCAAATATAAATGTTCGCTACCCCTTCTGCTGCACGAGACCATAGAACTAATTAATTATCTAGCTCATGTATGGCGATTTGGATGAAGCCGAGATACACTTTCAGGGGCTGAAAACTCTTATTAGAGGTTGTAAAGGTGTACTTCATCTGGGATTTGAAGGCCTTGTAGCTCGAATTGTTAGATGGTAGTGTTTCCCGCTCCCTGAACTGTAAAACGTATCTAACTCGAGGTAGGACGGACAGTTGCCACTCACAGCTGTCGAACCAGGAGTTGTCATTCGACGAAACAAGTTCCTCTTCAGAATTCGTTCATCCACAAATTCCTTTGCCAGATGCACAAAGGTTTCACATCCAACCTCATAAGCTCGCAATTACCCATGAGCTGCGCTTAATCGCGAGAGAGTTAATCACCAACCCGAAAGATAATATGGCACCGGATAGCCGAGTCGCACTTGGGTTCCGTCTTTTGGCATCGGATAGATCGATATTGAAGCATGTCCATGGTGTTAACGACTGTAGTGTTCTGGCCCTCGTAGCTAGAGCCGCGTTGCTCTACTCTCATACGGTATTGAGAGGCGCGAGTCGGTCTTCTCGTATCATAAGTATTTCGATTGACCAACTGAAGCAGTTGATTGTTTCAGCGCTTGTTTCAAAAGGCGACATCTTCGCCAGCCACCCAATTGCGCTAGTCTGGGTACTTTTAGTCGGGGTGGTTGCTTCAGGGAGAGAGAACATCCAAGGAACGTGGTTCAGGCTGTGCCTTGAAAAGGCCTGTGGAAGTGATAGCAAGCTTTCTTGGGAAAAGGTTCAGGCGACAATTGATGCTCCTAACAACATATCACCGCAGCCATTCTACTGGATGATTGAAGAGATACCATTGCATCTGCAATGCATAAACTCTGCAATCTTGTGTTGAGATTGAGACTATGAGTTTAAAAATGGAAGTTTTTAGCATTAGGGTTATTTGAGAGGCTGGACACTTATATATCTGATCTATTTTAATAACTGTAGCTCTCATACTTGCCGGGCAATCATTTCTCATTTCCATTGCCCTCGACGACTCCTTCAATACAAGTTCATTGGCTCTACTCCCAGGCAGGCTGGTCTCTCCTCCACCTTTATATCGAAACCTAAGCTTCTTTGAGAAACTGGTGGGGCGTTCCCGACGGGCAGGCCATGCAGAAGCAAATGGTTCCAACATTCTTGTAAGCAAATTGGTAAGCTATCATATAGGCTTCAGCTCTGTTCCATTCCATTTGGAGATTTCTCTTCAACTGGCAAAAGAATAAAGGGAAGTGGTGGAGTTCGCTGCGCTTAACTTCTCCCCACCAATGTCTCGATCAGGCTACATTGTTAGGCGTTAAGAGTTGCATCGGCCTTTGCATCGCTAGAGCATCATATGTTTGTCATCTCAACGCCAATTCTTTCACAATTTCGCAGGAGTATTGAGAAGATTATTTTGAACATTCGTAACGAAAGCTGCCTGCTTAGACTTTTGTTTTGTACTTACATGTTACTGCATCAAAGACCGGTGGGTCTACTACTCCTGCCATGAACTATAAAAGCGTGGTAGATGCAAACCTCTTGCATGGCCCTCAATCCGCATCTTCCTTCTTCAACCAGTCTTACAACTCATATCAGCCATGTCTGTAAGATTCACCGTCTTCAAAGGGTCTCCTTCCAAGAAGATCACTGAGAGCCAGACCACGGTCCCGGCCTTGCTCAGTGACCAGGTCTTAATTAAGAATACACATTCTGGAGTGTGTGGTACCGATGCGCACTATCTTCACGCAGACATGGTCTTGGGCCATGAAGGAGTTGGAATTGTTCAAGCCGTGGGCGACGGAGTTAGTCTTGTGAAAGTGTACGTTATGCTCCCTGCTTGCGATGTTGTTGTGATAGACGATCTTACTCATGTTGCAGCGGCGACCGAGTTGGATTTGGATACGTCAAAGATGGATGCAAAAAGTGTCAGTACTGCTTGAAAGGCTACAACTGGCACTGCGTTGAGGGCATCCGCGGATTCGGTTTCTCCAACTTTGATCAAGGATCCTTCGCGACCCATAGCGTGTGGCCAGAGACACGGCTGGCAATAATACCTGATGAGATCCCTAGCGTCAACGCAGGCCCATTCATGTGCGCCGGGCAGACCGTCTTCGTCCCATTCTTGCGACAAGGCATAAAGCCCTCAGACTGTATTGGCATTGTTGGCATTGGCGGCTTGGGCCATCTTGCCATTCAATTTGCAGCAGCCTGGGGCTGCACCGTTGTTGTCTTCTCCAGTTCGGACAACAAAAAACAAGAGGCCCTCGACTTTGGAGCCACTGAATTCTACAACACTTCGGGATTGAAGGCTGCAGATGTTCCCAAAAAAATTAATCATCTGCTGGTTACCACCAGTGCTGTTCCGGACTGGAAGCTGTAGGTTTTCACACCACCACAATTGTCGTAATGGCCTTGTTAACTTACACGCCGCTTAGGTACACGGAGCTGATGGCACCCTTTGGACACATATACCCGCTGACAATCTCTGAAGGCAACCTTGAGTTTCCTTACATGCCAATGATTGGAAAAGAGCTATCAATCCACGGCAGTTGCTCTTCCACTCCTGAGGAGGTCAAAACAATGCTCCAATTTGTAGTCAAGCACAACATCAAGCCTACCATTGAGACATTCCCCATGACATCGGAGGGGATCACGAATGCATTTGAGAGGCTAGAGAGTGGAAAGCTACGCTACAGGGGTGTGCTGGAGGTCTAAAAAGTGATAAGCAGAATATTTCTGCGGTAGTAGTCACTACAAAGAGGCCAAGCTGCCGTTTGAAGATAGAGACATTGACTTACTCATACTCCGCTTCGAGTAGTATTGTGACATCCACCTTTTACGGAAACAAGCCCTTTGTAAACTAACTCTGTATGAATAGAAGAGAAACTAATGTGCACACTCGCCGAGACACGAATTGATAACGATTAGCTGGGTTCAAATCCCCCGACATTCGAAGCCCATTAACTTTAGGCTACAATTTTGAACCTTGGCTGTGGTAACATCAATAAGATAAGAAGAGGCAACTGTCATTTCCAAGGCCGCCCCATTCATGAATGCGAAGTGCTATGGCTACGCGTGCTCGTATCCATGCAGTCATATTGTATACATAGAGACGGAGAAACGCAAAAATGGCTTAGTTCCCATATGTAGAAGACCAGCAGGATATTCAACATACCTAGTAAGAACTAGTACAATTTATAATACCATGATTCATAGAATAACTCCGGTATTCGATGCACTCTTATGCGACCATTTGCTGGTGAGCTTCAGTGGAAGCGCGAGTTTCCACAAATCAGTTTGATGACGGGGTAATATTTAAGACCTTACAATTGGAAACCCCTCATGTAAGCATTTGGGATCTTAGACGAAGGATATACCCAATCTGTATCCATTCTCAAGACAAGATTCTACATTAATAATGTCAGCTTCTTGTATACATTGTCAGATCAAGTGGCTTCAACCCATCGTTCAGAATTCCGAGAATGTTTGCAATACAAGCTGCAAATGAGCAAGTGCGCATCTATCAACAAACTGAGGGAAGGAAAAAGAACCTAACATTTCCTTTAGGACAATAAGCACTGGTTTGCGCAGTGAGCAGTATCAGTGCTAGAGAAGGACAGGTATCTCTCATTTATCCATCAATACAAACACAGTCTGGGAAGCGCACTGGTCCAGAACTGCCGTTAACTCTGGTGCATCTTAGCTAATTCGGCCCGATGGCAAAAGCAGCCCAAATTATAAATATGAATCCTGATATAGCAGCATAAGAAACAGTTCTTTGTTATGTATCTAATGTCTAGAAAAATCTAGAGTCTGCAGAGATACGATGGCATTAATTTCTATGTCCCTTAGTGCCTTTGGCTCTATAATGAAGTCGTTGGCATTATTGCCACTTCTTGCACTTCTTCTTGTCAGTATTAGACAACTTTCAGACCTAGCTAACTGTTATACTGATAAGTACATGGTAACTGTAGGGTTTGGGTTACACATTTTGCAACGTCATTTATAACCTATTCCTACACCCTCTTCGTAAATACCCCGGACTATGGCTTTGGGCAGTTTCCGATATTCCATATTCCTTGGTATCGATAAGTGGCAATGCGCATAAAACAATGCTTCAAATGCATATCAAATATGGGCCAGTTGTGCGTGTTGGTCCAAATACCATATTTTATAGCCATCCAGATGCCTCCAAAGAGATTCGTGGTCACCGCAAGGGCAATCGAGTGGAACACTTGAAAGATCCCCATCTACACTCTGGCAATCAAAGCAATGTCATAGGCGCAAACCGGGAGAACCATATTCGCTACAGAAAAAGCCTGGCTCACGGCTTTTCGCATCAGGCCATGTTGGATCAAGAGCCGGTCATTCACAAGTATATCGATAAGTTAGTAACAGCGCTCAAAACACAATGCGCCAACCAAGAAAAAGTCGACGTTGTTAGGTGGTACAACTACACAACATTCGACATCATTGGAGATTTGGCTTTTGGTGAGCCCTTCTACTGTCTCGAGAAATCAGACTATCATCCTTGGGTTGCGCTTATCTTCTCTGGGGTCAAAAACATATCGTTTATATCTGTGTGCTCAAAGCACGGAGCACTGGGTATGATGCTGGCATTACTTCTAATGCCAAAAGATTTACTAGCAAAGGGCACAGAACACCGTAGATTGTCAATCGAGAAAACGCGCAGGAGGCTCGATTCGGGATCAAGTCGACCGGATTTTATGACGGCAATGACAACGACACGAGGATCCGCAGAGGTACTTCCGCGACACAGGGAGTGGAAGCGAATACGGATTACTTATTAACGCTCATTGTAGGAATTAACGTTCAACGAACTAGCATCAAGCGCCAGCTTACTTATCGCAGCTGGTTCTGAGACAACCGCGACAGCCCTATCAGCAGCAACTTACTATCTTGGACTCTATCCAGAAACCTTTGGAAAGCTGGCTGCCGAAGTTCGCTCAGCCTTCCGCTCAGAAGAAGAGATAAAGCTTACTAACTTGCAACACCTGAACTATTTACAAGCGGTGATTGATGAGGCAATGAGACTGTTTCCCTCGGCGCCTGGCACGCAGCCTCGTATTATTTCGCCCGGTGGCGACACAATTGTCGGCAGATACGTCCCGGCCGGTGTAAGTTGTATCATTGCCGTGAGGTATATGACACTATTTGAGCTCCCAGGTTGTAACGTATTGATCTACAGACCATAGTTGGAGTATGGAAGTGGGTGAATCACCATAACCCTGCCCATTTCCACGAAGCCGAATCATTTATCCCCGAAAGATGGCTTGGGGATGCACACTTTGAGAACGATAAAAAAGATGCATTTATGCCATTCTCTGTTGGGCCGCGTAACTGTATTGGACGAAAGTAAGTGACATTGGAGCCAAGATATCCCATGTCATAGAAGAAAGCATTAACAATTCTGGAGCCTCGCATACGCAGAGATGAGACTGATTCTTGCAAGAATGGTGTGGAATTTTGACATAAAGCTTTCAGAAGAGAGTATTGGGTGGGATATGAAAAGCAAAGTCTACATGTTATGGGAGAAAGGACCCATATATGTCCACCTTACAAAACGACAAGAGATTTAAAAAGCTCGGAGCTGCTTTGTGTAGTGTCAGGGACAGGATTCGCGATATCCTACCGCCCAGGTTATGTGCCGCTTAATGCTCCTATTCTCAATGGTGCATAGTTATGTACCAAGCAAGATGAAGGATAGCAATTGACTGTACCACAATCATCACCTTATTTATATGCGAATCTAGGCGGATGTACCCTTCATCATTTAGATGCAATGTAATTGGTGGATATGCTCTTCATATCGGAGTACATATATCTACAGGCATTTTTCGTCATATAATCCACTGCATCTGGCGTGATTGGGATTACAAAGAAAAATCATTTAATTTGCCAGAGACCGAATCCAAACCCAGCTCTTGCTTTTCGCTCTCGTCCAAGAGACCAAGCGCTTGTCGCCTCGTTGGTGCATTAGGGTCGAAGTAGGGCTTCTCAGCGAGCGATGTCACACGCGTTCCATGTCTAGGGTGTTTGCCGGCGTAGTCCCAACTGGCATTGTGAATGGTGATTCTGCTCATTAATATTAGCTTCTGGTCATTAATGTCCACTTCACGGGACCATGTGATTGAAAGCAGACTGACCGATTGTCCCACAGCACTGAAGTGCCGGGTGTCCACTTCCATCGAAGCTGGATATCAACGTTCTTCTCATACACGTCGTATAAGTAGTTTAGGATAACGTCACTCTCTGCTCTATCGAGACCAACAATGCGGTCAGTCATCGATCGGTTCACCCAGAGAGCCTTCCATCCCGTCGCCGGATGAACTCGCACCAACGGGTGAGTGCGTTCGACGTATTTGGGTCCTGCTTCGGGATTTTCTCGATCTAGATATGGGTGCGCAGACCGGTACACAGCGTATTTTCCGTCGATGATCTTGCGGAAATCGGGAGAGAGTTTCTCGTATGCCGAATACCCACTAGCCCACAAAGTGTCTCCCCCAATAGGTGGCACCGTGTCATTGTGTAGGTGAGTAATACCTGCAGGTTGATGTTCATGTACAAGGTCTGTGTGCCAGCTGGATGCTCCTCCGGGCTTTCGGAAATTTGGGGGTTGCTCCGTAGCTCGAAGGTCAGGCCAGATCACTGTTACTCCTGCGACTCCCGGAACTTGTGGCACTTGAGGCTGGAGGAAGATTAGCATATAGCATGGCGTAAGCTTAGATAGTCAAACAAACATGAATCTCAACCTCCCCATACCACTCTCCTAGTTCTTTCTGCTGTTGAGGTGAAATGTCCTGATTACGGAAAAAGACGACGCTTCGCTCGGCAATTAACAAAGCAAGCTCGTCCCTTTGCTCGGGAGTGAGGTCTTTCAACTGTAGGCCCTCGATTTCGGTGCCAATGTTGGTTGTCAAATCAGTGATTTTAGTCGCGGCAGCGAATAGATGCTTCTTAGATTTATCTGCCCTGGCTCCAGCATCGACGTGTTTCCTGTCTGCGCTTCTAATTTTATAAACATCTTGTAGATACAGAGGCCTAGATGGTCTATACGGATAGCCATTAGACAGATCTATGCCTGCTTTCAACAGCCGTTCCCGAGCAGGACCAGGGAGTGGCAGAGTATCTTTCTGTGGTTGTACCACATCGGTGATAGCGGGATCGATGGGAGCGGGAGCCATGATAGGTAGTATGCTTTGAACGGGCGACTTTGGATTATGAGGTCAACTTGGAATAATTACAGTAACGTGAAGAAAGAGGCCCTATAAATACTGGCTTATTTCCGAAGAAGCTGCACGTCACGATGGGCGGGGCTGGGTAGATATCATCCCATTTTCTAAATTTATTAATATTTCTAATACGAGCGATTGAGCAATCAAGGGCAGTAGGTAGAATTTAGAAGGATTTGGAGAATTGCCCAAGTCATCTCAACTATTGCGACATTACAGTAACTGGACGAATATGACTGATCATTTTCCCCCGCAGAGCAGACAAATGTCATATGTGCAGGTGCAGATCAAAGGCAAAATGTCAATTGGAAATGCCGTGAATCAAATGCAAGCACTATGTGATCTAGATGCCACATCTGTCAGGGATTGTGCTAAGGGGTGGTGGCGTGCTGATGCAACTCTATTGCAATATCACCAGCGATCCGCCCAATCCTTATGGACACAGAAGGAAAAATTATCAGAAAGCTCGCATTCGCATTATCAATATGTCATTTATCTCATTATTGATCGGATTTGGCGAGTGAAAGTCCGTGGCTCTTATCTCACTATATTTCCTATCGCCGTCCGGACCAAACATCGAAACACTGAGCTACCGGAGACTGTGATATGTGCTCAAATACCCCTCTTAGCACGCAATGTGCAAGATAACGAAGTCACGAGATGACAGATATATGGACACAATAGGTTTGGGAATGAATCGTAGTTATCACTAGAGTCTGGCCTATCCCAATGACAAAAGTATTCACTTCTGAAGCCATTGTTTTGTTCTGCAGAAGCTAAGTGGTACAATATGCCTACGGCTGAACCGACAGGGAGCTCTCCCGATCACAATCCAGATAGCAAATCATTGGGCTCTATCAATGTTGATAGAACAGACTCGCTTTCTTCTGAAGTCATCCACACAAAGGTGAAGAGACGATGGACCTCATACCTATGGGACACTTTGGACAAGTCGCCAGAAGAGAGGCGGTTTCTGTTCAAGCTCGACGCAGTGCTTCTTTCATTCGCTTCGCTAGGGTATTTCATCAAATATCTAGACCAAGTCAACATCAATAATGCTTTCGTTTCTGGCATGAAGGAAGATCTTAATCTTTTCGGAAATCAGCTGAATTACATGCAAACTTGCTGGACTGTGGGATACGTCATTGGTCAAATTCCAAGGTGTGAGCTAAAGAATCTCATCTTTAACCCAACGAAGCTAATGTTTCATTTTATTGTAGCAATATCCTCTTGACACGAATCAGACCCTCCATTTGGATCCCGTCCTGCGAAGTCACCTGGGCCGTTTTGACAATTCTCATGGTCAAGTGTAACAATGCGCAGCAAATTTACGTGTTGCGATTCTTCATCGGACTTGCCGAAAGTACGTTTTATCCTGGGATGCAATACATTATTGGATCTTGGTATCGTAAGGATGAGCTGGCCAAACGGTCTTGCATCTTTCACACCAGCAGCGCTATTGGTACCATGTTCTCGGGATATCTGATGGCCGCTGTCTATCATCTTGGAGGCAAGGATGGATTCAAAGGTTGGCAATGGCTATTCATCATCAACACCGTCATCTCTCTGCCAATTGCTCTGGCTGGGTATTTCATGATACCCGATGTGCCTGAAATTACACGAGCATGGTATTTTACAAAAGACGACATTGCAATTGCCCAGAAGAGAATGCAGCTCGAGGGTCGAGCAAACCGAGCTCCGTTTACCAAGAAGAAAGTGAAGAAGATACTTTCTAGTTGGCATATATACTTGCTTACATTGCTATACATCTTCTTCAATAACGGAAATGGCGCCGCATCTCAGCCTGCGTTTCAGCTGTGGCTCAAGAAGGAAGGTTACAGCGTCACCCAAATCAACACCTACCCGACGATCACCACAGCTATTACTGTGGTTACTACATTAATCTATGCGTGGACCTCAGATACGATATTCCGAGGAGAACGCTGGCCCCCCATCGTCTTTGCGGGCATAATTAACATAATTACAAATGTCAGTCTTACAGTATGGAATATTCCAATTGGCTGGAAGTGGGCTTGCTTCTTCTTGGCTGGATTTGGTGGAGGTATTAGCGGTCTTACATTTGCTTGGGCCCATGAGATCTGTACAGATGACAATGAGGAGCGAGCCTTGGTCACTGGATCAATGAACGAAATGGCTTATGTGGTTCAGGCATGGCTGCCACTGTTAATCTGGCAGCAAGTTGAGGCTCCCGAGTATCCAAAAGGATATCCGACATCTATTGGAATCGCTGTTGGAATGATAATAATGGCTTTCTGGATAAAGTATGCACACGGACGAGAGAAGCGAAGGAGACAACAGGCCCAAGAGGATGAATCAACTTTGGGAGTATCTACTGCATGATATTAGACAAGATAGCAATTATATGCATTCATTATCTCGATTGACAGAATTCGTATGGCAGTGAGGTATTTGCGCATTCGGTTCAAGAGGCACACTGCAGATAGAAATGGACCATTAGTTGCTATGCTAGGAACACGGCGCTATACTGCACTAGTTGTCATGAGACATCACTTAGACGAACAGAAGTACATTCTAGTCTCTAAAAGAGAGCAGGATACTTACTGATTAGAAAATGGCACGTCAAAAAGGATTCATTAGAAAAGACACTTCAATTACTATTATCTCTAACAGTAGCTACACAAGAGTTGGAATCTTAGAAAGATAGGGTTATCTCTTCATGGGAGCTTCAGCCAGAGCTTCAGTAGGTTCGGATACTTGGGAGTACCCAATCCAGTAACTGGATCCCAGCCCTCTACAGCTGTGAAGCCACTGGTTCCGCAATTCGGGTTCGACCCTTGCTTGATGTCAGTGAGGGCATCGGTGTTGGCATACAGAACTGGATTAATGAATCCAACAGAGCCTTTGCCAATTTTGGCGCGCTCTTGGTTAATAAGGGTAATGACAGAGGCCCAAAGAGGTGCTGCCAGACTCGTTCCGAACCAGTGACCGTCGGTCTGGTTATTGAATGCGCGGAAATGAGCTCCATTAGCTGAGATATCAGGGATACCTCTACCAGCACGGTTGTAGATTCCTCCATGCTCGCCGATGTTGCTTGCATCACTGTTTGCGATGTAGTAAGGGTGGCCTGGATCATGCTTGGCGAAGTAACTTTTGACTGCTGCCTTCTGATAGTCCGGCACAGGGAAGTAATTTGAGAAGCCACCTCCAGAGGCAAACAGTTCGGCTCCGGGACCAAGGTTGGTCTGCATGGCGCCTTCAGCGTCAAGGACAGATGTGCCATCCTCAAGCTGTGTAGCACCAACAGCGGTGAGGTATGGGCACGAAACAGGGTTTCCAGGGTTGTAGATGGTCTGATTCTGACCTGATCCAGACAAGCAACCACTTGCCGAGTCCTCATGCGGCGGCATGGCAGCGCCGTAATCTCCAGAAGAGACTAGAACCGTAGTTCCTTGGAGACCCAATTTGAGCCACTCGTTGCACTGTCGGAGGAAATAGTTCTTAGGCACGTCAATCTCACCCTCTCCATACGAGATGGAAATGACCTTGTTGGGCTTGTAGGCGCCACACAGACGCGGGCCGGTGTAGCCACCAGGTCGGTTATCGGGATAAGAAGGATCGACTCCTGGGCTGTCTCCGGTGATGCCAAATGCTGAGTAGTGGCAGTAAGAACCATCCAGAGCATCCAAGAAATTGTTCAAGAAGCCGGAGTAGTTGTTGGCAGTGGTATACAGACGGTCATCCACTTGATACAAGACCATGGACTGAGGCCAGATCAGAGTCTGAATGATGTCGATATCAATGTCGGACTCTCCGGTATTGAATTCGGAATCAGGGGCCACAGGTGCTTGGCCGCCGTCGATTGACAAGATCTTGGGATGCGTGCCATTGGCAATGTAAGGGGCATACTTGTGGAAGTATGAGTCAATATCTTCCTGAGAAAATGTGTCTCCAGACTCATAAACCGCGGGCTCGTGTCCAGGAACCGGAATGCTGGTTGCTGGGATCTGGTACAGCGCACGGTAACAGATGGCAGTAAAGTTTCGAGCGCAGTCCTGCAGATCGGCTGGGAGTTTGGGGTTCGGGTGAGGCGCTTTCAACAACGACAGCAAGTCTAGTGGCATTTGCTTCGGCTTCCAACCCTTTCGGTGGTTCGTGCCGCCCCGTCTTTCCAGGGAACGCTTCACCATTGGTGGCGACAACTTGACTCCAGGAACAATATAGTCAATGTGCTTTGCGAGGTGCTTAGGGACGTGATATTGATCACATCCAACCTTGAGCACTCCCTCCCGCTCATGCTCGTGATACTGTGTTAGGAATAAATCTTCGATGTGGGACACCGGAAGATCAATAGCGAGCCATCCTTTATTGACATATTGACGGATGTCTGTTGCGTTGACGCCAGACTCAACCAACCAGGAATGAACAGCGTCAAAAGTCTCACGTGCTGGAGCAAACAGGTCGTGGACCTCGTCCTCACTGAGATGCTTGCCAAAGCTTTCAGATGATGGATCAGAGACTTCCATCAGCTTCTCATAGCCAAGATGGACGTTGCTTTGGACCAGGCCAATCCGAAGCGGAATAATGGCATCTGGGTCGAGGCGACTGCCACGCTTCCATTGTCGATGGTTATTGACCTGACCGGTTCCGGTCGGAGTCCTAGTTTCGTGGAGGACATAGCTGCTAGACGGCAATGCATACACAGACGAGTCTGTGAATGCCACCGCCGCTGCAAGAGCCAGCAAAGCCCTGAGCGAATAGCCCATGATGCCTAGTAGGTTTGAAGTAACTGCCGCGCTTTGTTTGCGAAGGATCGCCTCAGCAAGCCTTGGCAACAGTTCAAGCTTTTCTTGGCCAAATAGCCATCATTTTATATTCCGACAATAAAGCCCCATAGTACCTGTCATGCCATGCCATTGTGCTTATTAGATCTCTACAGTGCCGCTAGCCACTATCTGTATGCACATTTGCTAGGATACTCACTATCTATTCCTAACTCTTCCCCTTTGTCAAAAGTCCGTCTGCCGAATATCCGAGATCTCGTGAAATCCTTCAATTATTCCAAGGCATTACAACATCAGAAACCCTGTCAAACGCGGGCGCTGACCAAGGGAAGTCACCTTGCCAGTTGTTCCTCGAGCATTGTCAACGCCGCCGATTGGACGTTTTCCGAAACGCTAACAAAGGTCCACGCAGTATTAGGCAGGTATCGGCCGTGTGGCTGTTGTTGACCTAGAGCTCCAGGGGAGTTTCTGCATCAAGTAAGCTTGTAGACTCCGATCTCAATTTTAATGCCCTGTTGTTGCGATGTTAGCTGATGGGATACCCCAGCCGGCGGATTGCTCAACCTGCCGAACATCCTAGTTTTCGTTATACCCGGCATTAACCGGATAGATAGCGGGCTCTGACTCCGTCTTTCACATTCAAAAGGCCCTACAACCCCCGCTTCAGATCTTCGCTAGCATGCGCGATCCATACCCAGTATGCTCGTCTTCTGCTGCCGTTATCGCAAGAATGATTCTTAAAATAGCTGATGATAGGCCATTGGCCGGATACCAGATGCGGCAAGAAAGTTGGCATTCAAGCATTGGCGGTAAACAACGCGATAATGCAGGCTTTTAGACAATATCAGCAATTAACTGGTGCGATGCCCAGGAATTTGTCTTACATTGCCAGCTCCAATCGTAATCGCATTCAACGATGAACAAGGATTTTTATAGAGAGTTGATAGTTTAGATGAAAATACGGTCTGTGCTCAAAATAGAATCTATTCATTTAGCCATTTCACGTTGAGGCTCTCTTTATGGATTCGAAGATCCCACCAGAAGCATGTACACGATGCTGCCTTGCCCAGGCCTCCATTAGTAACGTAGATCTTGAGAAGTAACCACAAAAGATCGGCGAAGCACCCGAGAATTTTTGTAGCTGAATGGCAGAATTATTAAAACTATAGACTACTGTGCTGGCATTATCTAGGGGTATATACTGCATACGGAATGATTATAACTGTCAAGCAGTCTCCCCTTTCTCAACCCAATATATCGACTCTCATGTTAGACTGCCCTTGACATCCTTGAAGATCTTCTCGAGTGTTTCAATAGATTCCATAACGCTGTCATGGTCAGTATCAGCGACAGTAGCTGAGCTGAAGTCAATGACGTCGTCGAATGTGTTCTCTTGCCATCCCCAGCATTCTTCAACGTACTTCTGGCCCTCTTTACCAATCATAACATCGCTTTCGGCAAAATATGCCCTCACTTTTAGCTTCGCGTGGCCTTGAGAATTTGCGTCCAGCTGTTGTTTTTGCCTTTCAGCGCTCACCAATGCTTTTACAAAGACATTGTAGTCATCACACTCTCCCCAAGAGGATCGGTCGCCTTTTCTCAAGCACTGAAGTGCCTCATCATTGGCACCAGTGGTGCCTCCCTCGAAAATTTTCTTCATACGCATCGGTCCTAGTTCCAGCTGTACATCCCTTGGCAGGTCATAGTCGGTCGCTAGCTTTTTCCTATTTATCTCCTGGAAAGAAAGCTCTTGCCCGTCACCACCGCTGATAGAAGAGATAGAAGAAGAGAGAAAACTGCTGGCCTTTGTTAAAATAGTTCCACTTGTGGCGAATGCAGGTGTAATGCGATTCATCACATTGATGGCTGGAGTCGGGATATACTGGGCCATCTGCCATAATGTAAGTTTCGATTGCGCTGGATCAACCCACGGCGCTGATAATCTGTAAGTAAAGGCTACCTAAGAGAGCCAACTGACATCTTCTACTTACCCATCAATGCAACAAAAGGCCGCTCAGGATGCAGCATATTCCGGTAATGATGCAAGGTATTAAGCAGGTACATCACCCCAAATGAATGCGAGACTAGGGCGATATGCTCGATATCTAAATGTGCCAGTAGAGGGGGAACGACTTCAATCCACGTTGAAAGCCGTTGAGAAAGCGGCACGCGGGTTGAAAGGCCCATCCCAGGTCTATGCACACGAGGCAGAGAGACGTTAGCATTCCTAGCCCAACTGCGTTGAATAATAAATCATAGTGAAACACATCTTCACCTGTCGACTACCACAACTCTCACTCCCAATTTACGTGCGACTGGATCCAAAAGGGCCCCGATATATCTGGACCCAAACATGCCGGGGATGAAGAGCACAGTTGGCGTACTGCGACTTGCAGCCGGAGATTCGGGCTTGAATCCCAGGTCAGCATAGCATACAGTGAGGGCGTCGCGGTTTGCAGTTCCGGGAAGAATAAACTCTTGGCTGAAGCGAGGATCCGAGATGTAGCTGAGCGCCTGATCGTGCGCTGAAACTGTAGCGGGTTCCATGCCGCCCGTAACAATTAGAGTAATTTTGCGATGAAAAAGAGAGTTGATGTCCAATCGCGAGCGGATCTAATAGCAGGATGGAGGCGCTAGGTCGGGTGGGAAATCTCCTTCAAAAATAACTCAACTGGACGTACTCCAAAGGAATGAAGAATTGGATGCGCCGTGACATCGGCTACTCGTGCCGACGACGCGAAGCTCAGTTGTGTCATGTCCATCTCCTCAGCGAATCATGGCGCACCAACTTAGCGCGCCAATTCTATGTGTGTTGGTTGTTGGTTTGGTTACACACATGAGTATGTATCGCGTAGGATGGATTACAACGATGAGATAGAAGTTCAGTGTATATGCATTGCAGCAAAGTCGTATGTTTAACGGCTCAGGCCGTGTATCAAGTGAATAATAGCTCTACTTGGCATATAGAGTTGAGGCGCACGCGGAGTGGATAACTTCTGAATCAATTGTCCCTTGTAGAAGGATCGTGTGAAGGAATCGCCGTATCCACTCGCGATGCGCAACCGAGGTAAACAATCTAGACCTGCTCCCTGCTTTTAAGAAAACAGCGATATAACATAATTGCACCATCGAAGTAGCTTTTCATGGTGATAATATAATACGGGTATTCAATTGCGGAGTGGCCAAGGGGCGTCGGCCCCGAAATAGAAGGCAGGCAACATCAACATGACCAGGTACGGAGTACTTCAGACAAATAAACTTGGATGCGCTGACGGGTAAGGTATCAAACAATATGATTGCTTCATATTCTATTTATGCATGTACGTAAATGTCTCTCGCAATCGTTGTGCTCAACAGAGCGTCCTGTAAATCCTCTTCCACAAGGGCCATGTACGGCGCAGCTCCTCCTCCTCTGCCGAAACATGGGACTGTACTCTCGAAAAACTTCTCCCAGTGTGGATGTCCATAGATGCTATGCTAACAATTTGTGTTCTGAACCACAATTTATGTCCAATATAGAACAGAATGACGATTGGGACGGCCAGCATCTTGAGGAAGAAGTTTCTGGCAGTGATAGTGGGTTGATCCGTGGGACTGGTTGGCACTGGAGATATGGCAACCCAAAACTGGGAAGTCAGCACCAGTATATTGCCAACTAATCCTAGGATAGAACCCAGAACACCGGCCTGTGAAACAAATGGTAGGTGATTTACCGAGTAGCCTGCGGCTGCCCAAGCTCTCCGGAATCGAATATGACAGAGGCAAATGCTGCCCCAAGTAAACAGACTGGACAAACCACAAATAGCGAAAAGCCAATCGAAGATTTCTGAATGAATCTTAACATTGACTAAGTAGGCCAAAAGGCCTAGAGAAGAGGCGAAAAGAATCGCGACTAAGGGTCGCCCCTTGCGATCAACGTAGGAAAATATGGCCGGCGCGTGCGACTGCTCAGCCAAGGAGGCCAGCGTTCTCGAAGATCCGAATATGGCAGAGTTTCCCACACTCAACACTGCAATCATAATAACGGCATTCATAACGCTGGGTAAAATTGTTGAGCCAGCGCTCTCGACGGCAATAACGAACGGACTGGCAACCGCATCGACAGAGCTTTGGCCTCCAAGAAGGCGAGGCTCGTTGTACGGAACCAACAGAGTCACCAACAGCAGTGATACAATGTAAAAAATGCCAATTCTCCAGAACACTTGTTTGATAGCGCTTGGAAGGGACTTTCTTGGGTTCGCAGTCTCAGCCGCAGCCAGCCCGATGATTTCGGTACCGACAAACGAAAACGAAGATGTGGCTAAGACGCTGCAGAAGCCTTTGAAGCCGTTGTGTGTTGGGCCAGGATCTGTCCAATAATGCCCGCCAATGTAACCACTGGTGGGCGGTCCTCCGATATTGATAACTACCCCGAGGAGTCTAGAGTGTTCATCTTAACGTTAGCAGGAGAACCATGAAATCATGCTAGGATCAAAGAGCAGGTAGTTATTACATGAAGCCCACAATGGCAGTTACTTTGACTGTGGAGAAGATAAATTCTGCCTCGCCATATCCTTTGATTCCCATCAGATTTATGCCGACGATTGCGAGTAGAAAGATGGTTACGAAGATGGATGGGCTAAGAGATGCATTCCAATATTGGATGGCCAAAGCCCCAGAAATCATCTCAACAGGTAGAGCGACAAGCCATTGTAAAGCATAACTGCCGCCTGCATTAGCAATAGCTCCGCTATCAAGCGTTGTAAAATGCGCCTTTACAGGAAATCGTATGTTATGATTGAATGCAGGCTTTACTTACTTCCAACCCATGGCGAAACCCCATGATGGGTCCAGAAACCGACTGGAAAATGCAGAAAACGAGCCGGCAACTGGAAATGCGGTTACCAATTCACCCATACTTTGCATGGTGCAAAATTGTATAGCACCAGTAACAAGATAGCCAAGCAGTAAGGAAGCTGGGCCGCTTTGGTAGAGAGCCACGCCCGATGCCACGAAAAGACCCGTCCCTAAACTCTGCTGTTAGGTCACTGCCATTGTTTTCAGCTGAACTGTTGGAAATGTAACTGTACCGACAGAGCCTCCAATGGCAATCATTTGCAGATGGCGGCCCTTGAGGTCTCGCGCAAGTGCAGAATTGGCTGTCCGGACATTGGCAGCACGAAGGTCATAGAAGCGGCCACCAGCTTGTCCCATGTCGGGGAGATCATCGTTGACATGATAACCGTGGTTGCCGGTCATGGGAAGACCTCCAGGCACTCGACGAAAGCTGTCGACAAACCGGCGGCCCATTGACTTCTTGCGAGAAGTCCTAGGTCGTGAATTGGTTGTAATAGAATACGACGTTGCTACTGCGAACTGGCTTTGGGACTTGCTGGGCGACAAGTCGCTCATTTCGACCACTTCAAAATCTCTGGTGTATGTGATGCCATTTTTGATGGATTTTGGCTTTTCTGGTTCGTTGGACGCCATGTTTAGCTGCGGGAGGCCCTTCTACGCCCATTTACAAAAGTGCAAAAGGCTTGTAAAAAAGACGTCGATCCAGTTCGTTCGGAAAATTAAGTATGCATGGAATCATCCTTCGTTGCCAGGATGGAAGGGCTGTGGAAGGCCATTAGAAGGCACGCAATACGGGACACAGCTAGTGGCGCTCCTTCAGGGTGATAATCTCATTTCCTTTTCCAATCCATCTTGGCACTCAAGCCGCCTTGCAATGGTAAGCTCCTTCCGGTGATCATACGAAGAGCCCTGCTGCGATTTGCTGATACCATGCACACCGCGCCGTTGAAGAGTTTCATGCGCATCAATAGCCTCACGCCACAGCGCTCTGCTGGAGCCGAGGTCTCAACGCCATTTTAGCACGCGCTAGATAAGAGTGGTTCGTTCATGACAGCGAGAGTCTAGAAGAAGTCTTGGAGTTTCTGCCCCTGCATACTAACCATGTGGCTGAGTGTGTGGGGATACAAGTTGGGCTCCGCAAACCTGGGGTTGAGAGATAAGAATTGTCACTTGGCAGGATTCCATCTGAAACATGACTAACAGATTCGAAAGACGATGCCTTGACAGGTTCGTCGAAGATTCTATGGCATAATGGAATCCGCCGCGACGTTTTCTCTCCTTGTGTTAACTAAAACTGGCAAAGAAAAGGGGTTATGGCATGTGAGGGTGTGACGGGCGTTCAAACTATTAGTCGATTGCCTGCTGTGGATGGGAACTGGCTTGAAGATTTGCAGGCGCTAAGAAGAAATGTACAGAGATATTATTGGTAAAAGCATCTATCTGCGGCGGAGGCTAGTCCTTCCAGCGGGCACCAGGCGTTCTGGGGATCGAGGAGTGTCAAGGCCCAAGACCGCGGCAGGCTGTGGTGATCCGTGGTCCGGCTGGATCAGCGAGTCATGGCTCTGCGTTGGGCTAACTCCACCACCACTGGCCGATTGAGAGTTTGCTGAAGATTGGAATGCGGTATCGGCCTGTTTATCGTCCTGCCATCCATTGTCTTCCGACTTGGCCCGGTCCTCATTTTCAGCTTCATACCAATCGCTTCTCACAGCCCCTTGGCCTTGGGGCCGGGAAGTCGTCCCGCTGCTGTTGTAGCCTGGCCGAAACTTGGTCTTTCTAGCTCCGCTGTCTCTAAGAAAAGAGCCCAGAGCTACCAAATTCGCCACTGCGGTTGCCGCAAGCAATTCTATGGATGCCCACATAGATCTAACCACCTGGTCCCCGTGTTGTTTGATGGTCTCGGGTATTCTGTAAATCGTGATGCCAACAGTCAAGAATCCAAAGCAGAAGAGCATAGCAAGCAAGACCTTGCGTCGTGTAGGAATGCGTGTAGAGACGATGATTGGGATCGGGAATATGATGAGTACGGCGTCAATGACTGCGCTGCAAACTCCCATTGTGAAGAGCTGTGCCACTCCTTGACGACATTGAGGTCCTGGGTCCGGAATGATTTGCCAGTAGTGAGAGATTGGTCGACACTCAGCCAAGGTGCTCACTAGGATGGCAAAAAAGGATGCTGCAAGCATGCCTCGCAAAACATTGATGAGTCTGGTGTAGACTTTCTTTGAGGAAGCGCCAGCCAGCCTGTTGAGAAACTCCAGCGTGGTGAATTTGAGTGTCCATATTCTGTTAAAGATTAATTAGTACCCATTGCAAGATCGTGAATAGCACAGATGTAAACTTTTCCAAGGCGAACCTACGTGGCAGCATTGAATATTCTTCCAGCAAGCACAACTTTGCTCGCAATGACCCGCTGGTCGATCTCCTTGGATGATAGCGTCAAACCATCGAGCTGAATATTGTTTGTGCCATATAACAGGACGACGTGAGTGCACGCAATGCGGAGATATAATGGCAACAATGCCAATGCCGTAATCTTGTCCTCGATGAAGAGCTTTTCCACTCGAATGTATCGTCCCGAGAGACGTAGCAGGATGAGACAGGTGCAAAACAGCGTTATCCACCAGGCAACGAGCAATGTGGGTTTCGCATCGCTGAACGGCCTTTCTGGCGGTGCCGATGAGTAGAGAGCCATATTTGAGCCCTACATGAACACGATTGAAGAGTTGCACAAGCTACGATCTTGTGAAGATATCTCTTGGGTGATGACGCTTTAAGCAGCAAAAGAGATGTTACGCCATGAATTCGAGACAAAACTTAACGAAAAGAAATGCATCACACTAGCAAATTGATGTATACATAGTTACACGCCTATCCAATGGTAAGTATGCAGGCTAGGAACTGATAACGAGAATAAAATGGGCTAGTTACCACATCGAGGCCGATTGGCACATAGCCTGGCAGCCCCTGGCGTGACAACTATTGAACTAATCTGGCTCCTTTCAGAGGGCTGAACTTGTCTCGCCTCCGTCTCAATGTAATCCGGCTTCGCTCGTCCCGGCCGGCCGCCTGTGGTCTACCTACTTGAAGGAGCTGTGGCGTTTGGAGAAGTTTGGCGATCGGAAATTGCTGCTGTGCTTTGGCCAAGCATCCGCGGCCGCTCCTGTTGCGCCACCCAATCTAGCGCCATGGCTTCCAATCCATGATTGACGCGGTGAATCCAGTATGAAGAACTACTTGGCGCTAGGCTAGGGGTTTGGGGTTTGGGCAGAGGTCGCGTACGACGGTACGAGGCATCTTGGCCGCATTTGTAGCATGTGAAGCGTGTCTAGTGCGGCGATGACCTGACAGGATTACAAGGAAGTGAGTTCAGCTTGCCAAGCATGTGTGGATGCCGTGCATCCTACCGAGATACCCCAATAGCCCACACGACTGGGCAAAATGGCACTCACTTTCTTCGCATCTTCCTCATTGAGTTGATGAGGCTGCGCAGTATATAGTGATACCACGTATGCATCGGCATAGATACGGGTACTTGCTGGCGTGCGGGCACTATAATAAGGCCTCAACTTGTAAAAGTAAATGGATATGTGTGTGCTGTGTGCATCTTTTCTCCATGTGAGCGCCAAAGTACAGGTAGCTTATCAATAAACGGGCATAGGCTACCTCCGCTTCCAAGTTGTCCATCTGCATCGGAATGCTCCGCAAGACATAGTGAGCTACCTTATTTTGAGGAAAGTTCGGCTTCCATGCGACATTCTAACGAAAGCACGCGACATATCGCGAACTGTTAGCGGGGAAAACACCAGACATGGACTGCTTAGCTCTGACACCGCATGTGCAACGGGAAATAACATGGCTGCCTAGTCATATTACCCTATGGTATTTCGTTAGCAAAATGCAATTCTCTGTATTGCAGGTTACGCTGTTACCTATTTTGTAGTAACTTCGGATGCTAGATGGCCTCGCTTCCCACTCTTGAACACTACCGAAATGGCTGCTGTTTGCTGAACAAGACGCTAAATACTTCCCCATGTTCGTATTACTCTGGTTCTCTCCCCAGGGCCGCGGCATGAGTCGTAATAAGGATTCTAAAGCCCCACTCCCTATCATCATTCCCGTTTGGCTGATTAGGCCAACCCCCACATATATCAATCACTTAAACGCTCATTCGTGAGCATCGCTATCGCATTCATCTCCTTGATCAGCCCATCAGAGATAAGGGACACAAACAATTGTGAAATCATCTATTGAATCCCAGTGTCTCCAACATGGAAGGATGACACTGAGTCAAGAATCTTGTAGTTTCAACAGGAAGTTGGGCGAGAAGTGTGGAAATGCACTGAGCTCAATGGAGTAAGCAACATACACTTCTATAATATAGCAGAGTTCACCGACGAATTATTGTATACAAGATAAGTCGCAATGCGTAATATAAACACCCTAATATATAGAATTTAAAACAGAAACAAAAAAAAAGGTATATTGTCTCCATATCTATCACCCATTCATTAGTTGATCGTGCAAATAATCTTTCCCATAATTTTGTTAGTCTCCATCAGCTTGTGCGCATCGATGATTTTTTCCCAAGGCAAGACCTTTTCAATGTAGACTTTGAACTGCCCAGATTGGAACTGTGGAAGGGCCTCTGATACGAAAGTATCTCTCAATTTGCGCTGAAATTCTTCGTCTCGGCTTCTCAGAGTTGAGCCTTCGTATCTGACCCTTTTGAAGGCTAACAGTCCCATGTCGAATTCTTTTTTAAAGGTAAATCCGCTCATTAATCCGATCAAGACAATTCTTGCGTCTTTAGCAGCAATCTTGAGATTCTCGGCGAAGACATCAGGACCAATTAGATCAGCAATTATGTCAACGCCTTTACCATCAGTTGCCTTCATCACCTGGTCAACCCAATTGGGATCGGTAGTGTTGAACGCTGCAGTAGCCCCAAGAGTATTGACGCAGAAATCGCATTTTTCATCGGATCGTGCTGTTGCATAAACGGCTGAGGCCCCGGCGCTGAGGGCAAGCTGGATACCACTGATAGAAACTCCAGAAGCTCCAGCATGCCAGAGAATAGATTTGCCACGTGTAAATTCTCCGATCTTATACATCACTTTTGTTGCGGTAAGCCATGTCTATGTACTGTCAGCATCCAACCAGGGTAAGCCTGAATTTTCGATAACCTGCTGAGACTTACTTCGGGAATACCCGCAGCCTCTTCCCATGACAAGTGCGGTGGCTTGTGGATGAGCATATGAGTTGAGATAGTAATGTATTCGGCATAGGCTCCTGAATAATAGCCGTTAGTTAAGGAGCCTAGTTTTGAGAATGTTCTCTTGGAACCATCGTCATACCTCCGTATGCCAAAGCGAACACTTCATCGCCAACATTAAAAGAAGATTCGCTATTTTCTCCTAGTCCCTCTATGATGCCTGAAAACTCCAATCCCATAATTTTACCGACCCAGGGAGGGACAGGATATTCTCCGTCGCGCTGCATAATATCTGCGCGGTTGATACCAAATGCTTTGACTTTAACCAGCGCTTGGCCTTCCTTGGGCACCGGCTTCGGAATTTCTGTCATATACAGGGATTCTGCTGGACCAACATCTCCCCGAATATCTATTGTAACAGACCAAAGTTAAGATAGGAACTTCAAGTAATGATGCTAGATCTTTGAGAAGGTTGAGTCTTACCAATTGCTCTCATTGTGTTGGACATGATGTTAATCTTTTAAAATTCAGAAAGTTTCAATTGCTATTTCTTGAATGCTCACAAGTTGTAAATGGGCTCATTGATGCTGGATCTAATAGACTTTATATTGACATTTCTCTACCTGCAACTACAGCATGTGTATTGCGGATTGAAAATCATGAGTGGGACGCATTTCTCTTAACGCCTAAAGGTATTTTCATGGCCTTTCGGGAAAATGGGCCGTTTCGGCATCTCGGAAGATCACATGCGACGCACATTGGCCTGGTTTCCTTGGATGAATCAGCAACAAAAGCAAAGTCAAAGCAATATAGTCGAATTACTAAGACGAAGCGCCACACGTAGTTAACATTTTATTAGCAACATATGCAGTTGCGCATTGCTCTAATAGGACAGACTCAAAATACATGTTGTCGAATCTTGATGTGCTTTGCCACTAGTTTATGGAAGAATCTCAGCGTGGCCACTGCACAAGGATTACGAAATGTTCATACGGAGCATTCCAGTTCAAACGGTGTTTCTGAGATGTAGGAGAAAACCATGCGTTGAGGCAAACCTTCGTAAAGACGCTTCATCCGTAGCGCCGCATGTAAAATGAGTACGAATCAAAGTTATTGGCATTCGGCATCTCCAATAGCGAAGAAAGTCCCAAAGTAGATGCCCTTACTAAGGATTGGCGGACTGGGAATGCGCAACTCAGTCATCTGCGAACGCTGTTTGAAGATTGCCCGGTAGTCATGTTACTAATTCTCACACATCACAGCCAACATATTCCATTTACAGTAAACACCAAAAAGGAATATTCTGTTTCTGGTAATTCACGTAACGAGCATTTTGCCAATTGTAGCAACGAAAATCTCTTTAGCTGATTTGGGCATTTACCATACCCATTTGAGGTACAGAGTTCTGACAATTTACTTTGATTGACGTCAATCCGAGGATCCGAGGCTCCGACAGCGAGCCACCGAGCCGCCGAAGCGTGCACGTCTGCTTAGAAATTTCACAAATTCCGAAATAGAACAAGCAAGTCACTGCTTCACAGGTTCTAGAGTTATTGTTAATCAGATTTGTTTGAAAAGATGTATTGTTTAGCCATGATACTATGTAGAGACAATGGGAAACTTTTTCTATATGTATTGTGCTTCCACTAACTTGGCAATTAAAATGAGTGCGCCTGACTGTACAGAATCAACATACGACAAGATTTTATCATTGCATTAACAACTAGGAGAGAATACATCACGGGATCGAGAAAAAAGCAAATAATTTACAGCTATATTGACAATGACCATTGATCTCAAGTCGACCGAAGCCGACGATGTTAGGCAGCAACATCAGTCTAAATCCGAACAGCAATCCAGTGGAAGCGATGTTCTTGTCAGCGATGCAGAACGGGACGAAATAACCTTGAGCCGAGCACGAACAATCGAAAGCCAGCACAGCCTTACCGTAGGAGTGCCGTTGGCAGGCAGAGAGGACGCATCACCACTGCCACCGATGGGAGCCGGAAAACCTTACCCTCCGGATCTCTTGGAGAAAGATGGCTACATCGTGGAGTTTGACGGCGCCGATGATCCCATTCATCCGCAAAATTGGCCTATGAGGACAAAGTCAGTACTCAGAGGGGAATAGACACATCAGCAGTCTAACATGAACAGGGCTATAATTACTGCGATATTGTCTATCACTACATTTATCACGACTTTCGCCAGTGGAATATACGCGCCCGCCATTTCGACAATAGCAGCAGACTATAAAGTTGCTCCAGAAGTTGCCACACTCGGCGTCACACTTTATGTCCTGGGGTTTTCGGCAGGGTGAGCCAAGTTCTGATCTAATATGACGTTTTTCGGAGCAATCACCACTCTCGTCTACGAGACCTTATCTCACTCTACTATAGACCGGTGTTATGGGGACCACTCTCTGAAATCAAGGGGCGTCGTCTGCCTCTCGTCGTTGCCGCCTTCGGAACTGCGATTTTCCACTTCGCCGTAGCAGTTTCCAAAGATCTTCAAAGCATCATGATCAACCGCTTCTTTGCAGGTTTTTTTGGAACCAGTCCTCTTGCTGTGGGCGGCGCTGTGTTTGTGGATTTGTTTGACAACAAGACTCGCGGCATTGCAGTAAGATCTCCTAGACAGATTCCCAGCCTTGCCTTTTTGCTGAATCATTCCTAGGTGACAATTTTCACATTGTCTGTTTTCATTGGCCCAATGTTCTCACCATTCATCGGAGGCTTCATTGTCACGAGCCATCTTGGCTGGCGGTGGACTCAGTATCTTTCGGGCATCCTCGCTTCCGCAGCGGCCGTGGCAAACTTTGTCTTTGTTCACGAGACTTATCCGCCAATTATTTTGGCTCGAAAGGCAGCTGAGTTGCGTCGGAGAACACAGAACTGGGCTATTCACGCCAAGCAAGAGGAAACCGAGGTCAACTTTCACGAAATGGTTGAACGCAATTTTATCCGACCGCTTCACATGCTTGTCGTCGAGCCAATCGTCTTGCTAATCAGGTATCAACACTACTTATGCCATTACTCCCAACTACAGTTGCTAACCCTTTGGTTCATGTAGTATCTATTCTGCGTTTATTTATGGACTACTATATCTGTTTCTCACTGCATATCCCATTATCTTCCAGGGAGTTTATGGTATGAGGCCAGGCATCAGCGGTCTCCCCGAGTTGGGCGCCGTACTTGGCTGCATTATAACAGGCATCATAATGGTTTTGAGAGCACCAATCTATAGGCGCAAACTTGAAGCAAACAACAATATGCCTGTGCCAGAATGGCGACTCCCCGAAGCTATGGTTGGAGCGGTTCTCTTCGCTGGTGGCATGTTTTGGCTCGGTTGGTCAGGCTATCGAAAAGAAGTTCACTGGATTGTTCCAACAATCGGTGGTGTTGTGACGGGGCTCGGCATTTCAATGGTTTTTCTTCAGGCGTTCAATTATCTTATTGACGCTTACCTGATGGTATGTGCCTGCTCCTCATGAATGTTCAATGTCTCAGCTCATTACTGACATAAGGAATAGCTTGCGGCGTCAGCCCTAGCAGCCAATACCTTTCTGCGATCGTTATTTGGTGCTATATTCCCTCTTTTCGCCTCTTATATGTTTAAGGGGATGGGCATACAATGGGCAATGACGTTATTGGGGTGTGTTGCGGCTCTGCTGGCGCCTGTGCCCGTCATTTTCTACATCAAGGGCGCACAGATTCGAAAAGTGAGCAAATACACGCCCAAGCTCCCTCCTCCAGCGGCAACTTCGAAGCCTGAAAAAGAAGAGGTTTAAAATTTACGGATGAGAATAAAGGAGATTGTGGGATTATGACAAGTTTTAATCAAGTAGACTAAGTTTAGAGTTGACACGCATACGGCGGTTTGGTTTGGAGTAAATTGCTGGATTTTGGCGTGCAAAGGCGTCATTTGTTCTCTGAAGATGCGCCCTTGGGATGCCCTTGGGGCTTACCCCTCATCTCGATGCCGAAGACAGCCGCCAAATGAGAAATTACTGACTCAAATCAGAAAACATCAGAAGGGAACTGGCGAAATTGTTCCTCTTTACCTGCCACGGTTTATAATTAATATTAATTGCAATTGCTATCATGGCGTCCTTCAAACCTCTGCACATTCTCGCCTTTGGCGCTACTGGCAACATTGGGAAACACATCGTCAACCAACTCATTCGCGCTACGCCCTCATTCCCCAGAATCTCAATCTTCACCTCTCCAAACACAGTGGCAACTAAGCCCGAGCTTTTGAGCCAGTGGAAAGATGCAGGCGTATCAGTTATCGTTGGCGACATCACCAGCGCGGAAGACGTGAAGAGAGCGTATGACGGGGTTGATACTGCCATTAGCTGCCTGGGCCGAGGGGCTTTGGAGCATCAATTTGAGCTCATCCGGCTGGCGGATGAATCGGAGTCTGTCCGCTGGTTCTTCCCATCGGAATATGGCACGGATCCGGATCATGACCCTAGCAGTGCTTTCGAGAAACCTCATCAATTCAAGCGGAGGGTGCGCAAGACATTCGCTGAGGATGTGAAGAATTTGAAACCTACATACTTAGTTGTGGGACCATACATTGAGATGTGGGTTGACGGCGACGAGACATTCGGCGGGTTTGACATCAAGAATAAGAAGGCGGCTCTTCTTGGAGATGGAGACCAACCCATTGGATTTACCGCTATGGAAGAGTAAGTTACAGCTATTGAAGACGACTGACAATTGTCAATATAGCTAACGACGAGATTTGGATAGTGTCGGTAAAGGATTGGTAGCAGCGCTACAGCGCCCAGAGGTATCAGTTGGTAAGGTGCTCAAAATCGCCTCATTCACAAAGTCACCAAATCAGATCCTAGCCGAATATGAAAAGCAACTTGGATACAAACTTGATACCAAGTATGTCCCTCTAGATGATGTTAAGAGCCTCGAGAAGAAGTTCTGGGACGAGGGTAGTCCACGTGCCGTTGTTGGCACGCTGCGACGGATTTGGGCCACAGGCGGAGCGGTTTACGATAAGCTGGATAATGAGGCATTGGGACTGGATGAAGGCCAACTGCAATCCCTTGAAGAGGCAGTGCGAAACCGCATTCAGGGCAAACCATTTTAGGAGAAATGAAGTTGGCTAGGGACTGCCAGTGTGACTCAACGCTCTACTCGTATACAGGTAAAGCAGTCTTGGAGCTACGGCACCAGTGTTATGTCCCAGGGGCAATCTCCAAAGCCAGACTTCCAATTCATCATCACAAAAGCAATCATATTACGGCGAGATAATCCCCATTCTTGCCACATACATCCAATTGTCGTGATTCTCCCATTGAACAGACTGCAACTACCGGTTTTTCTTACGAATTAATACTCCATCGTTCCCTGTTCTTAAAGGCCTGGCAAGGCCCCAAAGACTAACAGCATGACTCGAGTATCCACCTAATTTTAATATACACTAATCTATATATGGCAGGGGAAAGTCACTTTTAAAGACAGGATACCTAGAATATAGGCAGCGCCCGCGGTGCATTTTAGGTATCGTAATCGTTGGTGATACCTGGCTTTCTGGTCTTGGTTCAAGTTAATGGCTAACCGTACGCACTTGTCGTGGAACACTGTGCTGCCTGCTCTTCTGGTTATCCAACATTTCGCAGTTCCCGTCGAAATCTCAATCGTTTTGGAGGATGCAGGCTGGGAACGCTGGTATAAATACCAACGAGATTGATTTGCCATGTTTTGAACAGGATGAATCGGCTTTTGATAGGTTAATCTTCCCTTTACAGTTTCATGTATTCCTCACCCATGGCCGCTAGGTCCGTAGAACGCGAATCTACGTAGGATTTGTATAGAAATCTGACTTGACACAATTTATATTTTAACTTCCCCTATCTATTCTCGGTCCTATTTACCATCTTGAATTGTATTTGAATATTCAAGCCAATTTCTTTTCCTTCTCTGAAGGGCCATTCCACCAACGATAGATGCCCTTGCACCAGACCCAAGTCTCAATTGTGCCAAAAATGCTCAAGACAACGATGACAAAGACCTTTACATTTCTACTCATCCCCAGACCTTCAAAGCTAAAGGACGGGAGCTCTTCATTTTTCTGCTGCTTGTTGTGAAGACGAGTATAACCAGAAAAGTTTCGGAGAGTGCTGAGCTCATGGTTGATGGTCTGGGGCTTTCGATTGCTTTGCCAGACGTTGAAAGTGGCAGACATGTTGCGTGTCTTCGTGATGTGCAGCATTCGAACGGCCGAACCGATACTGGTCGAGGTGGGCACTGGCTTCATTTTGACGGCTAGTCTCATAGATGTAATTATTCGAAAAATGATGTTAATTAATGGGTGATTTCAACTCAAGAGAAAAGTTTAAATTGAAGAAAAGATAATTACAGAAAGCAGAACTCAGCTGAGTATTTATAAAACAAGACGGAGTCGGGAGGCTGATAGTGCCCGCTATGAGCAATTTCCCTTGGCACTGTGCGTGGACATGATCAGAGTGAAACCAAGCAAGCAGTAGCGTGTAAATTAAATCCACGGGATCCCGTGTACCTATTTGCCGCCCTCTCTTGAGAGATTGAGGTAAACTGGCGTTACGGTAAATAACTTCGTTGAAAGCTGAGTAGCTAATCTCTTCAGTACCATAGATGAAACGAATCTTCCTGCTTTCTATACTTGGGTTATCAACCTGCCCGATTAATAGCTGCATCGATGCTTTGCTGATTGATCCGCCGGTTCGTATTCTGCCATAAACATCGTGTCACATAAGACCGTTTCTATAACCTCCTAACCCAGGGTCGTAACATTGGACTAGTCTAGCAATGAGTGGACGATGAATCCGTCGCATGTTTGCAGAAGTCATAACGATCATACCACTGAGCATATCCAACATACTCAATGGAATATCCAGTGAACATAGCCCCAGCAATATATCTCCCGCAATGTGCCGTGATTGTTGCCAGCGCTTGGCCGTATTGATCAGGAGAAATGTCAGTCCACACGCCTGGATCTGTATAAGGGACGCAAACGAAAGCTACGACGTTCCCACGAATGGAGTAGTACGACGTGCCTTCATAGATGTGTGCTCCAGGAAGTTGCGTCTTGAGATCTGCTACAGCTGCATCGCAATTGCTGGGGTCCAGATTAAATCCGCAGCCACAGTAAATGTCTTGATCACGAGGTTCAAGAGCCCTTGGTGCTACACTAGCCAGGTCATGCTTGATTTTTGAAGGACTGGAGATCTTTGTATGGACAGTTGTGCCGTCCTCACCAGTAGAGACTGCATAGACGCCGTCGGGGGTACCAGATGGAATAGTAAAGGCTCGTGCTAAAGCGGCAAGACTAAGAGCCGCAGTAATCTTGAAAGAGTACATTGGAGGATAAGGTGTTAAAAATTTGCTAGTAAAATTCGTTGCGAAGAATGATCTAGAGATCTTGAGAAATGTTTATCGATATCGGTGGGAATTGTAGCTATTCATGCATGTGCGGAAGGACTCTAATATATATTTACCCATGTGTATAGATACCTCACTGACCAAGTTAGAGCACGAAGGAATACCCTGCTATTCCCTTCAGTGTAGCAAACGAGCAGCGTACAAAAAATACACCCGAGCTTTAACATTAGGTGATGATACGATATTTAATACGACACCCGCCGGAGTGCCCTCTCCCATACTTATTTGCTGACATTCTTTGAACACAGCTGACATTCTCGGTATCGCCATTTAGCCTATTAGAGTTATCATAATCTTATTGGCTAAGTTATAATAGAAAGGGAAAACCCGCTGACACCCTGGACGTAGCGAAAGGATTACGCTCGAGCTATGATATTCAATATAACGCTCGCTCATACGCTTGCTAATAGATTATGGCTGCTGGTTTGAAGTTCTAATTTATATAACCCACTCCGTCTAATAGTATTCAAAGTGAGAAAATGGCCCAGCAGGAAGTAGAGGCTCTATCCAAAGACCCCTGAGAGCTATGATGTTGATTAAAGACAGAGCGATCGAATAATATTGAAAACATTAAGATACAGTAGATTTACTCAGCGGGTTAACTAGTGTTGATGACTCAGGAAACGAATAGTTATAGAAGCTCTTCAACTACTTTGTATTATCCAGCAGGTGTATCGATCGTTTTCTGTGTTAAGCTGGCATGCAGACAAAGCTCCAGGTAAACGTTTCTTCTAGCGCTCAACTCGGCAGTTTGCGTGCGAATATTTACCACTGTAAGCACCCACTTGTCGGTTGAATGCTCTGTGCCCCCAGCGCTCCGTCCCATGCTAGCCTTTTCTTCCAGGCATCGGGAGCCATGCCTTTCATTGCTATTTTATGATGCATGGCGTAGGCTGACGATGACTTTACATAAGGAGAAGCAATGTGGAAAATTTAGATACTAATTACGCCTAGTCATCTATGAACTGTGCAAAATTTGACACGGCTCCGTAGTTTAGCAACTGACATCCGACCGGTTGCTTTACCCGAGAGATCTCGGTCCCGAAGTTGCATCCACAATTGTTTTTCGGGCCCAGGCTAAGCGGTGCTTCCCGCCAGTAGCTGTTTGGCACAGTGACGAACGAACTCTGGTCCCGAGAGATTACGAATGGCTTTACTCATTAAACTTGACGAATAATCTATATAAAGGGTGAATCGCTTGAGACTCCAGGAAAGATTTTCGTATGTATCTCTTCAGCAACGCATTCAAACAGTTTAACACTTGCTTACCTAAATCCACCACTACGAGCGCCATCCATGGCTCCTACTGTTGCCATTGTCGGTGCCGGGCCTTGTGGCTTGACTCTGGCGCGTCTTTTGGAGTGCAGAGGCGTCGACTATGTCGTCTATGAGCGTGACGAATCCGAAGTCTCCAATCGCAGAGGAGGAAGCCTTGACATTCACGCAGGGACAGGACAACTTGCCTTGAAAGAAGCAGGACTTTTTGATGAGTTCAAGAAGCATGCTAGATACGAAGATACGTCTTTCACAATTGCCAACCAGCAGGGAGAAAGGGTTTTCCGGAAAAATGCTGGCCAAGGGCGCGATGCGCCTGAAATCGATCGCATCTTGCTACGCCAAATTTTGTTAGACTCAATCCCAAAGGAAAAGGTTCGCTGGAATCACGTTCTTAAGAGCGTCACACTGGAGCAAGACGGGCATCATATTCTTCAATTCACAAACGGATCTTCAGCTTCCGGATTCAAGCTTGTGGTTGGTGCAGATGGCGCATGGAGCAAAGTGCGACCTTCGGTAAGACGCTGAACCTGCTCCTCCTTCTGACTTCTCACATTAACGAGAGCTAATTGCGAGTGACAGATTACACCAGCAAAGCCACAATATTCGGGCAACCACTATATAGAGTCAAGAATAAATCCCGAAAGCCCTCACTATCCAACCATGGTCTCAAAAATCGGCGCGGGCAGTTTCATGTCTTTAGGTTCTTCGAAAGAGATCGTCACCCAGCGTCAGGGCAACGGATCGTACAGAATTTATCTTGGAGTTACAGTACCCGAAGATTTTGTTCGAGGTGGCACCGTCAATCTGGAGGATACTGAATCAACCCGGCGTCTATTTCTTTCTTCGGAATACTTTGGGAATTGGGCAGAGGAATTAAAAGACCTGATTCGATACTCGGAAGACTTCCGCAGCTGGCCCCTTTACTACATGGATCCAGAGACTCTGAGATGGGACTCTGTTCCTGGTTTAACATTGGTAGGAGATGCTGCTCATGTAGCAGTCCCAAATGGTGAAGGTGTCAACTGTGCCATGGCAGATGCGCTCTCTCTGGCCTCAAAAATTGCAACATATGGTACAGATGCGTTGAACCGCGCCGTTGCGGAATATGAGGAAGATATGTTTCGTCGTGGAGTCGAGCATATAAAGGATGGTCTACAAATGGCGACCCTGATACGGCACAAAGATGGCCCCGATGCACTCATATCCTTTTTCGAGACCGCAATGGAAAATGCAGCTCAAGCCTCTGCTTAAATGAGAGAGAGCTATTAAATGAGGGGGGCAGGTTAGTTCACGGAAGGGGTCGTAAATAGGGGGCTACATCATTTCATTAGCTTAGCAGTTACATTTCCATCGTTCACCACCCTTTTAGGTAGATATTTAGGTAGATATTCAGATAGCTTTTAGACTAGAATAATAACCATATCATTGATAGCTATTTTCATACAACATGCTATTTGATGAATTGTACGATCAATCCAGCCACTTCTTTCAGAGTGTTCTATGATGTTCCAGCTCAACCTTTTGCTGCTCCCTTGTTGATATCTCTGCATATAATCTCTATTCGTGACATATCCACCTTTTAATACCAGGTCTGTACACTACCATAGAGAGAAGGTATCTTCGCCGTATCTTATAGCATTTTATCTTCTACGTGAGCTTCCTAGATCAAGAACTTCAGATGCCTTTCTAAGCTCGCATTCTACTGCCACTATTCATCATTAGTCCATTAGAACTTTTGTCGTCAATCTTAGATGCGGATGTCTAGATTTCAGCTCCAGTGTATACGAACTAGAATGTGGTCAAATCAGGGGTTAAAAATTACTAGCTATTGGCACGCAAAACTAGTAGATAAGGGAAACTCCAATCAAACTCGCTGAATCGGAAAAAGTCATGATGCAATAGCCGTGGTGACCTACTAACCTGGCTACTGCTGACTTGCTGCTTTCACTCTGCCTTCACGCATAACAAGAGCGAGATCATCAGGGGCTGATTTGTGGGCACTTTTCATGCATAGAACCTTTTCTAGTTCATCATAGCAAAACAACATGTACTCATGTTCAGTACATATGAATCAATGTTTTAAACGATTGTAATAAGCCTTGGGATTTTTTTTTATTACCAAATTCTGGCATCGAAGGGTTATTCGCGTAGTACACTAGCCTTTCAGATGCGGTTAGCGAACTGTAATTTCCATTCTTTACGATATATCCCAATCATTGTTATTCCAACTCCAAGTCATGTCAACAAGTTAATTTGTCCTAGAGGGAAACCACGTGCTTACCCCATGCATGCGGTATCGGTTCCCGGCATCTGGTGTTGTGCGGCTAAAAGGGAAAATATTACCAATGTGTTCAAGTGGATGGTGGGTTCTCCATTCTCTTCGGCAACGATGTGCAATATTGCCGGCGACATGGTTTCCATTGGCTCACTAGCCAGAATTACGACCGTTGGAATCGTGTGAGGTTTCATTGCCATTGAATCCATTGTCCCAATGAATCTGGCACACATATTTATTGCAATATGTACTGTTGTCATTACAGTACAAATATGAGAGCAGCGTACGACTCTTGCGTTGAGAAATAGAGAGGCTCAACTAGTGCCGAATACTAGTTCAATGCTCTCAAGATTCCTTGAAATCGGATACTAAAGACTAGGAGAGAGCCAGCCACACGGCTGAATTGTCCAAATATAGCCGGGCATTGCATAATGATTGGCCCGGAATAATTTCCCTAAGCAGTGCCGGTGCTGGAGTTCAATCACTTGACAGTTCATTGACTAGGAACCAGGATCGGTCCTTCACCGAACTGACACCTGAATGAAGAACCTGGTTCTTTTAGAAGCAAAAAACATCAGCATTAAATAACAACCATACTGGTGCTACTCCTTCCCCACGATTTCTCCACACGAAATCAATCTACCCCGCGTTTCTTTTATTTAAATGCTACCCCAGATTCTGCAGAGACGAGTGTCGACCATGCCAAGATATCCAGGATAGGATTCCGAATCATAGAATCTTCACTCTATATTCTGACATCCCCGTGCTTTTGGTTTAACTGCGGTGCCTTAAAGGACGTCAAGATGGTGTACCTTAACCTGAGAGGCAAGAAACTGTTAGCTGGAATAACAATTTCCAGTGGTTTAGGTTTTATTCTGTTCGGTATGGAACTCCACCATGGACGGGATCTCATCTCAGTGCAGCCCTTTTTCTTGTCTAACATTTTCTCTTGCCGGTATAGGTTATGATAACGGTGTTATCGGTGGTCTGCTTACTGCTCCCGACTTTGAATCAACATTTAATCTCGATTCTACACTTCAAGGAGTCGTTACTTCATTATTTGAGCTGGGATGTTTCTTTGGGTCTCTTGTCACAGCCGTTGCAGGTGGTCGACTGGGCCGTCGGACTCTCGCACATTTTGGCACATTATCCATTACCGTCGGTGCCCTTCTTCAGGCCTCTAGTTTTTCTGTTGGTCAGTTGATGGTCGGGCGCATCGTTGCTGGTATCGGCCTTGGCCTTATATCCAGCAACATAGCTATCTGGCAATCAGAGACAGCCCCAGCAAACGTGCGTGGCACGTTAGTCGCGTGTTCGTTGAGCTTCCTCATCGTCGGCCAGCTTTTAGCGAACTTGATCGATTATGGCATGAATAGCTATTCTGGTCCCGTCACATGGCGATTCCCAATTGCCTTCCAGGCGGTTCTAGCACTTCTCATGAGTGCTCTTCTATTCTTCATGCCTGAGTGTAAGCTGTCCATCTGCGATATTCTGCCTTTTTGTATTATCAACGGGGCTAACAGTGAACAATCCGCAGCTCCTCGATACCTCATAATGAAAGATCGCATTGAAGAGACTGTCGAAGTCCTTCAGGCGCTCAAAGATACCAACGATAGAGAGACTGTTGCTGCCGAAATTGCAGAGATCAAGGAGGCCCTTTTACTGGAACTCAACTCTCAAAAAAGCTGGACGGATCTTTTCAAGAATGACAAGGTCAAATCACGCCGCCGCGTCATTATTGCTTGCATTGTCAACTTGATGCAAGATCTGAGTGGAAGTACTCCGATAGCGTATTACACTACTTTCATGTGAGTCGAACGTAACGAGACTGAACATAATATGGGAGTCGGCGCATCACCAGCATACAGCCGCTAACACTTTTCAATCTTCACAGCTTTCAGAATTCTGTTGGTTTCTCTCGGCATTTGTCCTTGCTCATGTCCATCTTCCTGCAGCTGTGGTTCCTTTTGGCGTCAACACTTACTTGGTGGCTGATTGAGCGTGTTGGGCGTCGGAGATTATTCATGCTATCAGCTTGCTGTATGGGCATGGTCATGGCAGTTGTTGCAGCGATGCTGGCTGTTAATACCCGTACTTCTGGAATTGTCGCTGTCGTCATGATCTTTGCGTATCAGGCGTTTTTCACGTGGGGATTTATGGGTGGTGTTTGGGTAAGTTATGCCAGGATTCCGACATTTCCTCTGATACCTTATCCCCCGTACTACGTGGTGGAAATTATGATCAATGCGCTAACGTCGGTTCATTTTAGGTCTATGGACCAGAAATCCTACCCCTCGAATATCGATCCAAAGGAATGGGTCTTGCCACTGCCACCCTTTGGCTATTTTCTTTCGTGATGGTTGAGATTGTCCCTTCAAGCATATCCAACATCGGATGGAAAACATACATCATATTTGCAGTGTTCAACTTTTCCTTCATTCCTATCATCTACTTATTCTTCCCAGAGACTAAAGGCCTCAGTCTTGAGTTGGTCGACCTTGCTTTCATGGACGATTCAATGTCTCCGGTCAAGCGTGCCAAGGAGCTGCACAAGATGATTGCATCTGGAGAAGAATTGACTCTCAGAACTGAGGTGGGGGGAAAAGACGTCGATATCGTGCATATAGAGGAAAAGACGGCATAAATAGGAAGCCTAGAGAGGGGCCACTCTGGTCTAATATACCATATGACACATGGCACTTACCATAAGCTATACATTATTGTTACAGAACCAACAAACCAAAGATTACCACTTATGGCAAAAGTAGTCAATGAATAAGGCAATTTCCGCGAATAGAATAAGCCTCCTACTCTTGAGGAAGACCCAATTCGAGATACGAAGTACAAACTTATACTATAGGTAGTAAAATGTTGCACGATTCAGTATACAAAGACTAGCCTCTACGCTTACAGTTCTCCAAAGTTGCTAAAGTTGCCGATTGATCCCCGAAAGCTACTGATTGTTTGATCAGCTATGGAAAGATTCACTCTGGGGTAGTGTTACTTACCCCGTATTCTTTTGCTTCGTTTGTTCCAGAGGCGCTATAGCTCCTGCGGAGCTATACTAGTCTACGCGCCAAACTAGAGAGAAGTTGTCAGCTCACGGGAGGAATTCCGACATGACATGGTAACTAGAGCGGCGACCGCCGTTGCTCCACTTCAGCTACCGTAATAAAAGACATCGCTATGTAATAGCAAGGTAAATAGATATATCTTGATCTTCTGAGCTTCCGTACTATTGCTTACTCGCCTTCGATAATGCAATCACCATCTGTGACCATGGCACCAGATCCAACAAATTCTAAACATTTAATCAAGGAACTGGAAAAATACACGTCGTGTGATGTCTGGTCCCTTCAAGAGCAAAACATCAGCCACAAACCACTAACAACGACACTAGGTTGCCGATGCTCTCTCGAAACTTGGTTATGCCCATGGTGGCTTCCTTAGTGATTTAACAATGTATTCTCCAACTATGCAAAGTGGCAAAACAAAGATAATTGGCGAGGCCTACACTGTACGATTTGCAGCTGTTAATCATAGAAACGACCCTCGTCCGCCAAACCATTTTGTAGGTCTTCTGCTACTCTAAGGACCATTTCAAGAATTGTGCAATCAATATTAACGAACCGATGTTGGTAGATAGATACTGTTCCAAAGGATGCTATTCTGTTCATATCAGTACCCGCGCATTTAATCAACAGTGTCTATGGCGGATTAATGTCAATGCGGGCGCAACTTTTGGGAGCAAAGGGTACAATTGTCGACGGTCGCGTCCGCGACTTACAAGAGCATCGTGATCTTGACTACCCTGTAAGAATGGGCGGTTTTTAATTCTTGTATTGGGAAACTTCGAGCTAATCTTGACTCTGCAGGTCTTTGCACGAGGGATCGGTACAAATGCAGCGGCAGAAGTCTGCTTTCCATCTCAGATCAATGTCCCCGTGCGCCTCAACAGCGCTGGACAAGAAGCGTGGATTAGACCCGGGGACATTCTCATCGGAGATCTCAATGGTGTGGTCTGCATACCAAAGGAAGCTGTGAAGAGCTGCCTCGAGATTTTACCAGATATTGTCAATGCTGATACCAAATGTGCTGAAGATATTCTCAAAGGCCAGTCATTTGCTGAGGTTCTTCGAAAGCACAAAGGAAAGCTGTGATAAGACCCAAAGACTCGAACTAGAATGATACATAGAAACTTAGATATACAATTACTATCTAATAAGGGAAAATGGATTCCCAATTCGGTATCAGAGTCTCCCAGCTCGACCAGTCTGTAATATCTAAAGCCATATTTGGAGTCTGAATGCCTCCATCGTCGTGTAAAGGTTCAAACGGGACATTTTCGAGCCCCAATGTGGTCATGAATTGGTCGTTAGACAATGGCGGAGACATAGGTGTAAAATCCAATGGTTGACTGTCTTGTGACAATGAATTGGAGAGGGCCTCAGAGTTCAAGGTAGCGGTGCCCTCTGCCATTGTAATGGATTCACCACCATCAAAAGTCTTTGCATGCATCGGATTCAGATGCAAATGGGATGCCTCCGAAGCCCCCAAAGCAGCTGCGCTCTGCACATACCTGAGAGTTACCTGGCCTATGGTATTAAAAACGGAAAGCGATCGTTTTGCGTGTGCCCAACCCAGCTCTGCCATTGTCGATAAGATTGAAGAACATACTCTGATGTTGTTTGGCAATCTTTGTATCACTTCAGAAGCATCTTTTCTGCAACAAATTTGGGCACTGTATAGCATTGTCAAGCCGCTCAGCAAAGCGCTATGAACGCTAAGCACGCTGTATTGCATCTTTCCGAGACGCTGGAGACTGTCGAATATTTCGATAACTTTAATGGACGAGTCGCTACAAATGCGCGCGGTTTCCATGGACAGCTTGGGAAACCTTGGGGATGGGCGATAGAGTAGCATAACGGCAAGGTGATAAGACACCTCAAGATGGGCAAAGAAAGATGCTTTGCCGCTACTCAATGATGATGTGGCTGCTTTCCATTCATTGAGATCCTTGTATGTTCTGTCTCTCCACGCGTGTAGATTTGATGGCCACGGGATTCTGTCCGGGTCCTGCGAAATCCTGTAAAGATGTAACTTCATGTCGGTAATTATGATGGCAAGACGAGAAAGGTGTATTGAGCACGATATTGGCGACCAACTCTTTCTGCTTCGCACATCGGCAACAATCTCTGTGGTATCATCATCATCAAAATCCGATGGAAGCTTTCGTCGAAATAGTTAGTATTCTGCAAACAGTATGCAATCTGAACAGGCAATGTCAAATACGTACCGGCACGTCACAGGCCTCATTCCTGATCCCAAGTGGTCGTCCAAGAGCAGTGCCGACATTCCTATCGAGGCAGTAGCAGCTCCAGAAAACCCTCTTTCGCATCTCTTCTTTTAGGACGGCTTCTTTTGGCAAGCTCTCTTGGCGTGGGCCAACATCTCGGTGGAGACCCAAGTCAATGCAACTTGCCATCAGTAGATAATTGATGAACCATATATTTGTATCCGACCGTGGATTAAAGAGTGCATACATTGCTAAAAGAAGATGGTTTTGTGTTGTAACCAGAGAAACATTGTATAGAGCTCTGTCGCTATATTGCATTGCCGAGATGTAGTAATTGCCAGCGTCTGCGGCCATGCCAGATGTTTTGGAAAGGGTAGATGCGCCGACGGCAAGCACCAGGAAGATTTGAAAACGAATATTAGCAGCATCCGACCCAGTCTCGGCCCTAGATTCGTCTTGGCCTTGACTTTTAGCATTGTATACTTCACGAAGGGAAGATAGGAATGATGCTTTGTGTAGGAAGGGATACTGCCATTGAACCTCGTCAAAGAAAGCCTCGGCAAGAATTGCAGCTTCGTGAAACGGAGGAAGAGGTACGGCATGGCATTCTGCCCGATATAATGCTTTGGTCTCAGCATCTAGCTTATCCGCGTCGTGTATTTGCTGGTCCAATCTCAGCCCCGGGCTGGCTAGTAGCTTTGCAAAAGAAAATCCACTTGAAGGTCCGAGATATTTGGGCTCTGAGGAGCCATTTAATGATACAAGAGCAATTACATGGGTAAGAAGTTCAGTGTCTGATTGCGCTTGTCTTGATGGAGCCCACGGAGATGTTGCTGCCGTCGTCGCCAGCGGACTACACGATCGTCAGTGTAATTAAAAGCAAAGGGAAAGAATTGTCTACTTACCTTGACAAAGTCGAGTGGCCTCTTCCAGGATCTACATGTTCTGGCAGCGGCGTATCTATGGTTGCGTCCTGACACGCCTGTGGTGCAGAACTTGAAGAGTCGGCATCCTGGCGAACTGATGCTACGGTGGCTAGGTCTATGTCGGGACATCTGTTTGCAATGATGGCTTCTAATGACTTGACTTTTTGTTCCAATGAAACAACATAGCTAAAAGTCAATCAGTGCGACAAGTCCTGTTTCAGTCATCACAAGATATGTAGGGGGCTGCTCACCTCCGAGGAATCTCCTTTTCTCGGTGTGGATCGAGACAAGGTTCCCCAGCTTTTTGGCAATTGGTACATGAGGGGAAAGACCCGTCACAGCGGATCTTACGATATCGACATCGTTGACAAGCGGCAAACACTTTCCGATTTCGGCGCCGAAGAGGTGTATTGTTGGACGACGATTCACGGTCGTTTGCAGACATGGAAGCCAAACAAGAATAGTGATTGGTTCTATCAGACGATTGATGAGACTAGGGCTGTCACGCAGCTACGCTGTACATGTTCGGAAATTAATTGAAGACAAGATTCGAGGCTTCCTTTGACGGCGGTAGATCCGGTTCCGAAGGTCTTGGATGCGGCGAGCGCCGCGGGGCTAAAACTATTGAGGCTAGTTGCTCAATAGTGTTGATGTGAACGGAGAACGCCGCACCACCGAGAGACTACAGAGTCCTGCTTATTCGGGTATTCTACAAAAGGCATCTATGAACCCATCTCGATATCTTTGAGATCACCAATGTGAAGCTGAACTTATTATAGAGGTTGAGCATTGAATCAAACTACAAACATGGCTCCTTATCTCGGCTTGAGTGGCAAGTCTCTCAATTTCATCATTGGAATCATCGGCGCAACTGCTTTTGCTCTTCAAGGATACGATCAAGCTGTTGGAAATGGTATCCTTACTCTGAAGACATTCTTGACTGTCTTTCCCCAGACGGACACGCTTGACACGAAAGGCGCTCAAAAGTCACATAACGCTACAATCCAAGGCACAACCATTGCCATTTACGAAGTTGGCTGCACGCTTGGGGCTCTGGCCTGCGTGTATATTGGTGACAAATTAGGTCGCATTCGGACTGTATTTGCTGCTGGTGTTGTGACACTCGTAGGAGTGGCCATTCAAACATCAGCCTTTAGCCTTGGACAATTTATCGCTGGAAGAGTCATAACAGGTTCGTCTCATCAGGTTAGGGCGCGAGTTGACGAAGCCATCACTATTAACTAACAAATCTCTTCTGTAATAGGACTCGGCCTTGGCGCATGTACCGCGACTGTTCCTATGTGGATTTCGGAATGTGCGAACGCTAAAGACCGCGGGTATTTTGTTCTGCTTCAGGGCTTATTTGCCTTGGGGGGCATTGTTACCGCCACCTGGCTGGAGTTTGGGCTTTTTTATGTCAAAGATAACGCCGTCAACTGGCGGTTTCCTATCGCCTTTCAAGCAGTCCTGGCATTGATTGTTGTCAGTGTCATTCTATTTATGCCCGAATCACCTCGCTGGCTTCTCAAGAACGCACGCACAGAGGAGGCCTGCAAAGTCCTAGCTGTTCTCGGAGACACGTCCACAGAGTCGGAGACTATCGCTGCAGAAATTGCTACTATCAGCAGCGCTATAGAGCAGGAAACTAGCAGTGATGGCTGGAACAACCCTTTTGCTATGAACCATGGACGATATCTTCATCGCACAATGCTCGGGCTCGGAGTGACCTTTTTAGGAGAAATGACTGGCGTCAACATTGTCACGTTTTACTCGACAACCATCTTCCAGATTAATCTCGGATATTCTGGAACTACATCTCGAGTCATCTCTGGGTGCCTCCAAATCTGGCAACTCCTCGCTGCCGGCCTGGCCGTCTTCCTTGTGGACCGCGTCGGTCGCAGGCCTCTTCTTATCGTTTCAGCTGCAGGCATGGCCGTAGCGCACGCATGTTTGGCCGGCCTAACTTCCAATCTTCATAACAAGCATGCTTCCGATGCGGCGATATTCTTCTACTTCGTTGCTCTCTTCTTTTTTCCCATCGGCCTCTTTCTCCTTCCCTTCATGTATGCTGCCGAGATCGCTCCTCTAAGAACTCGATCACAAGTTACTGCAATGGCTGCCGCTATACACTGGTTATTTGGTTTCGTTATCGCCGAAGTCACTCCAGTGGCGTTTGCGAATATTTCATGGAGGTATTATATCGTATATGCTTCCATCAGTGCCTTTTCCTCAGTCGTGTTCTATCTCTTCTACCCGGAAACGCGAGGTCGCACTCTGGAAGAGATTGACGAGATTTTCACTCAGTCCAAGTCAATTTTCGACACAGTGGGTGTTGCAAAGACACTGCCATTCGCAACTCTTCCTGATTTAGAGAATGAGAAAGCTCCGCGTGTAGAGCAAAGCGAATAGTAGGCTGTGGCATATATTTCACAGAATAGAGACTATTTAGTTCTCAACTAAGTCACAAGACTTAAGGAAAACGCATGTAAACTTTTGTAACGTTGCAGGAGACTAATTTAAAACTGAGGCGTTCAAAGACCTGGCAGTTAAATTTACGTGTTTTGTGTACCTTTGTTTCAAACAATCTTCCTTTATAATCCTCTTTTCCGTTCATGGGAATGACAACTTTTCCGTTCACGGCAATGACAGCTTTTCCGTTATTAGGTCCCGGGTTAAGTCCCCCGTAACTCACCGTATGAATGCCCTTAATACCGACGTCAAAACTTGCACAAATTTCCTCGGCAAAAACGGAGAAAATCATTACTTCATTGGGAGTAAGCAAGCAAGCATAAATTCTGGATGGACCAGTGCTACGCTAAATAGACAATGGTACTCCGTACAAAGAGGTGCCTTTTCTTAGCCAAACATCCCGTCTTACCTCAACCCTTCCACGCATTGCTCGGGCCAATAGTAAAGTAGACAGCACAACTAGAATCATAAGATACAAAGACGCTAAAAGAATTAGTGACCCCCTGACAGGTATAAAATATATCGCTCTTAGAGCAATTATGGACAAAGAAAGGATGTTGAATGACAGCGAATTATGCCGTCGGCACAATGTGCGTACAACATTCAGGCAATCTAGATTGTTACCCCGGATCTTCCTCCGCCCCGCATTGCAATCCCCTCCAGAGATGCCAATGATGTCTATAAAATGGCACTGATCGTTCAGTGTGCAATTGCCATCTCCTCGCAACTTGATCAATCCCTCTGACTACTGGGGCAAACCGGTCAGGATGTTCTCCTTGGTGGTGCTTGGCATTCTTGCCAAGGCTTCAACAGTTACTGCATCGCCAACTCAACATGAAGACCTTTCCGTATATGTGAACCCTTTTATCGGCACTGCCGGACCTGATGGCACCGGTGCGAACTCTGGAGACACATTTCCTGGTGTCTCTGTGCCTTTCGGGGTTGTGAAACTCGGCCCGGATACTACAGAGATGAATCCTAGCACAAACGCATTTGCTGGATACACCCCGGATGGAAATGGTACCAATTCTCTTATTCATCTGTTTGTCTAGGATTTTGCAAGCCAGAACTAACAAGAGTTTTGTAGTCACTGGATTCACTTGCTTTCACGAATGTGGCATAGGAGGAGCCTCAAAATACGGAGTGGTCGGACACATGCCACTTACAACTCTGTCAGGTGTCAATGTTCTTGACAATGCAACCTACCAGCAGCCTCGTGTTACCATGGATAGGGCATCCGTTGGTTACTACCGCTCTGATCTGGCAAATGGCGTCAAAGTAGAGCTTGCCGCATCCGACCATGCTGGATTTATTCAGTATACATATCCGAAAAACACTGAGCGTATTGTCCTTTTTGATGTGTCGCATAACTTGCCGTCTTTGGCCGAGTTTATAAAATCTCAATCATATAGTAATGGTCAGATTGAGGTCAAAAAGAACGGCAAAAGAGTGCAGGGCTGGGGAGTTTGGAGGGGCGGCTGGGGAGGCACGGGAATCAATTGGGGAGTAGGCAAGTCATTGTCAAATTACTACGCCTTTGCCTCTTGCTAATATCGCTGCCAGGATCTGACTACAAGATTTACTTTTGCAACGACTTTGATTCCACTCCTTCAACTTGGCAATACTTTTCCGGACCGTGGAATGCCCCAGACAACCCCCCAAGTCCTTCCACACCAGTGACCTGGGGTAACGCATCAACAGATCCAAATGGAGTCCAAGGAGGCCCTGACGGTGATGACTCTGGTGATAGAGTTGGTGCTTTATTTAGCTTTCCGGGTAAAACAACAGTTGTCAAGTCCAAGATTGGAGTGTCATTCATCTCCGTCGAGAAGGCTTGCGCGTTTCAGAGCGAAGTTCCATCTTGGACACTGAACCAGACTGTCCAATCGACCAAAAAGCTATGGAACGATGAAGTCTTTAGCAAAATATCGGTCAAAGAATCCACCAAGAACGATACACGGCTCACGCTCTTCTATTCTGCTCTTTATCGCATGCATCAAATGCCTTCTGATAGAACTGGAGAAAATCCGGACTGGGTTTCCAGCGAGCCATACTATGACGACTACTACACTCTCTGGGATACTTTCCGCTGTCTCAACAGTTTCTATCTTTTGGTTCAGCCTCAACGCGGCATTGACATGATACGTTCCCTCATTGATATATGGACGCATGTTGGTTTCATGCCAGACGGCCGCAGTGGCAATCATAATGGCAAAGTACAAGGCGGGAGCAATGCTGACAATGTTCTGGCTGATGCCTATGTGAAGGGATACACCGGCGGTATTAACTGGAAAGATGGCTACAAAGCAGTATGGACTGATGCAGAAGTTGTTCCGCCTCCCAACAACGACCCAGAAGACGCGAGCTGTACGGATAATCAAGGTCGCTGTGGACTTCCGGACTGGATCAACCTAGGTTATGTGTCAACAACGTTTTCGTCAAGCATCAGTCGTACCGTTGAATATTCTCTTAATGACTTTGCAGTAAGTCAAATTGCGAAGGGTATAGCGCCGCATGATTACCAGAAATACTTGAACCGATCAGGGTGAGTTATCCCGGGCTACGTGCCATGCATGACCTTATCTGACAATAAATTGATTGAAGGAACTGGAAAACCCTTTGGAACCCGGACATAAATCAGTATAACACATCGGGATTCCTCGGTCCTCGCTATCCAAATGGAACGGTGATAACTATCGCCCCACAAGACACATCCTACACGACCGAAGGACTACCATGGGGTATGTAATGAATGGCCACTCGCCGGGCATCGAAAGCAGATCTAACCAGAGTATAGAATACACATGGACTATACCATTTGATATGCAAGGGCTTATCGACAAAATGGGTGGTCCCGATGCAACTGAGAAACGGCTTGACCTGATGTTTGTGCCTAATCTCCGAACGGTGGATTTAGGTGTAGGAGTTGGATCAGGAACAGCCCTCTTCAATCCCGGTAAGTGAACAGCCACAACAACCTCACCCGCTCGATGTCGATGCAGCCCAGTTGCTTATACCTTCTCAATCTATCATTAGGCAACGAGCCTAGCTTCGGCACTCCGTTTTTGTATAATTATCTGCCAGGCCGCCAATACAAAGCCGTGAATCAGTCCCGTGTGAATATTGACGAAAATTATTTCGCCGGATCCAACGGTCTTCCTGGAAACAGCGATGCTGGCGCCATGGACAGCTGGATGCTTTGGCAGATGCTGGGTCTGTATCCAGTGGTGACCCAGCCAGTCTACTTGATCCTGGCGCCATGGTTTGAGGATATTTCTGTCTCGGTCGGTGGTTCCTATACCCTTCGAATTAAAGCAAAGGGGCTGTCCAACAACAGCTTCTTTGTTCAGAGCCTGAAAGTCAATGGTAAAGCTTGGAATAAGAGCTGGTTAGAGCATAGTGACATTGCAAAGGGTGGACTTTTGGAGTTTGTCTTGGGCCCTGAGCCGAAATCATGGGATACTGGAGCCGTGCCTCCAAGTCCGGGCCATCAATAGATGCGCATGTTCGGTAGTCTCTATTACAATCTGAACGCAATCGGTTGCTCCCAGACATGAGGTTTGAATGCGCAACGCTTCGTGCAGTGGTCTGCAGAGATGAACATTCACCATGTATATAGCAGAAGAGACACTAGTTCACAGCACACCAGTAATGGAATACTGGGTCAAACGTAAAATTTTGTTTGCTCACGGGTGATTTTAGAGATATGAGAATTGTCAAAGACAAGGCGCGACAAGTCTACTAGTACAACGCCATACAGCGATCAAATTACGTGCTACTAAAATACAGCTTATAGAAAGTCGATAGAGACGGCCAACTTCAGAAACAACCAAATTGAGCAGCAAGAACTCGAGTCAAATTGCTGACAATGTCTTTGCCAATTGAAAAAGATTCACAAAAATTCGATACGGGAGTCCTCAGCGCAAATGGCATGAAGGAACCATTTCACGTGAAGGGACTCGAGCTGTCTAGTAGACCCGCTACTGTGACTCTACATCGCCAAAAATGGTACCAATGGTTCTCGCCTAGCGACACGCCGGAAGAGCGTCGATTGATACTAAAGCTGGACGCATTGATCATGATCTTTGTTTTCCTTGCATACTGGGCAAAAGTTTTAGATTCATCTGCGACAAGTGCAGCATACGTGAGTGGTATGAAGGAAGACTTGAAATTGTTTGGAAACGAGCTCAACTATCTCAACACCACTTACATGTAAATTGCCCAAAAGAGCAAGTGTAATACTTAAATGTTGTTTTACTAAGATATTTGCGCAGGGTTGGATATATAACACTTCAAATACCATTGACAGTTCTTGTGAGTCTATTCCATACCACGAAACAAAATGTGAACCGCCTTCGTCGCTGCATGTGTCTGACCGTCGTCGCAGATGACTCGCTTTTCGGCAGCATACTTTATTCCTGGGGCCGATCTCATATGGGGAATACTCACTCTTGCGCAGTACAAAGTTAGCAATGTGCACCAGCTATATGTGCTTCGCTTCTTCGTCGGCGCAGCTGGAAGCTTATTCTTCCCAGCTGTTCAATGGTATCTTGGGTGCTGGTATAAACGATCAGAACTAAGCCGACGAGGTGCTTTGTTTTTCATTGCCAGTCAAGTTGGCAGTATGAGCTCCGGATACATACAGAGCGGTGCATACGCTCACCTCAATGGTAGGTATGGCATTGAGGGATGGCGCTGGCTGTATATCATTTGTAAGTTACCTTACCACAATGATGATCTGAGAAATGCATATTAATTCCTGATACAAAGGCTTCGCCTGTACGATTCCAGTCGCTCTTCTTGGATTTATTGTACTGCCAGGTCATCCAGATACCTGCAAACCCTTCATCTTAACAGAAAATGATATTCGATTAGCCAGAGAGCGGATGGCAGCTGAGAACCGTGAACCTCGAAAGCCGATCACTTTATCTGTGATCAAATCTGTTTTGACCGGTTGGCACTTTTGGGTCTTAGTGTCCTTTGCCTTTTTCTTCTCTCAAGCCGACGGCATCTCCTCGAACAGCGGCCTCCCGTTATGGCTCAAAACCGAAGGGTACAGCGTCGAGAAGATCAACACCATCACTACCATCCTCCCTGCGGTGACAATTGTGTCTTCAATTATCTGTGGCGTGCTATCCGACATTTATGATGCCAAAGTCTATTTAATCACTATTACTGCTTTGCTCAATATCCTGGCAGGCGTGGTTTTGGCTATCTGGGACGTACCCAAGGGTCTCAAGTTTTTCGCCTTTTTCCTTTCGGGGTCTGCAGACGGCATCGCCGCCGTTATTTACGCATGGGCAAACGAAATTTGTGCCGGAAATGCAGAAGAGCGTGCAATCGTACTTAGCAGCATGAATACTATTGGAAACACGTTTGGCGCATGGCTTCCGTTATTGTAAGTGGACGTCTCCATGAGGCAACAAGACGTATTGAGGATATGAGCTAATGCAATAATTTTCCCATCTATGTGTAGTGTTTGGAAGACTTCGGACGCTCCCCGTTATCTTATTGGGTATAACTGGACAATTGCGCTTGACGTATGCATGATTGCCATGCTATTTGTCCTACGTTCGTTCTGGAATCGCGAAAAGAAGTCAATGGAGAATTTGTGAGAAAAACTATGTTTCAATCCAAATAGATTTCCTATAATATAGTACGCAAAGTATTTGTCTCTAGGACCTTAACAATCAAGAGTCCAGCTCATATCCCTCAGTTCCCTCGTCTTCCCTCTTGATCAGTGGCTGAAACGTGTCTATCTTCACGCCTTCTATTGCTCGCACATTCAGAGGCTGCATTGCCATGTTTTTATGATAGACTGCCAAAGCCCTTTCTTTCCTCTCTGGTGGGAGCTTGTCAAAGACGCTTATGGGAGGGCCATAAATGTTACTAAAAACATGGACACCGCAAGTTTTGCAGTACGTCGACCCCGTGAATTTTCCACCCGTAAGATATTCGAAAACTCGATCACGGCCGTGAATTCTTACATTGTCTTTCGTAGGGTAAATGCCGATGTATGCAATCTGCGTAAATGAATGTTAACAAACAACAACAGAGGAACCTTGTGAGACATGAGCCGGGAGTGATTATGACATACCCTCACACATTTACTACAGTTGTCCTCTTTTAGTTCTTCACCCTCTATCGGGCTCAATAAAATAGCTCTGACATCACCGCAATGGCATATAAACAGACTTTTCGCAGCTGGTTCGTCGGGCTGTTGTGAAACTGGTTCAATCGATCGTGTATCGCCTTCAGCCTCGATGACAGTTATTGCCGATCTGCCAATTGTGTTAGTACGGCTGACTGTTAATCACAGAGCGATGTACTGACTCAAGCTTGAATGGATTAACATATGGCTCTCTCAGTGTTCGGATGTTGATCAAGAATTTGCCTCGCAGCGGACCCGTCAGATGCTCGCCCTCGACTCCGCTTCCGCAGTAGCTACAGAACTGTGGGCTATCAGTATACTTCTGATCATATAATAAAGTCCATTATCTAGAGAAATTAGATTTGCGTATGTATATACTTTATCTTTCAATGTAGATGTTTGGTACTCTACAAGGTAGCCTTCATCTCTCAGAACTGTAAACGCCCCTTCCCCCGGAATCAGCCACAAGTATCCTTTCTTCACACATAGACTGCAGGAACAGGATATGGCTGATGTGATCTCTGCTGTTGAGACCTGAAAACGGTAGCGGCCACAGTGGCAGTTTCCATGATACACGATACTGTCAGTAGCAGCCATGATGGGCTATTTTGGAGATGCTCAACGACATGTAGACAAAGACATTTCAAGAGGGGTAACACGGCGCTAAGAATGGGATTGAGGCTAGGGTTAAGACTAGGACACGATTAGATTCCTCCGGGCAACTATCTGGCTTTCGGCAATCCTTCGCACTTTAGAAAGCCGAAGTATTATTATCCCTGGATTTTTTCTCTCTTCCCAATTTCGGTTTCGATAAGAAGATGTCGCTACATATATCGTGTAATTCATCACGATTACCCGTACTCGTATACAAAGTTGACAATGGCTCTGCCAACCCCATGACTAAAGAAAGGGTGGGGGTCTGGCGCTTCTCCGCAAAACGGAGCAATAAGCCACTGGTAGTCTCAGTCCCAATGCCTTCCATCTCCTCTCTCTTTATCTTCACATGTCCTTTGAGAGCTTTCCCTTTGGAATTTCCTTAATATCCAACGTCTGTATCTGTGAGATTTGTACGGAATCAACCCATCATGGCAACTGATATTCTTTTCCAATCACCAACAGTGATTACCGGCGACGAATCCGCCGAGCCGTTTGTGGCCGATGTGTTGGTTTCAGGCGGCCTAATTGCCAAGATCGGGGCTTCGGGTTCAATTGATGTTTCCTCAACAACTCGACAAATCGACGCAAAGGGTCACATCCTGTCTCCCGGGTTTATCGATATGCATGCCCATTCCGATCTCTACCTTCTCACACATCCGGAGCACGAAGCAAAAATCACCCAAGGCTGCACGGTAGGACATTCCTTCTGCACATGCTGATGTAACCCCCCAAACAAATCGCCCCCACGGAGAGGGACACGGCTCCGACGTTTCCATCGCTGTGGGGGCCATGCATCCGTCCTCCGTGCTCGGCAGCGTATACTGTCTTCCGCGGACCATCCGAGATAAGAGAGGTTCGGTGTGATACGGTAGCTAATCATTATTTGATATGGCAGACCGAAGTTGTTGGCCAGGACGGCATCTCATACTCCCCAATCCGAAATGTCAATCAGCTTCAGGCGATTCGAGAACAAATTGCAGGCTGGAACGGTAATCCCACAGACGAAGAATGTCGCACGACACTCAGCGGAGTTGGCATGTTTGAATGGAAGACTGTGGGAGAGTATCTGGATTGTTTAGAGCGTAATAAGACGGCTACGAATGTCGCCACGTTGGTGCCTCAAGGCAATTTGAGATTGCTCGCATGTGGCCCATATGATACGCCTGCATCACCCGAGGAAATTCAAGATCAGATCCAACTCATGCGAGAGGCAATGGACCAGGGCGCCGTCGGCATGTCCAGGTAACATCTCTTCACACATACCTATTTTGTTTACAGCATATAGCCTGGATTTTCTGACTCGGTATAGTGGCCTCACTTACACGCCTGGCATGTACGCTTCAACGTCAGAGTTGGCATCTCTCTGCGAGGCACTGGCAAAGGAATTTCCGGGTGCATTTTATGCGCCTCATCACCGCAGTTATGGGTTCCAGGCGATCGAAAGCTATGCTGAAATGCTAGGACTGGGCGAGTCGACAGGCTGCCCTATTCGTACGTCTTGCTCCATCACATCATAAGGGAGAGCCAGAGTGCTTGAAGCTGATTGACGTAGATCTCACGCATGCCACCATGAACTTTTCTGAAAACAAGGGCAAAGCGCCAATACTCATATCCATGATTGACAAGTCACTCGAAAAGGGTATCGATGTGACACTCGATACTTACCCCTACCTCCCAGGCTGCACAACTCTAGCTGCCTTGCTACCCAGCTGGGCCTCTGCAGGCGGACCAGCCGAAACCCTCAAGAGGCTGGAAGACGCAGAGACCAGAGAAAAGATTCGTGTGGCTGTCGAAGTGACTGGGTGTGACGGCGGCCACGGAATTCCGACAAACTGGGACGAGATTCAAGTTGGTGCTACGGGCGAGCCATCTCTAGCATCATATTCCGGCCGCAGAGTGGCGGAGATTGCCAAATCAGCGGGAAAGCCATCCATCGAGGTGTTTTTTGAGCTCTTGCAAAAAGACAAGCTGGCAACTAGCATCATTATGCATGTAGGCAACGAAGAGAACGTCCAGCTGATTATGCAGCATCGGGTGCACATGGCGGGCAGTGATGCGATTTTACACGGCAAGACGCTTCACCCGCGTGCTTATGGAACATTCCCTCGTTATCTCGGTGAGTTGCACCCCTCTTACATATTTATAGGTATCGAGAGCTTTGTGTTAATGATGAATATCACAACAAAAGGCCACTATTCGCGCGATCTGTCGCTTATTCCTCTACCTGCCATGATTGCGCATCTCACCTCTCGCCCAGCCAAGCGTCTCTCAGTCTATCCGTTCCGTGGTCTTGTCGCCGAAGGGTCGGCTGCTGACCTTGTTCTTTTCGATCCGGAGGCCGTCAAAGATATGGCAACGTATGAGGAGCCCAAGCTGCCGAGCAAAGGTATCAGATTCGTCTTGGTGAATGGTCAGGTGGCTCTGGACGAGGGCAAGATGACGGGCGCACGAGGTGGTAAGACGCTGAGGAGATGGAAGGATGGAAAGGTGAAAGCCAGGGACGAGTGAGTGCTATAATAGTGAGTGAATTTCACCACATTTGGATGCAAGTAGGGTATGCGTGTGTTACGCATAAGCGGGCACTTTATGCTTTTCATATCTCACGTGAATCCTTTGTAGCATATCTTCAGGGTTGTCACAAGCGCGAAGTGTATTGCCGCAATCTCTAAAATCTGCAATCGAGATCTGGGCCGAGGCTGTGCAATCGCCAGCCTCAACGGAGACCATCTTCCCGGTTTCAGTCACTCTTCCTGTTTTAACCATAAATGCACGAGCCACGTATGTATCAACACCTACCTTTCAAGTCACCAACTTAACTAGCCGATCATCGCCACTCATCTGTACAACCTCCCGTGAGATCCGCCGCGCGGCCGCAAACTCCTTCGTCCGCGTGGCAACCCAAGGCCTCTCAGCATGGAAATATTCGCTTCAGCATTGCTAATCCATCCATCAGCTCCGCTCGGGGGCTTTTTGTCATGCCTGCTTTTCTGGCTTGGGCTTAGGCCTCTCTGCTTGTCCCGTTTAGTCCTTGGCCCGTCTTCTTAGCTGGCTCGCGAGACTTGTTTGAACAGGTTAACCCGTCGCAACCCAACGACTAGCTGGTTGGCTAAGTGGCGCCAAGGGGGTTGCAACAAGAGCCAAGGCCGTGCCTGTTGGCTCTGAAGTAAGGCTGATTAAAGTCGCCTCCGCGTGGCCATTGGCTGTGACACAAGCCCTCACATGTGCTCCAGCCTCGGGGGCGCCTGAAGCTATTTTTATCTCTCCCGGTTCCTGGATCAGTTCTAAATTAGAAAGCATGTCGATTAGTGCAGAAACAGAACCAGCCTGTTGGTTCTGCTTGAATGAGGCGCCAAAGTTCTTTCTATTGTCAGGATTATAACGCATCTATCTCTCGCTTTTTTTTCTCTTATAAATGCCAACACCCTTGTGCAATCTGCTCTCATCTTAACCCCATGCAAATTGTGGGTTCAAAGCGAATCTAATCACCAAGCGATCTCATCAATCACATTTAGCCATCTACGCCAGTCAGCACTATCCGACTCGCCGGTCCAGGATCTCGTTCAGCATCTTGCCTCCACTGGCATACGGACAATTACAGCTGCGGGCAAGACAACACTAGTTTCCAATTCTCGCAACTGAAGCCGGGGTTTTGCGGGCTGCGCGCGGATGGTGACCTCCTCAACAGTCTCTTATTAACCAATCTCAATATCAACCTTTCAGCCACCCCTTCCAACAGAACTTTTACGCATTCTTTTGAAGATACCCCTTCTTCGTACATACCATTTTGCTCTTTTTCTATTTATCTTTTTATATAATTCTCATCATTATGCCTTCCTCTCTCCCCTTCCGCCGACGAGACCCCGGCATAACAGCCCAGGCGTCCTCCACCTCTTTCAACGACATCATCTTCCCCAAGATCTACGAAGAAGCTTGGGGCGTTTCCGATGGCACAACTTCAGATAATCGATCGGAATTCGATCGAGCGCGTATCTTTCTCTTGCGCATGGCCAACATGACGCCCGATCCCAAGATTATCGACGAGCTGCGCACAATCGTCGCAAACCCACAAAACAAAACTATACAAGCCCTAGCTACAGCGATACAGCATCGGATATTTGGTGACTCGCATGGCTCTTTTGCTACGACACCCCTGATGCAGTCCGTGCGGTTCATGCTTCTCAAGGCTCGCGTGCCAGAGCTCATTCTGTCGGACCGAACAAGATCCGTCGTCGACTTCTTCTTCGACCCAACACTAGAGAGAAACCTCAATCCTCCGCCCACTGGAGATGTGTCTGTCTACAAGTACCCAGCGGGAAGACTGAAGGTTGCCATTGTAGGAGGCGGGCCTACTGCTCTGGCATCAGCCATCTCCATCGCAGAGAAAGGCGCCGGCAGTGTCGAGGTCCACATGTATGAAAAGCGCTGGATACAAAAAGTGTTCCCCAATGGCACTGTTGTCGTCGACTATCCTCCGTATGCCAAGCGGAGAGACCAGGTCGTTACGCTTCAGGACTCTGTCACACGACTTCTCAGCAAGCCATCATTCCAAGCGCTCTTTGCCGGAAGGCCGGAACGAGTGTGGCCCGGCTCAGCCAACATTCAGATCCGAAAAGTAGAGGATCGATTCCTCAAGCGAGTGCAGGATCCAGAGTTCCAGGGACTCATTTACTTGCACTGCGAGGGAGTTACCAGAGAAGACCTTGCTAAAGTTGGCGATTTCCATGTTCTGCTTGGTGCTGACGGCGCTGCCTCATGGGTACGGCAGTCATACTTTCAAGGATATGAGAACGAGCGCGGGAGAAGCTATGCGCTAGGCTTGGCTTTTGACCGACCCGCAGGCTTGCCGTGGTCGCAGCCCCTCAACGTCTTCCTCACACTTGGACAGACGCGGTACCTGCTCAACGCGAGTGATCATGATGGCCGAGGCTACCTGAACATGCAACTCACGGAAGAGGAGTGGCACAAGATGGTTTCGATTGACGGCCAGCCCGTTCACTTTGGCAGGCCCGGTTGTTTCAGGAAGTTAGACGGAAGTGTCCCTGAAGGTTTTGAGCACAGTCAAATATTTGCGCCTTCAGAGGATAGGGGCAGTCCTCTGTGGGTATCCATCTCGGATGGCCTTAAGCTGTTTGGATTCAAGGAGGAGGAAGTCATCAACGTTGTGCGAATCCCCATTGTCGTCCAGGCTGTAAGAGAAGGCGTACAGATGCTTCCGCCACAGGATTCGATAAACGTCAAGCGCCCCCACGCCCTTGTTGCAGTGGCAGGCGATGCAGCAATGACGGTTCATTTCTGGCCTGGTCGTGGACTCAACAGCGGAATCAAAGCTGGTTTGTCCCTGGGAGATGAGCTTGTACATGCCTTGAATAACGGCAAGTTTATCGGCATGCCCATCGATGCTTTGAAAGAGTACAACGATTTCATTCTCAAACTGCAAGGACGAGAGCACGATAAGCGAAGCATTCCCATTCTGAACCAATCTGGTTCTCCCGAAATGCTCGGCTGGCTGCTCCAGAAGGCCAACAGCGTTCCCGATCAAGTAGCCATCGAGTGGCTAATCGGCGCCATGACGCAAATCGCAGACCGCCTACAGAGGAGAGACGACTGGGCGTACGATTATGTCGACAATGTCGAGCCTCAGCTGCGCATTGTGCTGCGGCAACTAGACACGGTAACTCTTAAAGAAATGGCCGTCAGCTTCCCCTGGCCGACGAGAGAAATGGCCGGCGCCGAAGTATTGCCCATCCGATCCATGAAGCCAGAGGAGAAGCAGAAATGGCTCAACAACCTGTGGGGGGTCTTACGAGAGGAGAGGAACAAAGAAAGCCGCGGCCCTCCACCCCAGGAACGGGACCGATCTCCTTCGGCAGCGCGATTCGAAGCTCCCAAAGGTGGTAAAGCCAGGCCCATGTCTCTCATGCCACCAAGTTCGGACAGCCTTGGCAACGGAATTCTGAAGAGGAGCAATGCCACGCAAAGCGTGCGGCACAGTAGGGGTCTCTCGGTGCCAGGAGAGGGTGCACCCAGGGCTCGATCGCCATCACCAGGCCCAGGCGGCGAAGTCAGTCTAAGCAGAATGCTGACGGTTCACAAGAAGCCGCCGACGTCGGTTCTGGGTGATGCGTTGTCTTTGGCTTTGTTCCGTGTGGAGGGAGAGTAAAGGGCTGGATATGGATACCCTCTTGATTTATTTAGCGATATGTGTCGACTAATGACGAACACTTGTTTGTGTATTTGGAGCCATAGTTAATGTAGTAAAAATGTAGATGACCAAATTAACATGTGAAGGCCTTCTTTTAATATTGTAGCTATTCTGTTATAGTCCAAATGTCAAGCTTAAGACATGGCCTAAAGCAATTTCGGGATGCTCGGATGACATCCAATTGATGCACGGATCGGGCCGGGTAAAATCTCAACAGACACGGGAAACTAATCTGGCAGATTTGACGAGATCTCGCAGTGGCGTGATTTCGGTTAACTAGGCCGCATCAACGGCATTCCATTCATTGGTTCCCATCGAAAGGCCAAGGCGATTGGCGAACTTGGCCGTTTCTTGGCCAGCCGAAGGATGAAGGATGAGCTGCAGGTGGCTGAGAGCTATCTTCAGGTTTGCGTTGCAAAAGCACTATACGAACGTTGTCAATAGGCCTCTGGTATAACCCGATGCTCCAGAGTTGTAGAAACACTTACCTTTACGGATCCTTCAGGGCTTAGAGTTTGATCGTAATCACATCATAGATGTATGTTCATCACATCACAGGGAGTATTTCATTGCTTCATAGCTCTGCTTATTATTTCATAACACCTTTTGAACTCTAGGTATATATTGTAACTATATGAAAGACACCCATTACTCTCCCTTCTGGACAGCGTGCTCCTCCTCGTTGTAAGTGGGGATGGAGTCAGACTTGTCGTTCAGACCGAGCTGAGTAGTGTCCCAGCCGTGGGTCTCGAGATACTCGCGGAACTTGGCATCCTCCTCAGTAATGGTGTCCTGGCCAACGTTGGGAATGCAGAAGAAGGCAATGGCAGCGGACAGAAGAGCCAGCGAGGAGGCAACCCAGAAGGGGTACTGGGCAACCTTGGTAGGATCGTTACCACCGGCAGCCTCAATGCGGGGGAAAACCCAGGTTCCGACAAAGGCACCAATCTTGCCAATGGCAGCGGCGATACCGTAGTAACGACCACGAACACCAGTGGCGCAGGTCTTGGCGGCCAGCAGACCAATGTTGTTACCGGGTCCAAGCTCTCCCAGACTCAGGAAAATACCGTAGACGACGGCGAAACCAGCAATGTGCTTGGAGATTTGGTCGTAGACACCAGCCATGATGTATCCGACAACGGCTTGCAGAGAAACACCAATGATCAGAGTGTACTTGGGACCAATCCAATCACTAACAAAGGCACCAATCATGGTTCCGGGGATGTAGAACAGGTTGATGACAGTGTTCCATCCAAAAACGGTGGTGAGAGGAGCGGAATCGGAGTAGATGCCGGCGAGGATGGACGAGGTGTAGATACCGAAAGCATACGAAGAGAACTGGTAAATAGGTCAGAATGCTTGAATGCAAATACAACGATCAAAAAGATAGTAAAGGCTTACATCGTAGAGGAACCAGATGATGCTGACGGCAAGCAGTCGGAAGCCATAGTAGCGGAAGATAAGCAGGTAGGGAGTCTTGTGCCTCATAGATTCCTTGGAGAACTCCTCGGGCTCCTTGAGCCTCAGACGGAGGACGAAGAGAATCAGAGGGAAGACAACACCGATTCCGAGAGAGGTTCGCCAGATGGTACTAAGGCGGTGGTCGTGGGTAGCGGCGGCGACAGCATCTGAGACACATGTGTGAGCAGCTGCCATCATCTCAGGTCAATGTATAAGATAAAACCTACAGGGAACAAAGGCTCCAATGACAAAGCCCCAGTCAATCATGGTGTTGGTGAAGAGAATGAACCAGCGGTTGCGGGTGCCAGACTTGAGCTCGCCGCTCGTCTCGGCACAGCCAACACTACCAGCAGGATACTCGCCTATGAGCATGAGAGTCAGTATCAAAGACGCCGCAGTGTAACATTTTGAGGGCGAGGGCAAACAAACCTCCAATGCCGATACCGACAAAGAATCGCCAAGCAGTCAGCATGTTGAACATGCCAACAGGATCGCCGTGGTAGTAAGAGCCAGTGGCCAGGGCAGTAAAGACAATCAGGATAACGGTAGACACGAGCAGCGAGTTGGAACGAGACCAGCGATCGGCCAAGAAGCCAAAGAACAGCTGTCCAACGACGGTGCCGACAAAGGCAATGTCCGACACATACTTGCTGGCGTTGGACGAGGTGTAGACCTCGCCGTACTGAAGCTTGAGAACGGTGTTGACGGAACCGATGACGTTGTTGACGTAGCCGTCGGAGAAGAGACCGGCACCGCAAGCAAAGACGGGCAGAGCCGTCTGGAAGAAGGTCTTGCGGCGGGCGCCGACTTCAATGGCGGGCTCCATCATGATTGTGGCAGAGGGCGTTGCGCTTCCAAGTGAGCAAACAAGAGGAAGTTGTTGTGTTTTGCAACAAACAGAACAGAACTAGGCCCCTCGAGACGAACAACTCAGAGGAGGGTTGGTTGGTCACTGGTGATCAGATCAACCAAGAGGAGGAGAGATGGAGTCTCACATCTTTGAAGGGGTAGCACCGGCTATCTATATCGATTTCATCACAGGGTTACGCCGAGGCCATGACCGTGTGTCTTGGAACTCTTGCTTCCCTCCCACCCAACGTGCACTAGCCTGCAGCAAACCACCTGCGCAGAGTGGTATCGAGGAGAACCCACTTCGAGACAATGGCTAGTACACACACGTACTAGAATCTTGGTGTAGATGCTTGCACATGCTTGGAACTTGAACAGCGCTAACTGGTCGTGTCGTTTTGATCCGAGCACTCGAGGCCCACACGAGGATCAGTTCGACCGGGGGGCCAGGATAGCCCACAAGAAACCGCCTCATTTGGGCAGATGTGAGGAAGGAAAAGCACTGGACATGAAGGCCATGTGCGTGATGCTGAGACGCCCAATGGCTGGCCGTGGATGAATCGGCAAAGGGTTGCCACGACGTTGTGGATTCGATATCTCTTGCAGGGTCAGGGTCCTTTGCGTCAACACGTTTTTTTATCAATATTTTTTTTCTTCCTTTTTCAAAGTTTTTTTTATTCGTTACTGCACTGGTCGAGATTCCGGAGTTGGCAGTTGATCTCATGCTCTCCCTCTGCCGGCTGGCGTTTGCCGGACTTGGCAGCTTGGCTCTTGGCGACAAGTAGTACATGCAGCTACGCCGATTAGTGCTAGTAGCAGCAGGTACTTGGCGTCCTAGCAGTGCTCGTACAAATTACTCGTACATGACTTACATCGGTGCAGCTGAGCAGACATTACAAACAGTCGGCGGTGATGATCTTTGGGACCGTGCTTTGCTGCTCAGTGGGCTATTACGTGACACGTACACACATCATCGCTGTATTCATCTGATGCACAGCGCTACTCGTACTCATGGCAACAGTCTGGGGGTGCGGAGGACATGACTCCATGTTTCCATGTTCCGTATCAGCGTGGAGAAGCCCTGGCAAAAAGTCCCCCGGGCAGATATGATAGGTTACCATGCGCGGGCAGAATGCGGATAAGTGAGAAAAAAACAGGTGAAGACAAAAGAAAAAACAAGTGGCTGTCCGGGATATGGCTCTGGCCCCGGCAATCGAGTGGGCAGCCTGGAAGTCTTGCAAAGTGTCCATGTCGAAACACCAAAGCTGACCTCTCAACCGGGCATCTTCACCACGTTGACACCATCATCCCACTCATCAGCTTCAACTCCATACGGATAGCAGCCGCTTTTGGTGAATGAGGCACAAGTCCGTCAAATAGCCGTGTCAATAGCGCTCCCGATCGGATGTCATTGCGAAAACGTGCAGTCAGATCGTGGCGCCAGCTTGAACATTTGAAGCCCTTTTCGGCCGAGCTCTCGGACAGACCGCCCGAAGAAGCATCACCAGAGTGCCGAAAGCGTTGACCGAGCGGCTGCCGGGGAGGATGACAGGATGAGGCAGCAGAATTCTGAAGAAGCGAGTGCACACCTGGCGATGCACGTGGATAGAATGAGACGTCGGTGTTGGTGTTGCAGAACTCGAGGTGGTGTTTTTTTCCTTCGTGAACTGAACTGAACTGACTCGGAGTGGCCGACCTGTCAGCACTATCCGGGAGAGTCGTTGACAGGGACGGCCATGCACCAAACCGCGGTTAGTTGCACCGACGAGGGCGCTAAACAGGCCTGCAGCAGTGCGCTAATCCCGACTTTTACAGAAGGGGTGGGGGGCGCTGTTGGTTAGAGGTTGTGGCGCTATCGCGAGTTTTGATACAGCGGACTTTGCTACAGTAGTTGTTGTCCAGATCAGCGAGTTTGACGCCTTCCATCGGACGAGCTGCCATACACGTACACGACGGGACTTGATACTGACAGCGGCGAGTAGTGTCGAGTAGTTTCGGGGCCGAGCGCCCGTCTTTGAGCGAGTGAAGGTGAAGAAGGCATTGATCGCCAATAGAAGCTGGTCGATGGGAAACGTTGGCTGAGGGTGGAGGAGAGTTGGTGGGCTGGTGGGGGAGACGGAAAAGACGATGATGAGAAACGGAAAAGACTGAAGAAGAATCAGTACACGCCAGTATGTGTGAGTTTAGTATGAACGTGTGTACATCACTGAACAAGAAAATTCCAATAGATTTCCATGTTGATTCAAGCTGATTCGAGCATCTTCTGCTGCAAGCCGCTGGCTTCAATGGTCTCCGGCCCGTCCCACAGCCAAGCACGCAGCCAAGGCACAGCTGAGTCGAGAAGGCGGAGAAACGTGCGGCCGTATCCAGCCGAATGTGACGACGGAGGGTTGCACCGTTCCGAGGAATACCAAAGCTGCATGTTCAGCTGCTCGTCGATGAATGATAACGCATGTATGCAGTGAATTTGATATTGGCGGATAATCTCTACAGGCAATAAATGGAGCAGAAATTCTACCTTATATCCATATGTTAAAACTGGCACATTGCAATCGTCATTCAGCATGTGATAATGGACATCTCAGTAGAACCGCAAACGCTATCTGGAACTTTCGTACTGTAGGTGGGTTGGCTGCTAGCGCGCTACTTGCAGCCCCCGCCAAATCTCCATACACCGCCCACGTCGCCCGCAAACACTTGACCCATCCGTTGGAACCTGAAGCGCCCATCCAATCCAACCTCCAGCGCTATCTATCCATGGTTCATCACAGGTGGACCACCAAGCCTTTTCCTCAATCCCGAGCCCTGTGCTGCTTCAGACCAGCCATCCTACTGTACCGCATCATTAGCTCATCATCTTACCTGTTCTGTCCTGTCCTGTCCATGCACCTCCGGCATCCACAAGCTTCCCGCTCTAGCGCCTTGAAAGCGATGAGGCTCGTCTAGACCTATTCAGAGCTCCAGCTCCAGCTCCTCTGCAGCTTTGCCATGGCGCCGGGCACAACACCATCATCGCCAGCCGTCGCCCATCCTGTCCGCAATGTCAGTCGCTGTAACACCTCTTCTTCTCTTTCTTCCCCTTCTTTCTGTACCAAGGTGATGAGTACATACGGCACTTGTACATGTACTCGTACAGCCTGCTGCGCCGTTTCTCCACCGTCCCAACGCGCGTTCTTTCGTTCATGCTGGGCACATGCGCACAGACCGGCTGACCTTGTTTTTCTGCTGCCATAGACGAGCAACGATGATACCATTTCTCTGTCGCCTCAGCCGCGGGCTGCTCCCTCAAGATCGAGCCAAGGCCCGGCCAAGAACGGCTGCCTGAAGCGCTTCCTCGACACCGTCATCGCATCGCTGGCCCGCTGCTTCGACGCCATGAGCTCCTCGACAAAGGCCGCGCTGCTGCGCTTCATCCGCTGGCTCGACTCGCCGCTGGGCCACGGCGTCCTCAAATGCACCTTGGCCTACACCATCGCCAGTCTGGCCACCTTCCTCACGCCGCTCTCCAACTTCCTCGGCACGCTCGACGGAAAACATGTCGTGGCAACAATCACAGTTTATTTCCACCCGGCTCGGTCCACGGGCTCCATGATCGAGGCTGTCCTCATCGCCGTCGTCGCCATCGCATACGCCGAGCTCGTTTCGATCCTCTCCATGGTTGTGTCGGTCCTTGTCGGCTCCGTCATGGGTCTAGTCACTTTGGCGCATGTATTGGTCGTCATACTGTTCATCGGCGGTGGCTTTGGCTTCATGGGATGGGTAAAGCAAAAGATGGCAAACCCGCTCGTCAACGTCGGCAGTACCTTGGCGTCACTGGCCATCATCTCCGTTGTTACCAAAGAAAACGCCGTCATATCAAACGTCTTTTCCAACCAAAAGATTGTCCAGGTCTTCAAGATGCTCATCATGGGCATCACGTCCACGGCCGCCGTCAACGTTTTGGTCTGGAGGGTGTCGGCTCGCGATCTCTTGAGGACTTCCATGGCAAAGGCAACCACGTCGTTAGGAGGCATGCTTTCCACCATTTCCGCGAGTTTCCTGAAAGGCGTCGAGGAAGAGCAAATGTCTGCGGATTTCACTGCATCCTCAGCCACCTACGCAGTCACCTACCCACAAATGCTCAAGAACTTGCGAGAGGCCAAGTTTGAAGACTACCTCCTTGGTCGAGAGAGGATTTACGTCTTGCAGCGATCCACTGTCAAGGCCATCGAGACCTTGGCTCGCTCTATAGGCGGCTTACGCAGCGCAGCTAATACCCAGCTGTCCCTTCTCAAGCTGGCCGAGTCAGACGATGTGCCGCCTCCTCTGACGCGCTTCCTAACAGTCTCGTCACTTGGGGATTTTGAAGGCATATCGCCCAGTAGTTCGAGCCCGAGAGCGGCGGCCCATGTGTCAAGCAGGCCTAATTCGCCAGGACAACGGCCTAGTTCATCCGCCCATGATCACGATGATGGCCCTACCCCGTCATCTCTCTTCAAGTTGTTTGTCGATTTGATAGGTCCATCGATGGAAGCTCTAACACAAAGCCTTGTCCTGATTCTCCGAGAGTCGCCTTTGGGGTCTGCCCCCAATTATGAGGTTCCCATCAGCGATGAACTGCGGCAATCGTTGACGGAAGCCCTGTTCCAGTTTAATATGGCTAGATCCGATGCCCTACGGCAAGTGTACAACATGATTGAGCGAGAGAAATCCACGTCGAGGCGGATACAGGCCGGCTTGGAGGAAGTCGCTGCTGCCTGTGGGCATTTCAGCTTCAGCCTGCAGACGTTTGGCGAGGAAATGCAAAAGTATCTGGATATTCTCGACGATCTCAAATTTGTCAACGAGCACAACAAACGCAGCTGGCGTTGGATACTCTGGTGGAGGAAGGACGATACCGAGGTACAGGGTCGTAAAATGTCAAGCTTGCCGTTCGAAACATCACCCGAGGCCGAGAGCCTCATCAAACCCATCAGGAAGCGGGATGTGCCCAGAGGTATTCCGGATTCCCTGGTTCGCCGTAGAGACACATATAATTGGCAAGCAGCACCTAATGCCAGCAAAATACTGTCTGCGATTTCCCAGTCCATTCTGAGATTTGTGCGGAAGATTGCCCGAGACGACAGTAAGTACAGTACCCTGTTCCATTTGCCTTCTGCCAAACTAACCCGCTCTTCTACTACCAGTTCTCTTTGGGCTCAAGGTTGGCATTGGCGCATCTCTCTGGGCAATGTTGGCCTTCTTAGAGGATACTCGAGAGTTTTACAACCACTATCGTGGCGAATGGGGGCTTTTGTCCTTCATGATTGTCTGCTCCATGACTGTCGGCGCTTCCAACACTACGGGCTGGGCTCGATTCATGGGGACATTCTTTGGTGCATTCTTCTCCTTGTTCAACTGGACAGTCAGCCAGGGCAATGCGGCGGCACTCATCATACTTGGGTGGCTAGTTGCCTTTTGGAATTTCTATCTCATTGTCGCTCGAGGCAAAGCTCCGCTGGGTAGGATGACTATCCTGGCGTATAACGTGTCGACGCTATACGCATACAGCCTAAGCCAACGGGTTGACGATGACGATGACGACGAGGGTGGCCTGCATCCCATCATGATGAAAATTGTAAAGCATAGAGTTATTTCGGTCACGGCGGGCATTCTTTGGGGCCTGATTGTTTGTAGGGTCATCTGGCCCATTTCGGCCCGCAGAAAGTTCAAGGAAGGTGTCTCGATGCTCTACCTCCAGATGGGTCTTATCTGGAGGCGAGGGCCCCTTGCCATCCTTCTCCGCAGCGATTGTTCGGAAAGCTACCTCAAGTCTGGGGAGCAAGTTGCCATGCAGAGGTATGCCAACCGCTTGGAGAGTCTGCGACAGTCGGCTGCATCGGAGTTTGAGCTTCGCGGCCCGTTCCCGATGGAGACGTACGGCCGCATCATGCGGAGCACAAACCGGATCCTAGACAGTTTTTACGCCATGAGTCTCGTAGCACACCGGGATAGAAACCTCAGTGCGGGCGAGCGCGCCTTGTTAGAGTACACGGCAACGGAGCGAGCCGTCCTGTGCGACCGCATCTGCCACGTCTTTCAAGTGCTAGCCAGCTCCATGATGCTGGAATACCCCCTGACCGATGCGGTCCCTAGCGTCATTGGCATTCGCGATCGGCTGCTCGCCAAAATATTCCAGTTCCGCAAAGAGCACTCAACCGAAGCCATGAGAAACCTTGGCTTCATCCCGGAAAGAGAAGTCGAGAATGGTGAAAGCAGCCATGATGCCGCTGCGGCTGTTACTCCCAGTGACGCTCCTGTTGGTGCGGTGGTGGCTGAGGAGAAAGACTACGCTCTCCTCTACGCGTACACGCTGGTGACTGGCCAGGTCGCCCAGGAACTGAAGATTGCAGAGAAGGAGATTGAGAAACTGTTTGGTGTGCTCAGCGAAGAGTCTCCGCTACTTGTGTAATAATTATGAAAGAAAGGTCGGCAGAAGGAGCAACAAGGGCGGCGCAATATTGGATACCCGTTTACTGGCATCGATACCTAGAATGCATGCATACCTCACGGTGTTGAGTATTTCATTTTCATTTTCATTTTCATTTTCATTTCCGTTTTTACCTACGGAAACCCGCTGGACGCCGTTAACTCATATGCAAACCCTTATAACAAACGGTAATAATAATAGTAATACAAGATCCACTCCCAGAAAGGATAACATGGCTGGATCATATGGCATTTCATCATTCGCCTTCATCTCAGCATCGTTCCATGCTTATGCCGCCTCAGAATCTCCATGCTTCACTGAAGCTCCCGCAGCCGATACGCCAGAAAAGGGACACGTTCCCTGCGGTATCGCCTTCTCCTCCCCATCAGGCGATCCCTCAGCACCCGTATGGTCCTTCATATCCTCGTCGGTCAGAATCTTCTTGCCGTGCAGGTATCCCTCGCGCTCAATCTCAATGTCGGAGTCGGGGGACTCGAACTCGGCGCCGTCCTTGACGTGCCACTTGGCCATGAGGTCGTTTTGCACCCAGATGACCTTGTTGAGGGCCTTGACGAGGGCGATTTTGCGCTGGATGTGGAGGCGTGGGTGGGAGAGGATGGCTTCGTTCATGATGTCTTGGATGAAGCCTAGACAGGCGCCCAGATGGACGTATTCGATGTGCAGGGGGTGTTTTCGGCCAAGACCGACGTGCATCATGCTTTTGTTGCATCTCATGTCAGTGTTTGTTCTGTACAAGCCTTATAAACATACAACTTACCCAACTTTATCGAGATACTCCCAAAACTCCATCTTGCTCGGGTCTGAACACAGCTTGTTCAGGTACGCCCGCAGGAACATCTTGCGATGCAGAATCTGCGGGCTATTTTCATCGGGGATCTCATCGAGAGGACCCTCAAATGATGTGCTTCTAGTGGTGAAGGCGCGAGCGGTAATATCGTATTGGAGGAGCTTTTTGTAGACAATGTTGACGACGGCGGGGATGAGGGCCTTGATATATTTGGAGTCGCTGATGAGGGCATCAATGTCACCTGTGAATAACTATGAGTTAATATCACTTTTTTTTGAGAGTTGACTTGAAGTTGTCATTGTTGTGCCTGTAAGACGTACGACTTGAAAAGTCGAGGAATGAGTGGAGATATTGGATTCGAATTTCCAGATTGGTGTACAGCTCTTCGCGCTGAATGTGTTTTATCGGCCTTGAGTAGGGATTCATGGTGGCTTCAAGTGTATTTTTATGACAAGACACGGTTTATTGGAATTTTTGAATCGATTCAATCAAAATGCGCTCCTGTATTGGATCAACGGCGAGAGAAATGGTGATGCGAGGGCCGCGTTTAGGGTAAGATGGTGGAGCGACGTGGGAGAATGAAAGCAGAGCGAAGAATGTCTGAATAATTTTCTCTTTCTGTCAACAAGTTGTCCACACGGGTTTATTTATCAAACTTCTTGATCCAATACATGCTTATACTACTAACAATCAGATTACTGCTACGATAAAAAACGAGCCATTTTCAGCATAAGCTGGGCTGAATATGCATGATCGCGAACGTCACGCCATATCGGGAATCGTGACCTGGAGATATGGTCTGACAGGTGGGGGATAGGACGATGTGATGTAATTTGCTATGCATCATCCGTTATTGGCCGTTTCGCATCGTGTCTTTTTGAGGGGGATTATTGATGAGGATTGTTTGAATGGATGGAGGAATTCGCGCATTGTTTGAGATTGAGCATTTTCATGTGAAGGGCTGAATGTATGTTTTGGCTTTGTGATGATGATGGTGTCACTGCGTAATTAGGCAGTAATATCGAGGTGACCTGATCATCCGGGTTCTCACCACGCGTTCTAGGACATAACGATGATAATTCGGATGCCTACGAGAACATGGGGAAATACACAAACATCAATGGATATACAGATATGAAACTCATAACCCGCAATAGCTGAGTAGATGATAGATTACGTGCAGCCGGTTGCTGCCGAAACTTTCAGTCGCGAGATGCAGAGATCGGGCTAATTTACGAGTCCCCGCCACAGCTGAGCCAAGGAATATGAGGTAATGCCGCTTACAAAGGCAACATGGTTATTATTTGAGTAGCTGGATAGAGTTAAAAGTTGAAGTAGCTCAAACTTCCGACCATATGATAACAAAGGGCCTCTTCCGCGTTGTTACAGCCAATGTGCTAATTTGTGCTACAACAACCAGCCTCCGCTTGAACCAGCTGCTCCCCGACCAGCCTTGACCGCTGCTGATTCTCCTCCCCGTGATAAGATGCTGCGTTACTTTACCTGCTTGAAGACGTTAGCGTTGATTCATCGCTAGCATCAGTATCGGTATCTGCCGGCGATCGGCCAGTTCTGCATTTATCCAGCGTCATTCTCCGCATCTTGAGCATGGGACCCGAATCATCACCGGGAATTGCGCGAGACATAAAATCACTTATCTCTCGCAGCAAGTGGAAAGAAGATTAGAGCGAAACAGCAATCACTTTGGCGGCGAATTTTCCCGCAGAGATTGACCTCAGTTGGTCAGCAAAGCCGCCAACACTGATTCAAATCAAGTCTCTACTACTCGTACACGAGATATCGACTGGCGATGAAACGTTACGCTGCTGCTCCGCGCCAACACACACACGCAAGGGTCCATTCATTCGTAGTACATATTAGCAGTGCTGCATGCCCTGTAATCGAATCAGAGAAGCTGAGAAGCGGCACTTGCTGATCTGCGTGGAACTTGGGGTAACAACGGATAGTTTACCTCCCCAGGACCCCGGAACTGGAGCTGGAATTTGAGCTGGAGCGGGACCCAGGCCGGAGACGAGAAACACAGTGAATCACTCCTGCAAGGGGCGGGAGAGGAACGTGTATTTAATTTAAGCAGCTGTCCCAGAGCTGTTCGCCCTGCTTCCAAGCTCGTGTGGCCTGACCCTGACAAACTCATTCCACCATCAGCTCACAGCCGACAATGTTTTCCAGGGCCATTGTCGCCGCATTAGCCCTGAGCGGCCCGGCTTTTGCTCTATGGCCCGTGCCGAAACACTCGTCGACCGGCAATGACACGCTCTTTATTGACCAGACGGTCCAGGTTACCTACAATGGTGAACAGGTGTGGTGGACTCCTCCATATGATGACCCCGGATCCCCGGACTTTGCTGAGACCAGGATCGATGACCAACAGGTTACTTACACGGCCGGCTACGTGCCTCCCAGCGGACCGCATTTCACCAGCAAGGAAATCGTCCAAGGCGGCCTCTCGCGGACATTCGGCGCCATCTTCCAGCAAGGCTTTGTGCCGTGGATGCTGCGTGAACGTGATTCGGACTCTGAACCGGCTCTAGGCGGAACACGGATCCGGACACTACAGATTATACAGACCCAGCACGATTCCGCGAATACCTTCAAGCCTCTGAATGGCGCGGTAAATGAATCCTATGCCCTGGATGTCGACGCAAAGGGCCACGCATCTCTCACCGCTCCGTCGTCAACCGGCATCCTTCGAGGTCTTGAGACCTTTTCTCAGCTCTTCTTCAAGCATAGCTCTGGTACTGCCTGGTACACGCAACTCGCACCTGTTTCGATTCGCGATGAGCCCAAGTATCCTCACCGCGGCCTCCTGCTGGATGTCAGCCGTCATTGGTTCGAGGTTTCTGACATTGAGCGCACCATTGATGCTCTGGCCATGAACAAAATGAACGTGCTGCATCTGCACGCTACTGACACGCAGTCATGGCCGCTGGAAATTCCATCTCTGCCTCTGCTGGCTGAGAAGGGCGCCTATCACAAGGGCTTGAGCTACTCGCCGAGCGATCTTGCCAGCATCCAAGAATATGGTGTTCATCGAGGTGTCCAGGTCATTGTAGAAATTGATATGCCGGGCCACGTTGGAATCGACAAGGCATACCCTGGGCTTAGCAACGCCTACGGAGTCAACCCGTGGCAGTGGTACTGCGCCCAGCCGCCCTGCGGATCCTTCAAGTTAAACAACACGGATGTCGAAAAGTTCATCGACAAGCTGTTTGAGGATTTGCTGCCGCGCCTGTCGCCGTATTCGGCCTACTTTCACACCGGTGGTGACGAGTACAAGGCGAACAACTCGCTGCTCGACCCGGCCCTTCGCACAAACGACATGAACACCCTACAGCCGATGCTGCAGCGCTTCCTGGACCACGTGCACGGCAAAGTTCGCGATCTGGGACTCGTTCCCATGGTTTGGGAGGAAATGATTCTGGATTGGAACGCAACTCTGGGCAAGGATGTCGTTGCTCAAACGTGGCTTGGCGGAGGAGCGATTCAGAAGCTTGCCCAGGCTGGATACAAGGTTATTGACAGCAGCAACGACTTTTACGTGAGTATTGGCATGAATACGTTCCTAGCGCTGTATTCCTTTTACTGACTATTGTTCTGCTGCTAGTATCTCGACTGTGGTCGTGGTGAGTGGCTCGATTTTGCAAACGGGGACCCCTTTAACAACAACTATCCCTTCCTCGACTGGTGCGACCCGACCAAAAACTGGAAGCTCATTTACTCACACGAGCCCACGGACGGCGTGTCCGATGATCTCAAGAAGAATGTCATTGGTGGCGAAGTTGCCGTTTGGACTGAGACCATTGATCCAACCAGCTTGGACTCTATCATCTGGCCGCGAGCAGGAGCAGCAGCTGAGATTTGGTGGTCGGGCAAGATAGATGAGAAGGGAAACAACCGATCGCAAATTGATGCACGGCCGAGATTATCGGAGCAGCGAGAGCGCATGTTGGCTAGGGGAGTCCGAGGAACGCCAATTACGCAGCTGTGGTGTAGCCAGGTCGATGTTCATAACTGCGAGTCTGGGAATTACTGATGCGGGTTAATGAACAAAGTATGTAATGTGGTATATATGAATGTTTCTTTTTCACGCTGCTGTTGAAGGCCGGGGACATCTCGTTTGTGATGACGGTTAGACTGAAAATCACTTATAACAAGATGTCATATGCAGGGGGCGGCACTCCGCATTATGGAGCGACGGCTCTATTCCCCTCCAAGTCGAATTGATGAGAAATATTTTGTCACTCAGACTATGGCCTTTGTATTTCGTACTTCGTAACTTATTCCACATCATCCTATATGCAATATAGATCCACCAAATGTAGTAGGATTTGATGCTTAGAAAAAGGGGTTGACTGGGACCCAAAGTCAAGACAACCAAATCAACTCCCGTGGAAGTCCCCGATTCGCGGATTTAATACTTGCTTGCGTACGGGGGAGGGTGGGATGACGGAGCACTGCAGAAGCGGCTTCTCGGATCTCTTCTAGGTTCCTAGTCTGAGTATTGCCGTGGTGGGTCGTATCCTATCCGGCATTCAATGCTCTAGAGACTATACTCTTACACGTCGATTGGATAGTAACCCCAGAGCTCGTATTCATGATTCCAAGGCCTTTGCTCGCCTTTCCAGGGTACCGTATACGGTATTTGATTGAGTTGTGATCCGTGTAAACGCCTAATGAGTGACACTCCCTCAATGTTGCGAGCCCCTAGTAGGATACGGGTATATAAGACACAAACACCCGCCTGGCCCGGCACTTGTCAAACACCAAGAGGCAGCTCAACCAACACACGGACTTTTAATCTAAAACTTCCTCAACAAATACAAGATGCACGTTCCTCTTGCATCTCTCTCATTTGCTTCCCTTGCCGCAGCCTCTCTACCAGAGGGCGTGATCGAAATCCCCCTCCAGCGCATCAAAAATCAGACCGCGTATGGCGCCGAATTCCTAGTCGGCAACCCGCCACAAAAGGCCATTATTTCAGCTGATACGGGCAGCCCGACGTATGCCTTTGAGTCGCCTCGTACGTATTAGTACACCCAATTCCTTTTTTACATTCAATTACACGGGAAGGGGATATGTCGATGCGGTAATTTTACATTGCTGACCTTTTGTCTCACAGGCAATGTCGTATGCCAGAATGGCTTCTGCTCAAGCTACGGCACTTACGACAACACCACTTCCACCACAACAAAATGGATCAGCGATGGCTATAACGATTTGCTCATCGACCATGGCTTTGGAAGTTACATTAACGACACTCTCCAGGTCGGCGGCATCACCCTCAAAGACATGATGTTTGGCGTCGTCGAGCTAAACGCTGCCTCTTTTCCCATCAACACGCAACAGACTGCCATCTTCGGCCTTGGAGCCTTCTGTCAGACCAAGGCCTGCGACACCTACCCGACTTTCATCAACCAACTATACGAGCATGGTGTCATTTCCCGCCGTGCCTTTAGTGTATACCTGGGACCGAATGATGCCGACGCCAAAGCGTCGCTGCTCATCGGTGGAATTGATCTTGCTAAACGCCAGGGTCCTGTTTACAAATTGGATGTCCTAGATCCGACCACGATCGCGGCGAATGAGCAGCCAAACTGGATCCCCCTTTCCAGCCTTGAACTGCAGCTTGCAAATGGAACCAAAGTCACGTCTACCTATGACAATGGCACATATGCTCTCTGGGACACCGGCTCTCCCGGATGGTACGTTCAACAAGACCTCTTTGACGCCCTCACCAGTTATTGGGGGCTCGCAAACCCTGACCCAAACGACACCTTATTTGTGGACTGCAAGTTCCGTGAGCCGTCTGATGACTCTATTGCTGTGAATCTTGGTCAAGGAATTGTCTTCAATGTGCCGCTGAGTTCTCTGCCCATAGACAACGGCGATGGCACTTGTACTGCACCGGTTGCGCCGTTTGGTACCTTGATGGGTGATACTTTTCTCCGCAACGTCTACTTTACGTTTGACTACGACAACCTGACGATTGAGTTTTCTCTTGCAAAGTACACTGATGAGACGAACATTGTCAAGATTGAGTAATGAATGAAGCAGCCACACATTGTGTGGGCACACTTATGGTCTATCAATAGTCAGGGATGGTTGGGACACCGACTTGCACCTGAGATTATGAATGATGATGCATCAATGAGGATATATAGTAATTAAATAATTATTCACACAATCTTTCGCTAGCTGCAGTCTATGCTTATTCAATGAGCCACCGGGAGCTTTCCTCTTGGCTGCGCATCACCAAACAGAATGTCCACCGCTGCGGAAAATGCTTCGACCGTCGGCTCATAGACAGCGATGTAAGTGCCAATCTGAGCGTCATCTAGGAAGTCGTACGGCGCACATGTTGCAATTGAGATTAAAGGCGATGTACCACGCCTCTTGGCAATTTCTAGGCCGAGCTCCTTCTGGTATTTCGATTCACGGGCATTGCGAGTGGCCAGAATCACAACATCGGCCTCTTCCACTTGCTTCCACTGCTCATCCGTGAGGGTAGATTTAGTGAATCTCACATCAGAAAACTGAGGCGCTCTGTTGCGGATACGATCTCCGAAGGTCTCCCCAATCCAAGGAACTCGAGTTGGCAGAGTCCCGCTATCAACAGCTCCGCCGATGGGCACATCGGGTCCGGGAGAGACAAACGCAATCTTCGTGGTCGATTTAAGGGGCAGAAGACCCTCTTGCGCCCGGACAAGAGTAGTTGCATCTGCGTATACTTGGTGAGCGAGCTTCTCCCCCCTCTCGTTGATTGCTGTCAAGGTCGCTGGAGGCTCTGCGTGGAGAGCGACGTCCCAGTTCGTATATCTATCCTTTAGCTTTCGGAGACGCTCCAGGGATTCGTCGACTCTCTCCTGAGATAGCTCTCCGGTGTTTATAGCTTCGCAGACATGATCAACAGCCGCTGATTGTACGTCAAAAGTATGGCAGATCATGACGTTGTCAACACCAGCCTGGAATGCCATAAGTGATCCTTCCACAGTGCCATAAGTCGCACGAACACCATCCATTTCGAGACAGTCAGTCATGATGACACCGTCATATTTCCACTCATTTCGCAAGATTCCAATGCTATCTGGGGATAGAGTTGCAGGTAAGCCGTCCTTTAACAGCTGTGGGAGAGAAATGTGAGCCGTCATGATCATCTCAATGTTGTCGGCAACGGCATCGCGGAACGGAATCAGTTCCAGTTTGTCCATATCAGCCCTTGATTTATCAATGATGGGCAGTCCGTAATGTGAATCCACGGCGGTATCTCCATGGCCTGGGAAATGCTTGATGCACGGCACGACTTTGTGCTCTCTCAGGCCTTTTGTGCAGGCGGCTGCAAATTTGGACACTGTTTCTGCTTGGTCGCTAGGGCTTCGAACACCAATCACGGGGTTCAGTGGCTCTGAATTGATGTCGCCAACCGGGGCGTAGTTCATGTTGATGCCGAAATATCGCAGCATCTCAGCTGTGGCTTTTCCAACCTCATAGGCAGAGTCGAGAGAGCCAGCAGCGCCGAGAGTCATGGGACCAGGCTGCTGAGAGGCTACGGGTGGTGAAATGCGAGTAACCAATCCATTTTCTTGATCTATTCCGATGAAAAGAGGCTGGCTGTGGCCTGCATCCTTGGCAATCTTCTGGAGACCCAAACACAGCGCCTGAAGTTGTGCGGCATCAAGCACGTTGCGCTTGAACAGGACAATTGCTCCAACACCGTAATCACGGATCAGAGTTGTGATTTCTTTGTTAATCTCACGGCCGTGAAAGCCAACAGCAAATAGCTAAGCGTAAACAAGTTAGCCATGTCTCGTCCTGGCGAGAAGGTGGTTGGATCTCACCTGGCCGACTTTCTTGCGCTGCTCCGCTGAGACCATTTTGACTGTCTTGAAGCTGATCCTGGATATAACACGACCGGATATTGAAGTCAAATATCTCTCCTTCCTATTTCGTATGCCTCTTGAGGGGAGTCCGGAGAGAATCTAAGTATCAGTTTCGCAATTTCTGTTGGGTTAGGAGGTGATGGTCTAGGGTTCTGATCCTTAATGAGCTCCATTTACCACTTGCGGGGCGTCAACCTCGGCGGGCTCATTACTAAACAATGTAACGTCTCGGATGCTGCTGCCGAAAATTGCTTCAAGCTTATCTTCTTCACTTCATTATTCCCCGGAAACTGCTGTTTGGGAATGCCTCGATTCGTTCGCCGATATAGGCTATTCTGTCATCGTCTCTTGAGGTGGGGGTCAGGCGATGTTTTGACCAGCAATGGCACTGGCTTGGCTATAAAGGTGGCTTGAAAAATGTAACGTGGAATTTTGACCCCCAACAGTATGGACAAATGAGCTCGCGGGGGTTTGAAGCAGTTGATGCACTACATGTGTTGACTTGGGAAGAATCGATATACTCAATATAACAATCGTCTCTCTACATTATCCAGACTACAATCAATGTCTCAAAATTCTTAATCGTCACTTCCAGAGGCGACAAGTTGGCCTATCGCAGAAATATCGTGTCTCAGGCAGAATCTCCAACCCCACTGCTGCGGCAACGAATAATTTCCCCGCCATGGAGACGTGATGGTGGGGGAGGGGTAATTCTGTCTTATTCTGTCAACAAGTTGACGTTCAAGAAGTGAAGCGGCGATGTTTTTGACACAGATATAAGGGATGAAACCCCGGTAGAGTTATATACTACAGCGGTTCGAATGAGCAAGTGATTATCCTCTACCGTGTCACAGCACACACTTGGCCATTAATGGTTGGAGCAGGTATCGGGACGCCTATATGAATACATAGAAATGGCATATGATGAATAAATGACAAAGTGAAGAATTATTCATTATACTAATATACATAATTTACTAATAGGAGATATCTCTGTAATGCGATGGTAGACTTGAAATAACCAGATCCGGCCTCCTTTGCCAAAATCATGATGCCATTTGCTGAAATGCTGCCATCATATCAGCCATTGCCTGCGCTCCATCGTCAGAAAATAGCATCTTGGAGTTTTTCCACGTCTCTTCTGCTGCTCGTTTAGATCTTTCAAACATCTTTTTGTCAAATTCCGAGACCAGAGGTGTCACGATCTGTTGAAACTCTGCAGCATCCTCGGCCTTATCCCACGATTGGATGATGGTATTCGCAAGATCCAACGAGTCCCATAATGCAAGGTTGACACCTTCCCCTGCCCATGGCATCATCAAATGAGCTGCATCACCAATGATAGCAACACCCGGTTGTGCTTCCCATGTATGGCCAATGGGGAGCATGTACAGTGGCTTTGGCTCGGACAACTGAGTCGCGTTTGCTGTGACCAGCGTCTCATCGACGGCAGTGGAAATGAGATCCTTGACTTGCTCACTCCAGGTACCAAAAAGATCTGAACTGTCCACCAACGCCCTTTTCAAGCTGCCGGCTTCCAGGTCTGCCGAAGGTGCGCAAAATGGAGTTTCATCTTCTGTCGAGACTCCAACATAAAGGCGAATGGAGTCTTGTACCCCACGATGGCTTACAACACCCTTTTTACTGCCGAGAATGAAGCACGAGCCAGTGCCGACCAGGGTAGACAACGCAGGATAGCGAGTCGTAGCGTTAAGGATGTCTAACGTCAGATATTGGTTGCCACCGTAGTAAGGCTGGACTGTTGTTATAAGATTGCGAATCTTAGACCAAGCCCCATCTGCGCCCACCACGAAATCGTGCTCAAGGATTCCTTTGGCACCGAAATCAAGGGAAATCCGGTTTGTAGATGTTCGGCTTGCGCTCAGCAGCTTGCACTCCCATCTTATACTCTCGGCAGGTATGGATTCGAGCAACAAGTGCGTGAGTGTGTTTCGCGCAATTTCGGGGCGGCTTTGTGGCCCTGAGCCTCCACTATCTCTATGAGTTACCCGGGCATGCTTATTCATGACGATGAGCTCTTCACTGCAGTCAAGGATATGCTTCTGGAAGTCTTCCCACAGACCACAGGCGCGGATGGCTGCCAGTCCAGACTCTTGATGAAGATCTAGCATGCCGGATGGCGTCAGAAGAGTCGAGTCATCGGGTTTATCCCGAAGTTCGTAGAGTGTGAATGGAACCCCATGTTTATGGAGGAGAACGCCAAGACAGAGACCGGATGGCCCTCCACCAATGATGGCGATGCTGGGACGTGAATCTGAGGCTGACATGGTTTGGATTTTGTTTAGAAAAGTGATAAATGGCTGCCAATTGAGAGCATATTCTGCAAGTTCAGTTATGACTTCTTCTCTGGAGGCTGGATGAACAGCGTCACTGGATTTAAATAGCTACAACTGAAATCCTTCATCGTGTCCTTTCGGTATAGACTCAAGATAACCAGTGCTGTCCTTTCCACATCTACGTACTAAGATATCGAACGGCATACGTAGCCAGACACGTTGACTCATTGAAAAGCGCCTTCAGTCGGTATCATTTGGACAACTTCGGACACGACGCAAGAACCAGTTTCCAGATCTAGGAGTCTGCACGTGACCTCGGACGCTCGTCCGGGCGCTCTCGGGCCCGAAGCCGGTATCGGCGGATTTATTTCGGACGGCCGAAGTTCTCTCGGATTAAGGCCTTGGAAGGCTGTTGTTTGATGCATCATCACAGAGGTTTTGATGTGTTGGTTGAGTCTTTGGGATGAAGATGATCATCATTTTCGTATTTCGTATTTAGATTGAGATGTATGACTCTGGATATGTAAATTACTATATATAATGCTGGGTTTAGATCATGTCCCATTCGCCTCGCTCTACAGCTACAATCGACTGGGCTTTGAACACGTATAGCCCAATCTCTCCTCCTTCATCCCTCGAATCTGATCTACGCGATGATATCTCGTCCCCTTAGCCGACTTCCAAAGATTTTGCTCACCAGAACAATGGCCACGCAATCAACTGGTCAGGGAAGAGCAGCCGCCACGAAAGATTGGTCGGCGGCCCAGTATCTCAAATTCGCTGAGCAGCGCACCCGACCCTCGCGTGATCTTATTGCTCAAGTGCCTTTGGCATCGCCAACTCGCATTATCGACATTGGATGCGGTCCTGGCAATTCGACTGAAGTCCTTGCGAAACAATGGCCGGATGCACATATTTCGGGGATGGATTCCTCTCCCGACATGATTGAAACGGCACGCAAGGCATTGCCTAACCTGGACTTTACTGTGGCGGATCTGGCAACTTATACGCCAGAGGGACCGGTCGACCTTTTATTTTCCAATGCGGTCTTTCAGTGGATCAACTTTGAGGACAGAATCCCCATCATCAGCCGCCTGATTCAATCCCTCAAGCCTGGAGGTGTTTTTGCATTCCAAGTTCCCGACAACCACACCGAGAAATCTCACGAAGCAATGCGTGCAGTTGCTGAGAACGGTCCTTGGGCAGAGACTCTTGGGCGTCTTAAGCCGGCACTGGGACCCTTCCAGACGCCTATTGAGCTTTACAATGGACTAAAGCCCCTGTGTTCGTCTATAGATGTGTGGCACACGTATTACCAGCATCCTTTGGGTGGTCACCAGGAGATTGTTGAATGGGTCAAAGGCACGGGGTTACGGCCCTTTATCGATCCTCTCGAACCTGAGCAGAAGGAAGGATTCCTAGCAGCGTACCTGGAGAAGCTCAAGGAGCTTTATCCCTTGTGCGATGATGGAACAGTCTTGTTGCGATATCCTCGACTATTTTTTGTTGCTGTCCGCGCTTGAGTTCAGCATGAGCATTGTATCTATTTACACGATTCTAGTTTGATTCATACAAATACAACTTTTAAAATGATTATTTTGCTAAACTTTGGCGAAAAATGCGCGATTCTTTCGGAACCTGGCAACTGCCACGAGAGCCGTAGCTCCCAGTCCCATGCAGCCAGCGTATGTGATGGCAGGTCTGTATGCTTCGAATCCGCCCCCTGTTCCTCCGTAGGCATCGAGAAGGTATCCAGCGATTGGCGAACCCTAGTATTATCAGCAACTTGAATAGTATATCGATACTGTGAATGAGCCGTGGAGGCTTACCATGAGATATCCGCCGCCCCAACCTGTAACAATCATGGCCATCGCCACAGACACTCTCTGAGATCCAAAAACATTGCCCACTACCGTAGGCATGGTGGAAAAGAAGCCACCGTTAGCTGCACCGTTGATAACAACGAAGACAATCAGCGGAGCCAGAGTTTTCGAAGCAGGCCATATCGCCAACATAGTAACGGCGTTGATCAACAGAGAAAACATTAATACGTTGAGAGCACCAAATCTGTCACAAAGGAAGCCACAGAGAATTCTCCCTGCAGCGGATGAGAGATTGAAGCCCGCCAGGAGACCAGCACCAGTGGATGCAGTAAGACCGACTGACCTGCTGTAGAGCGGAATAAAGAACGCAGGAACCAAGAGAGGAAAAGTTGCAATCGCACCAGCGGTGAAGATGATTACGAACCCGAGATCGCGGAAAAGACGCCTGAACACGTTATCAGCTTAGGAATTGAGCCCCCCCAAACAATTCGTCTCACCATTCAATGAAGCCTGCAGTCTTGACTGGCGATCTCTCTTTCACCAGCCATGCCGCAGGGAGACCGGTGGCCAGTGTCACCAATCCAAGAACTCGATATGCCCATGCAGTTCCGTGTCGCTGAATTACTGCATCTAAGAGAAAACTTGTAGTCGCTCCACCAAAGCCTCCTCCAGCGAATACGATGCCATTTGCTAGCCCCCTCTTCTTGCTGAAATATTGTGCCGGGGTAGCAGATACAGCCATGAAACAGAGGCTCATCCCAAGACCGAGAGTAACGCCAGAGGTGACGAATAATCCTGCGAGGCTGGAGACTGCGAAGCTGCTTACGATCTCAGACATGCCGAGGAGAAAAATGCCTAGGATGGCTGTTCGCTGTGCCCCAATTGCTCGGATGATGCGCGAATTGATAATAGCCAAGCAGGAGATGAGGGCAATGGCCAATGAACCAACATATGACAAGGTGGCGGGACTTGAGAGTCCCTTTTCCACGAGAGCTCCTTGGAGTACACCCCAGCTATAGCCCATTCCTACAAACTACAATGAATGAATTCGTATCAGCGATGTATCCTTACCTAAACACGCATCATGTTGGAGAAGATCCAGATATGTACTCACCCACCACGCGATGACGGCACAGGCACCCACGACGACCCAACCATAACCTCCATCTGGCACGACCGAGTCTGCTAGACGAGAAGCCTCCAAGACGTCGTCAGATGAAGAGGTTTGAGACTCATCAGCGGGTGCATTGTTGTGAAACCGGTTATGCCCGGATGCGTTATTCTGTATGGGAAGCTCAACGAGCTCAACTGCAGTGGTCGTTGAAGTCGCCATTGTGATGGAAAGCAAGATACAACAACTTTGTGTTTCTCACTAGGTTACAGACTTTATATCAACAGCCAGCTGTTATTTTTTTTTTGCTGATAATCGCTATAGGCCGTGGTGAATTCTTAGGCCGAGCGGTCCACATCCTGGCACGCCCTCTGGTTGACAAGATTCGGAGACAAAAATTGGAGCAGCGTTGGTGGCGCTTTATGCCGGTATTGAATGAGCCGAGGACGGACACGTCAACGTTATCTATTCAAAAGCAACGAATAATCGCCTGCTGACTCATCTCTGGCCTGCGAGATTGCTTCTACGCTTTGGCATCGGCTGTGGGCTTAGATCCGGATATGGGATGTGTACACGTGTATGTGGACAGATGGGTCACCAATACTTATGACGATGAGCAGGCACTAAAGCTGTGAAGCAAACTGAATAAGATCACTCAATGTTATATTCTTTTCTTTTATTCATCTGCCTGTATTGGCATATTTTTGTACAAGGCCATCTTTGATGCCTGTCAAATTATGTCGCTAAAATGTTTACAGAAATGCAATCGTTATCCTCGCTCTCAACCCTGGAAAGGAGTCTCAAAGGGCCTCTCTGCCTGGGGCGTAATGCGAGCAAGGTGTCGCCTCTGTCCGTTCTCCCAATCCACGAGAGCGCTGTGCTGGGTAACTCTGTTGTCCCAGACAACAACGGTCTTGTCCTCCCACTTGACGCGAGCCTGGAAGTCGGCTCCAAGAGCTAGATGATCATACAGGAACTTGAGAATAGTGTCGGACTCTTCCTTCTTCAGGCCAACGATGTCGCGAGTGACTACAGAGTGAATGTCAGTTATCCGGATCATATGGCAGTCTAGCTGACGTTCAGGGCACACGAGACTTACACTGAGGGTTGACATAAATGGCCTTCTCTCCTGTAGCAGGGTGAGTTCGGATGATGGGGTGAGCATGTACAACAGGGTCTCGTCGCTTGATACTGTTGCGAGCGGCGGCGGCGTTGACCTGCTCAATACCCGAGTGGGTGGCCTGGAGGCCGTGCAGACGCTCCTGGAAGAGAGGGCTGAGTCGCTTGTATGCCGTGACGGCATCAACGAAGATGGTGTCGCCTCCAGTCTCGGGCTTGTCCAGGATGTACAAGAAGGTGGTTCCGGGAGGCTGAGCCTCGTATGAAACGTCAGAGTGCCATGCCACAGAGCTGGTTCTGGTCTTGAAGTAATCCAAGTGGCCCTTATCGTTCACGCCACGGTGGACGAGATGAACCTCGGGGTAGTTCTCAGGGGAGCCGGATGTAGGGTGAATGTGGTGACGTCCAAAGTATGAGCCGAACTTGAGGGCGTCGGCAATGGGCAGATCAGCAAAGTCCTGGTCTCGGAAGGCCACGACCTTGCGCTTGGCGACATAGTGAGCCAGCTCATCTTTGCCGGCGTCGCTGAGAGAGGACAGCTGGATGCCTCTCACTTCGGAGCCGATGGAGGGGGTGAGCTCCGTGACCTTGACTCCGCTGGGAAGAAGGTTGGGATACGAGGTATCGGCGTCCTTGCCGTGCTCGTAGTGCTCAAAAGGCGTAAGAGGAGGGTACTTCTGTTCTGGGTTCCATGTTGGGAGGTAGTGAGGGTACTGTATATGTCGTGTGAGTATAAGGGACCGTTACACCGTTCAATTTAACAGACTCACGTGGGCAGCAGGGCCGCCAGCCTTGCCCTCCTCGGCGTCCTTGTCAATGTAGGTCAAGTCAATCTCCTTGTACTGTCCAAGATCCAGCTTATAAACGGATGCCGGAACGGGTCCGTTGTTGCTGGTAGTGGTAGCAGTCTCAACCAATGCGGGAGCCATTTTGTATGAGATTTCAATGTCTTCTTCCTAAGATTCTCACAGAAATAGTAAGTCAATTCGTGCTTCTAATGGCCCGTTGGGCACTGTCCCTTTTATACGTTTGCCCAACCTGCGTCTCTTCCCCTCTCTGTCGCGGCCCATCGGTCTCATTTCATCGGCATCGGGCGAACCCCACCCCCACAATGGCATGCATCGTGAACTCTATGGCGAATTGACGAATCATCCAATCATCCAGTATGAGACCTGTCTGATCTTCGGATTTACATTTTAGCAGATAAATGATGTTAATTGCTACATCCCTTGCCTGCAGATTTTGGAGGGCGCCACAGTATCGCACTACCAGACATGATCTGTACGGTGTTGATGCTATTGATAGTGCGAATCACGCAATCCAGCTTATACAGTGTAATCGCTGCAGCAGTTGTACGACCACGAAGCACGCAATATACATCCTTTTCTTGGCTGATTACGTTTACATGCTAAATCTTCAGCTATAGGCTCTTTCAATATCCCGATTGCGGCAGCGGGTCATCGCTAAACGGATCTCGTCATGTGTCTGATTGTTGACTGGCACTTTGAGGTCCACAGAGCTGGGTTATCGCTTCTGTGTATGCGCTCCAAAGAGGAAAGTCAATTACAAATATCCCCTGAGATTTGAGCTATTTCTTGCGAGTAATCGTATTCAGCTAGAGGATTTGGGTGCGATAGGAACGCATCAGATCCCAATGTGCAAGATGGCAGCCTGAAGTTTGGTCATGAAGTAATGACGAAATACGGCATCTGCCGGGAGCCCGAGGGGTCGACGTTGCCCGCGAACTTCAAAGTTAATATCGTGGTGATCTGCATATAATTAAAGGCTATGCATTTGACTTTTTCACAAGTAAAAGAAGAGCAAAACAAGACAGAAATAATGCTCCCTTGATTGCCGCTCAGAGGCCTAGCATTAGTCGAGTCTCAAAGCTGCGAAAACGGAGCCATGCATTATCAAGCAGAAGGGAATCCTGTCGCAGTGCGCAACGATTAACGCATATCTGGCTGAATTCTTAGTTCCTGTCCGATGGGTCCCTTCATTACCTCATATAGCTAGAAGATGACGAACCTATCTAATCTTGACTGCGTATCAACATCTTCCCCAAGTGGTTTCATGTTGCTGCAGCTCTCAGCTGATGTACCTGGAACAGGAATGGATGGTGATGATTGTATCATATTAGTACTGGAAGCCGCAAGAGCAAGGAGTTCCCAAGCCGTTTAGGTTCATGATTTATATGCCTAGAGAGCTTCTATTAATACAACAAATCGCCCACAAAGTAAGTGTAGACGTATGTGTAATGGGAACGCCGTGAATGGATGCAGCTTACTTCATGTAAGCAATAAGGAAAGCTCCAGTTCATTTACGGTTTTAAGCGGGAAATTAGACTTGTCCATGTGGCAGAAGCATACTCGACCGGTTAATTCAATGCATGTAATGCCATTCTGCCACGCCTGTGATGATTGCATCAAACTTGCACTTTATCCACTATACTGTAGCCAACGTTTATCTCATTGGAGCACTGAGAAATGCACAACGGCCATAACTGCCCAACACCGAATCATTAGTAGACACATATTACTCACTAAGAACGAATATGCGTCTAACTTTTGGAAAAGCTCACAGGGACCATCATAAGCTTGTATGAAAGGCGCGGGGGGTAAGACCTGTAATAAGTTGCTTGTGGTTCATGCGTGAAGTGATTACAGCAAGGTCCTGCTGAGAGTTAAAAAGTACGCCTACCGGTGTTAACTATAATGTCAACGACGTCACGTATGCTCAGTCTTTAGAGCGCTTATGTGCTTGGGTTAGACTTTCGTGGAGGTTTGATGATTATTGCGTATTACCCTTATGTTGTTGAGCTAGAGCCTTTTCTTGTACCTATTATCTGAGAATTCCCTATTGCCTTATTGGATGAATCTTTACTTTTCATAAAGCATACAGACATTCTATCTCACCAGAGAAATGTAATTCTAGCACCAAAGGCTTGGATATGGGTTACTTGTACCTCGTTAGAAAACTGGACATGGCGCACAGAGCCTGTCTTCATATTGGTCTTCGATAGCCAAAGACACGGTCAAATTTGCCAGACAAGTAGCTTCAAAGATCTGCTTATTGACAAACCGTATGTATGTAACTAAATATCACCTGGTAAATTGAAGAAGTTTGTGAGTGGAAATACGTTGAGTAAGAGGCACTGACAAGCTAAAGAGAAGGAGGTCCTATTACCAATAAGATGATTCCATCGTGTAGTATGTTCAATAGTAGCTGACAAGCGCTTTCTCGGGCTACACGTCAATATCATTCGGCTGTGGTATTGCGCAATGGGTTCTTTTGTAATTGTCGGCATCTGTGGGTATAAGAGGTGAGTATGTCATCTGTATCACTGCTATCTATTGACTACACTGGGGCGTTTACCATACACGTCCAATTAAGGTTAAGTTATCATGATTGGTAGCTGAGCTTAACAGAACTACATGGATTTTGTAAGTTGATTCCATACCAGCCGTGTTCGACTCGGTACTGATTAACTGTTTGAGGTTGTTTGACTTACGCCGCTGCTTGGATCTACGCGCCCAACCGGTGACAGGGCTCCATGCAAAATACGCGATTAAGTTGCCTGCAGCTTATTTTTGTTGAGATTAAGTATTGAGTTAGCATGATCACCATATGGTAGCCTGGCTACTGAGAAATTGAGCGAATGAAAAGCCGTATAGGCCGTGCTTGTGTGAAATCGCGCTTACACGTATCAAAATGGCATTTTCCTATGTCGGCTTTTCTTCCTACATGAGTACAATCCTCATTAGGAAAATCACTGCACCGTGACCATTTTGGGTGTTAATATTCGTTGATTCTACGACAAACTCTTAATTATAGGCAAACACTTGTTTGCCCACTGCTAGCCCCATCAAGCAAGTATACAGATCTTCAAATTACTGTATTCATCTAGCTACAGATACAATATTATATATATACTCGCCAAATATCCTCTTCTACAACTCCTCATTGACTTTTGCATTGTGTTCGTCATTAAAAGACATCTCAATATGGCTACCAAAACAGTTTTAGTGATTGGAGGAACTGGTGCACAAGGTGTGCCCATTGTACAAGGTGAGTTGCATAACTATATGGCTTTGCCTTACTATTTATTGACAATATTACAGAACTCGACCAACATGGCTACCATGTGCGCGTGCTCACTCGTGATCCAGAGTCTGAACATTCACAGAGGCTCCGAAGCGTTGCACCAAATGTTCAATACGTGACTGGCACACCTACTGACCAGGATGCACTGCGTTCCGCCTTTGCGGGAGTGGACTACGCTTTTGTCAACCTTAATAGTTTCGCCTTCGGCATCAAGAACCAGATATACTGGGGCATACGGACATTTGAGATTGCAGTGCAAAGCGGTGTGAAGCACTATATCTGGTCATCACTCGACAATTATGCGCTAGAGACCAACTACGATGATGACCTGCGCTGTGGTCACTACTATGGTAAAGGACATGTCAAGCAATGGATGTCAGCATTGCCACAGAGCCCTATGAAGTGGTCTGTTGTCTGCACCGGGCCTTACATTGAGCAACTTTGGTTTCAGCATCCTCAGAAGTCAGATTCAGGCGTGTACGACTTCCGCCTGCCGATTGATGATGGAGTTATTCCATATGTATGCTTGGATGATATGGGCTATTATGTACGATGGATATATGAGCACCCAGAAAGATCTGCGGGACTCAACCTGGACATTGGAGTCGAAGATGTCTCTCTCGAGCAAATAGCTAAAGCCTTTACTGATGCCACTGGCAGACCTGCAAAAGCAACTAATCTCACTATTGAACAAGGGACACAAGAGACTGGGTTATCGGAAGAGGATATGGAGCACAAAATAGGGACTTCGACGGCACCAGGCGATCCGTCCCTGCTAACTTTCCGTCAAAACTTTTCCGCATGGTGGAGAATTTACCAGAACTGCGGGACTAAGCTTGGACTCTGCAAGAGAGACTACAACCTCTTGGACGAGATTTATCCAGGAAGGATCAGAAGTTTGAAGCAGTGGATGGAGAAAGTGGGCTATGATGGTGATGCTACGCGTACTTTCGAGGCTGGTATACCATGGGGCATGTAAACTATGAATACCACTTGGAGCTAATAACAATGTGGATGAGAGTGTGATTCAGCTGTTTCATGGTATTCCCAGTTCTTCATCTTCTGAAACAGCTACGTGAATACACAGAACTTTCCCTGTGAGCCATCTCTACTGGTCTGCAAAAAGCGTGCCATTGAGATACTTGAGACCAGTATCCACCGCCACAGTAACCACCCTCTTTCCAAGACCCAGCTCCTTGGCTAGCTGTATTGCGGCAACAATATTGATCCCAGTTGAAGTTCCAACAAGCAACCCTTCTTCTTTAGCAAGGCGGCGACACATGTCTCGAGCCTCTGCTTCAGGGATAGCACGAACTTCGTCGTATAATCGCTGATCCAGATGCGGCGGGATAATTCCAGAGCCGATACCTTCGACGGTGTGACTTCCCTTCTGACCCTTGGTGAGCATCGGTGATTCCGCAGGCTCTAGGATTACTATTTTGGCATGAGGTTGCTTTGCTCGTAGAACACCTGCTACTCCTGTGGCCATGCCGGCGGTACCAACAGCACCACAGAAGGCGTCGATGCCATCACTGAACTGCTCAACAAGCTCATGTCCAATCTCCCCATAACCAACAAGTGCGTCGTTGTTATGGAACTGGTTGGTATAATAATAGCCATCTGATTTGCTGATTTTCTCCGCACGGCGTTTCAAAGAGGGAATAAGGTCAGCAGTGACCTTCCCGCCAACGCTGGGTACGATGTCGACTTCCGCTCCAAGTGCGGCCATTGTGCGCAATTTTTCGACTGAAAAGGCGTCGGAACAGACAACCAAGAAGCGGTATCCTTTGACAGCAGAGATGAGGGCCAAAGAGGATCCTGTACTGCCGCCAGTGGCTTCAACGATGGTCATACCAGGTTTCAAGTCTCCTCGTCTCTCCGCCTCTTCTACCATGGACCTTGCCATACGATCCTTGTAGCTCCCGGTTGGGTTAAAGTATTCCAGTTTGACAAAAACTTCTGCAGCATCCTTTGGGACAACATTGTTGAGGCGCACCACCGGGGTGTTGCCAATTGCACCCAAGATGCTGTTGACTGGTTTCGGGAGAGTCGAACTCATGATGGAAGAAGAGACAAAGTTACCGAAAGTGAGCAAAGCGAAAGCAGGTGTTGCGATGTGAGTATGTAAATATATACCATTGATGAACAAGAAGCCCAACTAAGAGTGGATGACTCTGATCCTATCAATGTGTCGGAGATTTGAGAAAGCCAAGTATTATGCTTGACACAACTGAGGAGCCTACTTCTCTCCACTATTCAGACTATCTTCTGCACAGCGCCCTACTCATGACATTGACACCACTCTCGCGTTATATATACTTAAATTTATTAGTTCGTTCTCAAATAAACGTTGACATTCCACTGTCAAATTTGGCGCCCTTTGTTGTTCGGGAGTCCATATGGGCGGGATATATCCGTATTCAGCGAAGTGTCATTTCACGATCACCGCTAATATATTGTGCTGAAGTGCGAATAAAGACAAAGCGACGGAGTAATACACAATTAGCTACCTAGTTAAACGGCGAAGCGCACAATGAATTGAGCATAGCATTAGCGCCCTCTACATTTTCATTCCACTTGACATGTGCCATTCGTCCTTAGTCCCCGCTCATCGGAACAAAAAGAGTCATGGCATATGACTCCAACTGGGATTGGGTCTATCATATTGGCGGTAAAAGTTTTGACTCAAACTTCATTCGCTACAAGACACTGTGGATGTCCGGGGGCGTGTACACAGAAAAAACTTGATTCGCTTTTGCTCAGCGGACATAGGACGCGATCGGTAAAGAAGAAAAATATGCATTATGTATTAAAGTATTATATGTTAGATGGTGAAAGCTGCTCCGCAGCCATAGCCTCATTACGTATTACGTCGTTGTATCTTTATGTCGTATTTGGTGAAGATAATTAAGTGGAATCAAATTGCTGCTGGCCGCGTTCTTCCTTGTCAAGAGTCAACTCTTCTGTGCCAAGAGAACTCAGTAGACCTAAGCCGCTAGCTCCCGTCATGGCGAAGAATATGGCTCTGAATGCATCCGAATATGTTTTCTGAATGACCAGGAGTGATTCAGCTGGTATATCTAGCGTTCTCAATTTTGGAATAAATCCAATCGCCATGTTTGCGTCCCCGAGTTGTTGGAGCTCTGCTGGCAAATATGGGATAATCTGGGAAATGGACGGCTCAAAGACATTGCTGAATATGGTGGAGCTAATAGCCAGGCCAACGAGCCCACCAAGCAATCGAAGAAACATCATGAGGCCAATTACAAGCCCAGTATCATCAATGTTGGCCACACTGGCTTGTATCGGGAGCTGAGGCACCCGCAGAAGAGCGCCGACACCCCATCCCCACATAATGGGAATGCCGAAACCCATGGCCGTGGATGAAGATACGCTGAGTAGAGCTAGCAGTCCTGTTCCAAGAGTCACAAGGAACCAAGAGATCCAGATGCTCCATCTGTAACCCTTGAGGGGGCCGACCAATGCAGCGGACGACCCAGCAGCTAGAACACTAGCAACACTTGTCGGAAGTAGGGTCAATGCAGTATGGATGAGAGTTTCATTCTTGACGGCTTGGTAGAAGAAAGGAAGGTATTGCATCAGAGAAAACAGTATCATTCCATGGAAAAAGGTCCCGATAAGTGTAGCCGATGCAGTTCGTGGATAGAAAAGGCGGTGCGGAATGATGGGCTTTAGAGGTTTGGATTCGTACCAAGCGAATACAATAAGACCAAAGGTCCCAATCAGGAACGGAAACAGAGTCTTCCATGAGCTCCATGGATAAAGCGTTCCCGCCCAGCTCAATGGCAGGACGAACAATGTGCAAGATGATGTAAAAAGAGCAATGCCTATCCAGTCAAGTTGTTTCGTCCTCTGTATCAAAGGGGTGTCTATCCTCTTTAGCTTGAGGCAAAAGAGCACGAGAGGGTACGCCACACCAAGGCATGGAAGGTTTATCCAGCCAATCCATCTCCAGGAAGCATATTGGCAGAAGATTGCTCCAAGAGATGGACCGAGAATGCTTCCCACCGCGGTCGGAATAGCCATAATTCCAAGATACGTCGGTCGCTCTTTCAGCACGGTCATATCAGTGACAATGATCTCGCCGAGGACGTCCAAGCCTCCACCTCCCAAGCCCTGAAGCAGGCGTCCGACGATAATTGCTGGCATATTAGGTGCTAATCCGAACACAATGGATCCAACGGCAAAGAAGAAAAAGGCAAGTTGGAATAGGCCTTTGCGGCCATAGATGTCGGATAAGCTTGTGTATAGTGGCTGCGTGATGACGGTGGCAAGGAGGAAGGCAATGCCAGCCCAGAATGATTGTAAGGTCGTGCCATGAAGTTGCTCTGCAATAGACTACAAAAAGTAAGCAATTCGGCACCGAATGTCTGTAATAAAGATGCACCAGGTGCAACGTCCCAATGATAGCTATCTTTCTCGGTAGCTCCGGGTGAATGCTAATAGATGAAACGGGCTCGGAGTTGCGTACCGGTATTGCCACTGAGAGGCCAGTAGAATCGAGAGAAAAGATAAAGACAACGATATTGATGGCCAAAAAGGCGAGGTAAAAGTTGAGAGGCCTTTTCTCTCTTGTTTCTGCGATAGAACCCCCTTCATCGGCTAATTCGTTGGCCGCGTGTACATTCGCAGAAATCTTTTCCGTGTTATTGACAGCGCCGTCCGCCCCATCTTGGTTGATTGGACATAATTCGATCTGCGGCTGGGCATCACCGCTTTGGATCATTGCTCAAACTTGCTGAGCACATGTACTCCGGAAGAGAAGAAAAGAAACTATCGCGAAGATTTGTTGCTTGGTGCAGCATCGGATGCGGCGCTATTACTTAGTTCAAACGAAACTGATAGCTATCGGGCTGCAATTGGAGCAGTTCAAAACATTACAGGAGATCAAACACACTATAACGAGAGATATATCACAAATCGATTTATTGGAAGAAGAAGGATCTCAGGTGCCCCGAAGCACTCAGACCAGCAAGACACCAGACGGCAAATGCACGTGCGGTAAACAGGGTTCATTCTCCGAAGGAGCCAGACGGCTTGCAAAAAAAACAGGGACCGCCAAATGAATTTGCGCAGACAAGAAGGCAGAATACGCTCGCCATTCTGGATGAGTTTAGTGTGGCGGGTACGAGCGGATTGCCTATTTCTGTATGCCGACCATTCCTCGATTCCCCCTTAAGAGCGTACGCGTACGTTCAATGGATCAACTCCAGTAGGTATGAATTGGTGTTGAATACCGACTTTTAGCTTAACAGTCTACAGGGCTATAGTAAGGTGTGGTATATATCATTTTTTTTTTTTTTGTTTCTTCTTCTATTCCATTGCTGTTGTTATGCGCGCTATAGATGAGCCTTGTCGCGCTCTGACCTCTCATTCTTCAGAGGCCTCCAGTAACGAGTTTATTATGAAATGATACCATCAGCGTCCTCGCGCTTTGAACTAAGCATTCATCCAACAAATCGCCGAGCCCTCGACCGAGAAATACTTTAGAGGCAAGAGAATCAGTTGGGCAGAAGCACTCGTCGACGTCGACGTAAAACGCGAGCAACAAGGTAAGTGCCGGGTGAGATAACGGGAGACCGGGGAACCACCGCTCCGAGAAGTGGATCGCATCGCGGAGAGAATACAACATTTCGGCTGCTGTAGCCCCCGCGGGGAAGCTATCTCCCACGCTTGTTATAAGATCGGCTTCATAAGAGGTCTGGGCTTCCATTCATCTAGACACCATCTCGCTAACACGCCCTGCAGAGCCAGGTAGGTCCAGTCGCCCGTCCAAGGTCTTTGATCCGGCTAGATCATCAATAAAGGCCACTCCCCTGTAGCAGCCGGGCAACCCATGGACCAAGAGCAGCGAGAGCACCAAAAGGCGCGCTACAAGAGTCAAAATGCTCTGGACCATTCCCTTCTGCAACGGGGTTGGCTGCCAGAAGGTCAAGGATTCCCCCACCGTGTAAGTCGGCATCGTAGCCAACAGTAGTAATACAATCCAGAACTAGTTTGACGTCTATACTGGCCATCTTAAAGCTAGGAGTAACCTTGAGTTCAAATTCTGGTGCTGAACTTGTGGCACATTTTTTTAACTGCAGACCAACACTTATAGAAAAGCTACGGGGACGGCAGTAATTACTCTTGATCCATCACCTGGGTTATCATTGTTGATTTATAGAGGCGCCACAATCCCCTTAGACAATAAGAAGATGGCGATGGCGTAGATTTCACAATTACTCATACGAAAGCACAGAGAGGGATTTTATGTCTTTATTTTCCATATTTTTGACTTCGGCGTCTCGGTGAGATGGTGTAGTCCGAAGATGGTATAGCAAGCCAAGAATAGCAAAGACCTATCGAAAGAAAACAATATACAAGCTAAACAAGCCAAGTATTACAGGCTGCAGGGACCTTTGTTCACTCAAACAAATAGCTCATATTTGCATTTTATTTGTGACACAGGAGCGCGGCTGTGTGACGGTGCGCATCATCTAACCTTGAATGTCGGGCAACCCCGTTCCCAACCCCCCTTCTTGTTCTACCATACCCGGCCGGGTGCGGCCCGTACCGAATGCGAAAGTTCCGCAATGTGAGGTGTGATTGTGTAACGGATTAATTTCCGAGCACATGTCTGGTGATGATTTGATGTACTCATATCGCGGCGCGTGGTTACACCATGATATGTATCGCTGTGTTATGATCCAGCAAATGTAGGATGAGAGGCGGCGACATATGGGTATTCTCAGCTAAATACAAATTTACAAAGTTGTATTAAGTAGAATACCGAGACATTCATTATCTCTGTATAACATGTGATCCTACACAAAGATAAGGAATCTGCTTGCTACCACCCTCTCTTTTCAGCTTGGGAATTGTGTGACACATAAGCTACTTCAACAGAGACCACAGGTACTTTCGACTTCGTGAGGAAACAAAACATATGCTGGATTTGTCAAAGCAGCTATTCTCTTTGGCGTTTTTATGACTCTTCATAAATCCAGCATATGTTTGTTTCCTTACCTGAGTTCGGAAGAATAGATAGGCGAGAAGGGGCTCGAAAATTGAAAGACAAAAAAAGAAGAGTCTTCCGAAGAAGAGCTCAAGCTGGACATGAGGGGAATTGAACCCCTGACCTTTCCCATGCGAAGGGAAAATCATACCCCTAGACCACACGCCCAATTTATTACATAATCTGTCGCTGAATTCTCTCATACGATTTTGCTGTGGTTGCTGTCGAAGAGTTTGCCAAATCGCGAAAAAAAAGGAGCAAAAAACTGGACCCGAGGGGAATTGAACCCCTGACCTTTCACATGCGAAGCGAAAATCATACCCCTAGACCACGAGCCCAATTATATACAAGAAGTAGTGCAATAAGCTTCTATACAGGTTACTCGCGGGCCAAACCATCCCGCTGATGAGATACATAGTGCGTATAGCCTCCATGAGACTGATAGCATTGGGCTAAATGAAGTGATCCGTTGTTGAATATATTTCTATCTTGGTTCGTAAAGCACTACAATTGTTGATTTATCAAGTCACTGTGGGATAATCCTCTGAACGCCCAGAGATTGCGTATATTAATCCTACCCGGCATATTTACCTAAAAGATAGAGGGAGAAAATATATTTCTAATATCTCGACTAAAGTAAATTGAAATACAAACTACCTATACCTTTAGTCTCCATCATCCGTATATTCCGATGCACCAACTATAAGTCCCTTCGTAATTAAACAAAGGAGCTCTTGATGAACGCCGCGACACGTTCGGTGTTCTTACCCTTGTGTAACATGGTAAAGTGGTTTGCATCCTGTATACGTTTAATGTTGAGGTTCCTCTCTCCCAGCAATACATCCCAATTGTTACCTCCAAAGTTAGTTCGCTGCTCAAGCAACCACCGCATTTCTCGGGGATCATCATCTCTATACTCTGGGCGTTCAGTAGTGTTTTTGCACACACCATCTTCAGCCCAGAGAATAAAGGTCTTCGGCGCCGGCGCTTTACCATCGACTGCTTTCTCCCAGGGGACTGGCTTCCACTCATCAAGAGCATCGATAAACGCGAGGAAATGCGCAAGAAGCCAATCCGGTGCTTTGCCGGAACCAAAAAGCCCCAAACCGTTGATGAAATCAAACAGCCGTGCGGGTAGCTTCTCTAAACCGATTGGGTTGGGAGAGTCGAGGAGGATAAGACGCTGGACGGTTTCACCTTCGCGAGTGAATTGAATTGCCGCTTCATAGGCGCAAATGCCTCCTGCAGACCATCCACCTACGTTGTATGGCCCATGAGGTACTCTGCGTCTAACCTCTTGGACGTACAGCGATGCAAGACCCTTGAGACCAAACTGAACCAATTTCTCGGCATCTTTGAGCCATGGGCAGTTGAGGCCATACACACAGACGTCCTTGCCGATTGCGTCAATGGGTCCGTATGAAGTTGCGGAACCAGAGCCGTCTGGGAAGAGGAACAGCGTATAGGTAGCAGTCTTGGGGCTGCCTTGTAGGAGGGTTGAAGTTGCGCGATACTTCTGCAACTCTGCAGACATCTTTGGCATGACTTCTTCCACGACTTGCGCGACTTCTTGTACAATTCCTTGTTCAAGCTCTTGTTGGAAGAGGTACTGGAAGGATTCAAAAGTGGGATGAGAGATGAAAAAGTCATCCTCCAACTCGAGTTCCAGCTCTTCACGGAGACGGCCGAGCACAGTCAGTGACATGAGTGAATCCATGCCCAATTCACCCAGATCAGCGCCATTCATGATCTCGCTCGCAGACACTCCAATCTCTTCAGCTAAGATAGCCGCCATATCTTTGCCCATGCTGGTAGACAAAAACTCTCGCTGACTTCGAGCTGGAGGGGTAGTCGCATTGCTAATGGATCCAAAAGGCTCACTGGTGGGGGACATGGTGTCAAATACACTTGACTGTTCAGAAGACTCATCCGATGAGGACGTGTTGAAGCCAAGATGAGCAGCAAAATCTGCGAGTGTTGGGCAGGTTTCAAAGACAGACGAAGGAACATCTATATCAAGTTCCTCGCGGAGTCGTCCAGAAATGTTGAGAGAAAGAAGCGAGTCAACTCCATAGTCTGTAAAGTCAAGATCATCTTGAACACTGGCCAGAGGAATACCAATCTCCTCGGCCACGATCTTGCGAACAGCCTGCATAGGGTCCCTTGCAGCAGAGGCTGACTTCAAAGCCGCATCGAGCTTCATAGGCTCAATCTGGCCCTTACCAACAGCATGGCTCAGAGGTTCCGCAATTGCCGCTGTCTTAGGCACCTCCTTAACAGCAGCAGTGGTGAGACGCGTAGTGGCTTGAGGCTCATTTGCTGACTTTGGCGGCGGCATCGCGCTGTCGAGCACCTTTCGAGAAATACCTTGGAACTACGCAAGTTAGTAATGAAGGATCAAAGGTTTAGTGAGTGAAGACTAGCTTACCTTAATATTACCGCAGACGCCAACGATGCCTTCGTCGTCGAAAATGTAAACATCTCCTGCATAGATGGTGCCTTCATAAGGCCGCATCCTGACATATGTACGATACGTCTTGTCCTTGTGGAACTTTCTCACGGTTCTGAAAGTATCCCAGCCATGGTTGATATACACTTGGTCCTTGGGAGTCTTTGAGTGTCCGTTCATCAAGAACCCGGCAAGGTGACCACAGCAGTCTACCCACATGGGGTTGCAACGGAAGTTGCCCTCATCAACTTGGAACCGAACCAGAGCGGTCGCTTCAAAGTCGTCGGCATTGATAATGGCTTCCTGCATTCCCTTATAAGCATTGCTGTAATCGACCAAGCTGGAAAAGAGCTTGTAAATGACACCAGAAGAGAGGCGGCTGTTGAGACCTGCATCCGCCTTCTCTTTGAGCCAATCAATGCTTCTCTCCACATAGTATTGAGGGCTCTCCCAATTCTTGAGCCAGACCTTGGGTTGACCAAAGTAGAGTGTGCTTTTAGCATGGTCGACAGTCTTGGTTCCCTTAGCATTGGCACTATAGATGGACATGATTGCGGTATCGCTACCCCTCATGTCGTGCTTAATATCAATCCTGAGGAGCATTTGAGGGCCCTCTTTGTGAACCAGAGGCTTATTGATAACCATGTTCTGGACATCTACCGCGTAATCCTTGAGATCCATGCGATATTTCTCGAGAACATACATGCCCAAAGTAACACCGAAATCTGTGTACAATGACTGTGTGGAAATGTTAGACGTGGACTTTAAAGAACAATTAGAGAAAAACTTACCGATGAACAAACGCGATTGCCATTAACAACGTGACCATATACCACTTCGTGTAGCTGCTCGCTCGTGAATTCGCACTCCGCAGTAATGGTAAGCTTTCCATTGTCAACACCTTCACTAACAATTCGATGCACTGAAGCAGTTGAGAAAGTGGATGTGGGTGCTGGCAATGGAGCAGCCTCAATTTGAAGAGGAGGATCGCCTCTTGTGAGTAACCAATCATACACATACTCAATCCAGTATCTCTTGTTATCCCAGCTGTAAGCGGGCAGTCGTAAGACTTCTTTGCAGGCTTCAAAGTCATGGTGAAATTCATCCCATGCGATGGACAACCCTTGACCATACAAAATTGAGAGAGTTGAAGAGAGAGTCTGCCATCCATCTTTGTTACGCATCAAAGATGGGACAGCAATGATTTCTTGCCCCAAATTGGCTTTCATCATAGCTGCACACACTGTGTGCGGGCCGAGCTCGATCCAAACTGTCTTGTCGGAGACCAAGCAATCATCTCTGGCCGACTGCAGAACATCGCGGAAGTTCACAGCCTCCCTACAGTGGCGGCTGATGTGCTTGGCATCAAAGAAAGGTGTCTCACCAACAAGGGAGGTCTTGGCTAAGAGAGGGCAGCCGATTGGTACTCTTGCAGGATGGAATGTAACGTGAGAGGCAATTTTTTCAAGCTCCTCCAGTACAGGGTCAACCTGAGCTGAATGGAACGCGAACGGAACGTTGACTTTTGTCGCTTTGACGCCATCAGCCGCAAGCTTCTGAGAGAGGCTTTCGATGTCATCGATTCGGCCACTGACAACAGTATCTTGGGGGCCGTTAACGCAGGCGATGTCAAAGATGCTTGTGTCTAGGTATGCCTGAACTTGATCGACACTGCTTCTAATTGCCAGCATTGCGTGGCTTCCTTTGGTGCATTTGTCTTGAAGAAGGCGAGCTCTCATACCGACCAGGTAGATTGTATCACTTGCCGTGAGAACACCAGCTGCTTTCAATGCGGCGTAGTGGCCTAGACTATGGCCGAGCACGTAGGTTGGCTTCATACCCAATGATTCCCAGAGGCTTGCAAGTGCCATCTGAACACAGGTAGTACCGAGCTGGACAACCAGCGGCTCAAGGTCATCAATATCGGCAGAGCCATCGATCAGTGGCATGATTGATGGGAACCCATGTCGCTGTGCCAACATGTCGTAGGAGTTGATCTCATCACGGAAAGTCGCAAATTGTAGCAAATGCTTGCCCATGGCGCTATACTGCGATCCTTGACCGCTGAAGACAAAGGCGACGGGTGCTTCCGGGGAGCGTTTGTAATTCTCCTTTTTCACCTCATCATTCAAGGCGTCTAGGAGCTGCTCACTGCTTGCAGCCGTGATTGCAACACGGAAAGGATGATGCATACGCCGAGCTGTGGTTGTATAAGCAAGCTTGCTCAGGAAGCCTTCTGTGGACATATTCTGCTGCACGTAGGCTCTCATCTTCTGGATATTTCCTTTGAGAGATGGAATGGATTTGGCAGATATCGTCACAACATGGGCAGTTCGAGGATCTTGCAGTGAGCTCCTAGTGAGTTCTGGATAGTCTTCCAGAATCAGTGCAGTGTTGCCGCCAGCTGCAGAAAAGTTGTTGACAAAGGTGCGGCGGATATTGTTGAATTCCGCTCGTCTCTTCCACTCCGTGGGCTTGAAAGCAATATGGACGTTGCGTTCCTTCAAATCAGTCGGAAACTTGTGATTGATCTTGCCCTTAATGCCACAGTGGGGTGGAATCATGTTCTTCTCCATCATCATCAGAACCTTTATCAGTGCTGTCACACCAGATGCAGATTCAGAGTGACCGACGTTTGCCTTTGTTGAGCCCAAATGAAGGCTCTCATGCGGCAGTCGCTTTGTCGATGGAGCAAAGCAGCTAAGAACAGAGGACATCTCAGTTGCATCACCGGCTTGGGTTCCGGTGCCATGCATTTCGATGTAGCTGACTTCATGAGGATGGACACCAGTCTCACTCAATAGCTTGGAGAAAATCTCCTCTTGAGCGCCGCAGTGTGGTCTGGTAATAGACACGGATTCGGCAGAGTGATTGGTAAGAGCGCCGAGAATGACTCCGAGGATAGGATCATGGTCTGCAATTGCATCATCCAACCTCTTCAGGACAACAGTACCGACGGCATCTGCTCGACAATAACCGTCGGCTGCATCGTCAAAAGTGTTGCAGTTGCCTGTTGTTGAGAGGAAATGCCCGCGATCCAGCCCTGCAAAGCTGTCGGGGTTTGACATGACGTTTGTGCCACCCGCAATGGCCATATCGCATTCATTGCGCCAGATAGAATTGCAAGCTAAGTGAATAGCTGCAAGACTAGATGAGCATGCAGTGTCGACACTGACTGATGGGCCGCAATACTTGAAGAAATAATTGATCTTTCCTGGTGTAAAGGCTCGATTTCCACCAGGGATAAAGTAAGTATCGACATTCTGGCCACAGCTAACTTCTCTGTAGTCGTCACTGGTCATGCCGTAGAAAACCCCAACACGGTCTCGTTGAGTCGATGGTGTTCTATCAGCAACAACACCTGCCATCTCCAGAGCCTCGTACGCGGTTGCTAAGGCTAAACGTTGTCCAGGGTCGGATTGTTCTGCTTCTTTGGGAGAGATGTTGAAGAATTTTGCATCAAACAAGCCCGGCTCGTTGATCCAGCATCCATGATTGATCTTGCTTGTGTTCTTCTTTTTCCCAGTGGGATCATAGTATAGCTCTCCGTTGTATCTGTCTGGTGGTACAGGCCGATGAACGTCAAGCCCTTGGTAGAGAAGGTCCCAGAACGATTCAATATCTGCAGATTCTGGGAATCTTCCAGACATGCCGATGATGGCAATCTTAGACTCGCTGTGTTTAGCAGAGTTTCGGGCAGTTGGCTCAGGGCCTGCCGCGATGGCTTCCATGATACTGTCAACTACCACGACTCTTTTCGACACCGCAGGTTCAAATGACGTCTTGAGACTCTGGCAAAAGTTGGTTGAGATTTGAAACAAGGCGCATTGGCTCATTGAGCCTGTTGTCTCAAGCACTTGTTGTATGTTTCCAGCTGCCTCTCCCAGATCCAGCGGGAGGATAAGAATACCCTCAACAGCATGGTAAAGCAAGTCCTTGAATTTCTTCTCACTGAGAGACTTGCGGCTGAAAGAGCTGGAAATGAAGGATATTTTGCCAGATAGGTCGCTGACCGATCCAACACCTTGAAGAATGTGTTCAACATCCTCGACAGTGAAAATGTGCGGCGCGTGAAACGGTGCGTGCACAGCGATAGGGGAAAACTTCAACGTCTCTCCCAATTGCGAAGACTTCAGGAAGTGCTGCACAATTGCCGGTGGACCACTGATAGTCCAAGAGTTTTGGCCCTTGGCGCTGACATAGGGCGAGGAGAGTGGTGGAATGTTCTATTTACACGCACTTAGTACATATTAGCCGCCATACAAACACCACAGTATTCACTCACGGCCTTCTCTCTGTAGGACGCAATAGCCTTTTCAGCTAGTTCCAGCGGAAACTGTGACTCCGAAACGACGTATGACCAAGACGAGGTACTACCAGACTCCGGACGTCCGAACAAGGCTGCTGTTCGAGCAACCAAGAGGCCAACTCTAAGCGACACCCGAACAGCGTCGACACCTGTCTGCACTAGCTCGCTGAGAGACTTTGACGAAGAAATTGCGGCTGCCGTTAATGCTCCGATGCATAATCCAGACACGTAGCTGTTCGAACTGGTTGGATACGCGTGTTGGCCATCTCCAAAGTAGCTACGCGTTGTAAGCAGTCTGGCCGCACTAGAATGAGCAAAGAGAACATCTTACTTGATAAAGCAACAGAGCTGGTAAATAGTTGTCAACGTGCTTTCAAATGCTGCATTCTTCTCCTTCTTTATTCCTCGAGCTACAAGATTTTGTATGCTGGAAAAGGCAGGAAACGATTGACGCTCCGCAGCGGTAAGCTGAGCTATTTCATGTCTGAGGACGTAGTTGGCTTGCTCAATGAAAGACGTCAAATAAGGGTTGTTCTTCTTCAGAAGAAGCAGCTGTAAGTTCGACAAGCTGCAGCTACTCTGATCTCCAAACACGAATACCTGAACAGCGTCAGTGCTGGTGCTCGGTCCGCTGATGGTCATGCTCTCCATGGCGGAAGTTGAATCTAACATCACGTCCGTCCGAAGAGCATAAGCCTAGCAAGCAGAAGAATGAAAACAGAGGGATTAATCAGCTGTTTTTAATTTTCCTTCCGACGTATGACTTAAGTACTACGAAGGGGTAACACAATGTCTTTGTCACACATGATAATGTTTCCGAAGTGACCTCATAGAGCTATCATAAAAGGTAGCCACGACCGTTTTCAGAATCAGGAATCAGAAGAGCCGAGAGCTCGAAACTTTATTATCGGGAACGGGTTTAGTACACGGACTGGCATAGCGAATCACATCCAAATCTCAAGGCTAATATTGTTGAGGGACGTACTCGATCGATGGGGATCGAAGCGATGGGGATCGAATCGTACCTCGTATCTCCATGTCCAGAGAAGACTAAACTCTTTGATGTTAGTGCTAGGCAAAGGAATATTGAAGTAAGACATGATATCAGGTGGTATAGGGAAATATGGGCCGCAGAACATTTTCCGATGAAGAAGAGAATGTGGCTCAGAGACAAGAAGTCCAAGTACTTGGATGGTATGAGAAATCCGTCTCTAGAAGAGTATCTCAACAAGTATGAAGTACATGGAGAAACTGATATTAGCCCTAATAGAGGTGAGACCGATCTTTAGGCCGATAAACTTTCCCCTGGCCAAAAGCAGCTTGTGCAAGAATCGCCGATTCATTCTAGGCTAGGGCTGAAGCTAGTCTGTATCACCGGCCAACGACAGACATTCCGAGGCCCATCGGGGTGCCGCCCTTGCATACTTGGATGCAACCAGCCGATCCATCGCGTACTGTACGATGGCTGCTCGGATTCCAGCTGACATGTTGCATGCATACACGCCTATTGTCTAGGATTGTGAGATAATTCCGCAAACATGGTAAATTGCTATATGCTGGTTCAAGGAGTCACGCCTTGACAATTTGTACTATGCACTTTCATCGGGAGCTGAAGTCTCCAATATTGATTCAGCTATATATAGGCTCTTGGTATGGATTTCATTTTCGTGAATCCTGTGATCGTAGTACAGATACAAATTACTCCCTTGGCATTCTCACCGATAGGACAAAGAATGTCCTTTTGCACTCCCTTCTTTTCCCGGGCCTTGTGCCAGAAATACGAGATAACCGTCAGCTGACAACATACGGAGTATACACCAAGAAAAGATTCAGTGCCGACACATCTCACCGATTATGCCACGATATGATTTCGGAGAAAATATTCTGGACTATATTTCGTTTAGTCCGGATATTCCGTATCTCTGAATAAACGGGCATGAATAGAAGCGAGTGGCTCAAACGAGATACGTTCAATTTATCGTACCACCTTACATTAATGAAGTCACGGGTAGGCATAGTCGTGGTAAGTAACGTTGCTAATAGAAGAGGATCCAACAATAGATTAAAAAGATTGCGACATGGCTTCCTCCTTCATGTATCTGATACTCATTTAGCTACAAGCTGCCCATCGTTCAAAAACTCCTCAAAGTATCCGATAGTCATCCTAATAGTGCAACCATTGTCAACGCCCGGTTTATACTCGCGATAGGGATTGGATTTAGTGAAAGGGGTAACTCACGTCGACCTTGAAGTGTCAGCAAAATTCTTGTGGTCAGGGGCCACTTTCTCCAGGAAGCGTGGATCAGCCTTCATTCGAAGGAAGTCCTCCATGCGTCGGAATACAAATTGCACAACGCAATCATACTCGGACAGCTTCGAGAACTCAGGGTCATATAACTGGAAGAGCAATGGCCGAGTTTTACTATCGTTATGGGTCTGCTACAGTATGAGAAATGGCACTGCGTGATAATACCTGGAAAATAACGGCTTACCATATTGTATCGAACGATGCCATATTCTTCCATGAGCCCGCTTACCAAGGGAGCATGTATCTTAGTCATGTACTCTCGGTAAGCTTCTTCGCTCAAACCCGGCTTGCGGAAGCCCGTAATGGTAAGACACAGCAGCTGCTGTGATTTAGAAGGAAGCGAGTCCGAGGTAGCCGTAGGAGTCATCTTGTTCAGCTGCTCACAGCGAAGTGCAAACGGGCTATGTCAGGATATCAACGACGTAATTAATATCTCGTAATAAGTTAGAAGAGTATCTTAGATAAAGCAGCTGGAAAGGATTTCGGAGAGAGGGGTTGCAAGCGTAACATCATATATATCAGTTTCAGCAGGCATGCTGTGTAACTTGTGCAATGCAATCCTTCATTTAGAAAAACCTCGTATGCGTGCATCGAAAGACATTGCTGCATTCGTCAGGAGCGCGTCTGCATTCATCAAACGTAACCACTCATGCATCTAAAGAATATTCTGCATTTATCGAAGGCAACCTGCATTCATTAAAAAGAGTTCTGCATCTACCGGAAGCATTTGCTGAAAGGTTGTTTGTTTGTTGGGAGGAATGTAGTTCTGTTAGTGTTTTTTTCGGTGTAAATGACACGGCTTTGACACGGCCTGACAACGGCTGGACACGGAACTGACACCTGCCATCTGCCGCTGCCATTAGCACTATTAGCGCTATTAGCGGGTAGATCAACACGGGCCGGTGCCTTAATGGGATAAAGTCCGTACTGACGTGGAAACTTTAATGTTTACATCGGGAAATTAGAAAACTCTAAAAATACACACATTGCTATCACAATGGTTTATTTACTGTTATCTCCAGAAATAAAATGATAAAGTAACGTTACACTATATACCTGAGGAGCTCAGCTTGTAAAGTTAGATAGAGTCAACAGGAGAAAAAATTATCTTGTAGCACATTCCCAATATATTCAAGAAAACTTTGACAAATAAACTTCATTCAACGGGGAAGAAAAACCCTCAACTTCAATAAATTGGATTAGATGGAGCAGATTTTCATTGGTCAAAGTAATTTTTCTGAAGAAAAACAACAAAATCACTCAACATAAAGTTCCATCACATTTAAGGTTATTTTCATTAAAACAATGAACAGCTAACCAACCAACATCAAATCCATGAAGTAAAACTACCTTTTGTATTTACTTCAATTCCTTAGGTTTTACAATTCTACTACTTGATTTACCAATGCTAAGCTAGTTTTCCTCCGTTACACAAATTAGACGCTTTACACAAGTGTGTAATTATGTCTCAAATACTGCCGATTTACCTCGGCCGATATTCCTCGGCACTTCCCAATCCGGAATCTTGAGATTCCAACACGACTCAAGGGACAAGACACGGAAAACACGGCCACGGACGCTGCTTTCAATCTTCCGTTCCCTTGGTCACTCTGGAGATTCCTCCAATAAATTCCATATACGTACTAGTAGCAAGCAGCTGAAGCCAACCATCGGACTATTTTGAATACGATCGAAGATGATCGACATGCCGGCAGCAAAAGCAGCCGTGAAAGGCACCGAGAGCATTCATTTGTACGACCTGAAGTCGACGAAAGCGTCGCCATGCCAAGATTTTCTCTTAACTGCCTATTCGTTTTTGTCTTTTCGGCACTATTTCTGCCCCTTTCGGCACTATTCTGTTCCCAAATTTCGCGTGCTGTTTGTCTCTTGCCACGATTGCCCGATTTGCGATATAAGAACTCGTGTTCCAGTAGGTATCTCTACAATCATCTGTCTCAAGCAAATGATTTTCAGCCCCCTTGATTGAGACATTGTTTCCAAAAATACTGTCATTCACGATGAGTCGCCTTTCGCGGGTGCTGTTGGTAGCAACTGCTTTGCAGTCCACCGCTTGGGCAAAGACAGTCAAAGAAACTCTGCGTTTTACGTGGGAGTCAGGTGCTCCGAATGGACAGGAAAGAGAATTCATTCACACCAATGGACAATTTCCTAGCCCAACTCTTGTTTGGGACGAAGGGGATGACATTGAAGTGAGTGCCTCCTCCCTCTGACTATTCCATCAGGTGATACTGACACACTGCGCCCAATAGATAACAGTTTACAATGACATGCCCAAGAATGTTACCGTGCACTGGCATGGCCTAGAGTAAGTCGAAGTTCATCTAGTAACTTGAATAATTTACTAACCTGGAGCGCACCTTTCAGTCAAAAAGATACTCCTTGGGCGGATGGCACGCCTGGCCTCTCGCAGCGCCCGATCAAAGCCGGTGGGGAGTTCGTATACAAGTTCAAGGCGTCTCCTGCGGGGAACCACTGGTATCACTCTCATGAGAGGATGTCTCTCGTTGATGGACTTTACGGAGCCATACACATCAGGTCTGACTCACCTACGCCACTGATTCATGTTCGAATGCCAACTAACGAGGGTGTAGGCCGAAGCTAGATCGCACAGACCTATGGGCACAAATCAGCGATGACGAAGAGGACATCAAGGCCATGGAGCAGGCTGCCCTTGACCCCGAATATCTGGTTGTATCTGATTGGAGCCAGTATACTTCCGATGAATATTGGAAGATCTCTACTGATTCGGGCATGCTCGTCTTGTATGTTCAGTAATTAACAACCCTCCCTTTACGTCTTTGACTGACAAACTACAACAGCTGCCTCGATAGTATTTTGGTCAACGGTGTAGGCAATCTTTACTGCCCGGGTCAGGAATTCCTTCAAAGCGAGCTTGCTCCAGGTCTGGTTGAGGATGCTTTCCCACCAGGCACTGAGGTTTCAGACAAAGGGTAAGTGGCAGGCATACAATTGCAACATCCACCCACAATCTCACTTGGCTTCATGAATACTTACTTTTATGCCGTCAGATGTTTCCCAGCGGACCTCGATCAAGTTCAAGGCGGGCCCTGGAACGTCACTAGACGCCCAGATCTTATTCCACCGCGTGTCCAAGAAGGCTGCGTTGCATCAGAGAATGCAAATGCAACCATCACTGTCGACCCATCCAAGAACAATGGCTGGGTTAGTTTCCACATTGTAGCCGCCGCTACTATTGCTCAGATTGCCTTCTCTGTTGATGACCACCCGTTTTATCTGTACGAGGTTGACGGCAACTACGTTAAGCCAAAGAAGTTCGTCTCGGCAGTCTTGTCAGCAGGCGAGACTTTTTCGGTCATGATCAAACTTGATCAAGAACCGGGTAGATACCAGATGCGCATTCCCAACTCTGGAGCATCCCAGGTACTCGGAGGTTACGCCGTAATGGTCTACGAAGGGCATGAGGACGATGAAACGTCGGATTCACCATACCTTTCCTATGGAGGCAACCCTGCTTCACCAGAGGTCGAGGAAAATTCATACTTCCCATGGATGCTGCAGACGGACCACGCGGAGCCTTGGCCTCCGAACAAGCCCCGACCTGGCAATGCTGACCAGGAAGTTCTTCTCGCACTTGGTCGCGTTGGCGCACCCTACAATTATACCATGAACACCAAGTACCTATTACCCATCGATTTTCACAACAATGACCCATTGTTATTCTTTCCCAACTCCACTCTTGGCACCGAGAGTGAAAACCTGGTGATCCGTACTAAGAATGGAACCTGGGTCGATCTTATTCTGCAGGTCTCTACTCTGCCTGGCGATGAATCTGCCTTTGAGCACTTCATTCACAAGCACGGCAGCAAGACATGGAGAATTGGCTTTGGCTCTGGTGTTTGGAACTACACCAGTGTTCAAGAGGCAATTGATATACGGCCCGAGGATTTCAACCTGGAGACTCCTGGCCTGCGCGACACGTGGATCACAGAATTCTCCATCGGTGGCGAGGCTTCCTGGAGCGTTTTCAGATACTATGTGGATAACCCAGGTCCATGGCTGTTCCACTGCCATATCGAGCTCCATCTGATGGGCGGAATGGGCATTGTCATCATGGATGGTGTGGATGCCTGGCCCGGGGAAGATACTATCCCAACCGAGTATAGGCTCACTTAACGATCGAAAGCACCAGTCGGATATTGACAAATATTACGTATGGGGGGGTTAAGTTGCTAATTTTATATGCAGTGTCTAGTTTTGCTGATATAGAAGAACACACTTAGAGCTAGAGAATCCACGTATATGCTGCATGCTAGAGGTCTTTGGCGATAGTTTTGTGACAGCCAAAATATGCCAGAAACAACATCCTGTCGCCAGAGGTTACTACAATGATAGTAACACTGAATATGTGTAACTCTCAGTATGTGTTACACTTAATAAGCGTAACATTTAATAGATGTAACATTCAATATATGTATGTCTCAATATATGTCTCAATATACGGGTATGTAACACTAGACTGTGGATAGATATATCGTAGTATCATCCAGTTGCCAAGCTATCATTTGATATTATGTGCAGTAGTGCCCTAAAATATTCCAAGAGCTTCTGTAGCGACTCTAGGTTCCAACACTAACATAGTATACTGACTTAACCAGGCGTTGATTACTCATAGAAAAACAGATAGGTGTTTGACATGAAGTATTAATAGCTCATTATTAACGGGGTATATCATGGCACATTGTAGATATTATTTTGTAGAGATATGATAAGATAAGCATTTAGTCTCTTTACCCAAGGTTGAGACTTTAATTACTAAAGGGCCTTTGACAAGATAGAACCGTCACGAAATGGTAGGGACTGAATGATATTCTTCTCACATAATATTGTCGAAACATAAGCTGATCCTCTTCCATTTTGGTATATGCAGCTTAATTTTGGTCTTCTGTCCTCCATATACCAGCGCAGCCTTACTTTGAGTCTTTTGTTGCCCAATGGTTCACAGGCTGCCATCAAAGGATGTAATCATGTCCGAACAAATCTCACGTTCCTTTTACCCAGTCATCCAGTCAATCGATTCAATGACAGCGCCTCATGTCTCCACATTACCTCTTGTCAACTTCATCTTCAGTCGGAAGTGGACCTTAAAGAGTCAAGGCTTAGTAGAGTACAGGGTATAATAATATTGGAACAGTTGACGTTACCTGTCTTAAACGGCTAGTGAACCGAAAGACAGTGGAAAGGGCCGATATGCGATCGCCCTCTGTCAGGCCTGATCTGACTTGGTCGCCGGCTTAGTACAATACAGCATGCTAGAAACATGAAGCAAGCCATCTCCACACTACTGACTCCTTACTATAATTAGACTCGGCAAAAGGCGCTCTTCGGCCAAGGTTAAAAGTAAGATCGTATGAGCTTAATTTGGATCGACATTTCACGCTTTTTGTTTCGAAAATAGAGGCTACCTTCCTATTTCTGCATCGCTTGATCGGCGGTTGTCAGAGGATGTTTACGCATTCCCTTTTGACACAACGCCTTGGCCGTGCGGTGGGTTTCAAAACACGAAGTTGACACTCCTTCCCAGAAAATAACATGGAAGTGTTCGTATATGCTCTGTTTGATATGGGTCGACGTCGATCATCAAACGTCTTACACTCAAAATACCCAGCTTACGGAAACATGTCGACTCATGGGTATTCAACACACTTGATAGATCATAAAAGAGCGATTTCCGCTCACATTACTTTCTCTCTCCAATTACACAATCTACTGTCATTAATTAATAGCATTAACGACTCTCTTTAATCGTCTAAATTTTATCTTATTTCACAACATCTCTCTAAGAATCTACTATGTACTCTAAGACAATCTTTACAGTCGCCGCTCTTGGTGTAGCTGCGTCTGCCTTCGATCTTCCGGATAACCTGAGACAAATCTACGACAACCATATCGTAAGGCGATCTCAAATCCAAAAGACAAATCCATTACCCCGGCTAACACTTGATGCTTTTGCAGTCTGGCAACTGTCAAAATCCTCTGTCCGATGCTTTCGAAGGCGGTGCACAGTACTGTGGCGATATCCCAAATGTCATCTTCCTGAAGGGCTCCGACGGCAATTATGACAACATGGATGTTGACTGTGACGGTGCCAACAACTCAGCTGGAGCCTGCGCCAATGACCCCAGTGGTCAAGGGCAGACCGCATTCCAGGATACCGTTCAGAGCTTCGGCATCGAAGACCTTGATGCCAACATTCACCCTTACGTCGTGTTTGGCAACGAGGGTGCCAGCCCTTCTTTTGCGCCCCAGGACTTTGGAATGGAGCCTTTGAGCATCGTTGCCGTTGTTTGCAACAATCAAGTGGTAAGTCGCTATTTTATTCAACAACACTGGGGTTATCTCCTAACGCGCAACGCAGTTCTACGGCGTTTGGGGAGACACCAACGGCTTCACCTCTACTGGAGAGTCTTCTATCTCTCTAGCGCAACTCTGCTTCCCCAATGATGGCCTCACCGGCGACAACGGACACGACCAGAAGGACGTTCTGTACATCGGTTTCACTGGCTCCGGTGCTGTGCCTGGTGCCAGTGCCAACTGGAGCGCCGGAAGCACTGAAGAATTTGAGAATAGCATCAAGGATCTCGGTGATAGCCTTGTTGCAGGTCTTCCGGCCTAGAGAGATGACTTATACTATTGGGAGAAATTTTACATAGAAAGCCTGAATAGCGCTGAGCGACATATCATATGATGCTTAATGTATACCATGTATAATAAGTGATAATTAATTGCTAAAACTGCCTATATGTCGCAATGTGTCAAGGATGTTTCATCAATTACAATACAAGCCTAATTCCTTGGCTATGATATCTGCTCCCTTTTCTCCAACAATAAGAGCCGAGTTGTTCGTATTGGCGCCAACATTCTCGGGGGCAATTGAGAGATCTGCATAATAGTAAGTAACGCGGTCATGAAAGAATAGCATAGAAAGGCCATGAGAGAAGGTGATACTGACCGCAAAGCTTCAACCCAACTGTGCCATAAACATTGAGATCCTTGTCCACAACACCGCCTTTCTCCTTTGGAGCCATCTTACAAGTCCCCAGAGAATGCCACGTCGTTTCAATGTTCGACCGGATAAACTCTTCAATGGCCTTGTCGTCTTCTTCATCGTACTCAATTGGCGGTAAACGCTTTCTTTCTTCAAGCGTCTTGAAGCCACCCTTAACTTCCGGCGCGGTTCGCAGAGCAGCTTTACTGCCTTGACGGAAGTTGGGATGTGCCACGGCAAGCTCGCTTACAAACCCATTCGTGCGACGAAATATTTCTCGCTGTTTCTTGTATGCCCAAAGTTGCTTTGTCATATCTACTCTCTTGGAGAGGAAACCTGTGTTGAAAGAAGGTGGGGCGTCAGGGTCTTTGGAGGTGATGTGAATATCACCTCGAGAGTACGGATAGCCTGTGTACATGCCAATGGAGAGGTACTGAGATGGTCCACTTTGTTCTTCAGGCAAAGTCTTGTAGTCGCCAAGGTAAGTACTGACAACGGCTAGCAGCATCAAAGGTCTTTCTTTTTGCTCTTTGAAGTCGCGGTTCCAATGGTCTTGGAACTCTTGATCCAACTGTGCAACTTCTTCATCCGTTGGGCGAAGTTTGGCTGCTAGGTCGACACCGTTCCAAGTAACGACAGGATTCTTTTTCTCAGCCGCCTCGTAAAAGTCAACATCGCCTCGATTCAAAACATCAAGTGTCTCATCGGGCTTCAGCGTTGTCTTGTATTTGTAAAAGATCAGGTTGTGGTCCTGATATTCCTCGCCAACGCCCGGTACATCAGCAACGACGGGAATATCCAGCTTCTTGAGCAGTTCAGCCTTGCCAACTCCAGATCGCTCAAGGATCAGCGGTGTTCCAAGAGCCCCTGCTGAGACTACGACAAGCTTTCTCGCCTTAATAGTCAACGGCGGCCCTTTAGTAAAATTGGCGACAGGCTGGTTGGATGCAGTTGGCAAATATTCCACACCAACAGCTCGATTGCCTTCAAAAATGACACGGCTGATGGTGCTTTCGACGAGCAGATGAAGGTTGGGGTATTTTCCCGAAGCCATAAGTGGGTGTACGTAGCGATGTGCCGTATCTTGTCGCTTCCCATCGGGCGAAACATATCGAAGCCATCGAGAGAAGCCACCGATAGTCTTGAAGTCTTGCATGTCAGGAATCTCAGGAAGCCCAACAGCCTCAGCACCGGCTAGTATGTCGTCTTGGGCTTCCTTGGCGTGGTAACAGCCAAAAGAGACGTTGATTGGGCCGTCATACCCATGCAAGCTCTTGTCAACTGCAGGGTGGTCAAGATGGTGCGTCTCCAACTTGTTTGCAAAGGGCAGCAGGCTCTTTGCATCCCATCCTTCAGTATTCCAGGAGTCGTAATCAACGCCCGACGCTATGTATGGAACGTTAGATAGATCTATTGTGCCACTGTGTCAAGACTGGGTTGGTTTATATCAGCATTACCTCTGGTATACATTGCAAAATTGATAGATGAACCTCCGCCAAGCATGCCGCCCGTGGTAACGACGGGCTCCCGACCATTGAGATCAGCCGTCTTGTTACCTTTGTAGGCGATGGATGTTTGGGAGTTTGGAGCTAGATGGTAGAGATATCTAGAGGCATTGACGACATTTGGGTCATTTAAGTTGTTCTTGCCACGCTCGACAATTAGGATAGACAGATTGGGATCTGCTTTCGCCAGCCGCCCGGCTACAATACAGGCCGCGGTGCCTCCTAGACAGATTTAAGCCTCATGATGGATGAAGGGGTGAATTGACGTGGATGAACTTACCGCCAGCAAATATAATATCGTATTCAGTTCCCTCTTTGTGAGTAGACATGATGATGTAGTAAGGAGTCTCAATTGAGTACCGGAATCCCAGAGTACGATGATGCTTGGATGGTGAGGTTACTGGCGAAGGAGAAGAGCACAATGGAAGAGAGAGAAACACAGAGACAGAGACTTAATTATAAAGAATTTAGTAAAAGGTCCATTCCATCACCTGCCGCAACCATTGATTCCAAGCCGCGCTGTTACGTACCCCTCGTATGCAATGTCTATGGTGCCCGTTCTAGATCTATTCGCCTAAACAAGAGCGTTGATGTTTAAGTCGTTGTACTACGGCATTGACCCAGTTTCAGCCCGCCCCAATACACCCCCAAACAGCAATCCGTGTCGCATCTCATGCACAAGACAGCATGGACCAACGGCTATGGGTATAGAGCTGCAGTTGCCCAGAATCTCATTGGATCAATATCAGTCCATAGAGTTGCGGGGTAATAGTTGCTGTGAGACCCGAGGGATCATATCTCCGGAGAGGGGTAGGGAGAGGAGGCTTTAGGAGATTGAAACTCATCGATTTTATTGCTAGGGCCAGCTTCCGTGTCTCTCGGAAAAAGTTGACATATTAAATGATTGAAGCTACTACCTACTGGATGAGACGGGAGATGTGTCGGTAAATGATAGCCAAGGCACTATATCTCAGGTGAGTTGTCATGGCTTGATAGGATCCCGAAAGGTTAATATAGAGACCGTGTCAACGTGTCGAAGTGTGGCTTGTCTTGTAAAATGGCCTATTACCTCGGTACTAGTTTTGTTGTCGTTGATCTTGCTGGCTAGACGGCTCTTCAATTGCTTGGCTTGGATGTAAGGGACATCAATGTTCTAAAATTAATTAGCCAAGCAATGCTTGCTGGCCATTGTTGATTGGGCACATGCAAATAATTCGCCCCAAACTTGATCAACATGAGAAACATCGGCAAATCGGGTATGCACAAGCACTATCCGACGTGCCCGCTCCCCGCTCCATTTGCCGCGTCGTCTTTTGTGTAATTTACATCCCTCTTTGACGTGTATGCTAGAGATGGGATCCTACTGAAGCGCTAGAATATGAGTTTTAACGCGTATTCCGTGCCCAGCCCTTAAGCCTTTTCCGGACTCCCGTGATGTAGGGTAATAAGGGAGGCTGTTGCCCGGAACCGGCCGGAACCGTTGCAAGACAAAACCGCGCACGATTATGCGCACACATCCAATAAACATGATCGTAAAATGCCCTGGTGTGGAATGGAATCACGTCGTTTCGTCTCAGACAACTTCATCATTGTCAGCTTTCTTTGTGAAGTGTTGTAATCATTCTTCCCGATATGGATAGACTGGCGGCATTGATTGGCTCAATGACTTTATACCACTCCTAATATTCGACTAATCATTTATAAAACGAACGCATGACTGATTAAGAGGAACGGGATATGTATAGCTTGCTAGGGTCTCGAAATGCTGAACAGTAATCGTCATTATTATTTAATGCTACTAATTATATACATTATAAACGGGTGGACAGGAGCATTTCATAGCTCCCTCTATCTTTCCACATGTAAGATCGCTATGCAACTTTTCGCCTCTTTCAAATTAACTCTGCTTTCTTGATCTGCATCCACGCTTATTTGTGTGCGTTTTCCACCTGCGCCTCTTCGACATCTGAATCCACAGCCAAGGTCTGTTCGCCAGTGAGGCGGGGGTTGCGAATTGCGAGCGAAAATGCAATGAGCGGAACGCAGATGCAAATACCGGTGATGGCGAGCAGGCGCTGAATGTACTGATATGAATCAACGATGGCGTCTCTCTCAGGTGTACCAGGAGGGTATGGAAGGATGGCCACAAGAGGGTTGCCGTAAGCTTCGATCGCCAATGTAGAATTGATGTTTGCCAGTCTGGTTTCCAAAGCTTTGGGGAGCAGCTGTGTCCACAAGGCTCCAGAAACAGTATTTCCAAAGGCAGACCCAATGTTGTATACTGCTAGGTAGAGACCCGTCATGACGGCCAAATGCTCGTGCCTCAGGCCAACTTGGATAGATGCCTGAGCAGTGTAAGGGAACATGCCTCCAGCGAGACCCAGAACAACCTGAGCTGCAATGACGCCGACTCGGCTGGAGCTCGTGATGGATCCACGGAAACGGATGAGCAATCCAAAGGCTACCATGAAGAGACAGGTTCCGGCGACGACGAAGATTTTGAGGCGGCGAACTTTGTAAACCACCAAGCCGAGAATGGCTCCGATAATAACGCTGACGAACGAGTACAGTGACGTGACTCGGGTCGCAGTTGTGATGGAGAAGTTGAAGGCGACGACGAGGACAGTATAAAGAAAGTCGCCTTGCATCGTCCAAGCAAAGTTGAGGCAGACAGCAATGCCCATCGGAGCCCACACAGCTCGATCCTTCATGAGGAAGAATGGGACCAGCGGGTGAGGAGCCTTGAGCTCCCACCAGATGAAGAATGGGATGCAGCAAACACCAACGACGAGCGGTGCAATGATGTGGGCAGTGCGCCACTCGCTGTGGATACCGCCAGCTAGAGTGAAAGGTACGAGGATGAGGGCAAAGACGGCGATGAGGAGGAGGATGCCGATAACGTCCAACAACCAGAAGAGCTCGACGACGAGATTCTTGAAGCCCAGCTGCTCAAACGATGAGCGGTAGTTGACAAGGAGACCCTGCTTCCTGGCGCGCCGGCCCACAATCGAGAGGCTGATGATGAGCGGCAGAGCGCAGACTGGGTAAATGATGGACCACATTCCGATACCCCATCGCCAGGTAGTTGCTCCCAGGACGGAGTTGGCGACGTTGCCGCTAATCCATGCATTGATGATGAAGGGCAAGGCTGGAATATAGCTGAAGAAGAGACGGGCACGGGTCGAGGTGATGTCGGCTATAATGACTTCAACCAGCAGCAGGACCATGGTATAGCCGACTTGGTAGATGACATTACCGCCGGCATAAGTCGCGATATTGGTGGCTGCGGCCTCAATAACCGTTCCAAGGACGTAAAAAAACACAGAGACGCAGATCAGCTCGACACGGCCAAAGACGTCGGCAATCTTGGCGGCGGTAGGTTGAGCTGCCGCTGCGATGACGGCGCGGATGACGTTGATGGTCGACAGCAGAGAGTGGCTGTCCCACGAGCCAGTGGCATACGGCTGGTAGGTGTATCGCAGAGTGCCGTCAAGGCCATAGCAGTAAGCAAGCAGAAGGACGCTGAGGAAGATTGCGATGCGGTCGACCAAGGTGATGCAGCTCGAGATGGCCTCGATACGGGAAACACCAGGCGACTTGATGTTTCTGACGAGGTCGGCAGCAGATTTGTCAACACTCTTCTCGTTGTCGTTGGCTACGACTTGGCTGGCAGCCTTTTCCACCCCAGGCAGGGAGGCGGGGTTCAAGTCGGCAGCCATGGTTGGTGGTTGGTGATGAAGGTGCAGAAGGTGAGACGACGGCCACGAGATTTCAGTGTCACCGTCTGTCTCTCCTTGTCTCTACCAAAGATGATGAAACAAGTAAAAGAAGGACCTGCTTAATCCGCAACCCAATAGATCGACGGATTGACTTCCAGGGCTGTCACTAGTAAAGTGTTCCGGAAGCGGACGAGGATGCATGTGCATATGCGAGTTACAAGCAGGGGAGTCTCTCCGGCGCCACGGCTGTAGCACAAGTTATATATCCATTCTCTAGCGTCAACCCAAAAGCATCTGCCTGATGCGATCGATTAGATCAAAGAAAATTTTCGGTCAATGTTGCGCCGCAATGGTGGCCCGAAGGAGCAAAGACCCAGCAGTTTTAGATCCTTCAGCGTTATCTGATGATCAGATTAAAGCGGGCCACGATGGAGCGTCGGGGGAAAAAACTTCACCGTTGCAGCCAACTAGAACCGCTAAAACCTTCCATCGGTCGGTCTCTGATGCCCAGTCTGGCTTAATCCATCATGGCCAAGCCCCCGGTCGGTGAAACGACTCGCATTGAGGTCGTAATACAGCCAATCGCCTGCTGGGACAATCATCAAGAGCCCGAATACGGTGGCCGAGTCGTGTGCAACCCCCCTAGAAGATTGTGGTTCTATCATGTATTATATGTTGAAACCCATGCTAGTCGCTGACAGTGAGTAGCAAGAAGAGGAAAGGTTCAATGTTCTCAGGGCGTGATTTCGCGTGTACATACCACGAGCATCCTGCAGCCAGTCGGAAGACGATGAAGCGATAGGGAACGGCGGAATCAGTGGCCTACGAGTATTTGAGCCACTTTTCTAGCTGTAGAAAAAATGTGTATTGTGGCCGTGCTCTGGATCTTGGCTTCAATATTTTGTTGTAAATGGCTCCATGTAAGCCCACCTCGGTGTTGGTCCAGATCACATCCGGATTTCTCTCATCGCTTGGCTTGTCTTCTCCTGTCCTAGCTTGCCACTTCTTCCCCTTCTTTCTCTTCTTCTTTTCTTCTTCCTTTCTTCTTCCTTTCTTCTTCCTTTTTTTTTTTTTCATTCGAAAATTTCTCTCCGTCCACTTCAATAGTTCAATCTTGGCATCTACAAACACAGCTTCGCAGCTTCAGTTTCTCACCGGTTGGGTCCGCCCGCCCTTTGCCGCAGCCACGAAATGCTGTTCGGAGGGGCTTGAGCAAATTTCTTGTACGAGTAATCGTGGCGCTCCGAGCACCCGTAAACATTGAAGCTTCCATCGTCATTCCAGGCACAGCCCTGGGACAAAATGATCCCCAGCAATGGCGCGAGAGTTCAAGAGTTCAGTCTAAGCCAAGCTCGGAGAAGCTAGAAAGCTCCTCTCTCGGAGCATTTCGCGCCACAATGTTGCTAGCGGCGCCGCCCTTCTATTTTTTCCCTTTCGCATCCGGCCAGATGCTCTGCGATGGGCTGATAACCAATGTCTCAGCTCCAAAGACATAGTTCGGATGCCAAGGTTAATAAAAATAGCCTCACTTGGTTATGATCAAAGTGATAGGCTTGATGAGCTGAGGTCGAATGTCCCTGTAACGGATTGAAACGGTACAACTACAAATATTCGTGTAACCCCGACCTTTTCGCGCAAAACTGTGTGAATTTTGATGACGTCTTTTAATTCTTTGATCAATGACTACTTTATAAATTTTGGACATGTGCGCTGTCTTCAGCCCAGCGACCGTTACACAGGCCCAAGACTTGTTGCAGAGAAGCTGACAAACTTTTTGTCCCACCACTTCAAACAGGCAGACGTGATCAGCCGACCTGAGTTGACCCAGGCTTCATGTGTGCCTTGGTCCAGCTATACGGTTGCATTGGAAATCTAAAACTATTCGTAGAGCATTACGAGGCGGACTTACGGACCTCATACCGATTAAGCTTTGATGACCAACAAATTTGATATGCCTGTGGTATCCAATGATTTATTGAGGCAACTCGTTCAGCGCTCTCTGATGGTGCGTGATGCTTCGTATTCACTACAAATATGGCATCATCCGGTGGCGCTTCGTACTGCAGCAATAAATTGTTCTTATCTAATGCATGCATTCGAAACTGAAGATATTCTATAATTAAATCTGTCCTATTGGTCGCATATGGGGGCTATTACTTCAGTATGCAGCTGTTTCTCATACGCCGACAATGTCGATATTCAAGCCCCGTGTTTCTAGCTGGAGGTCTGGTGCTACGAAACATCTATAGATGAAAGATTTCCGTATGCTGCCCGAATTCCTTGGATACATGGGTTACCACACATATAAAAGCTATCTTCCTAAAGATCACTAGATACATCCTGAAGCATTCACTTTCCCATCTAGCTATTAGCTCTGTTTGTATAAAACCCTCCCTACAGGTGGATCGGAGTGAAACTCACACGATATCTGTTGCCTCCTATACGGATACTTATGACGATATTCCGCTCAAGGGGCTTGGGTGTATCTCGAGAAACTCCACATTTTGTATACGATTGCGAAAATAAACGAAAAGCTTGAGCTCCGTGTTGTTTCAAGTTATAAGAAGGGTATATGAACATTGATACTTTATCTATCAAGTCACTTCAGTGGTCTACACTCCTACACCCCTACCAGAAGGTCGGTACCATGAGCTCAGGAGACTCCTTAACCACATAGTCTGTTTACTCATTGTCATTTCGCTTTCCTTCGTCATAATTATTTCTCCCTCTCATCATCATATCCACTGGTTCTTTGTCGTCGGTCTTTCTTGCCTAATGCGGCCTGATCTTCCAGATTGAAACCTCGTTTCCATTTATTGACTTTTAGTTCTACTGTTGGTGATGTGATGAAGGGAACCATTGACATCAATATGCTTATTTTTTAGTGTTTAGGGCTGTTGCCAATATCCGTTCATTATACAACTGCACCGCCTCTCCTCAGTATATATACCCCTTTTAGTCCGTCTGGACATCCTAATCTTTGGTAACCTTATAGTCGTTATTGGCTATACCAATTCTGTTTTCCGTCAAGTCATTCACGATGTTTGGCTACTCTTTCATTCTGAGCGTCTCTCTTGCGGCTCTTTCTATCAAGAGTGCATATGGGGCAGCATTTATCCCGCAAAGCCCAATAGCGAGAAGTAAAGTTTCGTTTTCTGCTCAGTCAAAAAGAGATGGTATTCAAGCTGCCAATGCCGACTTTGTGCCATTATCGCTAGATTCTCCAATCACGGAGGACGGCCGTTGTGGTGTCAATTTCGGCACCAGATGTGAGAACGATGAATGCTGTTCTAGCGAAGGGTAAGCGCCCAGACATTCGACTCCGGGAGTATTGGCAATAGGAAGCTGACTTGAACTAGATGGTGCGGAACAGGATACTATTACTGTTCGGCTCCTGCGTGTCAGTTTGACTATGGTCCTCACTGCGATGCCAATAGGCGACCCAAAGGGGCTGACACTGAAGACTGGCCCCGAGATCATGTGGGTTCTGTGCCATATGGAGAAGCAATTTATCATTGCTCCAAGCCGGGCACTGTAGCCTTGACTTTTGACGATGGCCCGTGGGACTACACCGAGGCGCTGTTGGACATTCTTGAGGTTCGTCTAGAAACAATGCTAGCCTGGCGGGAGCAGATACTGATGTAATAATACAGGAACGTGGGGCTAGAGCTACCTTCTTCATTACAGGTCGCAATCTGGGAAAAGGAGCAATCAATGACCCATCCACAGACTGGCCTCGTCTTATCCATCGTATGAAGGCGGATGGGCACCAAATCGGCAGTCACACTTGGTCCCATCAACGCCTGCCCACGGTCGACAGGTCACGAGTCCGTCAGCAGATGCTCTTTAACGAGATTGCCATTGCAGACATTCTTGGCTTCTTTCCCACATATATGCGACCCCCCTACTCTGCCAGTGATACAAACGTCGATGAGTGGCTCGGCGAATTGGGATACCACGTCACGTATTTCAATCTCGACACTGAAGGTTACTTGCACGAAGATGATATTGAGATCTCCCAGATTATTGCTGAAAAGGCATTTGAAGGAAAGGACCCAGAGACTGATTCATACCTCCAAATCGAACACGACACAGTAGCTGAGTCAGTGCACACTCTCGTCCCGTACCTCCTCGATCTTCTTTACGATGCCGGTTTCGAGGCCGTAACTGTCGGTGAATGTCTCGGAGATCCAGAAGAGAACTGGTACCGAAGGCCAGATGGAGAAGATCAGAAGCGGATTCTCACAGCGAAAGAGATTCAAGCCCCCCAAACCCCTCGTGTCAAGAGAATAAGCCCTATTGATCTTTTGAAAAAATTCCTTTACCCAAGCTCCAAGCCATATTTTCCGGGAACCAACACAACTCAGTTCCCCGCTAATGGGTCTTACCCTGCCGTTAACTCCTCCGTCCCCGTGGTTTATCATAACCCTACCACTGACGGTCGTTGCGGTCCTTCACATGGTAACACTACTTGTATGAATCAGAAAATTGAGAATTGTTGTTCTCAGCGTGGATGGTGTGGAGCGACCGAAGCCCATTGCATGAAAGGCTGTCAGGAGGGATTTGGTCGGTGCGGGATGTTTGGTCATTCTGGTCACTCTATGGTTTAATTAATATTTTGTTTTAGTAGGGACCTTTCCATATCAATTTCATCATTATTGTTTTGCTATCTATGTCCTTGAGAAATATGTCTAATTGGATAAAAGTAATTACGAGTATGTTATATTTGGTGCCCAGCTTCTGTAGATAAAGTTCATGTATATTCACCCATTTCTCCAGCGGTGGGTGTCAGCTGTTTGGTGTACTATCGAGATTCTGCACCCGTACTAGGAACAAGTCAATATGAATAAGTTTCTTGTCATCCAGCAGTATTTTCTGGAAGTTATTCTCAAAGACAAAGCAAAGTTCCGGTTACCCTACTCCGCAATGTCGTAAAATTTCCGACCGTTGTCGCTAATCCCCAGTAGTGGCACACGACCTCGGAAATTTATATCGTGTAAGCCACTTTTGCTTCACATCAGCCCTGTATAGATACAACGCAAAAGGAAATCGCCGAGTTCGTGGTTAGTAATGGATTTATCACGTGCTTTTCCTACTGAAGGATCAATTGTATATAGTTTTCAGCTGAGGGACTTTAGGCAGAACACAACGCGGGTTGCAGGGTTCCATTTCTTCTCTTTGTCTATGTTTTAAGAGGCTCTTCGCATATTTGGATACATCTGTCCGAAAACCTCACATATAAGAGCGTCATGGATTCTTTAGCGAATGATTTCAAAGACATCCAATTGAATCCCATTTCGCTCTGCGGAGACTGTTGGCAGATCAATTTCTCGGCCTTATTTGATCCTGATGTTACGAACATGCAACTACAACCTATTTACGTTAAAGATGCCGAAAAGGTTGAAGCCACCTGCCAGTTCTGCAGCCTCCTGCTCCGAGAGGCACGAAATCTGACACGCAGTGGTCGTGTTATTCGCCAGGTCGACGGCCAACCTCTGACATTCTTCTTCGAGCGCGACTGTCAGACGGGCATTGCAGAGCATGGCATCACTGAGTTCACAAAAACTATCATCCTAAAAGTCGATCTACTTCCAGTACCGACTCCAGAAGACGTCGAAATTAAGTTTAACATCTGCCCCATTTTCACGGATAGAGGCGATGATCACCTTCAATGTGTCCAGTTTGTCTCCACAGACAGCATAGATTTGGGTTTGTGTAGCAAGTGGCTCCGAGATTGCGAGACGCGGCATCTACCGTATTGTCGGGACCTTGGCCAACAAATAGACAAGTTACCCTTGCCTCAGGAGTTTCATCTTGTTGATACCATCGATAACTGCATCATCTCAGCGCCTCAAGATTGTCGTTATATCGCACTGAGCTATGTCTGGGGCCGGGCTGCAACGTTGAAACTTGACCAGGATAACGCGGAAACATTTGAACGCCCTGGAAGCCTGAAACAGCATATAGCCGACGTACCCAGGACAGTTCAAGACGCAATGCGCGTGGTCAGATCTATGGGTGAAAGATATCTATGGGTCGATCGTCTCTGTATCATTCAGGATTCGCCTCAAAAAGATGAACAAATCGCCAAGATGGACAGAATTTACGGGGCTGCGGTCCTGACAATAGTTGCGGCATATGGATCAGATGCTAATGCCGGACTGAGAGGAGTACGCCCAGGCTCGCGAATCTTTAACCAGTCAGCAGCCACTATCTGGCACGATCTCACTCTTGTAGCTGCGGCTCCATCACCGGGTGATATCACGGAGTCAATATGGGCAACTCGAGGGTGGACATACCAAGAACAACTGTTATCGCAGCGATTGCTAGTTTTCACAACAGAAGGCCAGGCAGTATGGCAGTGTGCATCTAGCCATTTATTAGAGGATACTTCATCTATCATCAAAGCTCGCCCAGTAAGGCGTCTAAGACAGTTGCGGGATGGTTTGAGGTTCAATGAACGCCAGCCAGCGCCTAATCCGACGCTGTCACCGCTGCCGCTGCAACGACCAGATGCAATCACTGAGTACATGGAGGTGGTTCAAGGTTACACCAAGAGACGGTTTACCTTTGAAGATGATGTTTTGGCTGCATTTCAAGGTTTTGGAAGTATTCTTCAGCGCTATCTGATCTCTAGGTTTCTTGCTGGCCTTCCAGAAGCATACCTGGATCAGGCATTGTTGTGGATTCCTTCAATTCAGCAAAAGCGGAGAGAAGGCAACGAGACGTATTTGCCTAGTTGGTCCTGGGTAGGATGGAATGGACAAGCGCATTACCAAGAACTGGACTCCTCGAACACCGAGAGAATAGTGCCTGTTCTAAAATGGTATTACACAGAGAACAGCCAGATCTCCAAGCCTATCAACCAGATCGGGGTTGGGATAGACGAGTCACGGTTTGGTAAAGAGAGGAGCTCAAATACGTTCTGTTGGGTGCCTCTTTTTGAGCTAATGGCTGATTCACTAAACATTGTGCCAACAAGCAATCTCGATTCACAGCAGCGCCCGTTGCTACAGTTTTGGACCTCTTGCTCACTGTTCCACATCGCTCCGCGGCAGAGAGATCGCCTGATTACGGGCCAGAGAGAGTCATCATTGGACCGTCCGATCAAAGTGCACCTATTTCTGGGGCAATCGGAAAGACAACTCAGTGGATACCTCATCTTGAATGGGGAAAGGTTACCAGAGCTTGACCCGTCTCGACACGAATTTATCGTCTTGTCTGAAGCCCAGTTTTCCGGATTCAATCCTATTACTTCAGCATGTACGCCATCAGAGCAGAGTCTGATGCACAACGTGATGCTGATTGAATGGGATGACAACCGGGAGATGGCATCTCGATTGGGCATTGGGAGAGTGCTGAAACAGGCCTGGGATGCGTCAAATCCTGTCATCAAGTTCATCACGCTGGGTTAAAGCTGAGGCGATCATTTGATCATCGAACACACCGATCACCGCAATTAAATAGTAGCACTCAGTTTTGAATCTTTCTCTATCAAGTCTCCGATGAAAAGAAGACTTCTTTCGCCCACAACCAGAGGCCAGTGAAATGCTAATGTTCAATTTCCAGCCCAATGGCCACATTCAAGTTTATAAGACCACTTTTGGGTAGCTTTCAGCTCATAGCTGTGCGTGAGGCAAGGGGCAAATGCTCCAGATGCTTTCCAGCAACTCGGTAAACAAAGAAAATCTCCATTCAGCTGAACAATAACTCAGCGGCTAACGCACAGCACGGGCTTCGTGGCCCGCTAATCTTACCATGCTGGGTCAGTTGCTTCTAATTGCCGTCCCTGAGCCCAATCGAAGACGGCGGCACAGGGGTAAAGTGGCGAACGCTAAGCTGCTGGCGGCAGTCTAAATGCGAATAGTCTCAGGTAGCCAGAGAGCCAGCTCACGAATCTAGGCCCTGAAAGACTCAGATTCCAACTATCGATCTAGCTAGACAGTGGCCATATCCTAAAAAGAAAGCGATAGCTTCAAAGATGAGCTGCTGGCAATTGGCGTCCACGAGCAAATGTCAATAATGTAGGGATGATCTCTCCTTGCATGATTCTCGTAGGCGTAATAAATAGTTTGAAGCAGCCACTTTCATGACTGTCAAAGCTTTAACATCAATTTTAACCTCAGTGTCTATCATCAATTCAAGATGAAGTTGCTCACCCTTTCCGTTGCGCTGTCAGTCTTGAACGCTGTGGAGGCTCGTGACCCGGCTTGCCATCCTCCTGCGCCTTCATGCCGATATGTCTCCTGGTGGACGGCAAGAGAGTGCAATGCTATCATCAGTGAGTTGAGTTCTGGAGGAAAGAAAAAGCGTTATAGATACTAATCTCTTTTGCTTTATAATTAGACTCTCGACACATCCGACGCTCGACGTGTGAAGCTCCTGAAGGAACCGTCATCAGAACCAGCACAGTCACGCGCCACCCAACCATCACTCAAACCAAAACCGTGAAGCCCGCAACAAGTACCAAAACATCAACCAGAATCGTCACAGTCACGGACCCTATGTATGTTACAGCATTGAATGGGATGAAAAACATTTGACTAACCTGAATGCCTCTTGAAGCACTCATCAAGACACAACCACAGCCTGGGCCACTTTGACGGCGGTCGCAACCACAACAGATGTGGAAACTGATTCCTCGACTGTCACTATCACTACAACCTCTGTGGAGACTGATACTTCTAGCACCACAGTTACGACGTGAGTAGCTTCGTGTGTCCGCCATGGAGTCTACACATGCTGAACTGACAATTGGCAGTACCCAAGATAGCACTTCGTTTCTCAGCTGGGCTCCCGAAACTTGCGCTCAGGCGCCGCCAACCACTTCCGCTCAGGGACCACCATCTACTTTGGCACCTACTTTCGCACCTACCATGAAGCGCTCTGAGAACCATTACGACGAATTACCTCGGGATTGCTGTATGTTGATTCAACGCACTAACGTGGTCATGAGGGTTGAAGCTAACCATATTAATTCTCTAGCATGCTTCCTCACTTCGACAAAGAGCTGTGGCTCTCGAGTCACAAAGGTCGTCACCAAAACCAAGGAAGACCGCCCCGTGATCATCACCAAGACTGTCACAGACCGAAACTGCAAAACTGTCACGACCACCAAGACGTCCACAACTCATGTCAACGGAGCACCACCGCCCAAGCAGACGGTTACCTTGACTACTACCTCAACTAGCACCACAACGGCTACCTCGACCAGCACGGTTGAGGAAACCACAACTGCCACAGAATCCACTACAACGACAGTCGTTGCAGCCACCACCGTCACTACCGGAAGCACAGTCACTCAGACCGAGAATCCTTGTGACCCTACCAACGTCAGCAAATATATCCTCCAAGGCCCTCCATCCAACCCTAATGTAGTCCTTGGTTTCCGTGGAGATGGCGGCGGTGATCTCTCCAACTGTTGCTCAAACTGCCTCGCAAATAACGACTGTGTTTTCTGGAAGATGAGCGCTGGTGGTTCTATCTGCGAGAACTACTACACGAACCGAAATGTCCCAGTCGAGGGTTGTACTTCTGACAAATGCACAAGGGGACACCCCGTGATGAACGTCGATCCGAATTCAGATGGAAACACGTACGGCATGGCTACATGCGGACAGTTCCATATCGTGTATTAATAATGAGGACGGATTGAAAACTGGTGGGATATGTTTAGATAATGACAACACAAGAGCGACTTTTTCTTTTCTTCTGACAAATAATTATAATACATCGAGTTCGTTTATACCTAGTATATAGAAAGGAAAAAAGAATACGAATTTTCCCCAATTCTCAGTCTCTTTCACTGTTCGCCATAAGTGACTCGATAATAACGATGTCTAATTGTGACCACTCTCTTCGTTTACTCTAGTTGGAGTACATTCTTCAACTGTTCAATTCATGAAACCATGTGGGCAACGTAGTTGTAACTAAAATGTGATATTGCCATTACCGTTTATCGTTCCGTATATTCCAAATCTCTATAACTAAAGCAATTACTACTTAATTTTCAAGATGTGCAATTCGAACCACGAAACTGCTTTAGCCGCGTACATCAAACTTTGAGCCGTAGTTAGTCTCCATCTCCCTCGTCAGCTCTGGTTAAGTGCCCAAGTATCATCGGCAATCTCTCGGAAAATTCGTACCTCCTGTGCTAAATGATAAAGAGACCGTCGAATCCCTAGCCTGTCCCGTATTAACATTGCTCTAGTCGTGCGGGGTTGGGACTAAGGCGATAGCAAACTCCGGAGTAATACGGAGCAAGGCCTCCGAACGGACCCTCGAACTGACAAACGAATCAAGATTCTACAACCGTTATTGGATCCAAGGCATTTCAAAGAGTCTCACATGGCCGGGAGCCTGCAGAATCCTTTGCCGAATATTTCGGTCAATCAAGATCAGCCAGAAGAGTACGTCCCGCGGAGGCGCAACAGAACGGGGTGCTTGACATGCCGTCGAAGGTACAGGACATCCACCCCATGAATCGGATTTAGGTGATTGACTGGAGTGGAAAACGTGTAGGAGGAAGCGATGCGATGGTGTCCGAGATGTTTGTGGTCATTGCATTCGTCTCAATCTCATCTGTCACTGGCAGGGTCCCCATGAGATAGGGGAAGGCTCTGCCTCCTCATCACATTCGGTATCACAGCGACCACGAGTGACAAATCATTCCTGTGTGCCGTTAACGATCCCAATCGCACCCGCTCCTTTTCAATTTCTCCAGAGCGATGCCCCAGAACTTGCTCGTCGATCACTGGATCGCAAGTTGGCGCTGAGATACTATGTTCAGATCTTTAATACTATGCTAACCACCAATTTGGAGAATAACGGATTTCTTTCTGGTGCGCTTTTACTCCCAAGATTTTCCTCCAACTGGTACAACACGGTGAATAACATGAAACAGTGCTTTTACCCATGGCAATTGAGGAGAAAGCGCTTCTTGATATGTTAATTGCATGGTCATCATCTCACCTGTCCCTTTGCGACGACACCTATCGTATCAAAGCCCTCGAGCATCGATCTACGGCTCTGCAGTCTTTCACAGCATCTTTGTTAAAGAACGAATTACCTGAAGTCTCGTTGGCTTGCTGTCTCGTCTTCTGCTCCATGTCGGCTGTCTTGGGCGATACTGCGGAGTGGCGTAACCATCTTGTGGGCGCCGCGCACATAATCCGACACGCCTGGCTCTCGTCATCACAAGATGGAAGCCTGAAGAATCCTCCATATGAGATTCGGTGGCTACTAAGAAATTTCGCGTATCACGACATCCTCATGAGCGTAACATTGGATCGCGAGCCTCTGATACCAGGGCGATACTGGATCCCACAGCCAGTGAACGAATTGGATTCTTATGTCGGGCTGGCATCTGAGCCACTGGCGCTGATTTCCAAAATCAGCTCGCTGAATGGTGACGCTATCCGACAAATGGAAAGCTCATCACCTTGCAGCGATTCTGAGTCGATATCTTCATCTTCACACGATACCGACGATTCTTCGTTTTCTCAAACGGTAGATCTTATTTCTCAAGCTTATTCGATAGAATTTGAGCTTCAAGACTGGAAATGCCCAGAATCGAACAGTCAGTGCCTGGTCAATCTCGCAGAGGCCTATAGAAGCTCAGCTCTCATACACCTATATCGCGTGATGAGGCGCAGGATACTAGGATCAAGCACAGAGCTTGAAGGCAAGATTGCAAGCCAGGTTACTTCAATCGTATATCAATTAGAGCAGATGCCACTAGGATGCCTCCCGGAATGCACTTCGCTGTTCCCTCTATTCATGGCTGGGGGCGAGACTCGATCCAAGTCAACAATGCAGTTTATCCGCGAAAGACTGCAGCACATCGCAACCTATCGACACTTTCAAAACGCCGCCTCTGCATTGTCAGTCTTGGAGGAACTATGGCTGCAACATACGAGTATCACAGGTCCAATGACTGGTCATTTATTAGATTGGCTTGATATCATTAGGCGAAGACACTGGGAACTCGCGCTATCTTGATTCATCCTTAAGCGCGAAGAATTTGGAATGTATGGAGAGATTAGGGCATTGCGCGAGCTACGGCGTTACGAATGGGTAAATGGAGTAGCCGGTTACGGGAATCAGCATTAAGACCGAATCTTTTTAGTTATCGAAATTATTACTGTGTATTATCTACTAAACTTGAGCGTAGTTTACGACGAATTTTTAAGCTATCCTTCCCTATTCGCAATGGCTTCATCCTCTTCCATGTACTCTGAGAATTTGTATGTCGCAAACTTTCTTGTCGGGACTCTTCTCTGGAACATAATGTCCAACTCTTCAAAAGTCCGACCCTTAGTTTCCGGCAGTGCGAGGAAGCACCATGCGAGGCAAGGTAGAGACACGCCAAAAAAGACAAAAGCGAGTTTGCCGCGTAGATTGCCTTGATCTGGATTAATGGCATAAGGAATGCCAACAGCACAGGCAACATTGATCAAGGCGTTTATAGTCGTTGCGATGGCGATTGTCTTGTCTCGCAGTTTTGCGGATGAAACCTCCGACAGGTAGACGAAGCAAAGCGGGCCAATTGTCAAATCGTAAAAGAAGTTGTAGACGACCATCATGGAACACTGCGCCCAAACAACATTGTGGTTTGTAGTACCGTAGCCAGGAACAACATCGAGAACTCCTACTAAGAGAACAATGACAACCAAGATGCTGCAGCCTTGGTTGTAGATTGTGCGGCGGCCGAATTGATTGAGGAGGAACCAAGAGAGAACAGTTCCCACGAAGCCAACACCTAGCAATCCAACGCCAAGGTTGAAAGAGTCGCTTGCTTCTAGTCCAGCCAGTTCGAAGAAGTAGACAGCGTATCCGATAACCAAGAAATTGGCGACCAGTGGCTGAATGGCATAGACCATTATGCAGATGACTGTTCGTCGGAGATCTGTGTTTTTGAAGCAGTCTATAAATGTGGCTGTATCAGTTTCTGCTCCTTCAAGTGATGTTGTAAGCTGTATGTGAGCAAGAAGCATGCTCGTATCGACCGATTCGCTCGTGAGACGTTTGAGGGATCGCTCGGCTTTCTGAAGCTCGCCTCTGCGGACCAACCACCACGGGCTCTCGGGACAAAATGGTAATAAGAGCAGAATGATGATGGGAAAGATCAGTTGAGTTGCAAATGGTATATCGTATGCCCATCGATCGTCACGATTTTGACAACCAGCCAAAACGCCACTTGCGACGAGTTGGCCAATGACGAATGATAAGTTGACAAAAGCTGCTGCAATGCCTCTGAATACCACAGGTGTGACTTCTGAGATATATGTGGGAGCAATGACTGGATAGGCGCCGAGAACCACACCGTTGATAAGCTCCGCAATGAGGATCTGAGGTCGATTTTGAGCAGAAGTCTGCAGTGCAACGGTGATAAGAGTAACGCAACAACAGGCGGCTAGAGTCCATCGACGTCCAAACTTCTCCAAGGGCCATCCAACGCCAAAGGCACCAAGCACCTGTCCGACAGGGACACCGAGATTGAAAGCAGACTGCCACTTTGCTTGGACAACAAAGGATCCATCATCAAGCTCAACGCCAAAATCATGTTGAAAGCGCGGGATTGCAATTAGCGTACCGACTAATTGCGGATCGAAGCCGGCCATGATGACTCCCAGGCTGAAGAGAAAGGACCACCCAATTGCCGATCGATAATGATGGAAGACATCCTTGAGAGTCAAGCTGTGCTCTGTGACTCGAGCATCTTGGGCCTGCTTGGCGATGGCCACGTCGCCCATGTCTATGTCATGGTTGACCTTCTCAGTCGGAGCAACATGAATTTCTTCTCCCATGTTGGTGACCATGAATGACCTTGTGGTCAATTTGGAAAGATTAAAATAAACTGGAAGATGATGGAGATGCTTGAGAATTCTGCTCTCTTTTCAAGTTCAGCTGGTGATGGTATGTTGATCTTCGAGGAGCAGATGATTGCATTTTATGTATCAACGGTCTCGTTATCGTGATGATAGTCCCATGGCAATTCCGGGGTACAAACGAAAGCTCAAAATGCCTTCCCCATGCTTTTCCTTCCCCAGACTCATTGTCGTATTAGAAACTAACCACAATGGCTGGAGTTTAATGCCCTTGGTAAGCAGCTAGTTTAGTTCAGCCAGTCTTATCTTCCATTATCTGCCACATCTCTCCGAGTCGCGTGCTGCTCCGTCTTCGGCTCTACGAGATTTGGACTAATAAGCACTGTTGAGTAGTTCGCCGTAAGCGCTCGGCGCCACTAACCATAACAAGTCTACGGCTTCAGACCAAAGGTTGCCACGATCTATCGCCAGGTTTAGCGTTGATGGAAAGACACGATGCGATGGAGAGCCAGATGAATGGTACTCAAAATATGGATATGACAGTAAGAGAAAGCCTTGAAAAGGATATGATCATGGGAAGATAAGAAAGGAGTGGTCCAGGCTCCTCTGCTCCCCGTGGCTTGCGTAGGTTGAACTCGTGCCTCCCCTCTCATTCTCAGCTCAAGATGCCGGTCAATCAATTCGTCGCCAAGTCACATGTTCTTCATCGTGCCTTGGCATATGAGCCACAAAAGATTGTGTCAGGCTCAGGCATCTCCTTTACTCTAGAATCCGGGAAGGTTGTCTATGATGCTTCTGCTGGGCCCTCCGTCTCCGTCTTGGGGCATCATCAGCCCGAAGTTACAAAGGCTATCGTCGACCAACTTGACAAGATAGCTTATGTATATTCTGGAAGTCGGTATACTTGCGATGCTGCTGAGTCTCTGGCCACCGAACTCTTGAAGGATGCCCCTGGAGGCCTGGTCAAAGCCATTTTTGTCAACTCTGGTAGCGAAGCAACGGATGCAGCCCTGAAATTGGCAACACAATACTTTTGCGAAGTCGGACAGCCTAAACGAATCAACTTTATTGCTAGAAAACAAAGTTATCACGGCAACACTCTCGGTGCGCTGAGCGTCTCCGGCCACGAATCGCGCCGTGCATATTACCGCCCCTGGATAGCCAATAATGTCAGCTTTGTTGACCCATGTTATAGCTACAGGGCAAAGGGGGAGTCTGAAACCGATGCTCAGTATGTCGAAAGATTGAAGTTACAGCTAGAGGACGAATTCTTGCGCTTGGGTCCGGATACCGTTGCAGCATTTGTGGCCGAGACGGTCAGCGGGACAACACTTGGATGTGTACCCCCGGTACCTGGATATTTCAAGGCAGTTCGCGAAGTTTGCGATAAATACGGAGCGTTGTTGATTCTTGATGAGGTTTGTTTGCATACTCATTCGGCCTATCGGAGAGAGACTGACAGTTAATAGATCATGTGCGGTATGGGAAAGACAGGCACGATGCATGCCTGGGAGCAGGAAGGTATCAGAGGGCCAGACATTCAGATGATTGGAAAAGCATTAGGAGGAGGCTTCGTACCTCTATCTGGTGTCTTGTTGAACCAGAAAGTCTTTGACGGTCTAGCTGAAGGCACCATGGTGCTCGCTCACGGCCATACTTTCCAAGCTCACCCAACAGCTTGCGCGGCGGCCCTCGCTGTGCAAAAGATCATCAAGCGGGAGAACATCCTAGATCATGTCGCGAGTATGGGCCGGTTGCTTGAGGCGGAGTTGAACAAAGAAATTGGCCCTTTGGCACATGTTGGAAACATACGTGGAAGAGGGTTGTTCTGGGCTGTCGAGTTTATGCGTGATGCCGCTACCAAAACTCCATTCCCTGTTGAGCACAATTTCTCGAACCGAATAGTGGAAGTTGCAGCAGAATTGGGCCTGAATGTCTTAGGAAATTTGGGCAAGACTGGCAAGATTGATGTAGAACTAGTCATTCTAGCGCCGCCATACATTGTTACAGAGGAGGAGATCAAGGCCATTGTCGGAATTCTGAAGAAGGCGATTCTCGCTGTGACGGAGGAGCACGTCGTTCGCTACGGTATCAACGGCTTTCACAAATAATGTCAATAGTAGCATAACAGTAGGCCTTTGATTCGGCTTTATGGAACGAATTTGTCTCCAATGTATGTAGAGACAATTGTACTCTTATCTGCATAGTTTCCAGCCAAGCAATCATTCTTAATCTAAACTGTGATGACAGGCTATTACAAAGTATGTCACATATCAATTGTCTCAGTTTGACATATCGAGAGAATTTATTATTAGAACTGGTGTTGTATTTCTAATTTTTAGGCAGATAATACACTCGTCCCTCATATGGCTGCAAACTCAGTACATCGCCCGTCTCGTCATCTTTCTCCACGTAGTTCCCAAGTAATAAGCTGCCACGAGCTACTGGACACTCCCATTCCACTTGCTTTTCGGAGAACGAACAAACAATCAGATATTGTCCTGCAGCGCCTGTCCTAGTGTAGGCGTAGACGTTCTCGTTCTCATAGTCTACCATTTCAAACTTGCCACGATTCAGGCCAGGGTGCTCTTTTCTGGTCCTGAGCACAAGCTTCCAGAACTTGAGCACGCTCATACCAGAGCTTGTTGATTGCGTTTCAACATTCCATTCTTTGTAGTCTTCATTTACTTTGATCCAAGGCGTGCCGGAAGTAAAGCCTGCGTTGATATCCGCATTCCACTGCATCGGTGTTCGTGAGTTGTCTCGTCCAATTCGCTGGATTTGCTTCAGTGCATCTCGAATATCTCCATTCTTAGCCTGAACAGCTTCATAATACTGTATCTCCTCCAAATCTCGGAGCTCATCGAAATCCCAAGTGGCCGGATTAGCCATACCGATTTCTTGCCCTTGGTAGAGAAACAGGGTACCTCTACCTGTGGCGTGGAAGAGCGCCAACATCTTGGCAGATACATCGCGATATAGGCCGTCATTTGCCCATCGGCTAACAATCCGCGGCTGATCATGATTCTCCAAGTACAAGCTATCCCATCCACCATTAGCCTGATTGAACTCCATAAACTTTCCGAGAACATCCTTCAGTTCGGTGAGCTTCCATGGCTTGTAGTTGAAGCACGTTTTGCCAGGCTGATGATCGATATACATGTGTTCAAAGTGGAAAAGCATCTATAGCATGTTAGCAAACTTATTCATGAAGCGAAAAGAGAAGAAAAACGTACCTGAAGAGGAACGCCGTTTTTAATCAGTGGTAGTGCTTGCTCTGCGCTCTTGACTCCTGGAGCCTCTCCAACCGTGAACGCATTGGGATAGTATTGAAGGACCTTCTCGTGCATCTCAAGTAAATAGTCTCTTACTTTTGGTCCGTTGAAACGATGGATTAAGCCGTATTGATAGGGATTTTGAGGATCAGTGACGGGTGCATCCGGAAACCCCGGTGTCTTGGAGATACAGTTGATGACATCCATTCTGAACCCATCACAGCCTTTATCCAGCCAAAAGCGCATAACGTCCCACACAGCCTCTCGGACCACAGGGTTCTCCCAGTTAAGGTCAGGTTGCGACACATCGAAGACATGAAGATAATACTCCTGCAGTTTGTCGTTCCATTCCCAGCATGAGCCACCGAAGATGGCCCCCCAATTATTGGGTTCCTTTCCTTCTTTGTTCTTCCCCCGCCATATATACCAATCTTTTTTTGGACCACCATTTTTGGCATCCTGAAACCATTCATGCTGATCCGAGGTATGGTTGACGACTAGATCCATGACGACTTTTAATCCTATCCGGTGGGCTTCTTCCACCATGCGCTCCCAGTCCGCCATGGAGCCAAAGTCCGGATGTATCTCTCGATAGTTGGAGATGTCGTATCCCATATCAACCATTGGTGATGCATATACTGGAGACAACCATACGACCTCAACGCCAAGATCCTTGAGATACGGTAACTTGGAAGTGATGCCATTGAGGTCGCCTTTCCCGTTCCCAGTAGTGTCTTTGAATGAAACTGGGTAGATTTGGTATACGACAGTGTCGCGCCACCAATCAGGTGCCTCCATGGTCATTCTATCTAATTGTAGGTATCGTAGTAAAGTGAGAGAGAGAAGGTTTAAGGCAGTGAGCTAGAGTTTCTGGAGAGAACTCTGAGAGTTGGTGATAAGAGAGCAGCTTTGATGGTACTTCTGCTCTCCGTTTGTACGCCGACCGAATTACCGGTCCACTGACAAACTGCCCCCGAAAGCAAATTTAAAGTCAAGTTCAATCTAATTATTTCAACCGATACGAAAAGCGATTCCTAGATATCGGAGATTATCCGATAGCGGCGGCGCCTGCGAAGCGCCTCTCGCGCCGTATCTTCGCTGTCATCATTTAGTTGTTGAAACAGTGGGCTAAGAAACAACTAGTTCTTCCTATCTCAAGAGAAATCTTCCCCGCGCCTGAAGCGCTCGGCGCCCGGAGCGCTGGTCCGTAGTTTGCTAGCTCAACAATTGGAGACAGAATGGATCATAGTGTCCACCAGAGTGCGAAAATCTCCGGATCTAGCTACAATACGTTGGCACTGAGCCCGACTACTCGTTGGAGACTCGGATATTGGAATAACGGATGATTCTTAGCATCACGATTCGTACGAGCATGCCTCTTTGTCTCTGCTATAACTTGAGCTTATTAGCACACATCCGCAATCATGATTCACCTTCATAGCGCCTTTCAAATAAACTAAGCACGCACATACCTATAATGCCTTCCACCACCAAAAAACCCGATCAGGATGCCCTCGCCTATCGAGGCCAACCTCTTCCCAACGTTCTCGAGGATCAAGTCGTCCCCGATGTCCTAAGTCTTGATTGTGATGAGCGTCTATGGGTCCCTCAGTCCGATCAGGTCTGGTTTAGACCTTTACTCTTCTCCGTCAGTCAAGGCTATTTTGTCAACATTCTCAGAGTCCGCAAATCTGGCATACTCTCACGACATCGCCATGCCGGTCCTGTGCATGCCACCGTGCTAAAGGGTAGATGGCATTATCTCGAACATCCTTGGTGGGCCGAACAGGGCAGCTACGCCTTTGAACCCCCGGGTGATATCCATACCTTGGAAGTCCCTGATGATGTGGAGGAAATGGTTACAATGTTTCATGTTACCGGCGCTTACATCTATGTTGATGTTGATGGTAACCCTGTTGGTGTGGAGGATGTTTTTAGCAAGATTCAGAAAGCCAAGGAACATTACGAGAAAGTTGGGCTGGGGGCGGACTTTGTGAACCAATTTATTCGATAGAGTCGGGAATTTATAAAGGGATAAAGAAAAGTAAATCCAGAATGAGCTTTACAATGCATTCAGAAACTAATAGCGAGACTACTTACTGACGCCAAATTATTCACCTAAGCAAATAGTGTAAAATCAGCGGCTTCCTCTAAACTAGCCTCTCTCCGATCCCTAATTAACACCTATAAAGTGTGGGAGATCCGTTCATCATGGGAGGGCGACGTGACGCTTGATCTAATTGGCATTCAAAACTCAAGAACATATATTCATAAGGAGAAGAAAATAGACGGTGGTTTACCAGGAGTAAACTAGCTCGAGAAATATGCCGGAAAAGATTAAAGTCGCAGTTGTTCAGCTGTATTCAAAGGTATGCTACGCCTCTTTATTTTCGCCAATTCATTCTAAAACGCGCTATAGCCGCTAGACATAGAGGCCAATTTTGCAAAATCCTGTCGCTTTATCCGACAAGCAGCTGAACAGGGAGCCCAACTTGTCGTTCTACCAGAGTGAGTGCATCATCATTTGTTCTTATTCATCTGTTCGCATTTACCACATCACATCTGACCCGACTATGCAGATATCATTTGAACGGGTATTTACCTGAGGAGCCCATATATATTGAGCAAGCAACACGATGTCAAGAATACATTGTCCGATACTGTGCGTTGGCGCGGGAGCTTAGCATTTGTCTTGTCCCAGGAACGCTTGTTGAGCGGCATCCAGCTACGGGTCAGACTGCGCCTATTGGCAGTAGGACATTAAGCAGTATAGACGGAGATTACCATTTGTTCAACACGTCCTATTTTATCTCGCACGATGGGGAGATTCTGGGATCTTATCGGAAGAAAAACCTATGGCATACCGAACGTCTTCACCAATCTCGAGGTGAGAAGAAGCACTCTGCGATATCTACACCGTTGGGGAAAGTAGGACTCTTAATCTGTTGGGATCTTGCTTTCCCAGAAGCATTTCGAGGATTGGTAAGAGATGGTGCAGATATCATCATCGTGCCGACCTGTTGGACCCTCGATGAATCAAGTTCTTATGGGCTGAAACTAAATCCCGACTACGAAAGTCTTGTGCTCAACACAATGATCACAGCTCGTTGCTTTGAAAACAGCTGTGCTGTTGTATTCGCAAATGCCGGCGGGCCCCCGGATACGTTTGTTGGGTTATCACAGGTCGCCATGCCATTCATAGGTCCTGTGAATCGTATGTGGGACAGTTCAGAGGGCTTCTTCATTGCCGATATTGATATGGAGGTGTTGAAGGAGTCGGAACTCAACTATAAAGTGAGAGAAGACATGACAGGCAAGGATTGGCATTATTAAGAACTTCGCGAGGTTAACGAACTCCCATGGTTATACTCGATGATCGCTTTGTCGATATCACTAGAGAAATGTAGTCTTCGTTACTAATGCTAATGCTAATGCTCATGCAAGATAGACAAACTAAAATGAATCACAATGACTTTACTCCGTGCTCATCATCAATTGGTTGAATTAGCTTAGTGTCTTCCCAATGAGGCAGGATGGGATGCATTACATCTGCAAAGCGATGTTAGAAGCGCTAGTAGTGCATTGGTGTGCTTCAGCGTCACACCATGTAGGTTTAAATATTGTTCGATACAGTTTAAGTCTTGAACGATACATCACAGAGTCATATTATCAAACAAATCCTGAGAACTTCTGTATTCATCATCTGCGATAAGATTAAAGTGTACCATTTCGAGCATTCTCGCAGAGATTGCGATGGTGATAACACCTTCACATTGGCGGGGTGGATACTTCATTCCCATTAAAAAACCGACAGTCTGGAAAATATCTTTCTGCCATTAACAGTAGAGAATGAGAAGGGTATTATTGTACACTACAAAGAATTTTTATTAAATGCACTCGCTTAATCTTGATGATACCTTCACGAGGAAATTGCCAGAAGCGAATTCACCTGTGAGGAACAGCATGTAATTCCCCACAAATGGAGCCTGCGACTTCGGCGTCTTACGAATCAAGATGTACGTCAAATTCCTCTTATTATTGTCAACTACAATTGTGGATCTTCTTTCAGCCATCGGATCGTGATGTGTTGTTCTGCATGCGTCATTGGTGCTACGTACATGCAGCTACGACACCAACCTAGAGTTTCCTACCCGAAGAATCTCGAACTCATCAAACACAGCGGTCAGTCAACCAATTCCCGCCCAGTGAATCAAGCGGAACCACAGATTCCCGCCTCACAATAATTCGTTCCGTTTACAGGATGAAATGAGAAATCTGCCCGTCAGCAGGCGAACGCTGTTTCTTCCCTAACGCGACGCGCAAGCTCTGCAGCCATATTGACCACCCATTTCTGCCCAATTTGTTGCCACAACTGCACGATGTCGGTTTCGAGCTAATTTGAGTTAAGTGTTGAAGTCCTGCAGCAAGCTGGATCATCGTTGGGCTTTGATTCGCCCCTGCTCTTACAAAACAAGCCAATTAGGCTTTGATGCATGTACTCCAGTATTCACCGTCAGACTTCAGCTTTACAAGGGTGCGATACTATGAGATCGGATGTAACTCCAAAGCATTCCCCGGATATTGAGGCTCTTCTGCATTCTTTGTGTTAAACAATACAACAGACATAATGATATCGGTAATAACGCAGGTATTTTTAAACTGTCTATCCCACTGAGAAGGGGAGGAGCTTTCTAAAGCAGAGACTGTGGTCAGAGACACGGACATTGGTCAATGTTAAGACATATAGCGTCTATATATGCGCATTTGTGGGTAATCATTGTTGATATGTGATATCTATGGAATGGCGACATCAATCTTTCTATAGAGAACACTCGTACTCTTCCGCCGCAATACGTATACGTTCTAAGAGAGCAATTTGCATCTGAAAAAAAAAGAGGTAAGGCCCCGCTTGCCACATATGCCAGTATGATCCACTGGTATCTACAGGCATACTCCCAGGCGAACAACTGTAAGAGGCTTCAGATGATACACATGTTTTACGGATAGCCATTGATACCGGAAAGCTCTTACAAGATGCTCCAAACAAATAATTATAGCCATATATAGATATTTATGCCCTGTTTTCAGAAGGAAAAAAATATAGATAGACCAGCAGCTGTAGTTTGGGCGTTTATAACGTCTGTATGGAGTCTTTGTTGCGCAGCTCCACAACATGCGGCTCTGTCACTTGTTCCATACAGTTTTAGGCCAAAATATGGGTTGCGGCTTAGGATCCACTGGCTTTGGAGATTCGAGGCTCCAAGTCGTTCCAAGTTGCCACCTGGGGGCCATTTGTGAAGCGACTGAGGCACCAGCTCGGTTACACCCCTGTCGCATTGTTAAGTCAATACCTGCTATTCTATAATGTAGTAGGAGTAAATGCAGTATAATAAGGCCAGATCCGACGTCGGTTAGCCGCAATGCAAGAGCCTGCTCTTCACCGTCGAGCTGAGAGCCATCTTTGGGTCGGGATACTAGCCTATAGGACGGCCAGAGCGAGATAAGGCAGGGCGGGTTGGACCAGTGTCTCATTCAAGTTTCCCAAGGCCTGCCGCTTTGCCAATGACGGCTCAACACATTATATGTGGCGTAGTAGCCCTATGTTATTATTCCACGTAGCATGCGGCGGCCATTCAGCGGCCAGGTTGAAAGCGAGATGGTGGGAGTGTGAGTAGGGCGTCGGCACTTATGAGAGCAGCCGAGTGAGGACTGCAGTCGCGGAACAATAAAGGTCAAGGGTGTTTATGCAAGGTAGTGTGAATGTATTAAAAACTTTCCGGGCCCCCAACTTTATGATAAGCACATACGTATAGCTTTGTGTCTAATTGCTACCAGAAACCTCTGAGCACTCCTACACCGCACAAGGCCTATAATCTTAAGAACTCCAATTCTATGTGGGTTGAATAGAGTATCTTGGGCAGCAGTATATGAGATCTATACTAAGTATCCAAGATGTGTACTTGTAGTGCATACAACATTGAAGGCAGGGCAACGAAGAGCGAAAAGCATGTCTCGCTGAAGTATATATGCACAAGCCTCATATCCAAAACACACATACATAGTCATAATGCAAGTTTCAGTTGAGGATACAAGCCCCTCTATCTCTGATAGGCTCGTAATCTGACAACCTGGCAGCCAGGTCAGAGTCCCGGCCATTCTCACCGGCTGCATGCATGGCCACCTGGAGATGCATTCTGCGAGGCAGAATCTCATACTACCAATGAGGTGTGGTTTCGGTGTGAAGAGGCTCTCGTCGTTAGGTTGCATCTATTGAGGAGTTTATTAGCCGTCTATTCTATTATATACAGAGCAAGGGATATTAAAGACAAAATACACTTATAACTACCTTTACTTTCTATGAGATACAAATGCTCTATATAAAGTGAAATTGATCTCACATTGTTTGTTCAAGCCATCTCTTCTCTTCATCTCAATCAGAGCCTTTGACAAGGCTTTCTTGATAGACCTATGTATGGTTCCTCATGATTTTAAACATTTGACTACCTAATCTGTCTCTAACCACGGCTGATTGACATGTTAGCACAAACATACAACTCAGCATGAAATCTTTGAAAAGTTTTGCAAGAGGTGTGTGCTTATACATATTTATCTTACTTTCCATAGGCTACCTATACAAGCGAGAAAATGTATCTAAATATCTCTCCCAATTCTGAAACTGATGTTGCTTTCAGGGAAGAAAAGTAATAAGACTGCTGAGCTTATATCCCCTGAATTTACGGGAGAGAATAGTGCTCCAACAAGCGCAGCAACTTCTGTACAAAGTGAAAATTTCTTCGTCAGGCCAGAAGTCCCTCGACGTGCCACAACTATGGACCCCCCAAGATCTCAGGGCTTGATGCTCCCACAACCACCTCCCTCCGTTCCACTGACAGAGGTTACACGGGACGTAGATGTTGAAGCAACAGTCGTCAGGCCGGTGTCACCACAGCGCAATCATAGCCAAAATGATGTGACAACTACGACTACTACAACATCTGCTCCCAATGTACAGACTTTGACCACCGTTACCACGCGCCAATCGAGACGTGTGGTAGAGAATGGTTCAGTCGTGATCCAAAGGATGCCTCAACAACTTAGGCGACCTGAACCTATTCCTAAAAATAAGGTTGATATCACTGACTTCACTCTAACGTGGTATCTTCAATACATCTCAGATGAACGCCTCATTAGGATGCCGGACAGAGACAACGCCTGGGATAGAGTTCTCAATGCCGCCCAATACTTTGGGCTTCATATTGCTCAGTTCGGAGACAGGGTAGATGCTTTTACCAACGGAGGAACGCTAAATTCGTCTTTCGATGATGCAGAGACCAATGGCTCCATCAATGGATTTACTGAGCACAGCAATACTTTTTTCAATGGGGAAGGCATTGACGCCTTTTTCAACGGAAAAAAGAACACTGTTTCGATCAACAAAGCAGGAGACTTGGTTTCAGCAGCTCTTGCATCGTCTCATGCATTACTTGAGGTATGCCCCCAACTAACGGCAAGACATTGATAGCTCGGCCGATAGCTGACTATAAGATTAGATCGGTCACACCCAAGCTCAAGCACTTTTACCAACCTTTACCGCCTTATACGAGTTTTCCGTGCTTCTCACGGATATTACTCGAATTCACAATCTTCACACGCCGTCAGAGGCAATTCGGTACGATGCTACCAAGACATTCAACACCCTGGTTGCCCTTCTTGGCAACATCGCGGCAGTGTATCGACAGAAAATCAGTGATCTGAAGCCTGGGTCGCGCGCGCACATCAACTTCGACGCTAGTTTTGGTGCACAGATTCGTGAGATTTGGCAGTCCAAAGAGGCGCTTTCTGACGCCATTTGGAAGCATAAGCTCCAAGAGGCAGATCCCACAATTACAGCGAAGCAACTCCGCTGGAAGCTTCAGTACCCATACAACTACTCCGTTATTAACAAGATCTATGAGAAAGTGGAAGATTACCACGCTCCGTCATCCAGAACGTGCTACTGGTTGAAAGAGGTCCTCTCTGAATTCTTCAGTGGAGAAGAGAAATTACTCTGTTTGACAGGAGAGAACTCGAGTGGTAAAACATTTCTGTCCCGATGGGTGGAAGAGAGACTTGCTCGACCACTCAATGTCAAATCATACCACGTTCTCCGATACACATTTCGTGAGTTGCTCCTGCTTCTACTTTTACACGATCATCTCTAACAGCATGCCTCTTAGCATTCGATTCACCTGATAGAGCAACTCCTAGCGCGTTTTTGAAGAGCATTCTATTCATTCTTCTTGAGAAAAACATCAGCAATGTCGGGGTGTATAAAGCTATAGCGCAAGCTTTTCAGCATCATTCCGCCCGAAAGGACTCTGAACCTACAGAGGCAGTCCTCTGGAAAGCTTTCAATACTTGTCTTGCGGCTATTCATATTCAGCAAGCGTCGATAGTCATCGTTTTAGATGATTGCGATGAAATTGTTGGAATCCACGAGGACTTTTACGCCAAGCTTCAAGAATGCATTACTGGGCTTCCTGTACAGGTTGTTGCTTTTTGTCGCTCAATTCCTGATCCCGTTCAGGTTTACGCCCGACAAATCGAAACTTCCAAAGTACGCGAAGATATCCGGGCTTATATCCGTGATAGTCTTTCTCGGTCTCGTTATTTCCGTCATTTGAGTCGCCAGGAGTCTGATAATGTCCTCAAGAGCATGACGATCAAAGCTGGTGGCGATTGGCTGTGGGCATTTTACGCTGTTCAGCTCATATCGAAAGAGAAGTCAAAGGCTACGATTATTCAGACAAGTCATGAGTTAGGCCCGAAGACTTCGGATGTGCTTCTCAAAGTCATCGAGTCGCTTGAGCTCGAAAAAACCCTCGATTTGAAAAATCTTCTATCCATCATGCTAGTGGCTGCTAGACCACTGTCTGTGGCAGAGATGGAGAAGCTTCTCTCAATTGACCTTCAAAGGCAGGCGATGTCTGTCGGTCCCGATGCGGCTGGCCTTGTCTCCAAATCCCTCGGCGATTTGGTCATAATTAGAGATGGCCACTTGCATTTCCGCACTAAAACGGTTCGAGCATTCATCAAAGAACAACTTGCAACGATGTTGCTACCATCTGAACAGGCAGCACAGAAGCAACTGACGTTATTGATGCTGCTTTATGTCAAATTTTCACTAAAGGAGGCTGGAGACATTTGTTCCAACGTCTTGGACTACAGTTTTGTTCTCTCTTTGTTCTCAGCAGATTCACTTCTCGGGTACGTTGTGCAAAATTGGGTCGAGCATTTCCAAGCATCAGGCTTCACTGGAGCCGAAGTATCGGAAGTATTCCCCAAATCCATCACATTCGCCCTTCTCGAAAGAACTTGCTGGGCTAGAGTATATACAAAAGAGCAACTCGTGACCAACCATAAGTTTGCTTTCCAGATTCGACAAGACTGTTTCAAAGATCGAGAGGCCGTGATTGTTCATAACCTCGTGACTCTTGGACACATTTACCTCAATATTCTCGGATTAAAGACTGACGCTTCATTCTACTTTTATGAAGCGGCTCAGCTTGGAAAACAGATCTTGTCAGATGCTTCCACGATTGTTAAGACATGCATGGAGACTTTCTTCGATTGCGTTACCGGCATTGAAATAAACGAGGCGACTGAGATTTTCACGACTCATAGTAACCACAGAATCGACATCCTCACTTGGTATGAGGAGATGCTTCGGCTTGCCGTCGAAATCAACGCGCAAAAGCATGGGAGTCATAGTGATGAAGTGATCTCCTGGTACCAGAAGCTCGCCAAATTTTATGCGGACATCAAGAAAGAGGAACAATCCATGGGCGCTTATCAAGAGATACGTGCCATTTTGATCGCGAGGGAAGGCAAAGAGTCACATCGAGTGAAGCAAATGAACGTTTACTTTGCCACCCTAGACATTGTTCTCAATGGTGCTCCAATTGACAAGGTCGGCGAACTCGAAGAGATGATCTTTGAAACCAGTCAAAACATCGAAATCACTGATCTCCGGTGTATCGAGCTATGGATGAGACTCGCACATACATATGAAAGCTGCGAAAGTTTCGAAACCCTCTCTCACGCCGAACGGCTATACGTCAACCTTTGGCAACGCATAACTGCCGACCATGCTCCAGCAACCAAGGTTGATATTCACTTGATCAGGATCGATATTGCTCTCGAATACGCCAGATTCCTCAGCCGACATGATCGCATCCAAGAAGCATGCAGTATTCTCATTTGCCTTTGGGCAGAGTACCAAAAGTATACCCTCGAATCTGATACAATCATCATTCGCATCAGGGAGGTGGCAGAAGAGTGTCGAAAGGCTGGCTTATCAAGCATTGCTGTCTCCATGTTGACCAAGGTATTGGAGTCGTTCAGCACCTACGGATCCAACGAAGAAGTCCAGAAGACTGTACTGCTTATGAACAAAGTCGTGGAAGAAGTCAGTGACACTACCGTCACTAAGAATACCACGGACAAAACAGTTGTTACAGAAGAGACTGAGAGTGTGGTGAAAAAGCTCTTTGAGCGTCTTGCGGATGAATACGAACATAATAGGACTGATACATCACTGTTCTCGGCAGTCAAAGCGTTGATAAGCCTTTACAATCAGCAAAACAACTGGCGTGAAGCTGAAGCCGCCCTCAAGAAGACTTTACAACTGACCTGGAAGGAGATATTGACAGATAGCTCCGCTGTTAGGCTTTGTGAGCACTCAATCGAAGAATGTATAGCTGTTGCGCGTCGTCTGGCTGATTGTTATTCCACTCAAAAGCTCTTTGAGATGGCTGAGAGGATACACAAACAGATTTTTTACGCCTGTATTTCTGTCAAACTCGACGATAATCTTGGCACTAAAGAGAATCCTCTTACTGGGGCCCAGCTTCTTACGGAAGCAATCGATTTCCTGGTCGCATTCTACGAAGAACATCATCGCCATAGGGAGGTCATTGACATCTATACGCATATTTTGGCAAAATATGAACAAGAGTTGGGCCAAAAGCACGAAGTAACCATCACCACGCTGTATTTCATCGCAGATTATTACGAGACACTCGGCCTTGAAACTGCCTATAAGTACTATGCACAAATAGTCACTCTGCTCAATGAGGGTCTCGATTATTGTCACCATGATGCCATCAAGGCCGCTTTAGCTCTTTCTGTGCACTATGATGCTCGTCGACTTTGGGATAGTCTTCAAGCAATCTGTACAGTACTGTGGGAGACTATCATTCGTCTCCGCGGACAGCGGAATTTTGAAGGAGAGCATAAAGTCACTGGGAAAGATGTCGCCTCCATCTATCAAAAGTATTCGCATGTCTTGGATTTCCACGGAAACGAGGGTTTCTCGAAGCTATATAGCATCGCTGTGGAGTACAGAGACATAATCAGCGACTACTATTACGATAACCCGCAATTGGTCATCAATGCGCTGATTACTCTGGCAAAGATATGCGAAGCGCATGACGAACATCACGAAGAGTCAATCAAGAGCTACGAGCAAGTGCTCGACAAGCTGAAGACGATAGAGACTACCGACACTATCGAAGAAACAACAGTTGAGACTGTCAAGAAACGCCTTTCACGGATGTATGTCACCATTGTCAAGGGCTCTCAGAAAAAGACATTTTCACTCCAACGCGCCATTGAAATCTCACTCGAGACGTATCATCAGTATAAGGCTTCATTTGAAGATTACCCTGAGCAAACGATGCATCAACTCGACTGCGTTATCTTGCTGTATCAACAGATGAATACAGAGGAATCCAGAAAACTCATGCAAGAGCTTCTGGTAGAATCAGCTCAGTACATTATCACCGCCGCTGCCGTCAATTTAACACTCTTCCATGCTGCTAACTCTTTAGCTGCTCTCTTTGTCAATGCAAATTTGATACAGAGTGGCAAGGATCTCCTCGAAGAAATGCGCAAAACGGTCATATACGGAGAAACGTTTTCCAATAATGGTATACGTGTAGAAATGAACTCTCAGACGAGGAAGGCCATCTTCATTTTCTTGATCGCATTCGGGAATGGTCTTGACCAGCACGCCGAAAATCTCTCTTACTCCAAAGTTATGGCTGAGATTGTCCTCGAGTCTCTACTTTATGAAGAGTACTCACGTATAAGCAACGAGGATGCCGCTATAGAGGTTATTTTACAATACGGCGCGCGGCTTCGTCGTTTCTGGCAGTCTTACCAACGCGAAGAGTTTATCAGAACTCTTGATGATGACCTCATGGATCGCTTCAAGACTGCATATTCGCAATACTTTGAGGTCAACTGCAGCAAAGTGGTAAAGGAAGAGTTCTACTACAGCTTGATGGATGAGCTCGGCAAGGATCGACCTACAATCAATTTCGACTTTGACACTATCATGCTAGAAGTTGGCAATAGTCACGTCAAAAGTCTCTTGGACAGTGGAAGCTTCGAGAACGCTAGTCAAGTTGGCCGATTTATGATGCGATTCTCCGGAGAAAGGAGGCTTTATCATGATCGTCGCCGCATCCGCTACGGATACATATTGGCTCAATACTTGGTTGGAATTGGTGCACCGCACCCTGATTACCCGAACGACACGTACGGGATGGCTATGGTCGAAACTTCGCAGTCTATTATGCACGATGTTATTAATGCGTTCGACACACTGGAGATAGACTTTGAAACACTTCGTGCTGAGGACTTGGTTGGCCTCATCAATCTGCTGCACGCTCAAAGCAACCATGAACAGCTTGAGCGCGTGTTATCTCGTTTGTGGGATGCTCGAGGAGACGTCCGATCGACATTCGGCTCGGATACTCAAAAAATCATCGAAATTGGTACATTCCTAGTCCACGTGCAGTGCGCTCTGAAGCTATACTCAGACGCAATTCGTACTGCCAAACAGCTGTACTACAACTTGCAGCGCGCGCGTGGACGACTTCACAAGGACACGTTGGAAGTATCACGCCTCTTAGCAAGTATTTACGCTACAATGGCTTCGAATGTAGAAGAAGAATATGTGGAAGAAGATTATTTCTCCTACGCCATGGATGTCCACCACAGCATCATGCGAGAGATTAACTCGCCATCTGATGTGGTGTACAACGGCTACACGCGTCACGATCACGATCACGAGTTCCTCAAGGAACAAGCCTGGATTCACTCATCGCTACTGAACAATATACGATCGCAGCTCAATGAATCTCAACGCAAATACTGGACCAAACGAGAAAAGGACGTTCGCACGATTTATGAAAGTCTGACGCGCGACTTTAAGCTCGGCGAAAACACGAAAGATTCCCAACAACTGCCATCGTGGAAATATGCTCCGCCCAAGGCATGGAGATTTAATGAGCAAGAGTGGGGAGGCGTTGCGAATGGTTTCAACTCGGAAACCGATATTTTAGAGACGGCTCAGAGAGAGTGGGTGTTGCAGAGTCGCATTTTCGTTTGATGGTAACTTGACGCCGTCACGTCAAGTTTGTTTGTACAGCATGTTACCCTACATGTGTTTCTCTTGTTCGTTTTACATTGCGCTTTCTTTTCGTTTTCACTTATTCTACCTTAGAACCCACTGATTCCCTCTGTTCTGTTAAGCTTCTTTTGATCTCTTCCAATCGTTAGATACAACATAATAAATTAGGCACATATAAACGACAGCAGTCATACATCGCTGTCAATCTACCGCAATGATTCATTGAAGTAGTTGAGAAATGGTATTTAGCGTTTGTTAATCCGCAACGTTCTATGTTTACAATATGTCCATAACATATAACATATATTTAGTACAGTAAAAACATGATTGACCCCGCTAGTAGAGAATAAATAAATGAAGAATTAAGAATTAATCCAGTGGCACATTTCCAACAACAGACCAAGTCGAGCCGTCGTATTTGATCTCTCTTACTTTCCCCTTCACCAGGTAGTAACAGCGAGCCATATCGAATTTGGACTGTATAGGGGTGACAACATAATTAGTTGCAGTAAGGCATGCGATATCTGTTCCTTCGTCGGGACTTCCGAGGGCATCTGGTGTTGATGAAGTTTGCCACCCGTTGTTGTCATCGTTCTTGGTCATCTGGATCGCACCAGTATCGTTTCGCCATAAAATATAAGTATTCATAAGGCTGTCTTGCTGCGTATTCTTGGGGATGGCAAAGGCTCCGATGCTTGTTTGAGAAGGGATAATGTCAGGTGGTGCATCTGCGAACCTATGTTAGTATAAATACAGCAGCCAGAATCCCTTCCATTATTAGGTCTTACCTGCAGCTGCTCCCACACTGGCATTGACCCGCCATTCCGCAAAAAGCCTCTGATCATCTCGTTGATAGATGAAATTTGCGCTGCCAGTCCTCCCTCCCCAGTAGGGGACTTCAACCAGTGCTGAGTGATTTGTACTTGAGAGGTTCAACAGTTGTTGACTCCAGACGCTCTTTGTCGAAAAATAGGCTTCTTCTAATTGATTCACTTCGTTCTGAAAGATGACGCTGGGCCAATAGGTTGCAATCCTCGTGTTTGGGCCTGCTTTGTAGGCCAACGGGTCGATGGTACCTTTGGTGTCCGTAGTTGTCACCACTGGATACTTTTCCTCTCGGATTATCCATTCATTGATGTAGTCTTGCTTTCCCTGGTAGAATATATCGATTTGCGTATAATTCTACATGTTGATTGGCGCGTTAGATAGGTACAGTTCTCAAAAGGCGATGGGAGAGGGCGGGAAGACTTACATTATCGGAGGTCACTTTACCTCCACTGTAGAACGTGGAATTGTAACAGCAAGTGGCAAGTGGAGTGCCCATCTTTGGTTCCGGGTCGACATTATACGTTGACACCGTTGACCATTTGTTATTGTTCGAGCTGTAGCCTATCATGCGCAATTGCCCATCATTTCCCTGGTAGGCGAGGCGGATGTTGTAACTCGACGTAGTTTCCCACCAACCGGTTACCGATAAGCTTGATTTGGAGTAAATGGCGCTGGGCGACGACGACGAGGAGGGGGAGGGAGTTGAAGAAGTGGATGATGAAGGCGTGCTTGAAGGTTTCGAGTCCGCCGAGGAGTTGTGATGATGTCGCGACCCAAGAACACCGCCAACCACAGCTGCCACTATCACGACGACCAGAATCACAATCGCGATCGCAATCCATAGTAGCCTCCTTCTCGCGTTTTTCTGCGGCGTATTGTGTCCAATGACTGGTGTAGCTTCGTTCTCAGCCTTTATTTTGTTGCTTTCGTTAAGCAAATCGCCATTAACCACTTCCAAACCATCATATCCACGAAAAAGCTCAGGAGCTCCAGCGTCACCTAGTGTGTTGGAGCCATCTAGTCTAGATGCATCAACTTCCGGCAAAACCCCAGGCCCCGCGGTCTCGCTGTAGGGTGATACCATGAGAATCGAAAGGTGCTCCTAGAGCTCATCACCATCATCAGGTAAAGAAGAAGGGAAGAAAGGGAAAATAAAGGCGGGAGAAAGCCGGAGAGAAAAAATTCGGTCGCGACATCACGGGTTATGTCAATCGGTAGTGCCCACCCTGGAGAATTCAGCCTACTGGGGGCTGCTTTCAAGGGCTAGCGAGGCTCATGTAACATCGTGCCGCCGACTAGGCTTAGAGTCTGCCTGAAGCCAATGATATAATTTTCCAGGCATAGGATGCTGAAGGATTCAGGATCGGCTACGAAAGCCAATCGTAAGGCTGTAAGGGGTGGTGCCATGTTTGAGATCGGCGGCTGAAGGGCCAATGATACGATGTCAGATGAAGCTAATGGTGTGTAGCTTGCATTAGATGGATTTATAGTAAAGGGGAAAGGCTGGAATGATACCACTGTACTTTGCAATTCCCAATTTGTTCTGAAGCTCAAATTATTATTACTTAAAATTGGTTTCTTGCGCACAACTATAAATGGGCACTCTGTTACCTTGCAGTTTTGAAGCGTCTACGAGTATGCCCAATAATCCATGCACCGCAATGGATATCCTAGAATTGACGCTAAACAACAACGTCTCAATTAAATATTATATGGTTTACTAAATCTAGGTTTTCCTGGTCATTCAATTAGTCAGGCTGCCAATCTTCATGCCGGAGTGAAGGGAGTTAGGAAATCACATACTGAAATACAGTGCCATCCTGGTAGATGGAACATCCATTATATCCAGTTCCAATACCGCACTCCATGGTACCTGAGCCCGCCCACGCATCTTGAGAAGCAATGCAGTACACCGACTCGCCGTTGGCTCCGCAAGATGGGAACCAGTTCATACCAACTGTTTTGCATCCAGGCGTTCTGTCGCAGAACGCAGCGCAAATGGCAGCTCTAGCAGCATGCGATGTACCAGCGGGGATGTCTTGCGAATATTGATCGAGGAAGTCACTACAGTTGTCAAATTAGTAACATGACCTTTGACGTTTTACATGTTCCAGACTAGGCGTTACTCACGCTTCCAAGACATAGGAGCAGCCATCTTGTGGACCAAATACTTTGGTATACGCAACGCTAGTTGCGAGAGTAACAGTAGCGGCAGGTACTATGACCGTCGTAGTAGATGTTGTAGGAACTGTTGTGGTTAATGCTACATTGACTGGTGAGGAAGCAGTAATTGACACTGTCGTGACGGTGGCCGTAGGGACTTCGCTGATAAAGACTGTCGACAGAGTCGAGACCGAATCAGTACTAATAGTATCTGTTTCAGTATCCAATACTGTGGTCACATAACCAACAGAGGTAGTGGTTGTCTGTATGGAGAGGGTTAGTACAGAAGTTGTGAGTGATCTCAGGAAAAGGAGACTGACAGATGCGGTGCTGATGGTAGACGTTGACGCCTCTTTCGTTGTGGTTGTGCCGACGACGTTCACAGTTTTGGTCACACCGCCGACAGTCTTGAACGAAGTATGGGTGCACTTGGTCGTATGCGTGGCGGTACGCGTCGGTCCGGAAACTTCGATACACTTCGTTTCGTCAGCAACGAATCATGAGACACGGTCTCTTTGATACAAGACATACTGAGCAAGCCGTCTTTAAGATATTATTCTGGCATCTGGCCAGCTTCGGCAGAAGATCATCGCGATAATCGTGGTAATGGCGCTTCTGCAGGCCAGTATCGATAGTTGTGTAGGCCGTAACAGTTCCAGATGAGGCTGTTACCGTGGCTTGCTGGGTCTCAAAAACTGTGATGGTCGCGGTTGTGATTGTTGTGGAGACCGTAGCTACAGTTGTGGTGCTGTACACGGTCACTTACTGCCCGTAGCTTGTTTAATATGCTATTAACTTACATGGTGTCGGTTCCAGTAGTTTGGTAGTCGGTCGATGTAGCAGTGTATACGGTGACAACATCTGTCTGGGTGTAGACCGTATCAATCTCCGTGCCGGTGTGAACAGTCTGTGTCTATATAGGGAAAGATCAGTTGGTGAGTTGAACTTAAGGCATTATACAACATCGAAGATGACATACCGAAGTTCCAGTGGTAACCGTGGCAGTCTGTGTAGTCGTGTAGACGTACGCTGTCGCAGTCGATGTGTAGACCGTAGATGTGGTGATTCCGGTGGTGAGCGTAAGAGTCTTGGCAGGCTTGGAGATCGTCACAACTGCGGTTGTCGGAATCGTCACTGTTCGAGTGACGGTCGAAGTAGGCAAGGGATCTTGTTTCGTTTAGCCAAGGCGCTCGGTGTTGCCTGGAAGTTTACTCACAATGGCGAGAACAGTATAATTCCGCTGGCGGGTAGTGCTTGAGAGGGAGCAACTCATTGTATGGGAAATGCTGGCACACACGGTCAATGCCCAGCACAGACTGGGCATTGAGAAGGAGGACGGTAAACAAGACCTTGAGTGACGCCATCTCGAGACTTTGCTGTGTGCCAAGAGAGTCTGGAAGAAGCAGGTTGCGCAAACCGCAACCACTGATATTATTATGATCTCTGACTACCCCGTCCTAGTGTGTTTTTGTCACTTCGCCTCCTACTAATCGAGGTTCCCAATTCTTGCCTCGTGAGCTATAAGACAGTCCCTTGCCTACGCTAAAAGTCTGCTTTGTTTGCTAGAAAGAGTTGACTCAAACCGCAAAAGGAGATTACACGTCTTAGCCCAGCTTTAGGTAACGCTACAAATGCAGATCTGGGTCTAGAACTCCAGCCGCAAGGCTTGAATCATTTTACAGTCAGAGAGAAGAGGTGCCTGATTGGATCGCAGCGCTGGAAGCTACCGTAAATCCCCGCTAAATCCCGATAGTATGAGAATCTTTCCGACTATTTGAACAAGCACGATGATCTAGTCAGTTAGCTGCGGGAGCCCCTCAGCTAGGTTCAAAATCGATTACCGCTGGATGTCGCCTCAGGGACCAGGCTGGAGTAAGATCAACGTTCAGCTGCTGCACAATCGAGACACTAATCACCCTGGTAGGCTCGTATATCTCTCTGCTTAGCGTCAAAACAGCTGTCAATCTTGGGGACTGTTTCCCCCGGTGAATAACTAGTTCAATGAGGGTCTGAACCCAGGCGTAAGCTAAGTTCAGCCGTATGTAGGGAGGCAAGGAGGACAATGTAATGATGACCCCGATGATGTGTTGTTTATGGAATCAAAAACAATTCGCTCCCGCCTATGAATAAAGAATAAATGCTTCACTGCAAACTCCATTTTTATCTTTATTTATTTGTTTATTTATTTATTTTTTGCCCTTACTTTCACGACCGCGAACCCCGAGCAGTTTCGAATGCTCATGAGTGGATTTTTCTCTCTCTAGGTGTTGTCCCTAAACAAAACGAAACAACCTTATGGGTAGCCGATGAAATAGGTACAAAAGAAAGATTGTCGCCCTGGTCCGATAATGAACTTTCGACACCTTGACATTCACAGTCAGTAATGACACCGGCCGACACATCACGCCGTTATTTCGCGTCCTGTCAATAAGCGACCTGCAAACTGGCAGTTTCTCAGCTGCGGCTGAGCTCTGAGACAGGGAATGAGATTTAACGAGGAATAGCTTCAATGTTCCATAGCTTACAGGTCACTAAGTGACAGACTCCCAAGTTTGTAACATAAAACATGTAACTTAGCATATAAATTTATGGGAGGAAGCTGTAGTTCTTAATTCATAATTTATTAAATAATTGCTCGTCTATTTTCTATCGCTTTTCTTTACTAATTCATTCATTCATTTAGCCCTGCAGGGGAGATGTGCATGTAAATGCGTTGATCTGTGGCGACGAGAAGGCGTCCATGAGACCCTTAATCGCTGCATATGCTCCAAGCCCACTCAGCGCCATAGAGCCAAGTGTGTAGACAAGCAGCATAGCATTCAGATACCAGAACTTGGCAAAGAATCCACGGATCCATCGCTTGATGCCAGAGTCCCGGCGGTAAACAGCGCCAGTTACCGGGTTGAACGCCTCCTCTCCTTGCATCGCGTTCTTCTGAACAAAGAGTCCGAGGCCGATAAATGCAGGGAACGTGTACGTGAATTGCACCAGGCAAATCGCAGCGATAACACTAGTCAAGCCGAAGAAGTCGGGAATAGAAGCAGCGATGATGAAGGCGATGGTCCAGTAAATCGGAACCGTGATAGCCCAGAGGATCTTGCCACCAGTCGTGGTGATCGGTGGAGCCCTAAACACCTCTATGAACACGTTGTTGTAGATGACCTTGATTCCGATATTGCCGTAGAGAGTTGCGGCAATGATTCCACTGAGGACGGCAAGCATGTTGCAAACAGTTTGCCAGGCATAGGGTGACAGGCCTTGGTAAGCGAGCTATTGTAGCAATTTGTTAGTATATGCGACCTAAATATGTGACTCAGTGCGCGTCTGATAGAACTTACTTGATTAGCATATTGTCCCTGGTAGAAGTAGACAAACGATCCATAGGACATGTAGCAGGCGTAGATGAAGAACTGAGCACCCCACATAGCCTTGAGGAAATCGCGAGGTCGTTGAAGCTCGGCCATGAACTCGACAAACAGCTGAGCACCTCCGTACGCATAGACACCATTCATGAGACCGTTGATAGAGCCTGTGAAGCCGTTGGTCGAAGGAGGAATGCCGCCATGTCTCTCGATAGGAGGATAAGTTCCGTTAGCAAAGGGCGTGACCGATGCGCCACCCAAGGCAGCTCCAGCAGAACCAGCCTGAGCAGCACCATAGTTGGGCTCGCTATGGGCCATCACACCCATACTGATGAACATGATCATCAGGTTGAGAACCACGGCAAAGTTCGCCAAGAAACCCAGCTTGTTAAGGGTCCTGATTTGTCCGAGGAAGAAGCCTACAACCGCCCAGATCAGGCAGCAAACGATGTAGCAGAGGCGGAATTTTGACACCTGTGAGATGGAAAGACCGTTGCTGATAACGAGGATGCCAACGCTGATCATGAGCTGCAGAGCTTGAAGGAAGTTGATGGTATAGCGAAGCCAGGGGCCCCAGATGCGGAATCCAAGATCGCCGTAGTTCTTGGCCGGAAACTCGTATGAGTCGACGTCCAAGAAGACTTTCCAGAGAAGGTAACCAGAACTAAGAAATATTAGTAAATAAGCATCGTCAAAGCGAATCTCAAATTACTTACAATCCAGCGCAGATGCCAAACAGGGTGAACAGGCCGATGCCTTCTCCCCAACCCATAGTACCAATAGAGAAACCAACTCCAAAAGGACCCAAGATGTCGGTTGTAATCAAGTAAAAGCAAGCAGCTGCACTGGCGGAACGCAGAGCCCGGCTTGCGTTTGTCCACTCCAGATCTGTGATAAGCAATCCGTTACCGGAAGCCGACGCATCGGGCGGGTTCTCTTTTGCTTCTTTCTCCTTGGGTTGGAATCCCTCTATCCTTCTCGCTGTTCCTTTTGATGGGAAGATCAGTTCTATGAAGGTAGTAGGTGGCTTTGTGGCTGCGACGGCATCTTCCTCTGCTCTTGTCTTCTCAGCATAGTACATGTATTCTTCGAGGGTGACGCTGGAGTCATGGAGAGGGCGATGCTGAGGCCTGATAGCGGATGGGAGGAAAATGTTGGGGCCGGTAGAGGCATCCTCAGGTCCAGAGGAGTAATCCTCTTTCTCAGAGCCCATGTTGGCGATGTGAAAAGGATCGAAAGCGAGGCTTTATTGTTGTGTGTGAATGAGATGATACGTAAAGAGTTATTGGGAACGCAAAGCGATAGACGAGACAGCGATTTTGTTGCTGAAAACCTGCAGCAAACGACGGGGCACAACGATTGAGGCTCTCTGGGGAAATAAAGACACTCTGGGGATATATAAGTATATTCAGTAGCACGACATTAGATGCATCGCTGCTCTTATCAGTCGCCACATTTGAGACTACTTCACCACGCCAGACTCCATCTTCTGGAACCCTGTGGCAATGGCCATGTCAACAACCCATTTCTCGTAGGCCATCCCGCAGATGGCTGCCCGCGATATGGACATAACTGGTGGTGAGTAAATACGAATACAAACCCAACTAAGTCCTACTGGTTAGACCAAGGAGATGCCGATCGCTCCGTGCGGTTGATTACAACGACTTTTGTCCGACGATTGGAACTTTTTTTTTCGGCCCACCAAAGTGGTTGCATCCTGACTGCTTTCATCAAGTCAGATCCAAAGGGCGTGCTCTGATTCCGGACAAAAGTCCCAAATCTTGCATGCCGCGCCGAGGATTGGGCGTAAATCCAGTCTCTCTGGGGAGTCAATGTGTCAGCCGACCTCGGCGAACTTGTGGCCAAATTCCATATCAGCTACGTAAAAAATATTTTCTTTCATGGAGCTTTAGCCTCGTTCGATTTGGCATGACTAGTTGTGTCAAAGATGCTCCTGTGGAGAGGAGGCTCGGGACCCATATCCGGGCTGGACTTCTGGAATGCCTCGATCCAGCATCTGAGAACATGGAAGTCTTATGCAACATCTCTAAATCACAAACTTTCGGGTTCCTGGTTTACACAGCTACAACTTAGTTTCTTTTGATCCTTTTTTAGGAAACAATAAGCATAGGAGAAAGGCAGTTCCCTTGTCAGACTTCAGGCTGTCACTCTGCATCGGAAAATTTATCCTCTCTGCGCGTCTTCCGAAGATGCCGTGGTGGAGAGTTTAGCAACACGCCACACAATGACGACATGTGGAAAATGCCCCGAGTGGAGTAGACTCGAACTCCATTTGCCTTCTAGTGCGTCGGGAGAAGGCGAGAGCGCACGTTTTGTTTGGAAGGGCCTGGGTGAGAACAATGGCTTGGCTTGAACGATTGCAGCGCCTCCCGCAATACCAAGGCAGATCCTGTCTTGGCATCTAGATATATAGACTATATCATCTGCCGGTAGACCAGTGGGCCACCTGTCAAAAGCAAGAATGCAGATCGGACACTATACAGTCCAAGACGAGGTAAAACTACACATCTCCAGCTACGGTAGAACATTACATGGAAGCCATCACAAACATCGAATGGATAATAGATACATGTCAAGGCATCACTTCACCTCATATATCTTGACAAATCGTCCAACTCAAACTCCAGTGCCGGGCCGAGGCATCATCACTAAGCTCGATGTAGTTGGCGCTCCGGCTTGACACATAGCCACTCGGCTCGGAAATGCCGACTCGATTCGAGGCACGGCTTATATCGCCAAGTCTGGAACTAAAACAGGCCGGGCTAAGGCCGAGATCCGCCTCCCGGCCCACTCCCGGAGTTCCATGTGTTCCGGAAGATGCTACTCTCCGATTCGGAAGTTATTGGGAGACAGTCATCTTGAGTGACAACAGCTGTATTTGAAGTAGGCCATCTACCGCTTGACGAATACGATATAGCAGACGTTTTCCGGGTATTGCATGATCTTACATGTGCGTTCTGTCCCGTCCTGAAAAATCAGCCGGCTATCCATATATGAGTCACGACTACTTATTTTTCCAACAACTGTCCATCATTAGGTATCCTAAACTGAAAGTAACGGACTTCATCTGATGATGGATGTTTAAGCTGGATGATTCTTTGTGAGATCCATACTTGGACCCTTTCCCCAGAGTCCGTCCCTTCACCCCAGAATGTAGCGACCCTTGAAACAACCAGATGCGAAAGAGTTTCTACTTCAATTTTATCCTGCTTTTAATTGGCCCAGATTCGGTTTCCATTAGCAATGTCCATCTCCAATGGTGGGGTCCACCAGACAGCTTCTCCAGGTAGAAATTTGACACGTCTTCATCTTTTCGCCCCCCTCTCTGGAGCTTCATCCGGTGGGTATAGAATCGATGAGAAAAAAATCCACTCTCCTTCATCTTATAAACTATTAATCAGCTGCATATGGCCTTTTCCCACGGAGTCGCAACTCAAATTCCGCGGCTAACAATGTCTTGAATTGGAGACTGCTGCGACTATGGGGGGACAGTAGGAACGATGATACCAAAACAAGTATCCGATGAGCCGAGGAGCAATGATCTATATAGAGACATTAAACCACACTAGTGGAAAATGCTAGTTGATAGCCTACCATCTAGTTATGCAGCTAGAAATGGTTGATGTATTTGACAAGCCTTGACAGCTTCAAGGCCAGCTAATCTCTCTTGGGACTCAAACGCCGAAACAGCCAGTCAAACATTTAGAAGCTCTCCGATTCGGTAATGGTAGTTTGGAAGTTTACAGACACTATCCGGGTCTTTATGTACCTTTATCCTCATCTAAGAGCATAAAACTCGTTCCGGATGCGAGGCAGCTGGAGCCATCCCAGTCACTCATGTAGTCTCCTGTGGCCTTAGCTACGCCTTTTATGCCATTGGAGGGGAGGATACTGCCCAATCATGGTCAGTTAATATGCCGATGGCCATGTCTCAACTTAAGCCGCGAGTGTCCGAGCAGCAACTGTCAACCCCACTCAGTGATCTGGCTGCGTAAGCTCTTGTCAAGACATTTCCAAAAGGGCGCTGATGCCCTATTTAGCAGTATCGCACTAGGTCATATTGACCCAAAGCCTCCACGTGGGATGACATGGCAAATCCTTGTCGAAATTTGGCTCGTTATCCTTGCAAGTCGGATGATAGGGGAAGCTACGCTCAACCTCAAGGCAGACTCATGTTGGTCCCTGTATAAGGATTCGTGTACCTCATCAATTCCTTTTCACTATAGACCAGCTGACAACACCTTCAGGCTATTTGTACAGATATTCCATCATGCCCTCTAACCTCCCGTTCACTTTCTCCCATTACCGTGCAGTGTTGTGGAGGCCGGCAAACGAAGAACCAGATGCCTGGTGAGTAGAGACAAAAGCGCTGCTCTTAGTCGATCGGTTCTCTGATCCACCTTCTACAATGATGCCCTTCCCGGTTGCTGAATCTGTGCGGGTGATGGCAAATTCTTTACGCGCATATGGAGAGCTTCCCTTGAGTGCCATGTCAGCAAGTGCCTTTCCCAGCATCGGCACGAACTTCATGGCCCATCCGGCTGTGAAGACAACTACACTGTCTTTGGCTCCGCCGTTAAGATACTTTTCAGGGACAAAATCAAGAACAAACATGTTGTCTAAAAGCCGAATCAGTAAATCTCGTTGTCAATCCATCCATATGAATATACGCACCGAACACATTGGTCTGCAGGCAACTCGATGTCAACGCAGGAATGGTAGGATCAACGTTGACACAATGATTGCGGATAAACTCTTGCGTATCAGCAATATCCTCCGGGTTAATAGTGCTTGTAAGTCTCTCGTTGGGATCCTTGATCCGTCGGGTGGCCGCATCCACGGCGATGCGAGCAAGATTTGGAGGACCCCATGGAAGTGAGGGAAAGCCATAAAAGAGCTGTGATCTGCCGTTCTTATCGGGTGCAAACTGGAACCACATGCCTAGTTGATGAGTTAACTCATACACTTCTAACCCACCGGAGAAATGAATTAAGCCACGTACTGGGGAATATCGTTCCTTTGGGTCCTGCATTGCAGTTAAAATAAGAAAACACCATTTCCCAGATGTCGAGGTCGAGAGAGATGTCGAAACTCGGCTTAAGAACATGGTTCACGTAGGCGCCAGAGGCGATAATGATCTTCTTTGCCTTGAAGACCGCGGCGTCGGTCTCATGACGAACAGCGTGAACATCCCAGGCGTAATGAGAATGATTAGAAGGCTTAATAGCCTGAACTTTGGTATGCTGTTTCGCAGTGGCACCATAGTCCAGCGATAATTTATACAGCGTCCTCAACAGAAGCTGGACATTGATGACGCCATTGTCTGGCGCGAAAAGACCAATGTACTTAGGGTCGAGGTTCTTGAACGGGTAGCGTGCCTCGATCTCCTCGGCAGATACTTTGAGATGATAGATTAGCCCATGGGAGGATGCGGTGGTTCGCATACATGCCAAAACTTACACTCTTGATACGTCATCCCAAGGCGGTCCAGGTTAGCAATTGGCCCCAACAAGGTTCCTATTAAAATTGTGAGACAAAACGGTCAAAAATAATGTTATCTTGGGAAGACTTCATACCTTCAGGTGTATCCCCGCCATAGTCCTTATCGCCAAAGTTGAGAAGGCCGCTCATCCATCGCAGTGGCGTACCGGAATCTCTCTCAAGATCATCCCAGAGGGCCATGGCTTCCTTGGCAAGATCGGCCATGTAATCCTCCGTATACCTAATTGGATGATTAGTTGTGTCTGTGAAAACGAGAGCAAGATAAAAGATAAAAAAAATTACTCACATTGTTCGAAACATCCGAGCCAAGTCATTAGAGCTCCCGGCATGATTGAAGAAATTGTTCTGCTCGAGAACAACGACTTTAGCACCCTCCTTGGCCGCTTCATAGGCAGCTGCTAATCCAATTGGGCCGCCGCCGATGACGACAACATCGTAGATTTCGTCTGCCATGTTGAGGGGATTCTGAAGCGAGTGTTTTCGGTTTGATTCGATATCCTAGAGAATGTGATTGAAGTATCTGTCTCAATAGGTAAACTCTAGGAGGAACCTATATCCAGCACACTGAAACAACGTGATGTGGCGGCAGAGAAGACCTTCGGAATGTCGGCTTAATATAACACTCAATTGAGTCGTACAAACCACTGCGCCACAAATAATGATGCCGTAGAATGTCCAGGATGAGACATATTGTGCTCGTGATTCGATTCTCACATGTATCTTAGCCATCATGATACATTGAATCAATTCTCACATGTGATTGATCGGCCTCCTCATGCCTCCACAAGCAATAGATACCCTTCCACTCTAGGCCAAATCAGATCTAGCCACGGCTTTTGCGCTCCAGGCCGCTCCCACCGCATGCAGGTATTCCATCCCAGCCCTGAAAAGAGTCTAGCCTTCAGCCTTCACCTGTAAGTGGCTGGCGGGATGTGTTCGGGACTTCATGCAGCTCAAGGCTCTGAGCCTCGCTGATGATGAGGGGATTCAAGACATGCATTCCAGCTTTGGTGATAAGAGCCAATAGTGTTTGCTGCTCATGTTGTCTGTGCTTTCTGTGCCGCTTCTGTGCCGTTGTGGCCTGTTTTATAGCGTCAGCCAAGCCAATCAGTCTCTTCCCGCTGGATTCCCTCCCGTGTCATTTTTCTCCCCGTTACGCAATTCTTCCTTAATCGATACTACTATACAGTATGATGGAGAGCTTTTACTGGTGCCCGCTTTGTGGCAATGCTATTGATGTCTTTGAAGTCAGAGCTGAGCACGGAAATCGATAGCCTGACCTCTAACGGCTGTCGGTAGCTGAAAGGGGATGAGAGCGGAGGCGGTTGATTCAGCTAGGTATTGATTAAAGGAACTCGCAGCTTGTGTTCACGTAGGCTCTGAATAAGATATAAATAAGGAAAGGAAAGGCTACGTAGTCGAAGTAAACGACTACCATCGCCATTTTCTCATCATTGTTATCCCGTTACTATATTTGCAAACATGGACAATGTTGACTTTGCTGAATCTGTCCGAACCCGCTGGGCGAGGCGACTTGTTCGTGAGAAGGTCGCCAAGGAACTCAACATTCTAACCGAAAGACTTGGTGAGGTGCCCGGAATCCCTCCTCCAAACGAAGGCAGGTTCCTGGGCGGCGGCTACTCTCACGACAATCTACCGTCTGATCCCCTCTATTCCAGCATTAAGCCGGCTCCTCTAAAGGAGGCTCCTCGAGCAGAAGAGGAACTGCCGTCTCGAAAGGTGTGCATCGTAGGCGCTGGTGTTTCCGGCCTCTACATAGCCATGATTCTGGATGATTTGAAGATCCCAAACCTCACTTACGACATCTTCGAATCCAGTTCCAGAACTGGTGGCCGTTTGTATACGCACCATTTCACCGACGCCAAGCATGACTATTACGACATTGGTGCTATGCGATACCCTGACATCCCCAGCATGAAACGTACCTTTAACCTGTTTAAACGTACTGGGATGCCTCTCATCAAATATTACCTTGATGGCGAGAATACCCCTCAGCTGTACAATAATCACTTCTTCGCCAAGGGTGTGTCGGACCCCTACATGGTGAGCGTGGCCAATGGAGGCACGGTACCCGACGATGTTGTCGACAGTGTTGGAGAGAAGTTACAACAGGCTTTCGGTTATTACAAAGAGAAACTTGCTGAGGACTTCGACAAAGGGTTCGATGAGCTCATGCTCGTTGACGACATGACCACCCGGGAGTACCTGAAGCGAGGCGGACCCAAGGGAGAGGCGCCCAAGTATGACTTTTTCGCCATCCAATGGATGGAGACACAAAACACCGGGACGAACCTGTTTGACCAGGCGTTTTCTGAAAGCGTCATTGACTCGTTTGACTTTGACAACCCGACAAAGCCCGAGTGGTACTGCATTGAGGGAGGAACATCACTTTTGGTGGACGCCATGGAAGAAACCCTTGTCCACAAGGTACAGAACAACAAGAGAGTTGATGCCATTTCCATTGACTTAGACGCTCCGGATGATGGGAACATGTCGGTCAGGATAGGCGGAAAGGATTACTCCGGATATAGCACCGTCTTCAACACCACCGCTCTGGGCTGTCTTGACCGCATGGATCTGCGTGGTCTCAACTTGCACCCTACTCAGGTAGATGCCATTCGATGTCTGCACTATGATAACTCGACCAAGGTGGCTCTCAAGTTTAGCTACCCGTGGTGGATCAAGGACTGTGGCATCACTTGCGGTGGCGCAGCCTCGACTGATCTGCCTCTACGAACTTGCGTTTACCCATCATACAACTTGGACGATGGCGATGGTGAGGCTGTTCTGCTTGCCTCATACACTTGGTCTCAGGACGCAACTCGCATTGGATCGTTGGTGAAGGATGCTCCACCCCAGCCGCCTAAGGAGGATGAGCTCGTCGAGCTGATCCTGCAGAATCTGGCCCGCCTGCACGCTGAGCATATGACCTACGAGAAGATTAAGGAGGCTTACACGGGCGTATATCACGCCTATTGCTGGGCTAATGATCCCAATGTCGGTGGTGCTTTCGCCCTCTTCGGTCCTGGCCAGTTCAGCAATCTGTATCCATACCTGATGCGGCCAGCGGCGGGCGGCAAGTTCCATATTGTCGGAGAGGCATCTAGTGTGCATCACGCCTGGATTATAGGTTCCTTGGAGAGCGCTTACACCGCTGTTTACCAGTTCCTGTACAAGTACAAGATGTGGGATTACTTGAGGCTGTTGTTGGAGCGCTGGCAGTATGGTCTCCAGGAGTTAGAGACGGGGAAGCACGGGACGGCTCATTTGCAGTTTATTTTGGGTTCACTTCCAAAGGAGTACCAGGTGAAGGTCTAAGGCGAGACAGGTGCTACTGCATACGAACGATTTTAGATTGAGATTGTAGCATTCCATAAGTCTCATAGAAAGTGTGATATTTATTAGTCTCAATCTGAGTCTCAGTTCGTCTGACAGTGTGTACCGTGACACAGTGATTAGTATAACAAAATGTGTCATTCCCACTGACCAGAAGCTGACGTCGATGAGCCTTGTGTACTGAATTTTAACTCACTCTCAACGATCGCGGCCGCGTTTAAGCGCGAGAGTTGCTCTATGAAAGATGCTTTGTTCAGCAAACCGCTACTGCTTTGATGTGTCTTGACGATTTTCTCTTATGTGCCCCTCTGGTGAAGGTTGCGCCTGGGTCAGTTGAGGGGAATCAGTTCTTCAGGACCTCCTGGCATCGCCTTCGCCCCCGCCGCCGTTTGACGCACGGTTCCAGATAGCATGAACATGGAAGCTTGGATACTGGCTCGTCATGACCAACAAGGTCTTGCTATGTTGAAAGTTGGCCTGAGCAACAGAGGAACCGAGCGGGGTTAGATGTTCTTACACCCCTTGCTTACAGTCATGAACAGAATGGTGGTCATTGTCAGTCGGGATACTTTGTCTCGCCGCCGCACATTGCGGCCTTTGAGCATCGAACATATTGTTACCTCAAGGAATTTGTCGAATCACACTCGATTCCTTGCGATTGGCGTGCCACAACGGGTGTACACGGCTTTTAGTCTCCGGAGCTCTTTGCCACCGCCAAGAAGATGATCGAAACGATTCAGGCAAAGTATCCAGATATTGGAGCAAACATTGTAGTTGTCACAAAGGAGGGCTGCAAATCTCCCTCCATCGTTTTACAAAGTGAGAGGAGCTTGAAGAAGCTTACATTAGAGGACTTGCGAGTCGGTGCCGCCCAAGGCGCTGTCGTGCAGACGAATGCTGCCAGCCTCTGGCCGTACAAGCTTGTTGCCTTTGTGCTGGAACGTCTCCTGACGGCTGGTGGTTTCAATCTACAGACGAATACTCCAGTTACAGGCCTCAAAAGAGTCGACTTATCCGCAGTACAGTCCAGTTCTCACTCAGATGCTGACAAGGCAGCGTTCGGACGCTGGACAGCTCACACATCCCGTGGCGACATTTCAGCCCGGCATGTTCTCCTAGCGACAAATGTGTATACTTCTCATCTGCTTCCCCAGTTTGCAGACATCATCGTGCCGGTCAGAGGCCAAGTATCCAGCCTCAAGTCATCGCCATCGGCACAGCCCGCCAAAGATCCGCTGGACATTGGACACACGTTCTATTTCGTCTCTGATCTCACCGACCGCAGAGATGACTACCTAGCACAAAGACCTCCTCCAGGTGCGGAACTGATCTATGGCGGCGGACGCATCCACGCAAAGGGCCACGGACTTGGCGTGTGGGATGACAGCATCATCGACGAACCAGTGGCACGCTATCTTAAAACACGAATTGGGCAGCTTGATGGATCTCTCGATACGCGATCAAGGAAATGTGCAAGGGGAACACGGGATCCACTCATTGAAGCCAGATATCGAACCGACCTTTGAATGGTCAGGCATCATGGGATTCTCGCGCGACGGCTGGCCGTGGGTTGGTCCTGTGCCGGAAACTGCTGGTGGTGGAGGCGGACTTTGGCTGTGTGCCGGATACTCTGGCGGCGGCATGCCCAACGCGGCTCTGTGTGCTAAGGCGGTTGTTGATATGATGATTCCTGGCCACGGGGATGGGGATGAGATGGCCGGCCAGGTAGATCTACCTCCCGAGTATCTCCTTACCCAGGAGCGACTCGAAAAGGCCAGAGTATGCGAGACCGTCGCAGAAGCGGACAAGAAGGGGGCATTCATGTTGGACTTGGACATATTTTGAAGCCTGGTGAATACAAAATGGGCTTGACCAGTATTTCAATAGATCACATGGTTCTTCAATACGCGTATGGCCTCGTACAAGGTAAACATGGACGGCGTTGCTTTTGGACAACCATGTTATCTGCCTCACTAAGACTAATTATGTGAGAGAATGAAATCAATTTCAAGGTCCAAGAAAATGGCTCCAGCGAAGAATAGCTACATAGCTTTTCACCCATGCCGATACGCACCTCTTAGGTGCGTCGACAGCTCCAATCACTCATTTGACTCGCGTGAATATCTGAATAAATAGGTAGGAGCCCACACGTAGTCGTCCACATGAACGTAATCATCCACCAAATCTACATGCGTCTCCTGGTACTCGTATATGCCATCACTATAACGTACCCCTTCACAGAAGATCTCTCCAACTGTGTCTTTGCTTGCCTTGATTTCCGCCCAAGTCTTTCCAGGGAACTCTGCTCGAATATCGCCTTCCTCGACGTATGGCGAGCCTTGCTTTTCCTCATAATCAACAGCTCTACCCCTTTTTACCACAACCAACATCTCCTTTTCAATCTCGCCATTGGCCATCAACCGCGGATCTTCTGCATCTTGGTACTCTTCGATATCCTGATCAGGCGCTAGAGCTTGCGTAAACTCGGTCCACGTACCCTTGTTGCTTATGTATGGCCCAGAACCATATTGGTATGCGATGTCGGATCGGTAAATGGTGACTGAAGCTCCAGACTTTGAGCCGTCACGGCCCTCGAGTGTGCGTTGCCAGCCACCCGGCTGTGGCTCGCGCAAGAACCGGTTCTCCCCGGTGAGTTCGTCGTTCTCATCAAGCCAAGCTACTTTGTAACCGAGGAAGCCTGATGAGTGTGATATGTAGTGAAGCTCCTTCCATCCGTCGCTATACTTTACTAGACGATTAAGAGCATCATAGGAACACTGGACCTCAGCATCACCACACACCGTCAACCTGTCGAGTTTCAGTCCTGGGAGAAGCTTCAAGACCTGGTAAGTGTCCCATTGCGCCAACTCATCGCCAATTTCCATCCTCATTGGGTGACCAGAAACCCGGATATGGCGAATCATTGAGCGAGTTTCAAGAGGAATGTCGGCAAGTTTATCGACCATAGCTTTCACCGTCTCGAAACAAAAGAGGACCTGGCCAATCCAGGATCTGCCAATTTCGACGTATGCTTGGCGGCAACTGATGAGAATGGCAAGGCCGTGAGGAGCCGGAATGAAATCATGAATCACCATGTCCCATCCACATCTCGGCCCAGATGTGAAGCGGGTTGACGAGAACAGGAATGCGTAAATCATGAGCCGCAGCTCTTGAGGAAGCCGCATCAGCAGACTTTTGGGTTGTTGGTAGGCAGCTCCGACCTTGACGACAATTGGAGCGCCCATTTTTGCTGTTTCTCGTCGAAAACCTGGTGGACACTCTTCGTGAAACTCCCTAAGGCGACTTTCTCTGTTCGTGAGAAGCGAAAACAGGGGCTGCGCGAGACTCTGAACCGGCTGGCGGGCTGCGCAGCAGAGGATGAATCATGCGATGAAGGAGGTATTCGTCTGCGTTGCAGTTGATAGAAAAGAGGTCATCAAGAAGATGATGCACAATTCTGAGAAGAGTGCAGATGTGAGCGTGCAGATTGCGTTTGTAGAGGCAGAGTGAATCGGCCAAGGAGCAGCAGCAGGTCAAGTCACCTGACTACGATAAGATAGTATCAGCATTCTGCCTAGCGGTCTGAACAAATGTTGGGTGTCAATAACCAAGGCTGCATGAATCTGAGGTGCATCTCATTGTATCAGTTGAGTTCGAATGGACAATGTAGCATCTACACCCATACAGAATATCAGAATTACGTGCATACAAGAATGAGCGAGTTTTATATGGGGAAATTTCCGTGGTGTCACATCGTCGATTTTAGCGGCTGCTCCATTCCAGGATCGCTTCCGCCGCTGCATTTAGCGCCCGCTATTAGCTCGCAGCGCTCCGCTATAGCGCAGTAGTAGCGCCTGATCTGTTCAATGCTAGCAGACACTTCGACTCCATACGTCGAGTTCCAATTGCATCTTCGGAATATGTAAGAGCAATTCCTGTATTCTGTATCTTTTACTACATGTAATTAGTTCATACTTTACAAGGTATTTACTACCAGAAACTGAGGTAGTGGGAATTTCAGATAGATAGTACTAAACGTACATTTGATGTCCATGGTTACATGTATTTGGCAGTATCAAGTCTACTATCATCTCCGTATCATGGGAATAGCTTTGCTTTTCTCTCATGATTCTTGCTTGACAAGTGAAAGAGACCAGCAGTTTGGACAGCAGACATGCATTTTTTTGTCCTACTCTTCATGATACAAAGCTCTTGATCGGGCAATTAATATAAGTTCACCTCTCGGCGTTCCCAAGACATCATTTAGTCTAGGAGCTAAGTCTTCATTGAAAACCGCTTCAGAGGCGAGGCAGCATCATTGTGAGTAATTTTATCTTCTCCCGCTTGGGCGGCTGCCTGGGTACCTTCCTCGATTGCCGCTTCGACCGCTGGAGCTGGTGGTAGCATCTTAGTAGTTGCCTCAATATTCTTGATTCTCACTCCCATCTGATCGATAATCTCAGCTCTCTTCTATAAGTGAAAGCAAAATGCATTAGCTCATATTTATGCAATACGCAATGCAACGACAAGAGGAAGGACACCATAGTTGTAGACTGTGAACCATGAAATGTACGTGCCTTGGCCGCCACCTGTGTTATGTGGTCTTGAGCTTTTTGTGTCCAATTCTGTAGCTCGTCCATCTTGAGCTGCTGTTCTTCATTATTCTGTGGAAGAGACATCATATCCACCAATGTCAGTCCCGGCATAATATCCTCTCGGGACAGCTCACTCCACATGCTCGCAATATCGGCAAAGACAGAAAAATAAGCTTGAATTGTGACAACAGCCTGGTATATCATCTACGACAGCCAATTAGCTCTGCTCAGTTGCTGTCAATGGGCAGTGTGGCCGCCAACCCCAAGTTCATCAGAGAGAAAGGCAACGTACTGTGCGAGTCAAGTCGGTATAATTGTATCCAGCAATGGAAGACTGTCTGGCTGTTGGGTCATTTGTAGTAGCGGTGATATCATCAATGAAAGGTTGCACATTGTACTTGACGACTGCGTCGACCGTAGCACCGATCGCCCCAAAGAAGCGGCAAAGGTTAGCAATTTGCGACTTCATCTGGGCAATAAGTTCAATTGCTCGGATGAGGATGCGTTTGACTTCATTCTGAACTACAGTCAGATCCTATCCCATTGTCGACTTTGTAGGGTTGAGGAAAAGGGGGCGCATATTAACTACAAGTAGGTAGGGATAAAAGAGATGATGCTTACAAGGTCCGCTGTGGTCGTGCTTAGCCTTTTAATATCAGCTTGAATCTTTGAGAGTTTATTTTGTTGTTCGATCATCTTCTGGGAGGATTTCTGGTACAGATCTTGAGTTGCGCTCAAGTGTTTTTGAGTTGTGCTGAGGCGGTATTTGGCTGCATCTAAAGAGGCCTGGGCCGCCGTCAGGGTTTTCGTCTTTCCGATGGTTATTGCAGGGTCTTCGGTGCCTGCCATGATTGGAAGCTATAAGACGATACGGTTAACAATGCTTGCATTTTCTAATTGTAGCGTCGGCTAGGGCCCTGAGGGTTGAAGTGGAAAAGATCAGGTACTCACACCTGAAGCCGCTGTTCCTGGCTGACTACGGGCCGTGGCTAATAGTTTATGGAGAGACAAATAAACAGGGAGCCACTGCTGCTGCCAGTCTTTAACTTCCTGAGAGTTGGCTTCAGGGAAGTTCAGGCCGATCCTTGCAGACTTTTCCACGATCTCATGGATCGCCGTGGCAATCTTATTTACGATGCCGTGTTAGTGAACAGTCTCTTGATGAAGATGTTGCAAACGGTAAACAGGGGACGCAATACCTTTAGTGCGACAACAAAGGCACTGAGAAGCGTCTGACTTGGATTCATGCGCGAAGCTACTGTTCTGAAATCGTCGAATTCACTCTGGAGCATAGACTTCACGTAGTAAGAGCTCTGAGCTGCCCGGCCATCTTTGCCTGAAGCGTCTGCCCAGTTCACTCCACCATTCTTACCTTTGGTCAAAATGGCATTGAGTTGTTCAAAATATGGGATGCTCTTTAAAATATAAAGATTCGCTAGGTCTTCGGCATGGGGTGGTTCTGTCGGCTTTGGCGCAGACGATGTTGGCGGGTTTGGAGGCGCATTTTCCCCTCCGCTGATTACCTGTCAACATATTTGTTTTCAACACAAGGACTCTTGGAGGTGTGGCTTACTGTACCAGATTGTGGAACATATCAACGCTACTCGCCACGGGACTCAAGCCGAAGGCAAAGGCCTTGACGGTCAGTCTAACTGCGGTGGTAGCCGTCTCCACCAGTGAGCCTACAATTTGCTGACCAAGGATTCCCCATCTATATAATAAAAGAGCATGTTAGCTTTGTCAATCAGGTAGAACCGGGGAAGTGTTTGGGATGACGGACCCAGAGGGATATGCGTCGGACGCTCGCTTGAAGGTCTCAGTGGCCGCCTCCACTTGCTTAGCGAAATTCTGTGTGATTTCTCTTGTCTCGTCAACAGTAGTTTTCTTCTTATCGAAAAATGCCTGAGCTACCGCCATGTTTCTCTCTGTAGTGCTGAGGCGCTCTGCGTTGGTGGATTGCGTCTGCATGCAGGCGGCATGAAGTTCCATACAGTGCAGAAGCCAGCGCTCAAATTTTTCATCAATCTCCTTGACTTTATCGTAGCAATCATCTGCTGCAACTTTTATCATGATAAGCCGTGAAGCAAGCTGCGTCTTGGCCGCCTGCTCATCTGTACGTGAGTGAATGTTAGTCACAAGTTAAAGATACATGCAGCCAGCTCTAAATCAGACAGGTCCGAAAAGAGACTTACCCATGAGAATGTCCACTACATCAGCTACCTTGATACAATTATCAGTCGAAGAAAGAGTTTCATCAAAGTGGGTGGAACGTACTCCTTTAGAGACTCGACCAGATACTTGTTTGACGAACAACATGCTACGTTCTGCCTTGAGAAACGCTTCACAGCCATAGTTGGCGGAGTCCATTAGATTGGCATTCAGCGACTTGTGCCTTTGCATCATTATTATCCCATCTCTTCCCATTGCCATGTCATAGATAAGACGAGCCTACTTACTTGATGTACTGGAACTCCTTGCCTTCGAGTGGATCCAGTTGGATGTGGTCGCTACCTTTCGAGGTGCAAGCTATAAAGCAGGATCCGATAGATGTTAGAGCAACAGGGCCTGACTGAAGCAACTCTTCCCAGTTATATTGGAAGATGATTGAATTCTTGATCTCGTTGACGGCGTCGTTAGTGATATCCGGTCGGTTGTCAAGATCATACTGAGCCTTGAGGGCGACAGTAAGCTCTTCTTCAATGGTAGGCATGGTGAAAAGCTATGGAGAAATCATGCAAGAGAGCTGGAAATTCCTTAGAATGCTTCTAAATTGACTTTATTCTTGAATATTGGATGATGAATAATATAATGCTAGCACAAGAGGGGTGGCTGGTCGTATATAGTATATGACTTAGCTCATTGCAAGAAGAGATCCAAGCACGCAGCCTCGAAAAAGGCCCACCACATGCTAGGCTAATTTATGTATACCCTGGGCTGTGTGAGAGCCGCCTATGAAAGGTTGATTCGGTGAGCATTGGCCTATAAAGTCAAGTATCCTCCAGCCTATTCATCAGAATCCTCCTTAAGAACGTCATAGATCAACAGCGGTGTGGCATTTCAACACATAGTACTGCATAATGTAATGTGATGCTACCCAATACATAGGATTAGGTAGAAATGTGGCGTCAATGAGTGGTCTATCTATTGGTGTTTCTAATGTACGCATATGGTGTGTATGGAGATGATGCGAGCATTTGTATTCGCATTGGATACACGTAATCGACCCCCCATGATATGCCTGGGCACATGATTCAATGAACGCATGCCGCCCTCAGTAACTACGCTGCACATTTTCTCGCGCCAAGATTTTCGCTGCTCGGACGAACATGATCGAGCCTGGCGTTGCCACTATGACGGTAGTTATTGGATAATCCGTCTGTAGAAATGCCAGTTGTCCTTTGTGAGGATGGATGCCTTGGAAAATGCGCGTCTTATTTATCCATAATATCCTGTTGGAGCTCAAGCGTTTACATAATTAAGAGATAGTCTTTGGGAGTTAGGAACAGAACCCATGTATCTAGCGCAACGCAGCTATTACAGTCTATGTTGCACCTAGGATTCACTTCCATATTTCCTTTCTTTTTTGTACCTGAGTCCTTGAATGAATCTGGCTTAATTCCACTGTTTACTTCGAAATGGAAAACACAATACTCGCCCATCGACGGAGTCTTGCCGAGATGCGAACTGAACTGGACGGACTGGACGCCGCTCTTACCGTCGGTGCGGCAACCAAGCGATCTGAGACGATCTCGTGTGCTCTAAAAGTCGGCACAGACAGTCTCTATGATCTTTCTGCGCTTATTAGTGGTGACTTTGAACTTACTCACGATGATGGACGGCTCAACGTGGCCCTGGACCGCCTCGTCGCGACGTTTGATCACATCACCGAACTTGCAGACAGTCAGCTCGCAGAGGTTGGACGCCTCCACTCTGATGTAAGTGAAGCATGCAGATTACAGCAAGTACACTTGGCGAGCTCTTACTAACTGAATGTCGCAGGCTATCGAGTTGAGAAATGCCAAACTTCGGCCTCTGCAAGATAAGCTTGACGAGTCCAAGTCCGAGTTAGAAGCCCAGCTTACAAGAAATCGAGAAGCCATCACGGCCACCTCCAATACAGTAAATGTCCTACAAGAGTCGGTCGACACGATGAACAGGGCACATCGCTCTCTCCAAGACAAACTATCTGAAGCGGAGAGGGTGCACGACGGTGTCAATATTGCCGTGAGTCTGCCTAGTCCCAGATTGCCTCGATGGAGAAGATATGCATGTGGGTAATGCTCATCATATTGGTATAGGTGAGCATTCTGATACCGATTTGGGGCATTGTCGGTTTAATTGATAACAACGCATCCCCTGGTGCTGTGTTTAATCTGCGCAATTGCGTCAATGAGGCTCGCGACGCACTTCACAGAGAAAAAATGGCCTTGGAAAAGGCGGGGGAGAGCCTCAAGTCTGAAAGACAGCAGCATGTCGAGCTCGAGAATCAAGTCTCGCGGCTGCAGGCTATGCTATCCGAGATCGTACCCTTGGAGAACCAGGTCACAGCGACCATTGAAAAGACGGATATGCTGCAACAAGCCATTATCGTTGTCAAACAGCAGCTGGCTGCTGCTGCTCAACGTGCCGCACAGCTGAGCAATACCGTGTTGATCACAGCCCATGCATCATCCACCAAGCAGGAGATTTGCACTGGTATTCTTGACATAGCTGAGCAGGTGCCTTTGGATTTTAGGAACTCGAATGAAATGAAGCTCCTGCTCAATGAGCTTCTCAGCGGCTATGGGAGCGCAGTTGTTCCGGCGGCCATTGAGAGTCGCGCGAATGAGCTGCTTGGGGTGGCGGCCAAGTATCCGAGCATCGAATGGCATCCCACAGAGGTAGTCACTGAAGCATGATGTAATTTAAGAGGTCAATATCTAGACTACCGAGTTCAAAGACATTGTGGAGATGGTCAGGATAAGCTTTGCTCAGAAAAGATTGGTAGGTACAGGATGAAATAAATATTTGTAACAAGCAAAGCTATCCAAAAGTTAACAAAACAAAACAAGAGTTCTAATTGGTTAAACATGCTGACATCTTGTCAAGCATATACAATCGGAGATCACCTGCAAGAAAAGAGTGTGCTGCCATAACGTAGGCCTTATACTTGATGTATTGAACATTTAGATCAGCTGAGACAAGAGGGTTCCATGTTTTATGGTCACTAAGCCTGTCAACATGCTCGATCAAAACGCCACGCGCGGATAATACTGCCAAGAGACGAGGCTACAGAGAGCAACCAATAGCTTGAGACCACGTAAATATGCAGAATATATAAATGAAACTCTGTGCTACGAGTACATATGTGCCAATCAACCTAGAACAAGCGAATGCATAAAATACACGCATAAGATATGTATTCATTATGCTGGAAACATGAAGGCACTCTGGCTCCCACCTCTCAAGCTCAAGATGTTGTATTGCTGGCAGAATCCCTTGGTATTTGGAGTGCCTTCGGGTTAATACATATCACATTGTTCAAGACGACAATGCTGACAAGATAAAGATTGGCTGGTGCCGATGCTGAAGGCAGTCCCTCAAAACGACATTCCATCTAATCTGTCACACAACCCATTTAGTCGTAGATTGGGGAACATCTATTCTCTCCTAAGATGAATTTATTTGGTGACAGCCTGGGTCGCATTTGAGCAGAGTTCACTCTAGACTTTGCTTTCCAGAGTGAGCCGCGCACCAGACTTTTTCTACTTTGCCAATATTGTCGCTTAGCTCGCCGTCCTTTTTTCCAACGGGTATTAGAAGTGTTGGCTTAGAAATAAATACGAGCTTGGATATGTATGATCCCGCAAGACTATGCATGTTGCGTGATACCATGCGCTAAACTTGTTACTCTTGACCAGTGAAACCCCCGAGATTTTGTGCGAAATCATCAGCGCATTCCGCTTCGCCTGCTTCACCTAGAGCAATCTAGTGTCACACGAGATGTATATTTCCTCATATGCGGAGTAAACGCAGCTTGGAAACGCCAACTTGAGCCAGCCACGCTGATTGATATCGAGGCTCACTAAACTCCAGCTCGGTGCAGAGCTGATCAACATCCCAGAGGCTCAGCTCATCTTCTTTTGGACAAGTTTGTCGATTTTCACTCTAGTTCCACCAGCGGATCCTACAGTTCGCTATGCCGCTATGGATCATAGGCTCCCATGGAGGTGCAGTGGAGTCGCCAGGGATCAGGGGAGGCTGAGCAAACGAATCCAATGGTATTCCAGGCAGTCAAGAAGTATTTGTTACGAGTCTTGAAGGAAAACAATCCTCAATCCAACCCTCCTGGCTCTCCAGATAAAATGGGATGGCGGGGCGTATTTCTTGAGTTATGAAGAGATAGAAGAAGAGGTGTCGGAGAAGCAAGCTCACCGCTGGAAGCTCATCGCACTAATGTAGATTTTAGTTACAGCATTATGTGTTTAAAAAAACGTATGAGAGAGAAAGACAGGCAAAAAGGTTACAAACTTCTCGAGGTAACAAGATATAGGGCTGGTAAGAAGTATGAAGGATGAAAGGAGTGCTGCCTAGGTCTTCAAGCCTCAATCCCTTGTCAGCCAATTCAACACACATAGAGCTACATGAGTTGAATGCACTCTGTCTCTTCTTTCAGCCAATAACAAGACTTGGTCTGCTACATAACCTCCCAACATGCATTAGAACCCCATGTTGTGGAATACTATAGCAATAAAGCCGCGCGCCTGCGACGGGGGTGAGACACAGCGTATTACGCGAGGAAATCAACGACTCCCACCCGAATCTTCGACATGGATTGCGCTCCGGGCCAATCATGTCGACATCAAATAGCTGTTGGTTCGGTGCATACATATTAAATGCCACCATGATAATCAACACCTACTTTCACGTAAATAGGGGAGAGGACTGATAAACCACCACCCACCCAGTCGATTCTGGGCTGTTCTCATCATCATTGTCTCCTAATATCCGGCGAGCAGATGCTGCCTGCATCGCTTTCATTCCCTATACAATCAGGCGCATCTAAATCACTTCGGTAGCAGAGCGAATTCAATCGCTAGAGGCCCGTAATCATGGCTTCACGCACTATCGTGATGTTTCTCTATTTCTTGTTCTTAGGATGCGCCGCAGCCGACGATGGAGACGACTTCTCCAACAACTTGTTCACGGATCTCGGCCCGTACGACACTCTTATCCTCATACAACAGTGTCTCAACTGGTGTATAAATGCTAATGTGATCTACTCTTACAGGCTGCTAGCCCTCTTTGGAGAACGTGTTACTATGCAATTTTTGAGTCAGGCAATGGGAATTTCCGACTGCATTATCCTTTCAATGGCACCTCTAGGCATCGTCACCACTATCGTCGCTGCGATTAGAGTCGGGGGTCCGTCATGGCTCAAAGCGTTGATTGGGAGAGCAACTGAGAACCTCGCGGCTGCTGAACTAGAGCTCATGTCTTCTAGCTCCAATGAGGTGTGTGAGCTCTGGAACGGCAGAGACGTGGTTCGCTGTGCCGGATCAGCTCCTGTTTGGGAGTTCATTTGTTTGCTGCCTCGGACAGGATTACCCAAGAACCCAAAAGTCAAGATAATGAGTTTGGAAGATGCGGAGAACGACCCATACTTCTATATAAAAAGATGTAAGACTCCTTAGATTGTTCACTGACACAAGATTCTGACTTGTTTAGTGCGGAGAAACGAGAGAACCTTTTCGGATAAAATGCGAGCGCTCTTTGGTGTTAATAAACAAGATGGGAGCGCAGAAGATGGCATAAAAGAAAAGTCCAATCCTCAATCAGACGAAGTTATCATTATAAGAAATCTCAAACATGATGTGCCAAATATTTCACACAACCGGCATAGAAATTCTGGTCGCGGCGAGCTATACCTCGCTGCCTGTTTTGGTATACTTTTACAAATCGGCTTCATTTTATACTGCAGCTTCATCGCACAATACTCGAAATTAAAACCCCACTTTCAAAAAGATGATCATGCTGTTGCAAGTTACGCTTTTCCACTTACCATTATTGGCTCGGTGGTTCTGAGCATTGGCATGTTCATTTGCTCTCATGTCGTCGAGAGCAGCACCTTGGAGGAAACCTTTCAGCCAACAGAACATTGGCGAGCCCGGCTTGTATGGTTGCAACAAGAAAAAACTGTCGGCGACCAAGAGTTTAAATCCTTTGCTCTCTATACAGGAGAGGACCAGCCAAACATTATCACTTCGAGCAGAGCGGACCATGGCAAAGATTCTGATGAAAAGCAACGACAGGGCTCAGAAGGGCTGAAAGACTTTACAATCACGACAGTGGTTGGTACAGTTATCAGCCTAGTTGGATATGTTGCTCAGTTCATTGGATTTCGAGGAATGCATTGGTCTGTCTCTGTGGCCTCTTTAATTGCCGTCCTTACAATGGCCACCGTGAGGGCATGGATTCGTCGCGGACTCGCAAAACCCATGTTCTGCCGTGGCCTTCTTCCAGGATTTGAGCTCGACTGGTTTGCGGATTCCTTAAGAACTGTTGGCAATGCGCCTTGGTATAATGATTTGGATGGATCTTCTCAGGAAGAGAATACCAGCTCCTTGAGTGGTGGGAGTACGTCTACCAACCAAGATAAGCTCGTTAAATCGGACGATCAATCTACGGCACAAGAACCCCTTGTTTGCGAGGCTCAAGATTATACCACAATGCGTCAGAGTCTTGCAAAACTTGCAGACTGGCGAGGACCGGTATCGCAAGAAGCCATTGCAGTCAGCTTAGCCATAGAAGCAACCATGAACCTTTTGGATGACAACTTGGGCCTAGAAGATTTTTCTTGGGGCTACAAGATTCAGGATGCATCATTAAACGAGCAAGAGCTGAAGTTCAGGGTGATTAAACAGCCCGACGGCAAATGGAAAGCACACGCAGGAGAAATCGAGGCGGCGCTGTCACTACGACTCTTCTATATTAAGAGTCAACAAGAGACCCAATTATTGGCCAAGGCCATTCATAAATCAGGCAACCCCTTGGACGATGACAAATGGTTGCGGGTGAAGGGGGAAATGCCCGATATGGGATTAAGGATTCTTGGTCCGAATACAATGCAACTATATCGACATCTCGATTGGTGGATACCTACAGATGGACCAGATATTTTGAAAGGTGAAGCGGTGTATAATCCCGCTGAAATTGACCAGAATATCGATTCAGGGAAGCATCAGATCAATACATTTGGAAGCATCGTGCCAGGTTCAACCAAATTCGAACTTGATGAATCGAGAGTGGTAGGGCTTGATCCACGTCATCAATTCAAAGTCGCCACTGGCTCTCATCCGCAGCTTTCGTACCTTTACTATCAAAACTCACAGGTTGGAAAATGGAATTTCAGCATATCAGAAGGAGAAGGCGAGAATTCGAATGACATACTGTGCATACAATCCTTGGATTCGCTGGAAATTCTATACGCCAAAGACATGTTTTCGACATTCATGTGGGCTATGGTAGAATCCCTAGAACGGCCTGTGGGAGGGAAAACATACATAAAAACATCCCAAGCCAAGTTGGAAAATAAAGACTCATGGAGGCGTTTAGGTCTGGAGAACGATGACATCTCCAGACTGGCCGCGGCTATCCAGAGCACAAGCCTATGCAATACACACGATGCTCATATCAGCATTATTACTCCTTTAAGTATACAAAGAAAACTACCTGAGGTAGACAGTATTGTCGAGATGGTGCGGAATTATACTGAGCCGCTCGAGGCACTTCATTTGTGGGCAGATGCGGGTCAAGTATACTTGCAACTCTGCGAGCACTTGAATGCATTTGCAGTTGGAAGTTATACTTATATCAGGGCTGTTGCCGTGTTGGCAACGTTTCGAAAAATACTACAAGAGATGATTAGACGAGAAATGACGGGAGTATACGAATCTCGCTTCGAAGAACAGCTGGCAAAGGCAATGGAAATTGTCGACGCAGAGTTCCAGAATCATCTGGGTTCATTGTGCGAATTGCAAGACACCGATACATGGCAAAAATGCTATCCTAGCGCTGAACGCTTCTTTCTGCTTCAGGATCAAGAGTCAATAATTTCCAATTCCTTCAACGTATACAAAGAAATGGGCCGACAACACCGCAGCAGACCAGACAAGGATGGCGCGAGAGAAAAAGACATCTTTGACAGGACATTCCTCCACTATTGTGCAGCATTCACCTACCATCGGGAGAGATGGTATGAGAATAACAAATATCCAAACGGGTCTGAGCAGTTTCTTCAAAAGATGCGGCGCTGGATCGAGCAAGGAGTCGATATCAACGCCTGCGATATCCGCGGATGGACACCACTGCACTACGCCTGCTGCTGTGCTGGTAGGACGAGCACCCAGGTTGTTCAATTGCTTCTCGAAAAGGGCGCCTCGGTCGATATGCAAGGACGCGAGGGCACAGCGCCGATTCACTGTGCGGCGAGGGCAGGTCATTTAGAGATGGTCGAAATGTTGCTGGAATTCGGAGCCAACATTGACATTGCCGACGGATATGGCAACACCGCCTTGCACGAGGCAGCTTTGAATAGATCTGCTGACATTTTCGAAACTCTGTGCAAACGCGGCTGTCAGAAAAGGCGAAATAAGCATGGACGAGCAGCCATTCATATAGCGGCAATGAGAGGACTCTCTTCCGCAGTCAACCACTTGGGAGACTACGCCAACTCCATAGACAGTCAGAAAAAGGCACCCCTTTACCTTGCTGTCGAATACGGTCACAAAGATTTCGTGCAACAACTCCTGAAGTTGCCACAGGTCGAAGTAAATGCCAGGGGTTACCGGGACCTTACGCCGCTTCAAGTCGCTTGTAAGAAAGGCTACGACAGCATCACCGAGATTCTTCTCGATGCAGGCGCTGATATAGAAATCCTAAGTGATGACGGCAAAACACCTTTACTCCATGCTGTACAAGAGCAGATGGAAAGCACTGTCAAGTTACTCACAACAAGAGGCGCCAATGTCAACTTCATCCATCTTGGAACTACAGCGCTGCACACAGCCGCACAAATGGGATACTCTGCCATCTTTGAGTATCTATTAGAGGGAGGGGCGGATATCCATGCGGGAGTAGAAACGGCTGCAGGGACACCACTGCATGCGGCGTGTACCATGATTGATGGTAATCCCATGATACAACGTCTCATAGATTTGGGAGCTGTGATTGATGAGACTAATGAAGAGGGCCAAACTCCACTGCATGTTGCAGCGCTATACGGCAAGCCAGCGAACCTAAAACTGCTCATCGACAAGGGTGCAAATATAGAAGCCAGAGACGGTAGAGGCCGAACACCCGCCCTCTTTATGTCTTTTGAGGAGCAGCGAAAAGAGTGTCTCCGAGTGTTGATAAAGCATGGCGCGGGTGTAAACGTCGCTGATCACGAGGGCAGAACTCCGCTATATCTCGCAGCCGGGGACGAGACTATGGAAGACTTCGTCCCAGAGTTACTCGAAGCTGGCGCTGCCGTTGACGTGGCCGTCGATGATGGTTATACCCCATTGCATCAGGCAGCATATTTCAAATGTACCAAGGCTATAAAAGCACTCGTTGAACACGGAGCCAATACCGAAGCGGTGAACACTGACGGAGAAACGCCACGAATGATTGCAGAAAGAGTAGGTCTGTCTGACTGGTGGAGGGAAAACATACCACCATCTAGGGAGTGGTGGAGGGTATCATCGGTGAAGCTTGCAGCATAAAATGCTACATTATTATACAGGATTTGGATCAATTAGTGCCTCCCATGTACAATAAACATAAGATATTATTCTCTTTCAATGCAAGTAGCAGTCAGCTGCTGAATCTCTCTTCCGCTCATGACAGAAAATAGAAGCAGGCTTCAAAAGAGCCAAGAGTCTCAAGCTCAGCCCTAATCCGTCTTGTTTCCCGATTTGGCAATGACCCAAGACTTGGCGCAGGCGATCCCTCCATTCAGCCCACCGTACGGAGTAATCAAATAACATGACCAGCGAGAACCGAGAGAAAGTTGGAAGAAAAACAGTTGAGCCTCATAATCTTGAGTCAGTGACAGCTCCAATGCTTACTCTGTCGCGGCCCAACTCCCCTCCGAGGTGCGTCAAGAAGAGACCGGTCAAGCTTTGATGCTTCTATTCATGCATGTTAAATTAGTTTTCTACCGCTGCTACTCTAGAAACCGACCAGCTCGATTTTTTAGTCATTCAGCTGAGGCAGACAAAGACTGACAGCAAACAAGCCTTTTTCAGCGTCAAATACTAGCCATTTCAGCCTCAATCCGTGTCTCTCTCACACACACCCTCCGATAACAACCAATAAGCATATAGCAATACACTACATCTTCACACCCAAATACATGCATCTTCACACACAATAGGCAATAGACAACACAACCTATCAGTAAAACGCATTGCCTAACCTCCTTCAACAACATCCAAACCACCACGCCACTAAACCCCATCCGTGATTGACCCCAGAACTAGCCTAGACATGATCCGACCAAGTGCCCCTTTTTTTCTATTCCTTCAATAGGTTGCTAAGTCGCGCTAGAGTGAATCCCAACTTCAGCTGCCGGACGGGTTGCAGGGAAGCGACATTACTCAGGATCAACCCTACCGCACGATGGCTGGACTAGGGGAACAGCGTGGCTTCAGCAACTGGGTTGAGCAAGCGGTCTGGAGTTCCAATACGCTCAATATACGCCTAGCTAGGCTAACTCGGCATATAAACCGCGTCTAATCTAAGGACGGAGTATATAGTCGTATGAGTAGGAATATAAACCGTCAATGCCCTCGATGAAACAAGAAGGATCTACAATCGTTTCAGTTCAGTTCTAGTCACTCACTCCAAGCACTTATACAAGCATCAACATCACTCGCTTGATCAAATCTCGATACTACCAACTTCGTTCACCCAACACTCGAATTCAACTCAACCAATAACCAACACTTCAAGATGCACTCCAACGCGGTCCTCCTCCTCACCTTTGTCGCCTCGGCCTCTGCCGCCATTGACTTCATGGCCATCCCCCACGTCCGCCGTGAACTCAACCTCCCCCGCGCAACCCCCATCAACGAGATCCGCGACTCCGATCCCAGCAAATGCGCCTCCGAGGCCCTCAGCTTCGTCAAGACCATCCCTACGCCTCCCCCCGCGATCGTCTCCGACCTCAGCAAGAACCCTCAGACCGACCCCTGCAAAGTCAGCTTCCCGTCCAGCCTCAGCGCCGAGTACTCCTCCTACAGCTCCGAGGTGGTCTCTTGGCTCAACGGCCACAAGGACGAGCTTACCTCTCTCGCCTCGGACTGCTCTGTTCTCAGCTCCTACACTAGCATCGCCAACGTCTGCACTGCTGGTGGTGATTCTTCTGGCTCTGGCTCTGGCCCCAACACTGCCTCTGCTGCTCCCACTGAGTCTGGTGCTGGTTCTGCCACCAAAACTGCTGGAGATGCGGCCAAGTCTACCAACGGTGTTGCCGCTCGTGAGACTGGCATGGCTCTCGCAGCCCTTGCTGCTGCCGGCATTGCTGCCATTCTGTAAACGACTTCATTGAGAATATGAAAGGATGAAACGAGACATTTCTATCATGTATATCATCATAGCGAGATTGAAACATGCTTATCGATGACTATGGGTCGGCTTTTGAAAGGAATTTCACTGTAACTATTTTAATAAGACAATACATTAATAAAAAGTGAGCCATCAATGGCATAGAAAGTTGTCATACTTTGGGAAATTTTGGATCTTAATTCGATGACGCGGGAGTGCAATCCCGTGTGTGGCTGCTTACGGATAAAGTCCTCATAGTCAGAAGCTCAAGATACGAGATCTGGACTTAATTTCTTTGTTATTGACATAGAGTGTCAGGCAAGATTCACGAGCGTGAAACACAAGATGTTCTTGCCTCAAGAACAGCGTGTACCTAGCCAATATACATTTGAGTGCCAAAGTCTGTGAAAACAAAATGGGAATTATACATGAACTTGAGAAGCACTTTATTCCATCCCCAGGTTAACAAGTTCCACACAATTGAATAAGGTCGGCAATCATAATTGTAGCCATGAAAATCGAGTCCGTTAGTTGCCTAACGAGCTATCATCCTCTATATCGTCACAGTAAGACTATGGGAATATTACTCATAACATTATATACCTGTATCTTGTAGATTCCATTATGGAAGTTATATTTGTGATTAAGAGGATCGGTAAAGCTGTAATAGTTGTGTAGGCCCCCTTATAGATAGAAAAGCATTGAGGCACTTCTTTGGTGATACTTAACCCAATATTGTTAGTTGAGACTCTGGAACTTTCCCTCTCAACGGTATTCTGCATAACGCAGATACCCAACTTAGCTGAATGTATCATAGAGGCAAGCTCTCAGCTTGAATGAATCAATGAAGCCGGGACTAGGTAATCGCAGCTTAGTAGCTACATAGTTTTCAAATCATCTTCCACCTTTCTATCACATCAACCAATGTCCAAATGTCCACAGCGTATTGGCCTTCTTGAATGGTAGGTGCCATGTCACCAACACACTCAATCCCCCCCAGATCAAACGCCTCAATGCCTTCTGCTTTAGCCTCTACCCAAACTCATTCGATGCTACCAGAGTTCAAAGATTAATCAACGTATTAGAAACTGTTTTAAATACCTATTCAACCAGACAATAGACCGACTACCCCACAATCAACCTCCCAACCATGCAGCTCTTTGTAAGTTTTGGTGCAGTGCAGGACGCAGCAAAAACATGGAGAATCATATTCACGTAAATCCCTCTTCTACGCCATCTAAGTAGTAGTCGATTGGCCCCTTGCGCCTTTTACTCTTCCGTCTCCTCAATCTCCTCCTGAGCCTCTTGCATTTCCTCGTCCTTTTCTTCTTCCTCTTCCTCTTCCTTGGCCTCCTCCTCGGGTGTTGCCAAGTCGACATCGGCGGCGACGCCACCCTCGGTTTCCAGGTTCAGCCACTCGTCCCATTCGGGGAACAGCTCAGCATCGTCATCCGGAACACCAATCAGCTTGGCTACCCGGCCCTTCTTGTTCTTCTCCAAGCTCTCCTTCCAGGCCTTTGCCGCGGATGTGGCCAGACTAGGCTTGTACGTCTGGGCAAAGAGAGTGGCCTCTACTGATCGTCCAGTCTTGGTCAGGATTTCCACGCATCGGTCAATGTCGCCTATTAACCAGGATGCTGAGAATGCCACGTTGTGGGCGTTTGCCTCTTCGGCCTGAGCAACCAGTTTGGCAAGGCCCTCCTTGTCACCTGTTGATGAATACACAAGGAGAAGAGATCCGAGATCCTTGGCGTGAGTAAAGCACTCAGCAGCCAAACCAACATCCCACGCGGTCAGGGCAGCATCTCCGACAGTCTTCCACTTGTGCTCGGCGTCAGCCTGTCGGGCCAGATCCAGAGCAATAGCGAGTTGGTTCAGGGCCAGCGCCAACTCAAATTTGTGCTCGGGATCAGTTGCAACTTCTAGAGCTAGGTCCTTGTGTCCCTGGCCCTCCAAGAATCGTGCAACCTTGTTCAGCTGATCAGCCGGAATTGTCGGTAGCAACTCGGCAGCCGTTTCCATATCCTCACGCAGAACCAGCGTCTGGTACTCGAGGACGGGCTGTGACAGGGCGAAGGAGGTGACGTTGACATCCTTATCGGCAAGGTAGATACGAGAGTCTCTCTGGATGTAGCCAAGGACGTACATGGGCTTGTCGAAGTGAGAGATGGTGTAGGTCTGGTCGCCGACCAGGTAGTTGAGTCGGTTTGTGCTGTTGGTGTAGATGAAGCAATCACCAACCCACTCACCAGTTCGAATGCTGTACTCAAAATATTAGTTATCAGAAGAGCTCACGTGTAAATCGGAAGAAGCCCGTCAGTACTTACGTCTCGTTGACATCGGTGATGACTTCAAAGGCAGACTCAACGCCGTCCTCCTCAACTTGGCCTGACTGCACGGCCTCGACGTAGTTCTCGCGGGAGAAGCGCAAGACATAAAATGAATCCTCGCAAGCAATGGCTACCAGCTCGCCGCTTTCTGACCAGTAGACCTGCTTAGGCTCAACCTCGATTCTGCGAACAAGACCACCAGTAGCCCAGTCAAAAAAGGAGACACCACCCTGGCCAGTAACACCCAAGAGAACACCTCCAGTAAGACCTTCGGCCTGGAAGCCAACGTCCAGACCTCCGCTCTTCTCCACAAAGTTCTTGAAAATCTTGACGCTCATGGCCGACTCTCGAATGGCAAAGTCGTTGCTGTTTTCCTTTGAGGCCCACACAAAGTCCATGGCAGAACCAAAGGCCTTGTTTCTCCAGGCCAATGCCGTGTAGATGATGTATTCACCGTCACCGCAGACGGCAACGAATCGGCCATTCGGCGAGTGAATCAGTGTCTGAGTATACACTTCGCAAGTTCCGAGATCCTTGGTGGGTAATGAAATGGGTTCGTTATCTTTGACAGAGGCATCGCCCTTGATGATGGAAGACACGACTTCGTTTTGCTTGGCCCAGATCAGCTTACCAGATGGGTCCATGGACACGGCGGGTTCCTCGCGTCCGAGCTTGATCACGACAGCACCATCGTCATATCCAACAGCAACACCCTGCTTGCCCTTCTGGTAAGAGGCACA